CATTCCCTTTCTCGATTTGATTAATGAAAGGGGGGACCTCATGGTAACCCAGACGGTGGTCTTTCAGTCACTCTGAACTCCCCTAGACCACCAAGGAAGAGGTAATGTGTCTCCATCAAATCTCAACTCTTACAGCTTGCGGCACGTTTTGTAGTCTAAAGGTTCATCCATAAACTTCATGACCACTCATTTGATCACTCTTATCTTTTCATATATTTCTCCTCGTGATTTCTTAGTAACTCCTGCCTTCTTTAGTTTAAGGTAACTGTAGGAATAATCTGGCGATTTAGGACACAAGTTTACCTCCTTTATGTGAAATGTTAGCAAAAGACTCACACCACTGATCTGAAGGAAACTTCACATGGTGAGCATATAGACTACAGAAAGTGGGACCAAACCGCCAATTTTTATGATTGATAGATGACCGACTCAACCTGTGAACTACTTTAGTAATAACAAATAGGTAATAATAACCCTCCATACAAGTAGTTCACGAATCTCAGCATATCTACCAGCAGATTTTTTATTTTTATTTTTAATTTCCTTGAAGGAACCTTCCCAAAAAGATAAATAAATAAAGTATCTAATGTAATCTTATGTAATCTAATGTAATCAAATGCAATCTAATCTGATATAATCTAATCTAATCTAATCTAATATAATATAATATAATATAATATAATATTAAATTATATTATATTATATTATTTTGTATTATATTATATTATATTATATAAAGCAACAGGTATCAGAATCAGCTAACCCACTCATGAACGTATTCCTGCACTACTTTCTTTCTTACATGTAAATGCTACCTATAACAGTGTGGTGACTCCCAACATTAGCCCTTGTGGTGCAAATATAAGATTACTTCTTATTATTGCAACAGCAAAATCAAAAAATCTTTCTCTAGTCAAAAATACTCTGTATTGTTGAGAAAAAAAGGAGGAAAGAAAGAGTGAAAGAGATGGAAAAAAAGGAGGGGTTTATTTTATCTCCTGTAGTTTGCTGCACATGGATCTTTGTTTCCTAGAGTCTTTTAGGGCACAACAACTGTGTTGCCAATAAATGGTAAGGCAACCATTTTGCCTAACATATTATTATTGCATTAATTTTCTGAAACACACAAAAACAGACTCAGATAACTGTGTTGACACAACTTTTGATAGCTAACATCCTCATAAAACTAGTTATTAAAATCAGAATGAAAAAAGAAAGGAAAGAAAAAGTTAGGACCGAACACAAGGTTTAAATAAATGTTACAAATAGGGCATAATGTCTTGTTTTTCATACTTTAATTTGAAGATTTACTTATATTTCTCAGTTTGTGTCAGTTTCATGTCAACCTTAGTGCTAAAATGTGTTAACAATGTTAGCTGTAGAGGTTTATAAGTGGGTTTGTCAGATTTATCATTGCCACAAATTGCACTGAAATATTTCTTGTCTTAATTGGTTTATTGCCTGACTATTTGTCAGGGTTTTAACATCTTCACATAAACATACCGATAATACCACTAGACTCTCTGAAACATAGCTGCATTTTTCACAGGTTTGGCTTCATTATAATGAGTTATGACTCCAACACCTACAATCAATTATCATTTGTGTGACATATCCTTTGTCAGTGTTTAGGTTTTGAAGCTTCTTGCTGCCACAGTGTACTTGAAGTTATCAGTGGTTGTAGTCTAAGCTAGGAGTGTATGACGTCCAAGCAAAATGATTTTAAATCTCTCCAAGGCCTTTGCTGGGTCAGACCTTTGTGACTGTTCAATCCTGAGATATATGTTAGATTTTATCTCTATTTTTACTGACTTAGGAAAACAAGGATGCGAGTTCAATTGGACAGGGGTTATTGCTGCTGTTGTTGCTGGTCTGATTGTTTCTGTGTCCTGTTGAGACATCAGACATAACTGAAACGTGAAAATAAAATGCAAACCAAGATTGTATTCTTTTTTATTTTTCAGTGAAGATATACAACGTCTTGTTTATCTTTAATCCTCTGCACACACATTAAATACCTATGTACATTTGGTAATATTGAAGTATTTATCTATTTACTCTTTATTGGAAGAAACCAAATACTACTGTCTAGCATTTATGCTCACACAAAACGACACTGCGATGTTTGCAGATGCTTGTGCGCTAATATCAGACAGCGTCATAAAATTCTAATATCAGGCCCAAAATGAGACTGCCTGTACTGTATGCCATACATGATGAAAAGACAATATGTTTGATGGACTCGGGCTGTTATTATAGTCCTGTCTGAGAATCACATCTTGAAAGCATTACTCTGCTAGGATCCAAAAGTTTATTGTAACTAATTCTTTGCTGCTTTCAGTTGTGCCAAACTACTTCTCTGTCTGCCCTTATGTGATTTCCTTTTCTTTATCTTTGTGTTTCCAGAACTAGCTCTATGATTCAAGGAGGAAAAATTAGGAAATCAAGGATAACTTTCTACCAGATTTAAAAACTATAAGAGATGAGGAAATGGGACAAAAAGAAGCGACACTACGGAAGTTGAGTCTGTCTCCTTACTTGGTCACATGAAAGTTTTGAAGGTATTGGAGTGAGTCGATGATACCCAGATCCAAGGGTCCCTGCCAACACAAACCCCACTCTTGACAAAACAGTCCCCCACAATCCCTTGCTACTAGCAGAGTGAGGAGAAGGAGGAGGGGTTGGTAAGGGGTTGAGGAGAGTCTGGACAGGACGGAGGAGGGACACACCGGCGCCATGGCGATCCCTAAGACAACTTATCTCCTCTCTCACAATGATAGCGCCTGTCAAAATAGCTGCCAAGATACATAGCCGGCAAGGAACTGGTTAACTCCTGCCTCAGCCAATCAGAGGGCCTGCAGTCAGGGTCTCTGTCTTTCCCCACTTAAGAGGTATTTGGGACACCATTTCCACAAATGCACTTTATCTCTGTCTCTTTGCTCTCTGTCTCAAACAGGTTCCATTTAATCATGGGAGTTATTGGAAAGTGCATTCAAGTCATACCTGAATTACATACAAACTCATTTCTTTCTAAAGTTGAACTGTTGCATTCAAACATTAAGTATAAAAAGAGAAATTTGTTAGACATTATTTTATCTACTCACCACTTCATGTATAAGACCAGGATGAGGCCTCATCAGATATGTCTTCACTCATTCAACTAGGTTTTTGTCTTCTATGCTTTCTTTAAGTACAATATCACTCACGTATCGTGTTTCCTTGTGCCTGATAAAACCTAATCTGTTATAAACTTTGCAGACCCCATTTTTCCATTTGTTGTGAACTGCCTCCACCTAGTGGTACAATTCAACAAACTGGGTCATCTGGAAACTGTAAAATCAGGGGTAGCGTGCATTTCATCACAGTTGGCAAATATCTCAGATTAAACAAAATTTTTAAGTTTTATTTATTCATTTATTTTTTTATTTTGTTATCCCTGATGTTATTGTTGTTGTTTTCTTGACTGAATGAACAGATAAATGAATGACTAACAGTAGGCTTCATGTTGCTGACAAGCCAAAAAAGTTGTCATTACTGCCTGCTGTTTTGTACCTGCTCATTTTCAACTCTTTTCAGCTGATTAAAAAATACTATTCCTGAATATCAAGATCAGCATTTTCCAGTTTGCAGTCTTCTTTGAAATGTGTTGGTCTTATTCATATAGATTTATTTTACATCCTGAAACCTTATCATGTTATTTTGCTGCAACTGGCACAGTAGTGTCCAACATATCAGGTCAAGCTGTAGCGTTGAAATACCGTACATTTGATGGTGTTCAGTTGGGTAAAAATGATTGTAACACTGTCAAACGGTGGGTTCTTGTGTTTGATTATTGTGGGGTCAATGTCATTGTGTAGCTCAGAGCGTGTGCTCAACCAAGGAGCAGCAGAGTCTTGTCTATCTGAATTTTCCACAATTTTTTCTCTATTTTTTTATGTTTTTGTTGTGTTTTGTCAGCTGATGATGGATGTTTCTGCTGAGTTTGTTCAGTAGAGGAGCTTCTTTCATTGAGACAGGCACCACCATCCGGTTCCAGCTGACATCTGAAGGTGTTTTTTCACGGTTGCTGCTCTAGTGTAATGGTGAAGGTAAAGTTGAAGGCCATGAAATGGAGATATAAACCCTTCCTTTATCAGTCATCATAGGAAACATCAACTCTATTTAATTGAAGTGAAGAGATGGAGGTATTAGTGAAGAGCAAGTTTTACAGAAAACCTGGTTGAATCAAAACAACTCGGACTCCAGTGGCTTCACTCTTATAAGGTCAGACAGAGATGCTAAAACTAGTGGCAGGTCTGGCTTTATTTGTCAACCAGAGATGGTGTAACCCTTCACACATAATCGTCAAGGAGAGGAGTGTTGTCCCGATATTACACTGTTGGCAATCACTCTTAGCCCATATTATCTTGTAATGGAGTTCAGTCATATCATAACAAGCCCATTCTATTTTAAATTAAAGTAAACAACCATTTTCAAAAAGTGTTCCCTGACCGGGAATCGAACCCGGGCCGCGGCGGTGAGAGCGCCGAATCCTAACCACTAGACCACCAGGGACAGATGAAAGTACGCCGGACGTAAAATTATTTGAATATGTAACAGCCAATTCGGGACTATGATGGTTGTATTGCGGGAATAAGCAGAAGAATTACTCTATTGATCCCTGAAGAGAAATTCAACTGTCTATCGTCTCATTTGTCATGTTTAAAAAGTCACCTGCTATTTACAGAAGAATTATAAAGTCTGACGGCTGTTGGTACAAAAGATCTACTGAATCTTTCTGTCCTACGGGGAAGAGAGAGGAGCCGTCCACCACCACTGGCCCTTTGGTCCATTAAGGTGTTATGAAATGGTTGATCCATGTTGTAAGTTGTGCCTTGAAAATATTGACCTTTTATCAAGTATAAAATTGTGTCTTAAAGATATATCGAACTCACCCCATTGCGAACATGTTACAATAATGGCAAACAGGATTAACTCGGATGTGTTCATACAGCGCACTTGCCACCAGAGGGCGCAGCGAAGGAAAGCTTCATTTTGATTTTCACATTAGCTGCTTGAAGATGCATGGAAGGTATGTGGTCGACTCCCGCTACCTGTTTTGGTATCCGGTGTTGCCTTTTAATACGTTGTTTCTCGTTGTTGCTTGATGTTAGCATTCGTCTACATTGCATTAACAATGTAAGCTTCTTGTAAGACAGCGCGGTCTTGACTGAACCTAATGATAGTCTGAACATCTCCACCAGGTTGCTATTGTCCTGTAAACAAAGTGGCTAGCTAGCGTGGTAGCATCAGCTGTTGAGTCAAGTGAGAGACTGGACCTTGGTCACTGTGTCTGTATTTGTTTAACCCGGTGCAAGCACACGCAGATTCGCAAGAGCGCTAGTGCATTTCTGTGTTTTGTTGTTGTTGTTTTTGCTGCACCTTAAAAAAGAGAGTCGTCACCCATCCGTTCATGGATGGATTCACTTTGACAAGCAGTAGCGAGATGGGGTAACGATACTTCCCATAAATTCGCCTTCTTGCCGAGGTGAGCCTTTTGCCTGTTATGCAACACATTTGGGAACACGTGGACGTCTAGGTAGCAGTGATTTTGTTTTTTATGGTGCATGACATGTGTGTAATTGGCGGTTTAGTCTTCCTCTTAATCCTGTTTTGCTGAAGCTAGCTGTTACTGCAGCCACGGTTGTCTCAATGTTTACATCACTTAGTTTCCCAAAATGATACTGCTAATATTGGCACTTTGTTCAAATAAAGCGTAATTATATAATATAAACCATATTTACTGTAGCTACACTGACTAGTTGCAGATGTATTCATCCTCTAAGGGCAGAGTGTTACATTTTCCATCCTGTTGGTCAGCCATTGTGAGCTGAGTGGCCTGACATACCCATTATAGGATGCTTTCATCGCCATCCACTTAGGCTTCTCCATCAGTTATAGGGATTTTACATTGAAGTGGGTGTTGTTGAGTGAGGAGGCAGCCTGCTAATCCACCATCCTCTTTTTATTTCCCCCTGTAGGACAAGGAAGAGGTGTGAGAGCACAGTGTGAGAGGTGGTCTTCCCTTAAAGTTGTGTCTGCTGGATTGGACACGCTGAGTGGGTGGGTGTGTAAAACGGGTGGATGTTTATATGGATGCGTTTGACTGCATGCAGAATTAGCAGCCAGGCCTGATGGAAAAGAGAGACAGAAAGCCGGGGTATTTTGCAAGGTAAGAAGCTCTTTTTTTCTTCAGTTGTTGTCAAGCAGTAGAAGAGATGTCAGGCTTTAGGAACTATGAAATTGTTTGACTGTACAAGAAGACTATTTTCTGGAGAAAAATAAGTTAACTAAACTGTAAAACAATGACAAAGTTCACACGGGTAGCGACAGCAATGCAGCTTAAATGTAAATAAACAGAGGGACATGATTTGCCTACAAATGTGTGAATATATACATAGAATTTGCTTCAGAGAACATGTTTAAATGTTTTTAGTTGTTATACAATTAGAAACTCTATTTGCACAAATTCTGCATGTTGTTGTAATTGTAGATGTTGTGAGTCGTGACTTGACCTGTTTATCCTCTTCGTTATACTCACAAAGCGACTGCAGTGTCACGTCACCCCTTCAGTTGATTTTTGTAACATGATAGAAGGTCATTTAAAATGACTCTTTTGTAACAAGATATTGGCTTGGTACAAAACTGAACAAGTGATGCCCACTAGCGCAACACATCACATAAACAGATATCAAGGCATTATATCTGGCAGAGGGCTTTTTTAACTACTGTGCTCATGATCAATTCATTTCACCCAGCGAAAGCATATCAAAAAGTACGGTGTAAAGTCCAAAACCTTATGAAATAGGCTCCCCTTGGTGGTGGTGGTGGAGGGGGGGTTTACAAGGCTAAATAAAAATAATGCACATAGTGTTATAGTGTTGCACTGCCGTGGCAAATGTCAGCGGACCTCCGGGAAAACGCAAGGGCGACAACAACACTACATCAAGACCAAGTACTGATCAAAACTGGACATTGAAAATGAACTGAGGGTGGCAATCTCACAGCTGCACCCAAGACTAGGTAAGATCTGTGGCACTAAACAAGCACACTGTAGCCACCGACTTATTTTAGGGCTGAAAGAATATATTTACCTAAGTACCTAAGTTTTCAAATTGTTCATCTTCAGAAATGCAGATTTTTAAAGACTGGTTAAAAGGTTTGAAGTTTCATCGAAGTAAATTGAAAAACAACAGCAGCTTGTAACAGATGGTGTGGTTTTTTATACATTCACATATTTTTCATTTACATGTTGATGTGTACAGTCAGGTGTAGGGGGGCCTGAAACAATTTTTATCTGCAAAAGAAAAAGTTTGTGAACCACTGTTGTAGTGTGACTGTGGCTTTTCCATTACAGTGTACAGTGTTTGTAGCTTTACATTATGCCGTCAAGGTGTATTAGGTTATTATCTATTCCTGCTTTGATCAGCACCTTAGAGTCACACGTGTCTAAGCTGTATCCAACTGAAACAGCCTCCCATAATCCCACTCATGAGTCAGAGCTCTTTCAATAATTGATCAACAGGAATCACAGTTGGTTTAAAACTAGCTTTCTGCAGCACCATGAAACACGATAACAGGAAGTGTGTAGAAAGAAGTTTGTCACAGCTATGGTGCATCAACTGAAAAGCCATCTGCAGGTCATGGACAGAGATGGGCTCTTTTCTCCCTGACGTCTGCTGCACCGATGACATGTGTCATTCAAGTAATCAGTTATGATCTAGCAGTGTAGTGATTAGCTGTGCCGCCTGAAAATGTCAAAAAAATACTTCAAAATACTACAGTCTTGTTTTTCCCATCTCCACATGACTTGGTGATCAACATCACGTCATAGCATGAAAAACTAGAATACAGCGTATTTACATTGTTCGAAGTCATAGACTAGGTAAACAATATCTCATCATTCTTAAAGCCCCTCAGCAGAACTTCAAACCAGAAAAACTGGAGTCGTTGAGCATGGCTTTGTGATAAATGTCATGAGGTAATGCACTGCAGCCTAATGGGCTTCATTGTTTCTTATTATGTCTCAGGTTACTTGCTCAGGCTCTCCTGACTTGCAATTTGTCTTGCTTCAATAATTGAATTGGGTAATGTTGGAAATGTCACATTATGGGGAGAAATATCACAGAAGCAGTACATTAAATGTTAATTAAATTCAGGCTTTGACTTTCAGTCACAGTAGAGGAGGTGTTTTCCTGCAAAACCACAAGAGTTCATGATTGGTAAAAAATAAAGAAAAACAGTGAAAAATAGGGGCATCTGCAGCTGCTTTAACAAATCCTCATATTGTGGCAACAAGGAAGGAAAACCAACCTTATCTCCTAACACAGCTACTGCTGCTCTAACATGTAGCCCTCCTGCTAGCTGCACCATATGCTGTACACTTCCTGACAAATAGAGCAAAGGCCAACATGGAGCATACACACATGCAGCGACACAGTGACAATAACAAGTGTGAAGCTATTACAGGGCTTTTCCCCTTGTATTCTTTCACAACAGCGAAACCAGTAAATGTAGGTAGAAACCTCTGAGGCTTAATAACAGAAAAACATACCATCACTAATCTTAATGTCAAGTTTAAGGGACAAAAATAACTGCTAGTACTGAGTCGCATACCATGCCAAACCTCAATGTAGAAGAAATCACAACACAGATAATGCTGTTACAAGTGCTTTTAAGTAGAATATTTTTGAAGTCAAACCAATGGTACGCCATTTTCGTAGACAAAAATGTGCATTTTAAAGAAGAAAACAAATTTCCAAACAGGTCTGCTCTTCGATAACTAAAAATTCAGAGGCACTGAAAGCTCAGTTTGTATACCAGACCATCTCAATCTAATTCACCAGAAGACTAATGTCAAGCCTAATTGAGCAACATAGAGAGCAGAGAAGCTGGTTAAGAAACACTGTACGTCAAGTTACTGTTGTCACGGTGATTCACCCAGCAGTCAAAGCCTCATGGTTGCTGAGAAAACTGACACATCGTCCTGGGCTGCGTTTGCCAGAAAATTCATGGATGGGAGACTGTGAATCAAAGTGGGAGGAGGTTTTACGGTCAGATGAAGATTTCCTTGAAGGCATCTTACTTAACTTCGTTTTGAATGTAAGCTGGAGAATTTTACACTGCAGCACCGAGTTTGTAGGAGTGTGAATCACCGGCAGCTCCATAATACAATATTATCAGGATACTTGGGCCACGATACGATATTACTGCGATTTTTAACATTTCGGAGTTATACAATTTTTTCAACTGTTTAGCTAATTTAGCATTTGTCTTTCCTTTTATGTTTGTTGTTTGTTGAATTTATTTTTCCATTATCATAGATTTGACTTCATATTAACAATTAATTTGATAAAATCGATACTTGATCTATGAAAGGATACGATATATCACCAGACAAAATATCGCGTTACTATGCTATATCGATTTTTTTCTCCCAGTGTACTGGTTAAACATGAAGCAAAGTAGGTCAACATAAAAGCTGATGAAATTTTAAAAAGTCTGGCTCTTGCATTATTGAATAATGCTATCACACACTGCACATTTTCCCACATGCTACACAGGCCCAGCAGAAACCTGTTTGACTTGTTATAATCAGTCAGGTTAGAGTTAGAGATTCGATTAAGAGCCAGTCGGAAATTTGTGTCATGACCCAGTAAAGGTGTGTTTGCTTGAGTTTGATTAACTTTGCACAAGAGGGAAATCCATAGAGAGTGAAGGTCTTTTGCTGTCATCAGCAGGTTAATTTCACAACACTATCCAAAGGAGAGCTAATACTTTTGCAACACAAGGCTGGAAGTGGAAAAGATTTTATTGATATTCATTTCCTTGATCCATGTTTGGTTTTGATTAGTTTTCAGCTGGAAACCTATGTCCCTTATTATCTGTCAAGTGTGAACCCTTTAAGGGAGTTGAGTAACATGCGACACAGATGTGCAGAAGCACTACTGTTCAAACCAGTGGTTTAAAACATAAATAGATACTGTGTTTGCATCTTTTCTTATGGAAGGAAATGAATACAGACACTGAGATCGTGGGTGCTGACAAATTGCCCTGGCAATTTAGGAGTCTGAGTCTGGAATAAAACCAGTTAATTTATGTAAATGATATATGGTCTTCTCTGTGGCATATTAAAACTTATTTTGGCAGTACTTGTGGAAAAACTGATTATCTAAGTATTAAATATGAGAGTATTATTGAGTGGAAGTGATTGCGAACTTATATCATCCTTCTCTAACAATGGCTCACCGGTTATTTTTTTGCCTAAGCAGGGTGTATTGTTAGCTTTGTGAAAGCTCAACTTAGCCAAGCCTTTTAAGTAGAAACATGTTCGCATGCAGAGCGTCTCCAAAGTGTCTCTTTCTCTATTATTTCGCTCTTATTATGAACTGCAGGTTAGAGACAGAGAGGAAGGGCTGAGATAGTGAGATGAAACCTCAAGAGTGAAACAGACTGTGCTGCTGGAAATTTCTGGGCTCACTACCAGATGTGAGCTGCATCGCTTTGAGAGGGCAGGGCCTGAACTCTGTCTGTCTGCAGCTTTATCGACCCACTCTTACCTTTCCATTAAGGCACTCCAACACTGAGGACACTCCACTTTTCACTTTTCTTTTATTCTTACTCAGCGTGGGGCTGCGCGGGCAAACCCTCCTTCTATCACTTACAGCTCATAGTAAATCAATTTGCTCTTATCTTTTCTTAACATACTCATTCCCACACTTTAGATTTCAGCAGGGCTCACCCAGCAAGCTTTATCCTTAAGTGCACCACCAACCCATGATACCGCTGCACTGCAGTGGACCCCCATAATGAACCCCAGCAGGGCTAGGAGACACTGTTACATCACTTTCTCTCTTATTAATGATTGAAGAGGAGAAGAGGATGGTGTGAGTGGAGAGCACCGCTAACTCAGCAAAGTAGAGGGTAAAAAAAGTTTCGTCTCATTGTGATAACTCCATAACTCTGGACAGAAGGCCTGAGTTCACTTCTGAAGTTTTGCTGATGAAGCTCTGAATTGCTAAAGCCTAACTTTGAGGTTGTTTTAACTCTGTAGGCAAAGTGGTATATCTGATACTTTTGCTGATCTTGTTCTGTAAATGCATGACTAGTGTATCCTGGTAAAAAGAATCTCATCCTGCTTCCTTTAAGCTGTCTCTCTCCCTGAATCCTTTTCCTTGAAAAATGTAAACAAAGGCTGTTTCTGCAGTGTGCTATTCATCAACTTGTCAGGTGCTGACTCAGCGGCTGGGGACGCAGGCATCAAAAATATTAGAACAGAAAAAGTCAATCTTCCCCCTTATGGAGTTTGTAGGTCGTGCCAAAGCAGCTGTACTAAGTTTCACTTTGTTTCATAACAAGTTGACGACTCTTCTGTCTGGTATCTGTGTGCTTATGTAGACACAGTAATGTAGACACAGTAACCCTTAGGGACAAAAAAAAAAAATACACAATATGTCTTTTTTTTTCCTTGCAAGGTTTTGTATACAAAGTGTAAAAACTCCAGTTTATCCTCTCAGAGTACACTGCAGTACAATTTAAAAAATGTACAATTAAAAATCTAAAATGACCTCGATATCAAAAGTTTGTCGGATATAGCTTTTAAAAGGTTAAAGGGATATTCTGGCATACAATTAAGTTATGGTCAAACACACCGTAACACAGTGTTAGACACCCTCCCGAGAGATGAATGTTGCCGACCGCTTAGCTACAGCACTAGCCAACAAACATCTTTTTTCTCTGACGAGTCGATCATTGAGTGCAGTGGAGTTTCGCAGCTCAAGGATGAACATTTATGATTGTTACTTCATCGAAATGCAGTCAGAACGAGATGCAAAGGCAGAAGAACTACTGCATCTGCAGTGCAAAATGATTAATATGATGATTATTACTTCAAGGAAATGATCCACTGCACTCAATGATCGACTCATCAGGGCTTCCCCATCAACTATCGGTTGCTGGGGGAGGGTGGGTGAGTTGTGTTTGGTCTCTTTGCTAAAGAAATCAGGCAAAGCTAAAAAGATGTTTGATGGCTAGTGCTATGGCTGGGACCCTATATGTACTGTTGATAAAGTTATGTGCTCTTCTGGGCATTATTTGTGGCTATAGAGTGGCTTTTTGGTTGAGGTTTGCACATGGAGACGCAAACCACTATGTATTGCTATCATGCAGTCGTTACTAAAGTTGGTATAATCAGAGAAGCAAGCAGTCGGCAACATTCATCTCTCGAGGGGGTGTCTAACTCAGTGTTATGTTGTGTTTGACCATAACTTACTTTTACCCCTAAATATCCCTTTAAGCTGGTAACAAGGTGCTTGTCGTAAGCATTGATTGATAGTTAATGAGCCACACATAAGACCTTATAAGATGCTATTAAATGCTAAGCATTCATTAAAGCATGACTCACACATTTATTATTGCACACAAGACACCTATTAGACATTATTGCGTGTGAAAATGTAATAATCTTAATGAGACACTGTTCCCTCTTCAGATCCAAGAGCTGCAAAGGAGCCAAGTTTTTTTTATGAAAGAGTTCATGGTTTCACTGAACGAGTCGAGATAAACTTATCTGTGCTCTACCATCAGGTTGAAGAGGCGGAGACAGCTCAAGCAGAACCAATCAGAGAAGAGTGTTAATGAGCAGAGCCCCGTGATCATCTCCTTTCCAGACATCTCAAATGAGGGCGAACCCAACAAGAAGACAGACCTTCAGAGAATAACATCCAAGCCCCCTGCTGGCTCAGGTGAGACCTGCATTCAAACTTCACAGATCATTAGCATTAAAACTGAACAACAGGACAGCATACCAATTTTGAAGTCATAGCAATGTTAACAACAAATAACGCTTCAGCCATCACATTATCTTTAATGTGTCCAAAATTTAGATCATATGCTCGCAGGAACAAAGACCACCTTGTTAGCCTTTGGTTTGGACGTCTAAGACAGTGCATCCAGTTCCCATACACACATCACCAACAAGCCGAAATAAAACGAGGCTTTCACGCCATTGCCGGATCCCCGAACATAATTGGAGCCATAGATTGCACCCACATCGCAATAAAAGCCCCTTCACACAGTAAATTCAGTTTTGTCAACAGGAAAAGATTTCATTCAATCAATGCACAAATAATCTGAGATGCACATTTGTTTCTGTTAAACGTTGTTGCCCGGTGAACTAGAGGAACGCACGACTCATTCATTCTACAGAACTCTTTAGTAGCTTTTGTCATAACCTTGCTCGACAAATATGACAAATATGACAAATATGACAGTGACAAATACGGGAGGGACACAGAAAGACTTGCGAAAGTGGCTTGTTTACTGTAAAAAGTAAACCAGACAAGAACGCAACGGCAAAACAAGGAGTGTGTTAGTCAGTGCAGTTAGTGGTGGGAATGTGGATGACTGTAATGATGAAGTGTGGGGTGTTGTCAAGTAAAACAAAGCAAAAATGTGCATGCAAAGGTTTGGTGAAATGAGAGAGTGGGAAGCAGCAGGGTTGAGCTTTTAATCCTGCCAGGACCAGGATCAGGTGATCCAAATCATCATCCTCAATGGCACTCGGGTATCTGTACTGTAAAGCAAGGGGGAGGAGACACGACAGGATAGGCTACAGCAGGGCGGTCACACTTTAAGACCCCAAACCTTCCCTGTCTTTATACTAACCAGAAGTGTTATATTTTTTTATTTTGTTGTTGTCGTTTTTAGGCCTCCATATTTAGACCACCAACATGTCAACTCCATGTATTTGTATCTATATCACTCTGATTCCCTTTCCTTCCGGTCTCTGTTGTGTGTGTGTGTGTGTGTGTAACACTGGGATCTTCTGTGAAAGGAACAACCTCAGCAGTTTTACACAGGAAGTTGCATAAGCCTCATCCTGTCTTAGTGTACTAATAATGATGATACTCAAGTAGTACTCAGGGATTTTATGAGTGTTGAGTTCATATGTGTTTGTGTTTTTTTTTTCAAAACAAAACAAAAAAAACTGAATCTGCATTGTTCCAAATGTTAATGCACAACAAACTTTTAAAACACTTGAAAGGTCTTACAGAACTGAAAAAGTCACTTGTTAAATTTGCAGTATCAGGAGGTCATATTTATTGAAATTAAACGTTATTTCAATGAAAAAATCTTAACAGGCCAAGTAACATGTTAACATAGGGCCCCCTTCTTGGTTATCACCTTTACAATTGAACTTGTGAGTTTTTGGAGAGTTTCTGCTTGAATTTCTTTTTTTAGATGTCCCTCACACACCATGAGTTTTTCTCCTTTTATGCCCATAGCAGCCAATGAGACAGAGGTATTTTTTGCAGCATGAATGGTAAATTGTCATGCATGAAGATAATTTTGCTACAGAAGGCACAGTTCTCGCTTTTGTACCATGAAAGGAACTAGTCTATCAGAAACTCTATATTCTTTTCCAAGCTCATTTTCACACCTCCAGGGACCCTTAAAGGGCCAACCAGCTCTCTCTCTCTGTAGTTCCAGCCCATAACATGACTCTGCCACCTCCTTGTTGTTGCCGCAGCCTTGTTGGTGATGTGGTTGCTATCGACTAGGGGTGGGTGAAAAAATCAATACAGCATAGTATCGCGATATTTTGTCTGGCGATGTATCATTTCGTCCCATTGACCAAGTATTGATTTTTCAGCGTTAATAAGACAAACATAAAGGAAAGACAAATGCTAAATTAGCTAAACAGTTGAACAATTATATAAATTGCAATATATCGTATCCCAATACTCACTGTATTGCAAAATGTTAAAAATCGCAATAATATCGCATCGTGGCCCAAGTATCGTGATAATATCGTATCGTGGGGCCACTAGTGAGTCCCATCCCCACCATCCACCAACCATCCACTACTCCATCATCTGTGGGAGTGGATGATTGAATGTTTTGACACTAAGATCTAATCAGCATTATAATTTGGAATATGGTGTAAACAGCTATTTTGCTGTCTGAAATTGCGTGTGGATTAATGGACTTGGAGTTCTGGAACTGGAGTTATTCATGCAGCAGATCAGCCAGCTGTGTAAACTCGGGACCTTGCCTGTATTGTTTTCTGCAGCCCCTCATATGATGTATGATGATCTGTACCTTAATAGACTGAGGTTGAAATGCTCTAAAATCGGTCATAGCACGTCACCAGCCACAGCTCAGTATCAACTCTGGATTGTAAAAAGTGATGGTGGCCCATTTTTGGTGCAGCCAGAGTCTGCCAGACTAATGCTGAGTCATGCCCTTGGTTTCCACGGAGGAGTCCAGTGTAATTACGCAGCTGGGGGAGTGGTAGGTTAATCGTTCCTGTGTTCTTGGCAAGAAGAAAGTGCTGACTGTGGGCTTTGTGTACGACAAGGGTCAGACTGTTAGCGTGTTTTATGATAACAGCTTCAGCATGTGTTTATAGCCGGATAACAACAGGGGACAAATGAGCTCTGGTACTAACACTGAAGGAAATGAGACACAGAGGATATATTCAAGAGGGTCATCTCTTTATATCTGCTTTTTTTGTCGTGTCACAGAAACACTGGATTTATTAGAAGTAGACTGTATGTTAGAGGTTCAGATCAGCAGTATTAAAACATATATTCATCATAATAATGAGATTTATTTGACCTCTGTCTTCATCCTCCTCTTGTTTTCTCATAGATGATGGCTGTAAAAGTAATAATCAGGCCAAGAGGGAGAAAAGGAGGCCACCGGGAACTGTGGAGTTCACTGTGAGTGAGACTTCAGCTTTAACCTATTCAAGTACTCCTGCTTATTTACCGAAGTGTTGTTTCATGATGAGGGACACTTTACAGAGTGGTTTGTCTCTTTTTTTCAGGTGGGACCTGATGATTCCCTCAACAGCATTGCGCTCAAGTTCAACATCACCCCAAACAAACTAGTCCAGCTCAACAAGCTCTTCTCTCGCAGTGTTTACACCGGCCAGGTGAGAGTCCAGATTCTTGCACAAATATCTGCTGCAGTCTTTGTGTTTGACTGATTTGTCACGGGTTATTTATTTTATTTTTTTTAAACAGAAACTGTTTGTTCCCGACTCCAACCAGTCAGAAACTGACCTGAAGTCTCATTGTTCAACTGACACTACACTCACAAATGGGTCATCAGAGAAAGGATCACATGTGAGTGTCAAAGTGTTTGTTGTATTTCCTAGACTTGACAGCATTAATAGGAGTTAATGGAGGCCTTTTAGGGACAAATTTCCTGAAAATGACGCTGACACATACTTTAATTAGATCCCCCCCAAAAGGTCACATGTTAGACAAAACAACAAAGATCTTTGAAGATGGATAAATCCACCAATTATCTCAGTTTTAATTTACACAGGGCAGCTTCTTTCTTCTTCACTCTATTCTTATTCTTAAGGAAAACTATGACTCAAATGCATCAAAATTTTGTGTTAGCGCCTCTAAAGTAAAATGCTGCCCTCCTTCTTATTGAATCACAAGGTTCCTTTACAATAGAGGTGAGAAGTTATTAATGCATGATGTAAAAAAATAATAATTTGGCCTAAATATTAGAAATGGGGAGTTGGACTTAAAGGGATATTTAGGCTTAGATTTAAGTTATGGTCAAACACACCATAACGCAGAGTTAGACACCCTCTCGAGAGATGAATGTTGCCGACCGCTTGCTTTTCTAGTTATACCAACTTGAGTAATGACCGCACGATAGCAATACACAGCTGTCTATGTCTCCATATGCAAACCTCAACCAAAAAGCCACTCTATAGCCACAAGTCAACCACCAAGTGCAGTGGATCATTTCCGTGAAGTAATAATCATCAAAATAATCACTTTGCACTGCAGAGGCGGTAGTTCTTCTGCCTTAGCGTCCCAGTCTGATTGCTTTTCCATGAAGATATAATCATACATTTTCCGCTGAACTCGTTGATCAACTTGTCAGGGCTCCCCCGCAAACAAGCAGCTGCTGGAAGAGAGTGGGTGAGTTGTGTTTGGTCTCTTTGCTAAAGAAATCAGTCAAAGCTAAAAAGATGTTTGATGGCTAGTACTATGGCTGGGACCCTATATGTACTGTTGATGAAGTTAGGTGCTGTTCTGAGCATTATTTGTGGCTATAGAGTGGCGTTTTGGTTGAGGTTTGCACGTGGAGACATAGACCGCTGTATATTGCTATCATACGGTGTTTTATAAAGTTGGTATAACTAGACAAGCAAGCAGTCAGCAACATTCATCTCTCGAGGGGGTGTCTAACTCAGTGTTGTGGTGTATTTGACCATAACTTAATTTCACGCCTGAATATCCCTTTAACTGTCAAGAGTCACTCGTTGTCGACCCGAAATCGAGATGGAATGAAGCATCATGATGTCGATTCAAGCTTCACTAAAAACAGCATCATTATGAATTTCCCTTTTTTTTTTTTCTTGTAGGATGGCACTTCAAACAGAACGTCAGCAAACTCCATCCGACGTGAGCTCTCCCCAAACTCAGAGGATGAGAGCCCAGCAACGGTGAAGTTCATAAAGATGAGCTGCAAATATTTCACTGATGGCATGGTGAGAAGCCTGGAAATGTTGGTGATAAATTGTTCGTTTATGTGCATTTGAATTGATAGCTTGGAGAAGGAACCCCTTACTGTTTTTTTTCTGTTTTTCACCCCTCTTATTGTCCACTCCACCCTTCTGTATCTCACTGTGTTTTTTGTCATTGCAGGGTGTGGTGGGAGGCGTGCTCATTGTCACACCAAACAACATCATGTTCGACCCCCATAAGTCCGACCCCTTGGTGATCGAGCACGGCTGCGAGGAGTACGGCCTGATCTGCCCCATGGAGGAGGTGGTCTCTGTGGCTCTGTACGATGATGTGTCCCGCATGAAGCTCAAAGATGCTCTTCCATCGTAAGAACATCATCTCACTAACCGTCTTACCCTCTCTTTTCTAACGGTTCCTCTTACAGCCCTGATTTCCTCATTCCTGTTCCTCCTTCCAGTTTCATTTATAAACACCCGGTTTCTTTTGTCATGAATAAAATAGTTTGTAGAAAAGGCCTTTTAAATTCAGAGACCTCTGCTGCCTCTCTTTGTTCATCTGTGAAGTACTTTTGTGACTGCTCAGTCTTGTTTAGTTCTAAGCCTTCAGTTTCCACTTGTTCTAGTTTTGTATCTTTTTCTTTAAACCTTTAATTTATTCTTCATTAATTCATATGATTTGTTTTGCATAATACATGTTTAAGTTTGCTTTTTTTGAGTTTGTGTTCCATTCTGGTCATTTATTATTTCTGTTGGTCCTTTGTTTTTGTTTTTCATTTTCATCCCGGTTTGTGGTGCGGTATGTGTGGTGCCCCGTGACCCCACAGAGATCTACCCCAGGATTTATGTCCTGTGTACAGGCCCGGCGACTGGGAGCAACTGCCATCAGAGCGAGATTTGAACCCCTTCAGCCGCTACGAAGCTCTTGATAAGAAGCAGCCGATCGTCTTGGACGACCTTGAATCAACTCTCTCAGAAACTGGTAAAATCCTCGACTTCAGAGTTGACATTTGACTCATAATCATTCCCTCTGTAGTGATTTAACTGTCCAGGTCTCGTTAAATTATTCACCTCTCTTGCCAACAAATATGGCCTCTAAGATTTCAAATTAATTTGTGACAAGATACCAATAAATCCATGTTTTGATCATGAAAGATTATGGTTACCCAGGAACTTTGTTTGGGGCAAATTTTTTATTCAAGTTGTCAAAAGGGATATTCCGACGTAAAATTAAGTTAGGGTCAAATACACTACAACACTGAATTAGACACCCCCTTGAGAGATGAATGTTGCCGACTGCTTCCTTCTCTGATTATACCAACTTTAGTAACGACCGCACGATAGCAATACACAGCGGTCTATAGGTCCACGCGCAAACCTCAACCAAAACGCCACTCTATAGCCACAAATAATGCTCAGAACAGCACCTAACTTCATCAACAGTACATATAGTGTCCCAGCCATAGTACTAGCAATCAAACAACTTTTAAGCTTTGCCTGATTTCTTTAGCAAAGAGACTAAACACAACTTACCCACTCTCCTCCAGCAGCCGCTTGTTAATGGGGGAGCCCTGATGAGTCGAAGACTGAGTGCAGCAGAGTTTATGGTTATCACTTTATGGAAATGCAATCAGACCTAGATGTTAAGGCAGAAGAACTTCTGCGTCTGCAGTGCAAAATGACTATTACGATTATTATTACTGCACTTGGCGATCGACTCGTCAGGGCTCCCCCACAAACAAGCGGCTGCTGGAAGAGAGTGGGTGAGTTGTGTTTGGTTTCTTTGCTAAAGAAATCAGGCAAAGCTAAAAAGATGGTTGATGACTCGTGCTATGGCTGGGACCCTATTTGTACTGTTGATGAAGTTAGGTGCTGTTCTGAGCATTATTTGTGGCAATAGAGTGGCTTTTTGGTTGAGGTTTGTGTGTGGCTCCTCAGACTGCTGTGTACTGCTATCCTGTGGTCATTACTAAAGTTGGTATAACTAGAGAAGCAAGCAGTCCGTAACATTCATCTCTCGAGGGGGTGTCTAAGTCGGTGTCATGGTGTGTTTGACCCTAACTAAATTTTACGCCGGAATATCCCTTTAATCAGCTAAAACTTAGTTGTTTCATCCATGTAGATGTCCATTTTTCATCGCTTTTTATTCCTCTTTATTAATTAACTGAGTGAGTTATTTTTTTTAATTACTGATAGGTCAAATAACCTTGGTATTTTATTTTTCTCATTTTAAAGACTAAGGAATAAATTCATTGGTAAATGTATTTGGAATAAAAACGTCTCGTGTTATCTGTTTTTTTAAAGGGAGCACAGAAGGTGAGCAGGCAGAGAAATCTCCATCAGATGAAGGATTCACTGACTTGGAGCCCACTGTGAACGGGAGCGCTGAAGACTCAGAGGGGACATTCTCAAAAGCCCCCCACATTGTGAATGGAGACCCACAGGGACTAGTACTGAGCTGCCCAAACCAAGGAGACACTCAGGACAAGCCAAAGCTTTGTGAAACTAAAGGGAAGCTGGATGAAGAAGAGGATGAAGGCGTTGCTCAGAACAGCTCTGTGGAGGATGGAGAGTCAATACAATCCTCTTTAGAGACTGAAAAACAGGACGACTCAAACGATGTCGTTAAAACGCAGGACAGAGCTGAAACCAAAGATATTAAACCTAGAGGGACCGAAGAGCTGCTAAACGATGCACATGATGAAATAATCACTGCACCGGTGGACCAAAACCAGAAGTTAAGTAGAGAGGAGGCTGCACAGGCTTGTGGGAACTCCAGCCTGAAGAGACTCAGCCCAAATAAAGAGGCTGGAGGCACTGCACTGAGCGATGAGGAGAGACGAAAGAAAAACTACGAGGCAGAAGTGAAGTCATGGCTGCTTGAGAGGATGCAGGCTCCGATCGAAGGCAGGGATTAAAAATGATCGATTCAATATGATACTGTATTTATGTGACTCAATACACGCTAAAATATTGTTTCCTCTCTCTTCTGCAGACATGCTGCTCTCGTCAGAGGAGAAAAGTAAAAACCCGCCTATGTTCCTCTGCTTCAAAGTAGGAAAGCCAATGAGGAAGTCCTTTGCCTCTGGGATGACCTCTAGTCCCACCCACTCTTTTGGAGGGCGGGGCAAACAGCCAGAGTACTGGTTTGCTGTCCCGCAGGAGAGGTAAGAGAGTGACCACCTATTTCATTTATAAACACCCATTTATTATGCATTATTCAGAAATCCAGAAAGGATTTGTTTGTCTAGTGCAATTTTTAATAGGTTGTATTTTGTAACATGACAGTTGTAAGGGGAAAACAGTTTGCATGGTGGCTCAGATAGGCAGAAAATGGAAAATTTAACTCTATGTTGAGTAGGGCTGGGCGATATGACTTCTAATCAATATCACGATATATTGAGCAATTCACCTCGATAACGATAAATGGATGATAACTACTCCACAAGCTGCTCACCTCCTCCCACATTAACTTTGTCGACTTCAGCCTCTGCTCCAGCCGCTACAACTTTTGAACCGTCCTCCATCTCCTCACCTGTCTTTCCCTCTTTGTTATGGACTGGATTGGGTGTCTCTGACATAGGACAGCGTCTTAAAGGGACATGAGACCATAGCCTACCTACACACATCCAAAACAAACTTTTATTTATTTACTATCATTTTGCCCATATACCGATATGGGCAAAATGACATTGGTTGTTGTCATAAATTTTGGTATTGGTAAATTTTCTGTGTATCGTCCAGCCCTTTTGTTGTCTTATTTACAAGACCATTCACGGCATCAAATTTAAAAAGGTAGACAAAAGCGTAACATACACTAATTTTAAGTGATGAGAGATTTATTCTTTGAGATTATATTATTTTCTGGCAGGGTATTTTTTGGATACATGGAGTTGAACTGCACTCACTTCTGTTACTGTAGCCCTATGAGCTTATGTGCATCTTTATGTTTTGATTGCTTCATTCCTTCATGTTAGGAGGTTCAAAAAGAGTAAACAAAAGTACGGTAAGTAGTAAGTAGTAAAAGTACTGATGCATGTCCACATCAAAATACACTTAAAATCAAAAGTAACGGTGAACATCAAAATATTTGACCGACCAGGTTTTCAGTGGAAGTCAGAGTCCTGTAGGAGTACCACGTACGTAACTACAGCGAAGCAAGGACAAGGGAGTAATTCTGTGTAAAGCAATACATCTGGTGAAGACTTCTAACAGTCACTGTGTGTGTGTGTGTGTCTGTGTGTGTGTTCCAGGGTGGACCATCTGTATGCCTTTTTTGTCCAGTGGTCTCCAGATGTGTACGGGAAGGAGGCTCGAGAGCAGGGCTTTGTTGTTGTGGAGAAAGACGAGCTGGACATGATTGACAACTTCTTCAGTGACCCCGCTTCCTGCAGCTGGGAGGTGAGCTTCATTATCGATACCAAGTGTTTGTTTCTGGATTCATACTTGAGAGACCTTTAACACTGAATAAGCTTTCTTTAAGACCGGTGGCCTGTTTGCATGGGTAGTGAAGATCTGTGTCTGTGGTTTCTCATGTCGCCTTGCTTGTTTTCTCCAAGATCATCACTATTGATGAGGCAAAGCGCAGGCAGAGTTTTGGCAGCTGTGATGGCGATTTGTCCGTGGATGCTCTGCCCATACTTAGTGACACCAGTGATCTGCTACAGGACACACACATTGAGAAGGTAACTTTAATGCTGAGTGCTTAAAGTGACGCATTAACTGGTAGAAAAGTTGCTCTTAGGATAGACAATGAAAATAGTCTGGAAAAACAACAAAACTCTCATCAGTGCCTCTCTTGATCATATCCTGTATTTTTCCCTCCAGCTTGCCTGTCGCCTGCCAGCCCGTGTGCAGGGCTATCCTTGGAGGCTGGCCTATAGCACTGTGAGGCATGGGACCAGCCTGAAGACTTTGTACAGGAGCCTGGCAGAGGTGGACAGTCCTGTGCTGCTTGTCATTAAAGACATGGATAACCAGGTAGATGCTGTTTAAAAATCACACAAAACGACACAAATGGGTTTGAAACCCACTGTTACTGTTTTTTTACTTTGTAAAGATTTTTTTAAGAACTTGGTTTGAGTCAATTATGGTGCTCGCTGTGGACAGAGCAGTCTTTATTTTATCCTGTCCTCTGTATGTCTGAACAGTTATTTTTGACTAAAACATCTTATCTTATCTTACCAACTTTGGACTGCCAAATGTATCAATTCTTGTGAATATTTTATGTGGAAACTGTAGAAACGAGGCTGTTGGCTGACACCTAACCCCTCACACTGGTTTCATCTATTAGAAATTAAGGTGTAAAATTTTCTTTGGTGTCACTTTTGGAAATCACAAAAAGGCAGCAGTATGAATTTCAGTCTGTTTCATTAACTTTAAATAATTCCCCATGGGAGCTTCAACTAAGTGCAAGATAGTGACAAGCAGAAGACTTGCTTTTTTATGACGACCTTTAAAACTTTTTTTTAAACAACCAAATGTTGAAAATGTGGAATAATGCTGAAGAGTTTCTGAATATTTTGGTTTTTGAATGAAGTTTCTACATGGAAGTATAGCGGAGTTGAAGGCTTTTGAAGTTGTGTGAAAAAATGTGAGAAAAGGGCCATTTTGAACATTCCATAATGCATTTATAATGGGATAAATCAGTTGGAAAACCTGGAATAACTTGAAAATTATGAATGTTAGAAAAATTTTGAATACACCCCTGAATGTTCTCATGACAATGAATATTTTGAAGTTTGAATGGTTTAAATACGTTAAAGTATGTGGAAGAAGTAACGGCACAAAAACTGTGAAAGTTGCTATAATAACTAGAAAATGCAATTTCTGAAGAAATTGCGAGTGGGATTGCTCCTGTTGAAATTGCTATCGCTAAGCTGCTGTTGCGAATGGAGAAATTTTGAAAATATGTGAAAGATAAGAATGTTTTAATTATCAGGAAGATTTGAATCAATTTGAATAAACTCAATTGAATGAATGAAATCCCTTATGTGTAAGGTTTGAAGAATCAGTACGGTTTGAATCAGTTCAAATGAGTTGGAATTTGTTTGACCAAATGTTTCAACATTTTTTTGAAAAACCCCAAAACACCACTGGGACTGGCATTCCCAGCGAATTTAATGACAATTTTGCTCAAACGGAGAGAAGTTATTTTTCTATCTACTAGATCAGTAGAGGGTAAAGATATTTTTAAAATGTTTGTGCTCAATAACTTTAAAAAAACAAAATTAATATCTCATTGATAAGCATATTAGCCACAGGACTGAAAAAAAGTTTCTTTATCCTTGATAATACCAGGGATCATCATGTATTATCTGTTCATAAATCTTAAATCTATCTTCTCCACTTTTTCCTAGACAGCTCATCTTGGTCTTGACTCCTTGTCATAATGTCTCCCAACAAAAAGACCATCCTCTCAAGAGTTTGAATACATGAAACAAAATAGTTTGCTGTCATTCAAAACCATTATGCTTTCTTAGATTTGATCATTTTTTTCCTTTTTAAAAACCAGGAGCTTCCATTTGTCAGTCTTTTTCCTTATTTTATTTCATCTGCAGCGTGATCCATGCACATCGAAGTTCCATCTCCTCAGCTTAACATTTTTTTTTTTTTATTTAAGTTTACAATTTGTGAAGATTTACATGAGATCTTTTTTTTCTATACAAGCATGACTGTTTCATTCGGTTTTGAATTACTTTTTCCTGTTAAAGACCTTGATTATTATCAGGGAATTAAATCCACCTCTTCCTGCAGATATTTGGAGCATTCTCAACTCATCCGTTCAGAGTGAGTGAACACTGTTACGGCACAGGAGAGACTTTCCTCTACAGCTTCTGTCCTGAGATAAAGGTCCGTCTTGATTTGTCATCATGAGACTCTGGGAGTAATTTTTCAATTTCCTACTGAGCTCATCACTCTTTTGTTGTTTTTTTTCAGGTGTATCGCTGGACGGGGGAAAATTCTTATTTTGTGAAGGGAAATATTGATTCCCTGCAGATGGGTGGAGGAGGGCAAGTAGATTTTTCAGCAACATTGCAAAGAACAACCTTGTTATGTGTGATTTTATGCATCTTTTTACTAACTTTGTCCCCTCCCCATCTTACTGCAGTGGTCAGCTAGGTCTGTGGCTGGATGCTGAGTTGTACAGAGGCACTACTACCAAATGCGCCACCTTCAACAACCAGCCACTCTCTGCCCAGCAGGACTTCAACATCCACAGCCTGGAGGTCTGGACCTTTGAGTAGCCTCCTCTGCTCCAGCTACTTCGACATTCACCCTCTACTTCAAACCCTCAAACACCCCCTACACACCACCGCATGGAGGCCAATCTAGCTAACCCACAATGACACTGACAGTTAAGCTAGAGGAGACAGAAACAGTTGGCTGAAAGTGGAAAGTCTTCTGTGGCCCGTCTTTGAGGTGGGTTTATCTGCAGGTAGGTTTGTTAGTGGTTTGTCCTTCCTGTGCGAGGAGATGACGTAGCTCTCAGTTCAATGGCTGCCTTAGACATACTACAAAGCCTCTAGCTTCCCCAGCATGCAGACTGCCTTACCACCAAAAGCTTACGAGGATAGAGAGAGAGAAAGAGGGGAAAAGGCTGCTGATGATGCCCTCTCATTTCAAGTGTCTGAGAAAGGTGCTCCATATTGCTCTAGGTGTACTGGTGCAGTAATAATGGATAATGTAGTGTGGTTGTTTGGGAATGTACAGGATTATGTGCTGAGGAACATTGGAATGGTATATTTTATAATGATGACATTTTTAACGTGGAGAAAGTGAAATTTACAAGTGGGGTTTTGGGACCCCTCACCATTAAATGAAGTCTCACTGCAGGAAATATCTCCATTGTTTACAACAGGAGTGTCACACCTCCCCTGAAAGCCGCCTTGTTCTCTTATTTTAAGCCTATGAATGAGAACGTTTCATCACATTTCCTCACGATACATTTACATTCCCCCTCATACAATCCCAGTGAGTTTTAAAGCCAGGAAACATTTGCAATGACCAAATATGTTTAAGTTTAAATCGGTATTTGTTGTGAGTTTATCATATTTTATAGAATATTTTAGAAGTTTTATTTTTACATTTTATTTTTACATTGTTTTTACAGAGAGTGCTGATTTTTTTTTTTTTAATGGTTATACTTTTATTGAAATGTTGTGTTAAATATTTTGGTTTTGATTGGACCCAATAGGCACTAGAAATAATTGTTGCCAGTATTGAATTCAGATGTCAGTCACGAAGTTTATCACTTAAGATTTCATTTGTTGTTTGTGGTTCAGATTCAGAGAGGAAGCCAGTTGAAGTTTGGCTCAAGGTCGCTTTGCACTACAAGATCAATGGATGGTTAAAGCTGTACAGTAGCCCTGTGTAATCAAAGCATTTCTTCAGTGTAAAACTGTTACTGAATGTTGTTTAATCACCACTACTGGAGGTCAAAGGTCGACCTCTGTTTCACATAAAATCGGAGTAAAAAGGGATTGTCTGTTTTTTGCATTCTGGTGTACCACTAACTTAATATTTCAAATCTACTAACTTGAAAATAAATGTTCATTTACGCCCGGTGAATGTGACACAGGCTTGTAATGCATGAATGTGCAATACTGCTAATGTATCACAGCACTGTTATAAAACCGACCATACAAACTATTCACTAATGCCAGTTATTGCTTCATGTGAAAATGAGCTGTGTTGTGTCTGTAGCTGTTAAGTGTTGTAACTGTGAATGCTTCCTGAGTATTATTTCATGTGAATCCAAACTGCTGGTCTGTGATATCACAAAAAATCTATTTATTGTGTTGTTATTGCAACCACATTTAAACCTAAATAAATGTTATATATATACACACACAAACTTGGTCATGTTGTTACGTCTTTTTAAAATTTTTTTAACTTTTTAGTGTCCTTTTTTGACTTGATTACAGTAAAGCTCATATAAATGACTTTGTTTTTGTTTATTTTGACATATGACACCTCTTATCTCCTTGCTGATTTTGTCTTGTACATATTCAAGAAACATAAAACTTAGTTCCCAAATAATCCCAACCCCCTCACAATGATTTGGATTTAATAGGATGCCTGAAATAGGATTATATAGACTAATGTGTTTCCTCAAACCAAATATATGGTGGCCGAGAACAGCCAAATAAAAAGGAATGCAAAAAAAAAAGAAATCATAACAGAAGTTACAGATGAAAAACAAAAAAAAGAAACCGAAGCCAACTGCAAATAAAAAAATAAAACACAACCGAAGTTAATGAAAAAAATAAAAGTTAGTTACGGCGAAAATAAAATAATGCAAATAAAAAAAGCCACAACGGAAGTGAGCTGCCAGGGACCGATATTGATGCACCGGTGTTTTATGATCTAGGCACAGAAGATGATGGCGAAAAGACGAGAAGAACATTTAAAGATGAAAAGAAGTTATTGGAAAAGTTATTGTTTAATTTCGCTTCATAAACTTTTCAATGTGTCATTTGGTTAGGCCATGTAGCGCCGGAGTCGATATGAAGTTGATCTGGAGGATACTGTTGTGGTGTTAGCTTCAGTTCAACTTCATATCGACTCAGGCTCAACATGGCCTAACCAAATGACACATTTAAAAGTTCACGACGCAAAATTAAACAATAACCTTTCTACTAACTTCTTTGCTCATCTTCTCGCTGTCGTCTTCTGTGCCTAGATGGTAAAACACTGGTGCATCCTCATTATTGGTCCCCGGCAGCTTACTTTTTTTAGTTGCATCCTTTTATTTTATTTTCACAGTAAGTAACTTTTTTTCCCATCACCATATTTTATTTATTTATTTATTTTTTTGCGTTGTTAACTTCCGTTGTGGTTTTTTTTTATGATCACTGTTTCTTTTTTTATTTGCAGCGGGCTTCAGTTTCTTTCTTTCTTTCTTTCTTTCTTTTTTTTCAGCAGTGGCGGTTCTCGGCCACCGTATAAACGGACTGAACCGACCGCAAGGAGCTCAGCAAGAACCGAGTTCCGTGTTTTATCCTACAAAGATCTTATGAGGCATAAAAAAGGCCCTAGTGGGGAGTTATCTGCTGGCTCTTTTTGCAAAAATAAAATAAAAAGAATTCAGTTACAATTCCCTAACATTATTTGACATAAATCAAAACATGAGCGGAAGATGCTTGTTTGATTACCGTTCATTTTTACAGTTGTCTGTTGGAGGTTGTTGAAACGAGGAGCGTGCATCAGTAGTCGCGCGAAGTGGTCCGTCTTTACCTACAGAGACGATCTTTGTTTGTATTTCTCGGATCTGACGTTGACAGGGAAGTTCGACAAATGAGCTGTCAGACAACAACAAACTCATGGCGAGGAGCGACCCAGACCAAACAGATGAAACGTGTACTTTTTGTTGGATAGCTAATGGTCAAGACGAAGAAACTGAAATCCTTAAAAAGGTAGGACCCTTTTAAACACATAAACTATCTGAAGTTCGCTTCAGGTCAATGCGATGGACGACACCCGGCTTTGTGTAGTTTTGATAGAGATTGGAAAGAGAAGTCTATTGGAGTGTTATAGATATTTATGACTTTTTTGGAAGTAGATCTTTAAGAATTGACCACATAAAGGCCAAGATACTATCTTATGAAACAATATGTCCTCGATAAATGCATGTCCATTTGCTGGATGCTCACTCTGTCTGTTTATCTCCCCTTACTCTCTTCATTAGTCTCCTCAAATAAAGCCCCCAGGTACTTTGTTCTTCTGTTATTTTACCTAATTTGTTGCTGTTTAAAGCCAGCATGATGCTACATCTTGCTGACCTGAAACATTCTGCTTGCCTGCCAACTTGTACTATGATAGCATGATTTACTTTGCCACCAAAACATGAAGTTAACTCCCCTTTTCTTTGAAAAATACTAATGTATGATTCATATTCATACTAATGATAGTTCAAATAAGTGCTGTCCTTAAAATTGTTGTTACCTATGTGTTGAAATATGTGTTTCAATTTTGACTCTTCTCTTCCATCAGTCCAAAGACCTGGTGTGTTTCAGAGACATTGTCCCTGCAGCTCCTCACCATTACCTGGTTATACCCAGACAGCACATAACCAGCTGTCACGCTCTGAACAGTGGACACATCAGCCTCGGTTAGTCATAGAGGATCTGTACAAATTACTGTTACTATGAGTTTTACAAAAATGGTTGACATACCACAACTCCAATGATGAAGTGCCAATAAGTGTGGAACGACAGAGTAATAATGTTTGATATCTTCAACAGTTAAGCACATGGCTGAGATGGGGAAAGCAGTGCTAAAAGATCAAGGATTCACTGATACAGAAGACATACGGTGGGTTAAGACAGTTGGTGTGTGTTTGGGTTACCTGAACTCATCATTGTGGAACATCTAACACCTATTTAAAGAGTAGTTTCTGTAATCACACCAGTATTTGTGGATTACTTTTTCTCAATACAATAAGAACGAGGAGTAGAACGAAATATTGATGCCGCAATATATATTGATGACCTGACTCGTGTGACACAATTTAGTATTCTGTGTTCTGAAGTAAACATGATATTGATATTGTGTATTATAATAATAATCATACAAATCCTAATTCCATTGAAGTTGGGAAATTGTGATAAACGTATTTAAAACCGAATACAATGATTTGCAAATCCTTTTCAACCTATATTCAATTAAATACACTATAAAGACAAGATATTTAATGTTCAAACTCATAAACTTTATTTTTTTTTTTGCAAATAATAATTAACTCAGAATTTCATGGCTGCAACACGTGACCAAGTAGTTGGGACAGGGGCATGTTTACCTCTGTGTTACATCACCTTTCCTTTTAACAACACTCAATAAACGTTTGGGAACTGAGGAGACTAATTGTTGAAGATTTGAAGGTGGAATTCTTGCCCATTCTTGCTTGATGTACAGCTTCAGTTGTTCAACAGTCCGGGGTCTCCGTTGTCAGATTTTACGCTTTATAATGTGCCACATATTTTCAATGGAGACAGGTCTGGACTGCAGGCAGGCCAGTCGAATACCCACACTCTTTTACTACGAAGCCACGCTGTTATAACACTCGCAGAATGTGGCTTTCTGGATGTTGTTGATAAATGGCTTTCGCTTTGCATAGTAGAGTTTAAACTTGCACTTACAGATGTAGCAACGAACTGTATTTATATATTATTATAATATTCTAGGCCTGTCGCGATAATCAATAAATCGCCTTATCGCTTGGTAAATAAAAACGAGGTCGATAACTTTGCCAGCCTCGATAATTAACGTGCGTTTGTTTTCCTCCTCTCTCGCTACCAAACACGCTGGATGAGAGAAGAGGTCTCACTCTGCGCATTGCTCTCGGCACCTGGGGGCGTTGGCTCTATAGCGGAATGAACGGAGTTAGTGAACCCTCCTGTCAGTCATTCAGTATCTTTGTCACGGGGGGTGGGGGGCGCGCACAGGCACACGTAGGCGCGCACAGGCACACAGACAGACCTTTGGATACAGTGCTGCAAGTGAGCGTCGTGAGTGAAAAGCAAGCAAACAGAATGAACACGACAGCTTTGGTGTCTAAACCGAACGCAACAGCCCAAGTGTGGGAATATTTCGGCTTTAAACCAAATGAAAGAGGTGAGCCCACAAATACGGACGAGCCGATACGTCGTATTTGTTCCAAAATTGTGGTGACAAAGAAGGGGAATATGACGAACATGCATGCGCACCTCAAGCACAATCATCCCTTCCATTTTTCCCAACTGAGCAAAAAAAGTACCGCCGGAGGTGCTGCGGAGCCATCGTCCCGACAGGTACCGCTTACTCAAGCGTTTGGTAAGCAAAGCAAATATAAACAAAACAGTGCAAAATGGTGCGCGCTGACAGACAGCGGAAATTAAAGTTTATCACTTTTGACATGGTGTACTCGCATTATTATGCCATATATTATCATTTTCTATAATTTAAAAAACGGTGTCAATAATATCGTTTATCGGCAATAATTTGTAGCACAATTATAGTCCAGCAAAATTTGTTATCGTGACAGGCCTATAATATTCACTAGAAATATAATGCTCTTGGCAATTTTTAGGTTAGAAATTTAAAAAAGAAAGTCAAAATAAAAAATACAATGGTTCCCCCTCTTCTGTCCTGAGAATGCAGGTGCTTCCACTGCCTAAACACTGTTACATAAAAACATGTATTTGTTACACAGTTTAATACACCGATAGAACAATCCAATGTATCCAACAAGTGTGTCAGGATGAATGATATTTTACTAACTGTTTTTCCTCCATAGGCTGGGGTTCCACCAACCTCCATACACGTCAATCGATCACCTCCATCTTCATGTGCTTGCTCCCGCCAGCCAAATCTCAGAGTATCATCACTATAAGTTCATCCAAGGGACCTACAGGTTTCTCACTGTGAGTTTTGAAAATTACCTCTTTCATGGGATATTTATCATAATTATGACGTCCTTTTTAAATAACCATTAGTTTCTTCACAGGATGAATATCTTACCAAGTGTCTTAAAAAAGTAGCTCCACCAGTAAGAGGCCTAGAAAGCTGTTTTTCCTGTTTGAGCAAGCAACGCGAAGAGGAAGTCCCAGACTTTAAAAGAAGAGAAGAAGCAAACCTGTCAGAGAAACCTGAAGCAGAGGAAGCCACACAGAGAGGGAAGAGTGGAGTAAACAAAGCTGCAGCTTCATTACTTTGATGTCAAAAGATAAGAGAATTGAAATATGTATCTGGACACTAAGTTTTTAAAGACACATGTAAAACAGCTACATTTCCCTGCTGTCAAAGGGAAAGCCACAACTGACAAATCACTTCAGAGAACTGACTTAACACTCCGTCTACATGAAGTGTGACTTTGGCGTGGAGTAATGTTGTGTACAGGCACTGAATTTTATTATACGCACATACAATATTGAACTGTATGTATTTGAAATGTTATGGCTGTGGTCATATCTGTGTTTTGATTGTTTGACTTCTGTACTGACAGCTCTCTCTCTCTCTCTCTCTCTCTCTCTCTCTCTCCTCCCCTCCTCCGCAATGGCAATCAGTGTCTGTGTGTGTGTGTGTGTGGGAGATGAGCTGCAGGTGTGTGTGTGTGTGTGCGTGCTGCCAATTGTTTCCTGTAACCATCACCCGATGCCAACCTCTGCCCCTTGCTCTTGTCATTTCCAACTAACCAGCATGCTTTTTTTTGCTGGTTATAGTTTGTGCATTTGGGATTTAGTGGCAGTCGTAGGAGGGAGAAGCCATTTGTTTTTCTGTCCTGTTTCCTCCTGTTTTTGGTTAGGAGTAACGTTACCCACTGACTGTTGTTTTACATTTATTTTATTACAGGGAAGTTAGGGACCTGTTTTGTGTGTTGTTATGGCACTGCTCACCTCTGAAGCTTATAAAACTGCCACTCTGTGATCTTTGACCTTGAAGTTGGCTGGTTTTCTTGGGAGTGGGAAGAGCGGGGCACTGTTGTGTGTGGCCCTGGTTCCCCCAGGCCAGGGCCATAACAGAAAGCATGAATGTATAAACAAAATATGAAATTTATCATGATTAAATTATTTTGTTCAGACTGAATTATGTGGTTTTTGTGCCGTAAAGATTCAATTTTTTGCTTTTTAATTAAACTCTTGGATGCTGTTGTGTCTCAGGGCTCTTTGGATCACTGAAATCAGCCTCAGACACCTGTGATTTTTAGTTTGCCAGGAGAGCCCAGTTAAGGGAAAAACTACTAAAGAAAGATGTTCCACATTAACAGTAGCCTAATAACAATAATAATAACTTTATTTTTATAGCACTTTTAAAAACAGAAGTTTACAAAGTGCTTTGACAACAGTTGCAAAGCACAGAACATCAACACATGAAAATAAAAACATATAAAATCAAAACCTCAGTTTAAAACAAGGCCTCTGAATTGAAGGCCAATTTAATTTTTATAAGAAACCCAGACAATAGAAGAACCCTACAACATAAAATGAGACCATGAGGACCAAAATAAAAACCATAAAATAGGTAAGAAGAAGAAATAAAATAGAAAAGGGGGGCAGGAAACAGGAGAGTAAATATAAGAGGATATTAATAATGATAACAAAATCATAATAAAATAACAATGATGGTAATATTAATGATAAAATAGAATAATAAAAATGAGCAGGAAAAAACAATAAAATCAATAGAAAGGCCTAAAAGGTAAAATACGAAAAGATTATAAGTAAAACAAAGGCTAAAAGGATAGAAAGTTGAAATAAGATAGAGGTAAAAGCGATAAAAGAAAAAAGGGAAAAGACATTAATAAGCAGACCACCATTTTCAAGCAATATGGAAAAGAAAAAGAATCTCTTTGCTGCTGAAAAGCGTGAAATAGTTTCATACCTTGCACAAGGTACGAAAACCTTGGGTATTTCAAGAAAACTTATATGTGATCATTGTATTGTTAAGAGATTTGTGGCTGATTCAGAGAACACACAGGTTTGTGCAGAAAAAAGGCACAATGAGGAAGTCTTCTGCCAGACAAATACATTGGATTAAGAGAACAGCTGCTAAAATGCCATTACAAAGCAGCAAACAGATATTTAAAGCTGCCGGTGCCTCTGGAGTCCTGTGAACATCAAGGTGTAGGATCCTCCTGCCTCTTGTTCAATAACATTGAAAATCTGAGAAAATATCATTTGCATAATAAATTGGAACATGGTGTATGTGTAAAAAAAAACATGTAGCTATAATCTCCCCCTTTTTATCTATTATTTTTTATTTGTTATTATTATTATTTTATTTATTTACTTATTTATTTTTTACAATATTTCTTTCGTATAAGGATTTTTTTTACCTTGCATTTTTAGCTCTGAAAAGATAGTTTGAAAATATTGAGTTGTTACCAGGGTCTTTCGGTTTTGGCGCCCTCTGCTGGCAGAATCCTAAACCTATCTCTATCTTGATCTTTTTCGAACTTGATGAAAAGGAAATAAAAGCTGTTTCTCTGACGTGTTGTAGAGCTGTAATCTTTGTCTGACATTTGTGGATGTCACAGTCAAGATGAATTATAATCTTAAAACAGCAGACCTTTCTGACCTTGTTCGGTGTTGAGAGTTAAACAGAATCGTCCCTGTGCATCCAGTCTGCTTTCTATCCTTATTTGGGCTTCGGTGATCTAAGGATTGAACTGACACAACCCTGCTGAATGACTCTACAACTGACATAAACGTAAAGCCTATGAATGACTCACTCGATTAACTCTGCCAGCGGCTGGTTATCCTGACTTCTATCCGCAACACGCCCAAACATGATCGACTGTCCGACTCAATCTGACTCTGGAGAGCCCACTCTGGATAATAACCGACTCAAGAACGATGGGGACTCAGGACACCTCTGGGAGTGAAGACTGTCCTTTTTGTGAAATAGTCAATGCCAAGGCAGACACGGAAGTCCTGCTCAGCGTAAGAACCGACGGTACCGAAGCTCCATCACCTGAAAACTCCTGGTTCTTCCTCTCATCTGTTTTTTTGTTTTCTTTCTTTTCTTCCCAGGATGACGAGCTGCTCTGTTTTCGCGACATTCAGCCCGGCGCCACACACCATTACCTCGTTATTCCCAGGACACACATCGACTACTGTAAAGCTCTCAGGACGGACGACATACCTCTAGGTGAGGGACTTGAACTGAACCACGAAGCTTTTCCACACACTCAGGAAACATTGGCATTTGTTTTCACTTCACTGTGTAAAAGTGACTCAGCAGTTTTTTGATCGATTATTGGGGCGGGGGTTCACGTGATTGGCAGTGTCAGGACAATTCAGTCAGTTTTATCAATGATGAAATGAAGTTAAAGCTCTCTGACATTACTAAAGAAAAAGTTACTGCCCCGTTTTACAACATGTTAAAGACCCACTGTGCTGATCAATGAACGATCGGCATCTTGTAATAATCGGCATCTTATCGGCATCACAAGGTCGTTATAACAAGAATGTGTTGAAAAACAGCTAATCAAATTGAAAGCAGAAAGCAAAAAAATAGCATAACCCCAATACATTAGTCTTTTTAAGGACTTTGTTAGTCATCCACAGCATGGTACTTGCTTAGCTAACCTATAACATTTTATTGTATATGTAGGGCTGGGCGATAAAACGATAACGATATATATTGAAAATTAATTTCCCTCAATATCAATATAAAACATGGTCAATATCCAGCCCTATGTATATGGAATAAGTGGTTTATGCATTCCTTTTTTTTCTTGATTTTGACCGACATATTTAGCTAGTATTTTTGTCTTTTTCATATATAAATCAGATAAAGAAATAATTTTTTCAGTAAGTATTGCCACATGGATCTTTTAGACTTCTATCCTGCCAAAAAGGACAAACAAGAAATGCAGAATCATTGGTATTAAATATCAGGCATCTCTCAATATCATTATCAGCATCAGCCATCTAAAAACAGTAATGATCGACCACTGATCATAAGCACAATGATTGATGCACTGACAAGAGCATGTTTTCTGTTAACAGTGGAGAGAATGGTTCAAATGGGACAAGAGGCACTGGAGAAGAATAAAGCCAGCTGCCTCGATGATGTGAGGTAAAGCGAGTCAGTTTTCTCTGCTGCTGCTACTGTACTTCATTAGTCTTTACTTTGTCATTTTAAATGACTTTTACCCTGTAATTTCAGAATGGGGTTTCATATGCCTCCATTTTCTTCTGTCCCCCACCTTCATCTCCATGTTTTGGCTCCTGCAAGTAAGATGACCCTGAAGTCCCAGCTCCGCTATGGGCCTCAGTCCCATTGGTTCATCACGGTATGTCAAAGTGCAGGGCTGTAGTGTTTATGGAGAGTTGAGTAAAAAAAAAAGTTGATTCTTAATAAAAGCAGTAGTGTGCTTTTGGTTTTGAAGGTCATCAAGAGAAACCGTCATCGGTTTCAGGCTGTTTTTTTTTTTTTTTTAACCATTCAAAATTCCTCACACTGCCTTTTAAAGTTTCTTCGTTTGCTAAATTTATCAAATAAATCTAATTTTAAGTTTGGTCTATTTTCTGCACAAATACAAAGCTTCTAGTTTTTTTTTGTAGATAAACACACAGCTGCAGAAGTTATAATCAATTTTGTTAATGACAATTAACACAATTGATTATTTCAAAATTAATGTATCTTTATCTTACCACTTAAAAATAACAACTGATCCCTTCAAAAACTAGAGATTTTCTGTGGTCACACTTCATTATCTGGAGTAAGTTTGTCAAAACCAGAAACAGTTGCACTTTGTTATATATTTTGTGTTGTGTTATGTTGTTTTTTGTTTTGTTTTTTTTTTACATAGAAGGGTTTTTTTTGTGTGTAACTCAGAAACACCTCGACAAACTTGAACACCATTTAACCTCAATGTTTCCAAAGTTCTTAAAATTCATTTTTCTGCTGTGTTTCAGGTAGACAAAGTGCTTGCTCAGCTGAAGACTCGCGGCAGGGTCAAATAAATTATACAATCGGTCTGAAGGTGCAAGACTTTTGTTCTACTGTATATAAAAAGTAGTTTCATGTCATTGTGCCTTATTTGTTACAATTTTAAACCAATTCTTTCTGACTTGAAATTCTTGTATTTAAACTTGAAGTCTATCAAATGTCACGTTATATGGTTGATTATCGATGATGGAAGAATTACAACTTTTTACATTTTTATTTAAGGAAGCCTTAAGGAAGCTTGTAAACTTATGAAATATGCTGATATGGTTTTATTATCGGAATGAATGTATTTTACCACATTGTCAACAATACAATTGCACTGTTGTTAAGTGTATATGAAGTGAAAAGCATGTACCTGCTGCTGATAGTTATAACATTATTATAACATTATCTCAGAGATACCTCATGCACTGTGGTACAAACTGCCATAAAATACTAATAAAACAGTATGTATGATACTATTGGAGTATCACACATATTAAAAGTGTTGCATTAAAATTCCTGAGCAAGTAGTGATAATTCACTATAACAGTATTAAAACTTGAATTGTGTCACATGTCCTCAATTAGTTGCGACAAATAACTGTTACAAAGAAAAAACCTTAAAATCAAAAGTAGCACCAAAAAGTGGGGAACGAAAAAGTCCTCAACCCATGAGATAATGTGTTTCAGAAATGTCCTCCTGATCATGTGTGGAAAAATCTGAACTATGAAAACAAAGTGCCAACTGGAATGAGCGTGTCTGATTTATCCCCTTTCGGTGACTGACACGACAGAATGGATTTAGGGGGAAGACAATAAAGTTTGACATGTCCCAACCTGAACAAAAGCACTATGTAATGACTTAAGGGGTCCCTACTTAGTAGAAAAAGTCTGAGATATTCATGAATGTCCCCAATTTAGGAGCATTACATTCAATCTGTCGTTTTAATTTTAATTTTTTAATCCTTGATTATTTTTAGAAACAAGGGTTTAAGTATTTTCTGTGGGATTTTTGAAGTCCTTGTAATTAATCATTTCTATTACTTTTAAGTCAATGGTAAGGACCAGATGTTCTTGGTCCCTGAAGCATCCTTCTCTGTTAATCTGGGGATAGTAACAAGTAATTTTATCTGTACATCACCTGATCTTATCTAAAGCACTTGGCAGGAGTGGCAAGGGACAACTTCTTCTCAACAGGTATAAATCTCGAACCCTGATGGTTAGAAAATTCTTTGGCAATAACTGTGTAGGTCCAGACTGAGAAAGAGAGACTCAGAGTGACAAATAGATGCCTCAGAAGGTCAAGTGTTGTATTTACAATCCCCATACGCTGAATGAAAACTCCATTGTTGAAATAAATTATGATAACAAAGGTTGTTTTCCATGCCAGAGCCTCTGTTTTATTGTTCACATTTACAGAATTGAATTTGTGAATACAGCGTTTATACAGAAAGCGCACTTGTCCGGACAGCAAACAGACATAAACCATCTCCTCACACTATGTACAGGTTAAGCCATGAGAAAGCCTTGGCCACAAGCACACTCGGCATCAACACTCAGTCACTCAGGGGTCAGAGTAAGATAAAGGTCTCTAGATGTTAAATAGTGTGACAGATAACACGTTTGAGTGTTTCTGGGATGGTGTATACCTGAAAAAGGGGGCATCTAATGGGAGAGAACAGGACACAATCAGGATTGTCTGAATCTGAACATTTGCATTTCAGACTTTCTTTATCTTTCAATTGAACATGCTGATGGCTTCTTTTTCAAAGTTTGGACTGTTTTTTTTTTTTTTTTTTGCTTGGATCAATGCTTTCATGATGAAGATGTTGGTATAGAGTTAAAATATAAGCATAATCACTGGTTTGAACAGTGTGAGCAGCACCATGTTGGTCCTGAGATTACATGTTACGATGAAAAAATAATATTCAATGATAAGACGCCCAGTTTGGGGCTTAACAGGGATAAAAGATAGCTCATTAAAATGGTTAACTTTAATATGCGGCTGTTTATTGTGTCATGTTGAGATACTGCTTGCAGGTCTTGTTGCCATATTGTTAAAACTGTTGCTAAAAATAATGAAGCAATGTTAATATAAATTAAAATATATTATACAAAACAAAAAAAACTGATCAGAGCAAAAAGAACTGACGTCGCCGTCTCAACATTGTTTGTTGAAAGCTCCTTTTTTCAGCCATTACAGGATTGTAAATTATAAAATAACTTCTTTAGGTGTAATCTTTCACATTGGAGGTTGTATATAACACAGCATTTAAATTTGGCAACTTTCATTTTTGGTTTAGCAAAAATACTGCATGTTAATTTTCATGACTGTGTTTTGGAGACTGTAGCATAAGAGCTGTTAAAAAATATATTGAAATATATTAAACAGAATTACTGCCTGAAGCTTTTCTTAAAAATGTTAATGATCACGCAACAATTCTGCAGCCAGATTCTTCATGACTAACTTTGGTTTTAATCCACTTTAATCTGATCAGTCATATTGTGGCTTTCACTCTGTTTCCCTCGACACTTAAATATGTTGGATTTGAGCTGTGGCCTGTGCAGTTAATAATATGCACTTACACGTTTCCTATCTTCCTGAAATCAGTTTTCTAATTCATGAGAATTCCAAGATCAGCTCCAGAGAGTTGTTAATCATCACTTATAGCAGCTCATCAATTTGTTCACTCCATCTTTAACAGTAGTGCAGAGTCACTGGGAGTGTTTAAATTTTCACTTTTCAATCTGTAATCCTCTTTGGTGGTTAGACAACAAGCGAAATTAGACACAGAGCACATCTTTTTTTCTGCATTAGTGGATCAAACTGGAGTAATAAAGAAGAAGAAAAAAAAAACGTTAATATCCTGATAACTGTTAAAACATTTCACTGCTCACCAAACAGTGGCAATGTGAACCAGTGCCACCACAGAACTGGTTAAGGAGGATCACTGAAGAAGTGTGAACACTGAAAGAAATACTGAGTCAAAGGTTAGTGTTTTATTCTTCAAGTTGAAGTCTGATACAGAGCTCACACTTAACAGGGGTAAAAATAAACGTGGGACAATGACAGAGCAAGAAGTTAAAAGGTGTGTGAGTTGGGGGGGGGGGAGGGTGCCAAGATGGAGAGTAGTTAGAGATTTTTCGCATTTGGAGTGCTAGTGTTTTCTTGTTTGTGTTTGTGTGTGTGTGTGTGTGTATATGTAAATATGTGTGTCAGAGTTCAGTGCTTCAGAGAAAAGGATCATGTAAGAAGCACAGGGTGGGCAAGAAGGAAGGAGGTTATGGCCATGGGGAGAAGACCGAGCACCAGGCTCTTTTTGTTCTCTGCTCTTCATTTTGTCACGAGTCCAGCTGTTAGCCTGAAGCCAGCCCAGTGACTCACTACGCCAGGGAGCGCTGGCGAGGCTTGATCCTTGGATACAGCTGAAGGAAAACAGATGAAGAAGAGAATTATTGAGATTATCACATTTCAAATGATTACAATACTTTTGTGATTTACTTCATCAATGACATTATAGAGCAGAGTGGTGGGAAGTTTCAACACAGTCACATTCTACCAAACACTTGAGAGCAGAGGCACACCAGTAAAAGAGCCCCCCGCCTCCTCATGTCAAAGTGTTTGACACAAACAATCAAAGTGGCAAGTAACAGCTCTGCAGGGATTTACGTTTCCATTTCAAAGTGTCTGCCTATCTGAAAGTGTTCAACTGTTGACTCAGGTGTTTTAAAATGTAGCTGTGAATAACTTTCACTCCAGACAAGTAGGAGGTGACAACGCTTTTGTGGTCTGAGTTTGATCAGTCGGTCTCCCTGTCGGCGTGAAGAGCAGTAGCCTACAGTATATTTACAGTATATAGTATACTGTAGATATCTACAATACATATATATTTTTAATAACTTCATAAAATTTTTTAAAAATCTGCCGATTAATCGGTAATCGGATTTTTCCCCCCCGAATAATCGGTTATCTGCATTGGTCGGGCCCTACTAAATACTATAAAACTTAAGTCAATCTTAGTATAATATTTGCTTCAATCACTGAATGAAGCCTGTCTTCTTGTTGGCATAAAGTGCAAATACAGATATTCAAATATGTTCAAACCTGTGTGTCATTTTTAGGACAAAAATTCAAACGTCATTTTGGAGCAGTTTTAACAGCCCTACTGTACATGGAAAAAAAATGTAGTAATTTTGGAGTTACCCCTAGCAGGTTGCGGGGCACATAGCCCTCGTTGTCCTCCAGTCTTGCCCACCACCATTCTGTTTCACTGTCATCCTGCCGTCGCAGAATGGTGATCGCGTCCCCCTCGTTAAAGGCCAGCTCATCGGGGTTCTGAGCTTTGTAGTCCCACAGAGCGTACACTGTGCCTTTGTTCATTACACCCAACTTCTCCTGGACACCTGCACAACAGAGTTTCAATCACAATGAAACACAATATGCCAAGTTGCTCTATAGTACACAGGCTGTCAAAGAACCACCAGCTACTTCTTACCGTATAGAAACTGGGAGCACTGGATGTAGCCTTCTTCCATCTCCTCACACTTATCTGCAGCGGTCTCCACGTCACTAATGGTGCTCGCAAAGATGGCGGCCCCTGACTCAACCAACAACTTGCAGAGATGAACACTGTTGCATGAGGCGGCACAATGGAGCGGAGTCCTGTTTGAGAATACACAAGAACATGAAAACATACAAATGTTAAAGAATGTGACGGAACATCGTGTTCGATCAAACGAGATGACAGATTTAATTTTTTTTCTTTTTTATCCGATCAACACGGGCTATATAGCGAGTAGCATGGGTAACGTAATGTAACGTGAACATAACAGCGTAGCTCCTTAAGCAGCAAGAGAATGGGGGTAACAGCGAAAATTTCTAGGTGAAGACTGATCTGAGGAACAGGCTACAAGAAGAGCTGCTGAAAAAAATACTAGGGGAAACACTGTAGTGTGACTCACCATCCGTCACTGTCTGCTGCATTGACGTTCACACCGAAGTCCAGCAGGAACTTGACTATGTGGTGATGTCCCGCACACACTGCATTGTGCAGGGGGGTAATGCCCTCGTCGTTTGGAGTGCTAGGATTCTCCACCTGAAAACAAAAACCCATGTGGAAAGATGAGTGCTTGTCTTACATGGAAGATACAAAAATACCAGTGTTGGCATGGAATTGCGCTGTACCTCATAGATGATCCTCTGAACAAGATCAAACTCTCCCTCCAAGGAGGCGTCCAGCAGGAGAGCCAAAGGGTTAAACTTCACTCTGAAACTATGGCCGGTGCGCTCAGAGTTCGGCTTTTTCAAGTTTGTGCGTTTTTCCTGAAATGTACAAAAGAGGAAGCATTAGTTTGACTTTAAAGTGAAGGAGCCCACTTAAAAGCATGTTGATGTTCATGGATGTGTCTTTCACCAGGTGCTGTGGGGCTGCTGTGCCGCTCTCTTCTGGAGTTGTGACCTCTGGCACGGGGCTGGGCAGTAGCGCCTCAGAGCTTCCCATGTTGTTGTTGTTGTCATCCTCAGGTGCCTCTTCTTCATCGGCATCCTCGAGCTCTTCTTGTGGCGAAGGTGGCGGCTCGTTGTCGTTGGCGTCTGTAGAAGGAGTCTGAGCATCCAAGCCCAGCTCGTCCTCCCCTGGAGGTGGCGGAAGTGGCGACTCGGAGGGAAGGTTACCGTTGTCTGTGTCAGCCATAGAGTCTCCGCCCACGAAACCAGAAGGATGCGATGGCTGATAAAACGGTGTGCCATTACCGGCGCCGTTACCTCCTGACCCACTGACTCCGTTTCCTTCTATGCCTCCTGCCAGAGTGTTGAATCTCTGGTAAAGAAGTTTCTGGATGTTGGGTCCGCTGGGGCCCTCTGGCTCTGTGATGGAGCTGCGCTTCTTGAGAGGTCTGGGAGCGTTGGCCAGCTTCTTGCGGAGCACTTCGAGGTCGGCGTCACTTTGGTAGCGCAGCGGGGAGTGCACCATGGGTGTTAGCTTAGTGGGACTGAGTGGTCGAGGGATGTTCTCCACACTGGGAGGAGGGGCTAAGGGTTCTGGATGCTGGAAGAACTCATGATCATCAAACTCTCCATCCAAAGTGTCCTCACCGCTGGGTTGGCCTTGAAGAAGCGGGAAGGCGCCTCCAGCCTGGCTGAAAGGCAGAGGTGAGGGGGGCGTGGAGCTCGGGGGGAGAACAGGCTTCCCATATACTAGAGAGAAAAAAAAACAGTGACAGGACAGTCAGGTGTCGTTTGGGGATTCAAGATTTTAAAAGCAGTATCAGCATTTTCTAGGAGCTAAAACAATGTCTCCAAATTCTTCCACTGGACCTTACCTGCTTTGAGAGCCGGCTTTAGAGGCTGGCTTTTTGGTGCAGCCTGCTGGAGATACATGTGATAGATGGAGCTTGAATTCATGGTTGGTGGGCCCTTCCGGGGCGACTGAGGCCGTGACCCTCTGTCTGGGATGAAGGGGCGCACTGCCACGGCTGGCGGGGGGTCGAGCCGCTCACTGAGTCCTGGGGGGAAAAGTGGAGCACTAGGCTGGAAGGTGGGGCTGGGTGGCACTGAGATTCTTTGCTGGATCTGCTGAGAGGACGAGCCTGTTGAGGGAGGGATACGGGGCCAAGCAGGAGTCGGCGGATTCGGGAGCGGCCGAGGGAGGGGGGGTGCATCTTTGCGGCGCTCCAGGGAGCTGGCTGAGTTTGCAGAAGTGAGGTGGGAGCCATAGGGGGGTGGCTGTGGCTTGGATATAGCGGGAGAGGACACGGCCAATTTAGATTCTAGCACCTGAAAGAAAGAAAAAAAAATCACATTATAAATTTACCTTTAAAACTCTGTTCTGCAAAGAGAAATATGACTTCAATCTGGGAGTCCTGAAGGTATTAATCCAATCTGTGTGACGAGATCTTCAGTATTGTTTCTTCACTGAAATTTTTATTTTGATTTCAATTTCAAATTCCAGAACAGTCAGTCACATTTACACTTTTTTCCCCTTTTTCTCTTTAAGTGTTAATGGCTGTATCCATAGAGTCTGTGAGTTATGAAATTAGACATATACAAAATAATCAAAGCTTTGCTTCAACTTCAAACATATCCCTTTTAAGAGGTATAAATAAAACAGACAGTATGTAACTAAAAGAAAAGTAAAGAGACAAGCAAAGTTATAATGTTAAAAAAAAATCAAATAACAAAATAAAAAATAAAAATAAATTGAACGGGGAGAGAAGGGTATGGCTTGGGAGGGGGGTAGTGTGTATGCTAAGTGTATGTTTGTATTTAGCATGATTAGATGTACATATGTTGATAGGTGGTCTAGAGGAGCGAGGGGAAGGTGTGAAGGAAAAGTTTAGACTTGAGTGGGCTGGACTCAGATCATTTCATGACATAAATACAGAGTCAGCAGGTTTCCATCTGCAAAAGACTTTTCCTTTTTAAAGTCTCGGAGTGTGTGTTATTCTTTCTATACATTTCCTGTACCTTTTCTATCACCTTAAGCATTTTTGATGGATTTGACTGAACATCAAGAGGTCAATGACCGAAACAGAGGAACTCTGTTATTTGAATCAAAGGGTATTAAAGGAAAGTGACTTACCTTTTCTGCACCTGGAGCGACAGGGGAGCCTGAGGGAGGGCTCTTGCCCTGGTTTTCAGTCCCTGAGTCCCGTCTCTCAGGGAGCTTTAAAGATGAGCTGGTCTTTCCTACAGCAGGCCAGCCGCTTTCATTCGCTGTAGCACAAGCAAGACACAGTGAGTGTGTGGCAAAGCAAAAAGAAGGGTTAATGATTGAGGTGGTATGGAAAGCAGAAGTCTGTGGTACAATTCAGGGGAACCACAACGCATGTCCACCAGAGCTAGGTCTAAATGGTAACAGTTCTAGAATGTGTCACTTTATGTGGGAGGCCACATGAAGTGGAATATTAGTGCTGGTGTTACAAAAGCATGAGTCTGTGCAGCATTTTACACACAGGTAGTGTATAGCTGTCCCATTTTGACCTAAGATTGGTGTTAAATTGGAAGGGTCAGGATTTTGGGGGAACAATCCTATCAATCATACAGACTTTAAGTGGATTTAAACAATGTTTGATGCCTTGTTTTTGTTGTTAGCATGTTAAAAGCAAAGATTGCGACACATCAATCCAGTTATCTCAAAATGACTTCTTTCGGCAGAGTAGTTAGTATAACTTCAAATCTTTCTGAGGTGCAGAGTAGCCAAAAGCCATACATTCGACTGAGAAATGCGAATTAGAAAAGACTGGCAGTAAACGGTCATTAAAAGTTTTGTGTGGAATTATAATGAAAGGCTCAAAAGTCTCTCTGGGTGATTTTTTTCTCTGTGTGGAAGATCAAAAACCTTCAGTAACGTAAAAATCTTTTCTAACCTCTTGTACAAGGAGTTCTCTCCCTTTTTCTCCTTTGAGTAACATTTACCTAAACTACAGTAGAGTGTTTGAAGAGGGGCTGTTGATCAATAGGACAAAAATCCTGAGCCTTCACTTTACAGCTGTGATGGCGATGAATCTCCGTTAGTAATCAGCTGCAGTGTACTTTCATCAAGTCAAGATATTTGGCACTAAATTGCTATTTAACAGGAGAGGTAAGAAATGCCACTAACTTGAGAACAGTTTGATCCTGGGACTTAACTGATAGCGGTAATAAAACATACTGTATACAAATAGCAATTAAGTTTTAGACAGCAAGAATAGGTGAAAAGTAAAAGAAGAGGATAGAAATGGACAACACAACAAAACAACAGTCATAGTTGTGTTATAATTTGCATGACTTTGTATCAGTGATAACCAAGCTAATAAAGAGGTCAACTTGTTATGGACCCAAAATAGTATTAAACCCAAAAATAGACCCAATAAAGTATCTCTCATCTCCAGCAAGGCAGCCAAAATGAGCACTAAGGAATGTACATTATTGATCAGCCCACAGTGGGAATATTATCTGACTGATTCTTATTTGAAAAATAACATTTTAACAATCAAACTCCTTTCATTTACTCATTAAAAAGTCTGTGTGTTTCAACACAATAGACAGCAGTACACAGTCTGCCTTTAAAGAGAAGAAGAAGAAGAAGAAGAAGAAGCAGAAGAAGAAGAAGAAGAAGAAGAAGAAAAAGTAGAAGTAGTAGCAGAAGTAGAAGGAGAAGTAGAAGAAGACGAAGAAGACGAAGATGAAGAAGTATAAAAAGCAGAAGTAGAAGGAGAAGTAGAAGAAGATAAAGAAGTGGAAGTAGAAAAAGTAGAAGTAGTAGCAGAAGTTGAAGGAGAAGTAGAAGAAGTAGAAGTAGTAGAAGAAGTAGAAGGAGAAGTAGAAGAAGACGAAGAAGTATGAAAGGCAGAAGTAGAAGAAGTAGAAGAAGATAAAGAAGTAGAAGTAGAAAAAGTAGAAGTAGTAGCAGAAGTCGAAGGAGACATAGAAGAAGAAGAAGTAGAAGAAGAAGTAAAGGAGTAAAAGAAGAAGTAGAAGAAGAAAGCTGAAAAGACAATAGAAACTGCATCATTTTTGTTGATGCTTTTTACTGTTTCAGAGGAAGATATTATGATTGCAGTTTGCAAAACATATGAAGACAGTGTTTTGATGAGGAGAGAAAAATGTTCTCAAGTTTTAACCTATCTTGCAAGGCACCTGAAAAGTCATCAGTGCAGCATCAGCACCCAAACAATGGCAAGTGCTGCAGTACCAAGCCAACAGGTATTTGAGAACTGAAGAAAATCTGCCTGTGACAAAATCACTTCACTTACAGCACTTGAGGATAAAAGGTTTTTCATGGAAGAACACCAAGAAATTAACCAAATATACATTAATTTTTTTGACTGTAACAAACATATTTGGTTTTCTGACATGGGTCTAGTTAAGTCTGACAGCCCAGTGGATGGCTACGGATTAAAACATGGAAAAAACATTACTGCATGAACGGGAGTTTTTAAAAAAAGCAAATAAAGACTTTGTTTTTGTTTTTTAAGTATTGACAATCAGGACTTTAGTAAGAACTGATTGGCGTAAAAAATAAATATATTTGCGCGCGTTTGCCCACAAAATCTTTGCCTTTCTTACCCCAAAGTGTGCATAAAATACAAATTTAAAAATTTAAAAATGTGAGCTTAACCAGGTTATTACCAGTTATCCCAACCACTATAATAAAATCCAAACAATGCATCCTTATACTAAATTAACATACTGTTGGTGCAACTACATTTTCCCTCACAAATTTAAATGTAAAACTGACAGAAGTAAATCAAATGTCACATATTTTGGCCTAAAAAGGAAACAGCTTTGTCTTCATCGGTGATCAATAGACTAACAAGTCCAAGTGTATTCCCTCATGCATGGGAATTAACCCTCACAGCTTGGTTTGTTGTGAGAATAAGGTGTCAAGGGTAAAGTCAGACAAGCTTGGGATGTTATGAAATGAGAAACAGAGCCAGAAAATGCTGAACTGTGTTTCATGAGTAAAAGGTGGGAGGCACTCGACTCATTGAACCTTCTCAGGTGTACAAACACAAACAGGGATCAGCAGTGCTTTTTAGATTAGAACTTTAGCGATCCTTTTGGGAGGGTTCCCTTTGGGAAATTAAAAACTAGATAGTATTTTAGAAACTATTAAGAGAGTAACATCTCTGCAGATGGCAGCAGAGTGTCTAAAGATGGCACTCTGACTACTATGACATCATCAGCCAATCCTTAGAGAAAGCATGTGAAATAAAACGTCAATAGTTGTTCTCCCCAGCTCAGAAAAATGGCTCAATGCTTCTCCAGCAGGAGAACAAAAAGACGCCACACAAAATGCTTCCATCAGACAGTCAGTATTAAAGTAAACCAGCCATAATGCTCAGCCCCTCCTCAGACTCCCTCAGCTTTAATCTGCCAGAGGGAGAGGAACCAGTCCTATTATTTCAGAGTGAAGGGAACTGAAGACATGTCAGAGCAGAACACAGTTTTGGTTATTTGAAAGGAACACTTGTGCATGCTGAAGATCCTGTGCTTATATGAGTAGAGAAGGTTCAGGAAGTGCCACCCCTGTGCTATTGCTGCACTTGTGCACTCACGGGACGTGCCGTCAGAGCCAGTGGAGGCTCCGGTGCCCAGATGTGATTCTGGAAGTGACGGGGGTACTGGGTCCACAACGATGTCTAAATCAGACACCTTCCAAGGGCCAGGAGGCTTTCGCACACCATCTGCCCCGGGAAGAGTTGAACCCCATACACCCACACCCCGTGAAAACAGAAACATAACAGAGAAAGGGAAAGGCATATGAGAGAAGAAGAGAGGAAGAGAGGAAGGAGGACACAGGATACACGACACAGGAAGAGAGGAAGGTTAGAAAGGAAGGTAAATCGTAGAAATTAAGTCCATGTGTAAGATAAACAGAGAAGTCAGGAAGGAAGGAAACAGAGTAACAGTTTGGGTCTAGAGTGGTCACAAGCTTTTCATGCAAGACGCGTTAAATGTGTAGCAATGTGAAACTGATTCTGCTGCTGCTGCTGCTAGGACTGTGTGTATCTAAGCTGCTCTTCCACACCTCTAATCTGCCTTCCTGCTTTATCTAACAGTATGGATCACTTTTCAAGTTAAGAAATAGGTTCATTTCCTGAATTAGCCTCATTATTCAAAATCTACACAAGTGTTTCATTTGTTGAATTTTAATGTAAAACATTTTTTTAAAGGAATGGAAGAGGAGATCATACAGGATCCTACAAACCTGACTTGGTGCGGCCATGGTTTGCTTGGTTACTGACGCCAAGAGTCTGAGGTTTTAGTGGATCTGGAGGTAGGGTGTACCCTCCCTCCTGTCGGCCACCCACTGGGACTTGAATGTATGGCCCAACAGCTGCAACACGGCCCAGAGTGCCCGGAGCCGGCTGGGGAGACGGAGGCCCATTGGCTCTGTTAAGCTATAAGAGGAGAAAGCCGGAAAAGATCCACTGTTAGTTATACTGATGAGAAATCAATCTTAGTGGGGCAGGAGCATGAACTTTAGTCCACAAGATTTGACAAATTTGGATTACAGAGACCATCTGCCCTGTCAGGACTGATCCAGCCTTGAGTCAGGAGACTTCTGTCTGAAGCATTTTTAACAACAACAGTCTTAGAGAGGAGATGTGTTAAGCGCTCTTAGTCTTACAGGAAGGTTCTCTTTTTGACGTGCCTCAGCTTTTTTCTTGTAGAGGCGTTCACGCAGCTCACTGATGCGCTTGTCCATCAGCGTCACCTCCATGTTGCGTTTATTGAGAAGCTCCTTCTGTTGCTGCAGTTTGCTGTTCTGTTCCTGGTTCAACTTGTTCCTGATCTGTGGGTAAAACATGTCAGTGAGTTACACATAAAAACTCACAGTAGGAAAGGAGATTCTACAAAAAAGAGAATCTTCTGAAGTGCTGCTCATGTTTTGGTGGTACCTGAAGCTCCTGGTAGAGTTTACGGAGCTCCAAGGCTGCAGCGCCAGTTACTTGACCACCCAGCGTAGTCTGGATGCCATTGAGCTTTCCCCTCCTCAGGTCCTCCAGCTGCAGACTGAGCTGCTCGACCCTCAGCACTGCAGCCTGTAGCTCAGCCTGCTTCTCTTGGAAGAGGCCGCTTACTTGCTCAATCTCTGCCGCTGGATTAAAGAAATGAAGAAATCACATCAGCTTGTTTATGATCAACACGCAAGGGGACTTCATTAAAGGCATAATTTCCCTCTGACTGTTGTAGAATTCCCCTATCCTCATCTCAAGGTTTGATGAGCCATGTTTTTCCCATCCCAAGAAGTCAACATGTTTGAGTTGGTAATCTTTACATACACAGGTTGCCATTGATGACCTTGCTGTAGTCCACCTGTCCTCTCATTGCCCTTATTTTCTTGAGTTTGGCCTCCTGGACCTCCACACGCTCCTTCAGCCTCTGAAGTTTCTCACTCTCTGAGACAGTTTGCTGCTGACGCCGCTCCTGCTGCTTTAGGTAACGCAAACGCTGCTCCTTCAGAAGGAAAAAAAAAGATTGAAATATAACAACAACAAAAAAAACAGATAATTACAAGAGTTAACTGATAAAAATCTGTACCAAAAATGGACTGTCTGTAAAAAGAATGTAGAATTTTGTAAAAATGTTTTGTCATTGTAATTCCAGCACAAATATAAAACCAGCAATGCAACACCCCTAAGCTTAAATGTAACTCACTGACAAACATCCTGGGAAACTAGACTGAATCTTTCCCCAATATGCTCTGAATGAAATGCTGTACTGTGTCAAGACTGTCTGAAGGCTGCAGAAAGGGTCAGATGACTACATCTCTCTAGCCAACTGAGAACTGCTCCAGTTAAAGTCCTAAAATAGGAAATGACAGACCCAGGTTTCCGAATGACTGCAGGGCTCTCAGAGGGCCTACTTTTTAGCTGCCATGAAAAAGCCAATAAATAGTGATTTTATCTGCTGGTCTACAGTGGGTTTTCATCCTGCATGACTGATCAGCGCACCACAGGCATGGCGGTCAGACTAAGTTACTGTCCTGAAAAGCCGCTGAGACTCACTCAGGCGCTGCTGTGTGGAGGTTTACCACCTAAGTCTTACTGTGTCTAATTCATGGACACTTTTTATAAGCTGGTCTGACAAAGGTTGTTTTCAGTGTGTTAAAAAAAAAAAGATGAATTAATCACAGTCTTGAGTAACACTGCGGTATTTGTGCCGGGTGTCTCGACAGGCTTAAGCATAAGTATTGTCCTGACTGGACAATACCAGCACTGTGACTCATTCTGCCTCCAAATTTATTTGTTACATAACTGTTTGCCCCTTTTTCAGACATGATGTGACTCTTTGGATGACAGTAACATCACTGTGGTTGACAGAGGTCACAGGCTGTGTCCTGCTAAAGCCAAACACTAAAGATCTGTCTATCATTGTAGGATCCAATTTCGTGACACATCAACGACCTGTCTGCACCTTTCAGATCACATCTGAATGTCATGTAAAACATCAAGTCAGCAACCAGTGTTTGGTCAGACTTCCATGTTGAATTAAATACACGTAACATTCAGGATAAGCAAAACAGAAAAGAAGACCAAAAAAAAAAACTACCTTTGCAACGAGCATCTGCTGCTGAGCCTCAATTTGCTGCTGCTGCCGAGTGGCCATCTCCTGCAGCTCTGACAGCGTGAGCTCCACACGCTGACTCCCCACCTACACACAAATATACACAAAACTGGTCAACACACTAAAATCCAAACAAACAGAGTGTTCTTGATGTTAACACCCACTTAAGTTACTGAGATTTAAGATGCATAAGGACATTTCAAAGGATATAATAGGGCTGTAAAGTCCTAGTCGATTTATTGGTCGATACTTGCGGAGTCCATCAAATTTCCGATTGGTCGACTTGACTTTTTCCGCGTCAATTTACAGTCAGTGGTTTGTTTCATCAGGAGGAACGTACCAAGTGCTAATGGGGGTGTTTTCATAGCACCCCTTTTTCACAGGTAACAGCCTGTCTTGAAACACCCCCCTTGTTTTAACCATTTTGGATTCACCTAACTCACTGGATACCGTCTGGAGACAGGAAGATTGAAGAGCGTCCACGTTAATCAAGGTCCGGTGGTTTGCTGAATATCATAATATTATTTTCAGCGTTTCAACTTGCCTTTTGTGTTTAATTGCCTTCTTGGGCTGATACCAGTATATTTTCATCCAGCAGAGCCGCGCCGCAGAAGGGTTTGCCGTCAGAGTCGAGTCGAGTCGGACCCTCCCCCCAATTAGTCGATTATTGGTAGAAAATTTCAGGGTCTTAGTCGACCAAGAATTTCTGTGGTTGATTACAGCCCAATAATATAAGGTGCTACAGACTTAGTTATTTAGACAAAAAAAAGAAGTTAAAGTACAGTGAGAGCTCCGATGTTATTGGGCTACATGCTGTATGATTCAGATTGATTCAGTCTTTCCATGTTTGCTCTGTGGTTACTTCATTGACGATGATGACACGCATACATAACTCTTCCTCTCGCCAAAACAAATTCATTTAGCAGCTCTTAATAAAGCTGTTGGGTTAGTGTTATAATTGATCCCAGTCAGAGCTAACACATGTAAATGGTAGTTTAGTGAAAGACTGTGTAAAGTTGTATTTGTGGGTAAAGAAACAACATGCACAACGCTGTAGAAGTGAATAGTAAAATGTTGTTGTGATTGCACCTTTGAATACATGAACACATGAGTCAATGGATAAATATATACACAAGACATTACATAGGCTTTAAAACTTAGAACTTGTTTGTAAGATAAAAACACACAGATGCATTCTGGAGAACTCATTTCTAAAAATGTCTGATTACAGCAGCCAGAGGGTCAAACAGAAAGAAACCAAACAATGAGAGCCTGGCTTTGCTTTTGTTTTGTTTTTGTTTTTAAAACAAGGAGACCCTGGTATCAATGATCCTGACAGCTCTGAGGACTTTTATAGTTCTGAAGTTTTAATTCAAAACTGTGCATTTACACACAGTTGAAGTCTGATAAGATTAGTGCTCCATCCATCCATCCATCCATCCATCCATCTTTGGCTGCTTATCCGGAGTCGGGTTGCAGGGGGGAAGAAGCCTAAGCTGGGAAGCCCTGTCTCCCCTCTCCCCAGCCGCCTAATCTAGCTCTTCCGGGGGGACCCTGAGGAGTTCCCTGGCCACCTGAGAAACCTAGTCCTTCTAGCGTGTCCTGGGTCTTCCTCCACGGTCTTCTACTGGTCTGATAAGATTGATTAGTGCTTTCCAGTGAATTGTGATTTTAAAATCTTCTCTGTTATAAAACACTTCACTGATCTACTCAGTGGTTTTAGGGGACAGTCAGATTATTGTTATACATTTATATACAGCCTCAACGAATGATAACTGCATTGACCTTAACATACAACATTGCTTTTTTTCCTAAAAAAATATATATCTGAAAAAGACTGATTTCCTTGTATTCCAGGTTTATTTATGAACTACCATTATTCATTCACTACGAGGAACAGCACTTCTTATTTTCAAAGCCAGTGTAAGCCATCAGTCAGCGCTATAGTGCTATGACTACATCTCCACCCAACTGTACATGACTCAAAGAGGATTAAAAGTAGGACAAGTTAATCAACAACTGGCAAATCTTTAGATAACGGATATAAATGCAGCTGATAACAGCAACTGTCAAGCAGCCAGAAAACACTGCAAAGAGCAACTTGAAATGTACATGTTATCTTCAAACAGACCAAAGGTATCCCCATTACCAGACCAGTCATCCAGCCAATGGATAATGTCAAAAGGGTTGAAAACTTCTAAAGTAGGCCTACTACTTTTTCTTTTGCACAGATATCTTAAAGTTAATAGTAATTAACATTTGATTTTGCTCATTTCAGTGTTAGGAAAGCTTCACTGTAATTAACTTGTACGACTCATGTTTCTCATGCTCACTTGTTTTGTCTTATGATTTGTAATTTGCAATGATGACAATGCTAATCCACATCACAGCAGTGGATCAAAAATGTGTCACTTTCAAAGATATTTCAATTGAGTTTTTCTTTTCAGCCAAAATTCTTCTTTAAGGGGATTTTGAAGCTCACAACAAAAAGTGAAAAACTTTTTCTGCTGAACTTTGCAGAACAGCTGCTACAGTATTTACACTGCAATAAAACACTGAGCTGTGAGTACAGTCCTCCGAGCTACGCAGAAACAAAACACAAGTTTGAGAAAGGAGACAACGTGGGAGAGCTGTCAAGAGTTTTTATCAAATAGCAGACTTAACGAGAATGTAGAATTCTGGTTCAGACAGAAAACCCGTTTTTAAAAAAATATGAAGGCCGCGAGGTGAGGTAGAAAGAATCACAACATTGAAAGTAGATGTGTTAGTTCCAGTTTCTGAAATATGAAAGGTGCTCATCAGTTTTCTTGATAAGATTCCTAAGATGCTAAAGACATTAAATCATACCTTTGAACTACCAGTATAATTTGAATTCTCATTTGTCTAAATGTAACGTCATCAGTCCTCAGAACTCCCCGAGGATGATGGTAGGGAAGAAAACTCACAAAGAAGTTTCATCGCTCTCCACGTTATTAGTGTTTTTAAATGATTAAAGCTCAAACTGAATGCCTGTCTTTTCGTGTCTGTTACTACCCACTCGTTAGTTACTGACAAGTACAGGAAGGCTGGAAAGAGGATTCTCCCCATATTAAATTATTGAGTAAAGGTAGGACAAGCACTTAGAAATTGTCTTCCACCTTTATGCCTCAGGTGAAACAAACATGGCATGCAAAAGACAAAAATATTGTGTGTATAGCTCTTACTCGGACACTGCTGTGAGTCATCTTGTCTGAATTAAACATGCCTGTTTTGGAGAGATTGGCCTTTTATGGTGTTGTTAAGAGAGGCTACGACACTTTAAAAGCCATTCATCATCTTGTCTCTAAAAACACTCCGTGTGTTTGCAGCAGGCTGTTCTGACAGCTTCTTCTTCCTCCCTGGCATTTTAAAGCATGTAAAACACAAGACCATGTGGGAAGACTTCGAGAGGCTGTGGGAGTTCGGGGAGGTTTGACTCAACTTTAGTTTTAATGAGGAGGGGAGAGCAGGGAGAAGCCACCAGCACACACACACACACACTAGCAAAGGATGCACTCAGGCAACACAGCATCAGTGACAATTCACCCAAGAGAGAGGTAGACACACACACCCTCAGACAGGGATGGAGAGGAAGCCAGAGAAACACCCAAATGAGCAGAGGGGGACACCATCGTTAGGGCTGCAACTACAGAGTAATTTAGCCATTGAGTATTCTACCGAATATTCCATCGATTAATAGAGTAATCGGATAAAACATATATTTTTTAGTTAAAGTGTTATTATTAACTTACAAGAGAAAATAAGACATGTAACTTAGAAACAAACAATCAATTGTTTTCCTTTTCTAGAAACAAGGAACGCAGAACAAGCATGTGCTTGTTACCTGCTTGTTCGTCTGCTACTACACCGGCAATGTCAGGCTACAAGCTAGCGTGTAGAGGAGTGTGCAGAGCAGCGCTGTCTCCGCCCACAACCCAGAGGCGAAGTGCTAATGAGCTACTGGAGCTCTGCAGGAGAAAAGCCCCTCTCATCATTCATTTTTTCCGCTCCGCAAAATTAAAACCGTGCTAACTCCTCCTTCTACCGTGGTGTCACCTTGAAAATAATCAGTGCGAAACAGTGACGATTTGAGCTTATGAACGAGTACTTAATACAGAGAAAATTCCTCTATCATTTTTTGTAATTGAGGTACCTGAGGTATTCAAGGAATCGTTTCAGCCCTAACCATTGTACAACAAGGCAACATCACATTACTCCCTCCAAATTAAGATTTCTACAGGCTAAGGCACAATGCTGGAATACTGCCAAAATGATCCACAGATCATGAACATCTTATGACTCTTCCTTCAATGACTCCTTTCATATCCATCTTGTATATGAGAAACAAACTGAATGACTCTGGGTTTTAAAACAGTGACTTGGATGTTAATATTCTTTCTATAGACACATTGTCTCAGGAAACTGCACTTAGCATTCAGCAGTATCAGCTGACATTTACAGATGAAAAGCTGCTTTTTTAGTGGGAGCTATCCAGAGATGTCCTTGAAAACTACATGAAGACTTTTTCCTATCTGCATTCCCACTGCCACAGTGACAACTGATATGAGCCTAAAAGTGAAGTAAGTTCTGTTAGTAGTGGGAAGAGCAACATCACTTACACCACAGAACTGAAAATATGGAGGATGTAGTGATGGGAGCATTGAAGTCTTGTTTTCATTTTCTGACTGTACTGCTTTTCTGTGTGGTGCAGTCTCAGTGTGGCAGAAAATACTCTCCAAGATTTTAATATTACGCTTTGCCAAATCAAAATGCTGTATCTTCTTCAGTGTGTGAACACTCACTCAAGCCCTGGCAGTCAATCCGTCAATAATTTTTTCCTTTTCTTCCCAAGATATTTAGAGCCTGTCTCTAATCCTTATTTAACATTAATTTGCTGATGTTTACACTGGGATTTAAAAGTGGTGACAGGCGGTATTAAACTGGCTCTTGTTCAAACAATCTATGTTCACTCTTTTATGGACCAATCACTGTGCACTTCCACCACATAAAGTCCCTCTTATGCTGATTGAAGACCTACTCCGGAGCAGGACCTGACAGGTTCCTCTACACACCTGATTCAAATGATCAGCTCGTTATCAAGCTCTGCAATGGCTTAATAACGAGCTAATCATTTGAATCAGGTGTGTTGGAGCAGGGAAACATAACCAAAACATGCAGGACAGTGGGCCTCGAGGACTGGACTTGAGAACCACTGCTCTACACTGTGGAACTAAAATAGTTCACGGTGCCTGAAGTGAAGAATCAATGGTGACTGGTTCCCATAGAAAAAAATGCTAAAAGAAATAAATCTTTTCCAAAAAAGAACCATATCAATAAACATTCACCTAAACAGCACCAATTCATTGAAATTTAGTTCTCCTTGGGAACTTTTTATGGAGCATTTTATGACAGAGCTCTTTTTAAAAAGCTTGTGGCGCTGATAGAGAGTACTGCTGTTTTCAACTATGGGACTGAAATGACCCCATTAGTAAAGGAATGAAAAGAAAATCCGACACTGGTAGCAAAAAATAAAAAACCACACATTTCTGTTCTCCCTGAAACCAGAGTATGTGTTGTATTTAACTTCAATAAACAGGTTTCTACACAGTTGGAGTTTTCACTTTCCCGAACCGTACTTTTTAGAATTATTTTTGGAAAAACCTACTTTTCCATTTTAGAAAACAGTATTTTAGAACTGTGGTAATAGTCTGGAAACATGAATATTTTTCCACACTTTATTTTTCATTTTTCATACTTTTTAAGACCCAGAAATTGACTAATTTATTTCCATACTTTTTCATACTTGCGTAGGAACCCTGAATAAATACCTAAAATTATTAATTGGAAATTAAAACAACTGCAGAATACTTTATGGACAGTCAACGTAATATCTCAACTTCTGGTTTAAAAAAAAGTAAAAGACAGAAAAAAAATCTAAATAATGCGTGTCAGCATCATCACTACTGGGATACTCAAGAATATTGAAAATACGTGTGATCACTGTAGTAGTCCCTTGAGGCTCCTCTGCTCTTTACAAGGCCATGTCTCTTTCAGAGGATGATCAGCTCTGCTGCCTGGTGGAGAGAAAGGCCAGAGGGGGTTTGGGCAGCAGCCCATGGAAAAGCCAAAGCAATGATCCTCTTAGGAGCAGTTATATCATCCAGCAGGCTGACTGATATAATCCTCTAAATCAGATATTAGGAAGGAACTCAGACACAAATGAGCCTTAGCTCTTGGGAGGTTAAACAGAGTTGTCCATGTAGCTGATAATAAAAGACCATAAAAAGATTATTCTGCTTTTCTGCTTTAATAGAGTCTGCTGATCATAGGCTGACTCATTTATACATAAAAACATATTTTGTTAACAATACTTTCAGCATAAAAATCAGGACGGCTTCTGGGTTCTCCTGTTCTCTAGTCTTTTTTAAAACAAAAACCGAACCCCCCGCATTTATTTCTGCACTGAGCTGTTCCCTCCACCATTAAGGTTAAATTAGCTACGATTCCTTGACCACAACACTTTCCTTTTGTGAAATCTGGGACAGCCGGTTGGAGAGAGAAAGGATGCAATGCCAGAGGCTGCTTTTATCAGAGTCATTCGCATCTCAGAGCATACATGCTTCCCAAGGCTAGAGCTCGACATGCACAACAATGGGTTCACCTCAAGGAGAAATAGTGGTGGAGTATGAAAAATGGGCCTGTCCTAAAACACAAGGGCTTGTCATGTTGTTCATGTTGTGAATCCTTATAAAGCCACACATCGTTAAACTTTCACCATGGTAAATACTGGAATTCTGGCATCACAGGGTTTATGCACGTGTTTGAAAATCTCATTCAGGACTGTAAAGGTCTTTTTAAGACCCCCCAAAAAAGAAATAAGTATTTTTTACATATCAGAATAACAGCAAGCTCCTATGGCATTTTAAAACTACTATTTATATCAAGTATAATTATTAAACCATAGATTTGGAGTTTTATATATTATGCAATGGCTGTTTGTCCCTGCCAGCTGTTCCCATGGATTAAGGAGTTAGTCATTTTGAATCAATTTTTCCATGTAACAATAAATATTAGCTAGAATAAATGAAGCCATCTACAGATATGACAACAAACCACACTAATGATTACTACCAGAATTAAAGCTAACTATGCACCGAGTGGAATGTCACATAAGAAATGACAAAGAATGCAGGAAATAGCCATGTGATCAAAAAAGTCCACAACAATTGAAATATAAAAGTCCACAACAGAAAATATAATACTGACTAGACCAGCCCTGTTCAATTGGGACTTGGGTCCAGCGAGAGAAACAGAAAAACATATTTTACTAACACTGACAAGTTCTTACCAAGATTCCAACATTATAACAAACATTGAATTTGAAAAGTTATTCTGTTATGCACTTTTAGATGTGATCAAAACAAAAGATCTTGTTTCTTATCTCTATTTTGTTTCTAAGTTCATATGCAGCTTCACATATGTTTGTAATTACCAGTCATAATGTGTTAAAGTTATGTGTTTGAAATGTCAAATTTAAAGAAGTAGTATTTCAGCATAGGTTTAGTTTAAGTACTGCTCTTTTATTGTGCTTATGGCCTTGATGGATGTGGCAATATGTTAATAAACATCATGTGTGTTTGTTATATTATCTATTTGTGTTTCTTTTAAGTGGTTAACTTTGCTAATTGTCTGCTAAAAATGTCCAGCCAAGCTCATGTCCTTAGTTTGAAAATCGGGCCTGACTGAATTTTAAATTGAACAGCCCTGGACTAGATGCTGTAGAAGTCTTCTCACTCGAGCCAAAATTCATATCACACAGTGCTGCACAAGTAAATAACCTTATTGCCAAGTATGAAAAACTAAAATTAATACTAAAAATAATAAAACTAAACTAAAACTAATCATTCAGAAAAATATAAAAACTGATGAAAACGGACAAACCCACTCTAGAAACTAAATTAAAACTCACTGAATTAGAGAAAAAAACAAAGTCCAAACAAAGTAAAACTGAACTATAATGAAAAATTAAAAACTATTATAACCTTGTAATGGCTCCCACTAAAATTTGTTTTTGCAATATTTTAGGTACAAATGGTATATAAGAAAAAATGCAAAGTCTGAATTTATTCGAGAAAGCTACAGAAAATTCAAGTAGAACTGAATTTAAAAACTAAATACTCGCTTAGACATATAGTATGTTTTCACCCCTGTACACATCTAGGTAATTTGGCACAACATCTGTCGAGTGAGGCACTAAAAATAGTTGATTACGTCACAACAGTTGCAGGGTACAGCCAGTTGGCGAAATATTGTACGGCATCTTTGCTCAGCCATTCAGTTTCTCTGATCTTGTCGCTTTGTCTCTGCAACAAGATCTGCATTTAGAAAACCAAGTCGGACTGGTGACACTGGGAACAGGAAAAGTGTGACACGAAGCCATGCTGTCTTCTGTTGGATCTAACAGGAGGTGTTACTTGCTCAGACATGTTTGATAGTTCAAGAACAGGTGACTGAAAAGAGGCCAAGTTCTTCATCTTACGAGTGTTGTTGCCGATACTGTGATTTTTTTTAAGCTGTTATTTTAAAGTCAAGTGGGTTGAAAGTGCCGCTTTAACAGTACACTGGAAAATTCCTGATATAAAATATGACCAGACACTCAGTTTACCGGTTCAGAATGACATTTGAGAAGATTTGAAACCTTTCTTTGGTGAAGCTCTGTTAAGGATTTTGTTCTTATATCACCTTTTGTTTCTCTCTCTCCATAAATGCTTACTTTTTTCTTCTACAGCTAGCCAAGGGTTACATAATGGCCTCTGTACTTAGTTTGTTAAGCTCTTTATGTATTTGAATAAAAGTGTATATAGGGTTTCGACTCCTTGTGTTACCTTTTTATATATTACTCCCATTAAAGCCTTAATCTATACATGACAGAAGGCACCAAATTAAAGTGAGCAATTGCAAGGGCAGTTTCTATTTTCAAATCATTTAGATAAAGCTAATTAAGTCTCACCCCATTCTCATTGTGCTTCTCTCCAGTGTTCCCACTTCTGCGACTCGTCTGATCCTGAGACTGCTGACTCCCTGCAAGAAGAAACACAGTCACCATCACGAAGCACAGACCAGCATGCACACAAGCACACAACTGCAGATTCAGAGGCTACAACCATTGTCAGGGAGAGTTTGAACATTTGCAGACATGATCGCCCATGACAGTGGGATTTGAGAAGTGGGACAAGCACTGCTGACCTCAGCCACCTGACTCAAACTTCTTCATAAGAAAAGCTTGACAGGAAGATGAGTTTGAATTATTCAAAACTTCAAAGGAAATGATGGCAAACAGGACTGTTCTGCTGCAGGTCCAAAAACTCACAGGATACCTTGGGTTGCAAAAATCCCCTACCTGGTCGGATACAAAACTTCTGCCAAATCTGAAACAGATCTGCAGCACATCACATCACAAAAAGACCTTTTCTTCCACATAGAGAAACCTTTTTGTGTAATCCATATTTGTATGGATTTCAGCCTTGGATATTTCCAACCACCCATCAACCAAAACTTGGTTTTCAATCCTACTTAATCTGTGTAAAAGAATTCTCCATATGCATAACCGTGGTTCCCTCGGACATTTTGGTGATCTTTGGATGTATGTAGGAAAATGGTCTGTGTGGAGAGCGGAGATGCTTAGTATATCTGCTGTAATGCAATCCCAGAATCCACCCGCTACCATCTGACAACAACTTAACATATTGTAAACATCATTCTTTACAGACATTGGCATAAAGTCCCACTAACATCCAGTTAACAGATGTGGAATCTCCATTTCAGCTCCATTCTTTCACTGTAAGCTGCTTGTCCAACCATAGATAATGACACACAGAATCGTTCTGACCAAAAAATCCTTTATGACCTACATGACTAGCCCCAGGTTACATCCCCGGCCTCCAAACTTCCCAGAGGCTGTATGGTCATTAAACAAGAAGGAATTAGATCAAATATTGAACCCTACGCAGTGTTGCAAATAGGGATGTCCCGATACGATATTGATATTGGTCCGATAAACAAAAAATCAAATATCGGATTATATCAGCCTGCATCTAAAATCTCTGATATCGGCAGTCCAGTGTTGTTTTCATTGACCCCCTTTTTTTCCACGACGAAGACGTGACGTTGACAAGCTAAATATAAGTCTTAGATAACTAAAATGTGACGAGACGAATGTGCGTTTACGTTGACGAGACGAGACTAGACGAAAACGTTAGTGGTGGACGACGAACAGAGTTGCAAAATTCATGAGCATTTCATCAGTCAAACGCTAAACATATATTCTGCAGTGTTGTTTTCGTTGAACGATGACGTTGACGGAAATATTTCGTCAACGTCATCATCAACGAAAACAACACTGCAGTGCAAAACTTATCATGCAAAGTTTGTGCTAATATCGATATTGGGCAATAGTGACAGCTACAATATCGGTATCGTATTGGAGGTAAAAAAATTTGTATCAGGACACCCCTTGTAGAAAATGTGTAGAAATGGCCACAGACAGTTCTGTTTTTACAAAAAAGGTAGCACTTCACAGCTGCCTGGCTCTGTCGATTTGTGGCTCCTTCATGTATAAGAGGAAATTAAGTCAAAGTAAAAATGTGAAACAAAGACAAGAAGGTAAACATACCCCAAACCCAGAGACTACATATACCAGGTGAGGAGTGAGGAAGAGTGAGAGTCTACTGGCACTGGCCTCCAAAGCTGAGCAGCCAGCCAAAACAGATGTCACGAGCTCCCTGACAACCCTCGACTGCAGCCTGAGGAAAGCGTGAAGACACTCACCTTGATCACTGCTCTCGGTCGGAGAGTCTTCGTGCCGTAGAAAGAACTTGACTTCTTGCTTCCGAGGCCCCCATTTCTGAAGGTGTTCATACATCATGTGTTCGAAGGGGATCGCTCGCTCTACAGAGAAAGAAAGATGATTTGTCATTTTGCCACTTTTAAAGTAACCAACTGAATCCTCACACCATCTTCGTAAAAGTGAGACCCACAACCAATTTGACAGCTTGGCATCACAACTAGAAAAGAGGCTGGTATAGCTCTGGGGAAAGCCAACAAAATTTACTTTCCATCAACTCTAATGCTCATACGTAGAACAAGTTAACGTCTTTTTTTCAGTTGGCAAGTTTAGAACTGTAAACCAAAGTGCTAAACTCTCTTGTTTTGTCCATCTGTTTCTTCATTTGCTGTCTTTGTGCTAACCTTGGCGTCGGGGCTGGGCGATAAACCAAAAATTAACAAAAAATTTAACGACAATACCTGTAATAATTTTGCGCATGCCCATATATTCAGTGTCAAACAAATAAATTAAAGTAGGTTTTGGATGTGTGTAGGAAGGCTATGGTCTCATGTCTCTTTAAGACGCTGTCCTACGTCAGAGATGTGACTCCACCCCATCCAGTCCGTAACAAAGAGGGAAAGACAGGTGAGGAGATGGAGGACGGTTCAAAAGTTGTAGTGGCTGGCGTGGCGGCTGTAGTAAACAAAGTTAAGGTGGGAGGGGGTGAGCAGCTCGTGGAGTAGTTATTGTCCATTTATCGTTAACGGTGAACTGCTCAATATATCGGGATATTGCCCAGCCCTACTTGACGTTACATATTACAGACATATAAGAACAGTAAGGAGCTACTCTTTTAAATACTAGAAAAATGCAATTATATCAGCACAACCATTACATGTAACAGTTCTCCCTTTCCTCTCCCTCACACTTTTTTCAGGTCATAAACATCAGTGGAAGTGTTTGTGTGTGTGTCTGTTGTTAATGTTCGGTCAACTGAAATCTGATAGAAAGAAAAAACATCTCAGAACAGCTGATAAGATTTTGCTATGAGCTTCTTCATGCTTTCATCTGTTTATGTCTTGGCAGTATGAAGTGATGATATCTCCAAAAAAAAGGAATCCCTTTGATTGATGGACAGGAGTGTGACTGTGTGCCAAAACAAAGTTTTAGCATTTCAGGAGCCTGTCAGTCATCGGGAGGCCGGTAAACAAAGAGACAGAGACAAAGACAGAGAGGTTTTAGGAGGTTTCAGGGGTAGACAGCTACATTGTGAGAGAGCAGCCGAACACGGTTGCATAACGTGGGTTAATAAAGCCCCAGGGCTGGGATGTAGTCTCCAACAAGGGAGTGGCCCCTCAGTAAAAAATGCTGATAACACTGGGTATGTCAGCACGACTCTGGTGACGGGAGCAAATCGTTTGGACCCACTGGAATCTGCAGTGACAGTGATGTGGACTGTACCGGCACATATCACTTTTTCTGACCCACAAATGTAAACTTCAAGAGACCTATTCCAGTCTGAGAATAAATCACGATGGGAGGATGTGTTTTTGTTTATGCAGAGCCTGTATTTTTCTTTTGTGTTTAGAGAATCGTTTGTGTTTCAAAATAAACAGGGAACGCTAACAGCAACTTCTTTGTCCGAACAAATTCTTCTGCCTGTAGGAAAAGTGTCAAGCTCAGTTAAAATGATAGCTTTTACTTCTCCACTTTAACATCAAGTTCCAGCACTCCAGCTTACCGTTTCCTCTCCAAACCTCTGCAAGGTGGCAGCCGCTCTCACCAGGCTCTTTGCAGAACTCGACGACATCGCGGCACGTTGTCTCAGGAGTAATGGGCACCTCAGTCAGAGCCTGCTCCCCGTCACTGAGGTACACCGTCAATATCATCTGAAAGAGGCAAAAACAAAACAATCAGGGGGAGTGTCACACAGGAGAACAGGAATGGAGCCTAATGAGACCACTGTCAGGTATGTCAGGGAGTGAAATACAGAGTAAAAAGAGGATGTGGCAGAGTATTAGCACATAGAAAAACATGCCATTAAAAACACAGAAAATCATTCATACTAGCAGAAATCAGGGGGTATTACATGAAAAGAGTGGTGACACTATATTTTGCGGTTGACTAGCTGAGCCTGGTTCTTTTTGGCTGCAGGTGGACTCGTGCCTGTGCCTGCCTCGATTCTGTTTACTTTGATAAATTACAGCCTGCCATAGGCTTCAAGAGGTAAAGCTCAGTCGGGGAGGTAACACACAGCAGGGCACAGGCCTCCGCACGTTTCGGTCTGTACTTACATAATTGAAAAGGTAGTAAAAAGTAGAGAGTGCATGATTGGATATCAGAGGAATCTGACAATCTAGCCCACAGTCAGTGTCAAATTTACCCTCCAAATGTTAGCTCCTAACTGACTAAACTGGACAGTACTGGGGAGTGAAACAGACTAAGAAGAGGACTGAAGAGATTCTAGCAATAACCTGAAAGTTCAGAGGGCTGCAGGCGCTCCTTTGTACCTGCCAGCTATCAGACTGTACAACATTTCCTGTCCAACCCTCTCAGCCAGCTGGCGAGGTGATGGGGTGATGAGGCAAAGTCAAGTATTTAAACTTTGGACTGATGTACACACTGTTACACACACAGCTTCAGTTTGACTACAAAGATCTAATAACCAATTACATAATCATACAGTAGATTGAGTTGAAAAGTCAACAAACACAAACCAAGTATAAGAAGAAAACACTGAGCTTGAATGTTTGCCAACATTTGTGTTAAAATTAAGTTTAGGGATTTTTTATTCAATTGAACTTCAGGCCAAGTAACAAACAGAATGATCAATAATCAAAATCACAAATATGACACAGAGTGCTGATGCCTATGTGCTTGATTGAATTATGAAAAAACATACAGACATCAACCAGACAAAAACCCTGAGTTTATGTAGCAGGTAGGGATGGGCGATAAATTATCGTTCACGATATTTCATTAGAATAATCTTTCATGATAAATATTTGTCATCTCATGATAAATACAAAAAATGCAAGTTGATGACTTAAGTGACTCGCAGCCATAGCCCACATAGAGCAGAATAACAAACAAACATGGCCGAAGGAAATGAAGAAGACGTTTCTGAGCAGCTCGTTACTGAACAAAGCTCCACATGAGGGATTTCCTTCAAGATTGAGGCTTAGATCAGTGTTTCTCAAGTCCAGTCCTCGAGGCCCACTGTCCTGCATGTTTTGGATGTTTCCCTGCTCCAACACACCTGATTCAAATGATGAGCTCGTTATTAAGCCATTACAGAGCTTGATAACGAGCTCATCATTTGAATCAGGTGTGTTGGAGCAGGGAAACATCCAAAACATGCAGGACAGTGGGCCTCGAGGACTGGACTTGAGAAACACTGGCTTAGACAAGTGCAGTCAGATATGCCTGACATCGGATGGTGGATCTGCTGCTGTTCACTCCGTGCAATAAGAGTTTTCAACAAATGCTGAAAATGTTTCCACATCTGAGACTTGTTTAATGTCATTAGTTTTCTCCATAACCTTCCACTCAAACTTGTGGTTACGTATCTTATTTGAACAACTCCAACTGGTGTTCTCAGGACAAAATGAGTCAAAGAATATAGATTGGAATTATGATATTTTTATCTGGACTTTTATCGTTATCGCCAGAATGGTAAATCTTATTGTGATAATTTTTTTAGCCTATAACGCCCATCCCTAGTGCTGATTTCTATGTGCCTGATCGAATTATGAAAAAAAAACATCAACCAGACAAACACCCTGAGTCTATGGCATCAGTCCAAGCTAAAAAAAAGCTGTTGTTTTAAAAAGGAACTGAAAAATTAAATTCCAGCCAAGACTTTTTATGATAAATGAATGCACAAAAATACAACCAGAATGCATGAAATGAAGTATTTGATCTAAAAGTTTCTTTTCTTTCTTCATTCATACAGTTATCAAAATTCCTAAAATATGTTGCTTACAAAAAGTGTTTGCTTGAACAAGTATGCAGACGTGTTTACAAGGCGAGAATGATATAACCTCAGCCTCATCTAGAGCCAGGACGAACCCCAAGTACTTCCCTTCACAAAAAAATCCAGATTCTCCAAGTTGAACTCATACAACTTTTAGATGAGCGTGGCATTCTCGAGACCTTCCAGTCTGGTTTTCATGTCTCTTTTTCTGTTTTTTTTTTTTTTTTTTAATTTGCTCTTACAATGTTTTTATTTCATTTTATTTCTTTATTATTTTTTCCCCAAAGTGTTTTATGTGGTTTTTATATAAAAAAAAATATTTTATTATATTTATTCTCTGACAGCTCTTGATGTTTTGTGTGTTTTAACTTATTTTACTGCACTGTGCAGCACCTGATTGCTAAACTTGATTGTTTTTTAAATGTGCTCTATAAATAAAAGTGGATTGGATTGGATAATATAAATCTATGACGATTAAGTCATTGCTAAATATCTAATTTGAGAGGTCAAACTCATCTACTTTAAGTTTCAGTGGTACCATTTGGATGGAGGGATTATTTCATGTATTTAGAGCTCACTTTTTTGTTAACAACTGTTTCTGTCGTTGATCCGCACCCAATCAAAAATAAACAAAAACAGGAGATAAAGGGAGCCGAGGATTACGGTGACTTGACTGCTCTGCTCACAAATACACACGGACACTGATTGAAAGGAAAGACACACCCTCAATCCCCCTTTTTCAGTTTGATTCATGTTTAAAAGTTTTCCATCAATCCTTTTTTAAAAAGGTCCACAGTAGCTATTTCTTTTCCGGTGTAATACAAGTTTTTAAAGATATGTGTCGTTTTCCAGCACATCTTCATGATGTGTTTTGCTCTCTGCTGTGGCAGACTTTTTGTTTCCTGTGGCACAGAGCACTTTAGGGGATGGGGTGTGCCTTCCTGTTTCATGTGACAGGCTTCACTTCTTTGTGTCATTCCTACAGAGAAAGTAGAACTATGGAAAGTTCACAAATAAGGCGCAGCGGAAAGGCCAAAACAAGGCGTCAATGGCAAAGTCGAGAGTCTGAAGAAATACTCAAAAAAGTGAAATAAAAAGTAAAGACAGAAGAGAGGGTTTTAAAAAATGACAAAAAACTAAGAAAACTAAATAATCAACACTTTAAAGGCCCACTCTGATAAATATCACATTTTCTTGTTGTCTACATGTTTATATGGCATTTTTCTGATGCTACAGGACATATCATGAGAAAAATAAATGCGAAACTGCTTTTCTGATTGTATCTGCTGTGAATCCCTGGCAAACCCAAACTGCAGGCTCAGACACAGAGAGATTTTCTATGTCACAACTGCAAGCTCCGCCCCCAGAACACAGCTATGCAGGCCAGACTTAGAGAAGTAGAGAGGACAATCGCGGAACAAGCGTGTGCGTTAGCGGATTGCAATGCTAGTAGAAAGCTAATAATGATATTAGCTTTTATCATGTCACCAAAGACAGTAGTGTCTGAGAGCTGAATATCTCCTTTGTTACCTGCCACTTTTAGTGCACCAGCAATGTTAGGCTGCAAGCTAGCATGAAAAGGGGAGTGCAGAGCAGCGTTGTCTCCACCCATGACTCAGAGGCGAATTGCTAATGAGCTACTGGAGCTCTACAGAAGAACAGCCCTTGAAAATGACACAGGTAATGTGATTTTGACAAAAACTCAATATCACAGTTTAAAGAACAATGATAATACTTAAAGTAGTGAAAAAAAAAAGATAGGAGTGGGACTGTAATTGATACAGATTTGTATCTTGCAGTCTGAACCAACATTTTTCATGTGGCTCACAATGACAAACAAAATGTGTGAAGAATTAATAAAAAAGAGACTCAAAACCTCCATCTAGGACTACATCAAGCAGATTACATAGTAAACTCTGCTTAATGGGTTAAATAAAAAAAACGCACAAGCTGCAATTCAGGTATTTAACTCATGCATCATTGAGTAGGTAATTCAATGTCTCTGTAGCCTCAGGGTGTGTTTAAAGCACAGCAATAACTGTAACAAATAAGTGTTTTCCACTGTCATTAAAATCTAAGTTTAGACACTGAACAACCTACACATTATTACTCTGAGAGTTTGTGCGAGACAAAGTGACTCATCTATTGTAATAACTGTGTGATTCATTGACATTTTCTGCAGCAGCATGACTGACACAATATGATCACTCAGGAGCATCTGTGACTTTATCCAGCTTATTATGAGCCTCATATTATGGTCAATTCAGACACCATGCATGTTGATGAAATGGCAGCAGTACAAGAGACAGGAGGATTATTTTCAGGCGGTAATTTTCCTCACACTGTCAATCTATCATTCTCTATTGTTTCCCCATGGACCAAATGTCCAGATAGAGCAGTAATAAATGTCATTTCAGGGAGCTAATAGGAAAGAGCAGAGAAGGAATCTTGAGACTAGTAGCGTTCACACTTTACTGATATGTGATTACTTTTCGTATTCGCAGAGTTGCTGAGGTGCTACCAGCTGCATAAGATTAAACACACTAGAGAGAGAGAGGAAAAGAGTGAACATCAGCCTGGTGAGACCAGCATCAGCAGTTTGAATATATAGTAGACATGGATGATGGCACTATTCTGATCCGTTCCAAGAGATAGACTGTTCATTCTTATTTACAAATTTGTCATTCAAACTTTGACTTGTTAGAAATACAAAGAGGTTCATGAAACATCCTAGGTACATAGAAAAGTAAAACAGTTTATCTTCATTAAAAAATAAACCTTACAACAGAGAGAAAAAAAGACAAACAAGGTGAATATCTTTAGGACGAAGCTAAATAACGCAGGCACACAATTAGACACCTCACAGGTGCAAACTTAGGCCTAATAAGACATCACTGCCAAATACTCAAAACATCCAACCTCAGAACAGGGACGACCAAATAATAGGAAACAGAAATCTTCAGTCATCTGGCTGACTGACCACTGGAGAAATACCAACCGCCCTCACTAAGTTGCGTCTGCCCATGTTCCTGGCTCTTTTGACTGCCCTCCGTTTCCTCCTGATCTCCTTCTTTGGCGGCTGGTGATGCTCCTTTGCCCAGATGGGGTTTTCCTTGGAGAGGCTAACGAGGCCGCGCAACACTATAGTCACAAACCTCTTCATCCTAGCACAGCCGCTTTTGCAGACATGAGACTTGATTGTTATGCCATCCAGAGCAGATCTCGGAAACCAGCAGCGTTGCGCACATTGGAAAGAGTGCTGCAGAGGAGACTTGGGAGGAAAAAACACTCAGTGTGTGTGTGTCTGTCTGTATGTGTGTGTGAGTATAATTCAGAGAAGGGGGGGGGGGGGGGGGTAGAAAGAGACAAACAGTAAGAGAAAGAGAGGAGAAGAGAGAGAGCCAAAGGGGATGGTGGGTGAAAGAGGGTGCAGACAAGTCCGCCTTTTTAAAATCATCTCTCCTTGGCTGTGCCAGTGTCTGCAACACTAATGATTTGCTGCTGATGAACAGTCATAACAGCATTAGGATTTAAATTGAATAGTTTGGCCACAGCTCCGAGGTCAGCTTTTTACAGCAGAGTGATCTTATACTGCATGGTGGCTGTAGATTAAAAGTAATCTTCAGTATCCCTCTTAAACTGCTTCACCGGGCACTGTGTGAGGATGCATGTATCATTTTACTTCTAAGGTCTCTAGAAGGAAGGATGCCGAACAGACGTGATCTCCTGCTAAGTCATTTCTTCTCAAAAATCCTGTCTCTTTTTTACTCATATTATTAAGATGAGACGAGAGGAAAGCAAAGAAGACTGCGCAGAAAAATACGTCAACACACAGCTAAGAGACAATTCAAGTCCCACCTCATCCACCCAGGTTAAAACACAATGAACAATACAATCATTACAAATGCATCCCTAAATGTGTTTGGGGGAAAAAACTAGGGTATTTTAATGTAATAATATGATCAGCATTTGGTACTTTTCATAATCTAGTCTGACAAAAACAGCTAAAGCCAAAAAAAAAAACCTTTCGCTTGATAATAACTTGTAATCTAGATATTCCATGCAGACAGACAACGCCAAATACTGCCTGTCTCCTGGCTAAAACGGCACTGAACCATATGGAGAGAGGATGAGGTAATTACATGATCATTTAAACTAAATCACTGAGAAATAACACCATTTTCTGCCATATATGCATAAGATAATCTTTCCTTAAGCTGGTGTGCACATCAATGTAAGGTTTAAATAGAAATCCTAAAAAGATGTTCTCTGTTATTAAGCTGGATATAAGCCAACTTAAGACTCCACTGACTCTGCTCTTAGAGACTAATCTAGCCCAGCTTATATGTCTGGCAACTCTGTAAGAAATAAAATCATTGATACTTCACATTTCGATCTGAGAATTTCTTGTTCTCACTTTTAAAAAGGTTTAGAGAAATACTCCTCTTAAAAAAGGACGTTCTCCTTTGACTGACGGCTGACTAATATGCAGCATTAAAATCTAATCAATAATGTATACTTCTTCACTGATTCACAAAAGGAGACCTAGCAGTCCTGGAAGTTGCTCAGTAAATGACAAAATAACTATTTCCATCTGTTAAAAGTATGTTTGGGGAAAATTTCTACCAGACAAACTAGTGCCGGTTTAAAAATGTAGATGTTTAACAAAAGGTGTTTTATGATACCACTCCTGTGGTTTCACTGGCATTATTCAAAAACTGATCTAAATAGCAGTGAGAATCAATGTTTACATGTCCTGTAAGTCACACTGTGCTCAGCGCCACTGTGTGAGATTAATTCCACTTGACAATCTACTCAGCTCAAAAGTTCCCCTTAACAACAGAGCATTAGTCGATGCAGCCACACAGACCTAGATCTGCCACGGTCTCATTGGCCGCCGGAGTCACGCGAGACCCAAGTGCAGGGCCGCTGCCTCTCTGCTCCACTGGCTCTTTGACTCTGATAGCATGTTGGTGCCACAGGGTACAAACATTCACTGAAGCCCCCATCACAGTCAATCCTGCCAGTGCTCCGATAATTCTCCATAACGGCGTACTCATGAGTCTTTAATAGCCTCTCTGAGGCTGAAGTGTAAAGCTGTTTGAAATGAAGACATGATGCTGTATTTCCACTTACTCACTAACATTTGGAGGCAAAAATAGATTCTGTCATCTATGACGCTTAACTGAACTTACAGTAAACCTTTCCCATGTAAGAGTGCCCCTCCCTGAAGGCTAAAAAAGACTGTAATCACCTTTCCCATAATCCATTACTGCACTCTCAGCACTAGAGATAACAAAAGAGGTCCCAACAAAGCTCAGCTGCAAGAGGGGTTCAGGTGTGCAACTCTTCACAACACACGATGTTATTCGAGTCAAAACAGAACCACATTATTTCAAGTCTTCAAACCTACCTTCTGCTTTAAAGAAAAGTTTCATATCGTTCCATCATTTTAAAAGACAGATTTATCATTACAGGCAAAATGGGCCTTATTCTAAATACAGTAATTTTATTCTTTTTTTATGTCTCCTTGGGAGAGCTCTGATATGAACTGTTGAGTTTGATTTAAATGCCTAAACCTTTTTTGTTTCAGCTTTTTTTGTACCTGTTGTTTGTTGTATGCTTTGTATGACTTTTATCTAATACTCCTAGTCTGTCTTGACATACTATTGTTTAAAACTGTTGGCAATTCTTTAGTAGTGTGTTTGAAAGGGGCTTAGATTAAATAAACTCCTTATTTAAAAACCTTTTAAATACAGATAAGTTTTGGCTGAAAGAAGATGGTCCCTTACAAATTAAAGAGGATACATAATAGTTTTTGAGACTTAGGGGGAATTAAATTTCCACGAAAAATGTATAGTAGTGTGTAATAAATTTATTTAGAGAATTTTAGTAATAGGGTTTTTCTATGAAGGATCATTTCTAGGACACTGACCTAAATATATTTTAAGGCTTTGTGAGACCTTCTGATACTTCTTTAGTGCTTTAAATCAACATGATCGATCCATGATCTAAATCCTGCAACTATGAATAGCAGAGGATGTACTGTACTACATGTAAAACCATTGCAGTTTAAGTTAAGCTTTTTATTACCAGACTAGTTTCTGCTGTGAAGTGGGAAACTTAACAGTCCAAGTGTTTGAACTTTTGACCTAGGTGATCAGTGACAGTCTGGAGATTAAACTGTGTTCCTCGTGATGCTAATGTAAACGTAAATCTCATGTGGACCAGAAAAGAAAAACAAAAAGCAGCACCTTGATGTAGCATGACTTCATCCACAGTCTGGAGAGCAACATTAGAGATTTAAATAGAGAGCCAGTGACTCCTCTATTGTACAAACAGCAAAGAATTAAAGCACTTACCGGCATCATAATGGCAGCTCTTGCAGGTCAGAACTGGGGGTGCATCAGCAGGTTAACTCGCGGCTCACCAACTTGTCTTCTATGTCACCACCGTAGAGACAACCGAGGCCCACCTCTCTAGTTATGGGCTCTGGTTACTCCAATGTGACAACCAACTGGGCCTCAGTCCCCTCTGCATCACAGTGAAAGCAGAAATTGCAGAAAGTGAAATTACTTTAAACACCGCCCAACTGCGCATTGTGATATAGCTGACAACCAATATAACACATAATGTCATCAGCGTTCATTTAAATGGCCCAGGCGTGGCTCTGTGCAGCTGCTGCTACAAACAAGCCGATGGTTAGCAAGTCACTTTTACTCGAAAAGCGCCGCTAAAGCAAGTAAAAAAACATGTAACAGATAATGACACGGTATTGCTGTGACATGTTATGTAAACTGTACTCACCAATGTCAGAGACAATTCATTGTTTCAGGGAGTAAATCTTTGCTACGTTTCTGTCGAAGGCACGTAGCTAACTGGACCAGCTGTCAGCCAGCCAGCCAACGGAAGGTGTTAGCTGCGTTAGCTGCTTTCAGAGGCGGCTAAAGGACGGTATGCAGTGCGATTTTTCCGCTCTTGACGGTCCTTTGGCTTGCATTGGCTACACATCGGCACAAGCAATCGGTGGAGTGTGTTTTAAACGAAAAAACGCAAGTAAGCATCCATTGAAAATGGTTAGGTCATTTCTCTGCCATCGCAATGAATCATCGTTAGCGAGCTAGCAGTGCTAGTTGACGAAAATACAAATAGCTGGAATCCAGTTGTTGACGGTGGGAGGGGCGGGGCTACTCCGCAGTGGTCGGGGCGTCACGTCAACGTAGAATGTGAAGAATGTGGCGTCACGTTTCACGGCACTACTTTACCTACGACTGATTTTTACAACGATCGCTTCTTAAAACGGTACTATCTTTTACAACTAAATTATTTGATATAATTATTCTTATTTATTGTTTGAGTCTTTTTTTTACCAGAGCCCCTTTCGAAATAATACAAGTAATAATAAGAAGAATAACAATAAAAATAAGTTTATTTATATAGCACCTTTCTTAAAAACAGAAGTTTACAAAATGCTTTAAAAGACAAACCAGAGTAAGTGACAACAATGACAGCAAAGGAGAGATTAATCATCAGTCATAGAGTAGGCAATAAAGAAGAGAGGAAAAGAAAAAGAAAAGGGAAATAAGGAAAGGAAAAAGGTAGACAACAGCACATCAGAATAAAAACAGATTAGAAGATAAGGGCCTGTGAAGTACAAATAAACCAACCAAAAATAACTGAATAAAGAAGTAAATAAATAAAGTAAGTGTGATCAAAGACAGTATAAAGGATAGCATGAGGAATTGCAAACAAATGGCTTAAACAAAAGCATCAAAATATTATTTTTACAGAAAATGAAATAAACAATTTAAAGTTAAAAAGTAGCTGAAAGTAAAGTTCAAGTAAAAGATTAGTTTCATATATATTTTGCTTTGGTTCCTTTACAACACAACATCTCCTACAACTCCAACACCCAAAGGCCCCCTTTTTAAAGGGACAGACTCAGTTAACAACATGCCCCCCACTCTGGATGATAATTAAATATAATATCACTCCAGCATAAGAAAAATATCAATAAAGTAAGTTTAGGATTTACCAGACCAAACATTCTCCATATCAGCTCATCCCATCCAGACAGACCCATACACGCCATCTTGTGGTAAAAGAGGGGAAGGGGTTATGGCGAAAATGTCAAATACCACACATTACTCACTCCAGTGCATTAATAAGATGTCAAATAAAAAATATGCACACAATTCTGGAAGGAAAACCTGGTCAGAGTAGTAAAGCCAAAAGTGCTGAGCTTACCCCCTGGTTATTTTGCAGAGAGAAAAGTTACACAGTAGCCCTGGGTATACTCACTGAAGTCTCAATGTTAGGTGTCAACCCATAACCAAATGATTCTAAAAGCCACTAGTAACTCACCTTATATTTTAATGGCTAATAGTGGTACTGGTAACCATAACACCACTTACATAGTGATCAAAATGACACAAAATCTTCTTTTTTTTTCTTTTTTATAACTTTTTACCAAGTTGTCTGAACATTCTTCACTCTGCTTACAGACAAACCCAGCCTTTAAATATGCCAGGTGCCCTGCAAACACTCCAAGAAGAGGTCACTGTTGAATGGCAGGGTGGTCCATTTGCTGGACACCACAGAGTGACATCCTCCCTCATGTTGTACCAGGTTCTAGAGTTTTCTCTGCTCCAAAGTGGACCATCATGCATCTGCTCCATCAGTGCTTTGCAGAATGTGTGTCAGTAAGATCTGCATGTATGGTGCACCTTACCTTTAGTATTGTAGAAGTCTCTCAATAGCTCCTCATCTCTCTGAAACAATCTTTTCCATAACCCCCAGTTTGCTTTGGTGGCAGGGCTACAAGCCAACAAGGCAGCCCATGGTGGTCTTGTGTTCTTATTTTCCATCCAATCCAACACTGGTGCAAAACAAGGTCAGTCTTTTGGGCTGTACTGAGCTGTTCTAAAATCCAGCTGATGAAACAGACCAGTGTGGGCTTTTTATCTCACCTGGTGAACATTTGGACGAGCTTCAGCTCCAATAATTCTATACAATTCTCAATCATTTCATACACAGCTGCACAATAGAGTTCATGTGCTGTGGCTAATGCATAGCTACACCCCCTCTGAACACACAAAATGGTTATAGCTCTTATGGTCTCATACCTGTGTGCAATCTCATAAACTCTTGCCAGAATTTGAGGTTGCGCCTCCAGGAGCTTTTGAACCAACTAGCATCCCCCAGGGCATTGGTGAAGATCTCCACTCTCCTCGTCTTGCTCTGTTTCACTGCGGTCAGCACAGATGATGAAGAATTTCTCATATATATAATTTGTATGGTTTTGTGCAAAGCCTAATGCTAATGGCTGCAGCATCCTCTGAGCACAGCCCATATGCAGCCTCTCTTTCTTCTGCAATGTTCTGGTAGCTCCATCAAGCTGTACCAATCAGGTTAAATCTAAGTTGGACAGCCATGGTCTTTTCAGTCCTGAGGTTAGCCCTAACATAGCATTTAAACTGGTTACGAAAGTCTTTCCATAAGCCAGATCTATCGAGCTGACCTGGTCGCGGCATAGGGATTTTTTCTTTGCCATGGAAAATGTTAGGATCTACAGAAAGCTGGAACACAAGAAGAAACTTTAAGGCTGTCAGTTAGACAAGTATTTAACACACAAAAAAAATGCAATTCAAGGCCAAAAAAATAATTCAAACAATGTCAAGAATGAAGTTCCTTTTAAAACTTTTTTTTTAAACAACAGAAATTAATATGACCGATATCAATTTCAAACAGTCCTAATAATCCAGTCTGTTCAAATCTTTTTGCAATTTGGCATTTTTTTCTTCAAGTGTTGCAGGTCAATTGATTTGATCTGTTTGATTTTTTGGACAGAGGGCCATCATGGTGCCTTGCTTCAAAGATACCTCCTTGAAGATTGAATAGCCATAAAGCAAATGTCCTGTTTTATTTTTAGTGACAAATCACCAAACAGAGTATCAGATTAACATAAACTGGATAGTTGTTGACTACAGTTATGGAACCATTTATCATCAATAATCTCCTGATGGGTAACACTTATTGTGTGTCTGTATATTAAGCAACCTTTACACCAGCTTGTTCCTCCTATTCAAAAGCAGAGGCAGCTCCATGAACTGTTACTGTGGAGACTCCGGGTACAGGAATCATAAACCCAGTGACAGACAGAATCAAAAAAGGAAAAATCATTGCTGTGGGTTAACTCATAGCTCACTTTCAGCAAATTACCTCTGTACCACCAGAGAGCACCAAAGGACCATCCTTAAATGCTCTCATGACTCACAATGTAGTCCACCCCTTGAGCGATAATCAGATATTCCTCAAAGTTTTAGGGAGTTTTAAGGTTTCTTCTTACAGTCAGTAACAGTGTGGAAAAACTGTCTTTTTAAACTTTTTGTGTTCACAGTGTAAAAAAATGTATTTGATCAAATTCCATAGCATCATCTGTCTCACCCTTACTGTATCAACATACTGGATAATGAATCCATTTAGACTTTTTGTTGATATTCAGTAGTGAATCAAGTTATTTCCTCTGTCAATACTTTTTCTGAGGTGCAATGGTGCCCTTGCCATTAACCATCTAACTTTTGTAACTCTATGTCACATTCAAATAAGTTCTACAGTGACAACCTCTGGACCTTAACCCAGCTAAGATCCAAAAGCCTGAGCTTGGCTCACCCACATGTTTGACTATATGTTTGCCGAGAGTGTGCTATTTTTTCACTGTCTGTGAACACAAATGAATAAAAACAGTACACTGCAGTTGTGGAGAGGGACTGTGAAGACACTTTTCTTTCTTTTGGATTGTGCATGAAACTTAAAGGTTGAGTCTTGTAGGTATGGTTATTGCAGCACAGTGAACACAGCATATTGAAAACAGGTTTGGTAGAATTTACAGGAAAAAATTAACGAACTGTAACTTACAGGACCTGTAAGTGGGGCTAAAGTCACTGAGGGTGCATTTGACATAACTTGAATATTTATACCTGTTTAGCTTTTAGTTCATACGGCATATATAATAATAATAATCATAATAATAATTATCATTATTATTATTATTATTATTAATTATTATTATTATTATTATTATTATTATTATTATTATTGTTATTATTATTGTTGTTGTTGTTGTAATTGTTGTTAAATAATATTATTTACGTCCGCAGTACAACAGCAATAGAACGTTAGCAAAAAGATGGCGCATGCGCATTACCTGCTGGAGTAAAGCGATGACATCACGAGCCGCCCGGACCAACCAGTCGGTTGAATCACCTCTGAACCGTCTGGATTGTCGTGTGTGGCTTTTTCTCCGCTTTCTGTAACGTTTGCCTGATGAACTTGTGGACCCAACTTACCGGAAAAATTCCGAACGTGACAAGGTAAGAAAACTGTCGTTTGAACAAAACTTAAATGAGGACGGCTGGAGAAAAGCAGCATACACAGCTGCACCGGGCCGTCCTGGTGGTGACCTCCGTACCGGTGTAGCCGGCCAATGCAACAGCCATCATTAAAGACACTTGGGGCCGCTTTACTCAAGCTGTTCCGGCGTCTTTTGCTCGATTTTCAGAGTTTTCAAGCGTAACTAAGGCTGCTGAACACTAGACTTTAGCTCACAGGAGTAAACAGACAAACGTCGGGTAGCATTTGCATATAATAGTTTTTGTTTAGTTAGTCTGCTGGGGAGAGAGCCTGTTCATCTTGAAAACCGCCCCTCCTCGGTTTTCAACAATACCTGTGTAGAAACAGGAGAGGGCCGACCTCCCTTTAAAGCTTCTTGACTTCCCTCTGGAAAAGTGGGAAAGTCATTGCATCCATATCCTTGGTATGAGTCGTTTTGCTCCTCTGACCTTAAACATCTCAGGTTTTGCCACCAAATCAAGAATTTTGGGGCCTCTTTATTTCCCAGTAGTCTGTTTGTACAATTCTTAAATATAAGCAGCACTGTGCAAATGAAGCTATGTGAAGAAAGTTTGTAGTAAATGTCTGAGGGCCAACTTTGGCTATGTGTTCACCTGATTAAAACTACATTTCTGTTGGCTAAACACATTAATTATGAAACTGTCTGTGTTGCAATAATAACTATACAGGCAGACACATGCAGTCAACATTCATGATACTTTCTTTCATTCTTTCATTATTCTCCTCGTGTGCATAAAAACACAAATACCAAACATTAAAAGCATTGACAATCAAAATAGACAGTGTACAAATAACTCTCAGCAAAACAACACCAATCCAGTAAGAGGAGCGACAGACAGAAATAGAGCTTATCATGTCCTGCCCCTACCCTTACAGTCTTATAAAAGCATCAACATTTTACATATGTCTGTGTGTGTGCATGCACACTTTGCACGTGCCAACAATCCAATAAAATGAAGAAACAAAAACAAAATAATTAAATACTGAAATACTGCTGTTTTAATATCAGATATTATAATCCCTGCAATTTCTGTTCTTCAATTTCAAGTTTACCAGCACAATAAACAGGCGTCTACCAACAGTACAACACCAGTAGGCTATAAAAGAGATTGTCGAGTCAGATGGTGGAGGTGTTACTGTTAGAGGTGTGGAAGGCCACAAATAGATGATAATATGTAACTTGATGGACATATGTGTGAATTGAATTTAAATCTTAGTGGTGAAATATGTTGTCAACAAATTCCACTTTACCTATGAGGAAAAGCTTTTTATCAATTGATACAGTATACATACTACACTTCTTATCATAACTCAACAGTTTTCTCATGTTCCCCCCAAGAAGAGACTGGCCTCCGGAGCTCTCTGACATATGATTCACCTGTCCTCAGTTAATATTCACTTGTACCTTGTTGGGAAGTGGAATAACTCACTTGTGAAAGCCATGAAGTAACAGGTCAGTCAAGGAGCACAACACTGAGATTATCACAGGATAATCATTCTAGTGGTGGGCTTATACCCAGTTGGGTCCTTATCAGAGCGGACTTGCATTCCTGAGAATTAAAATGCTCTAAATCATTTAGGGGCCTGTATGTGCTTGTAATGGGCCGTTGCCTTGTGAGAGGGCTTACTGCTGGGGTGTGAGCTGCTGACATGTTTTTACTGTAAACACTGGGAGAAGCTTTACATGATGTACCATGCTGTTATTTTGTCCACAGTGTTAATGCTCAGACAGGGAGTTGGCTGGTTACAGATCAGCACTGGCAGGCCCTGACATATGCATTGTGAGTTTTGTTTTTCTGAAAAGGTGCATATTACCGATGATTTGGCTGTTTAGTTGCTGAATTATAACCAGAGGGGTTTGTTTTATGTCTTTCTAATTGATTCGGGCCGGTGCACTGCCATAGTCTGATATTTCTAGCAGAAATGGACTCTACAGAGATGTACTGGTATTTGTTTACATGACAGATTTGCAGTCAGTTGTCTGTACAGGCCAATTGAAATATGTCACCGTTTGATATTGTTTATAACAGCCATAACCCTGTTTTACCTTAATGACCTTAGTTTGCGTGATATGTTGACTGTATACTTAAGGTGAAACCACACTCAAACTAACCTGAGGTGACCCTTGCATGATATCTGACTGGTAGGACATGATATGAGTTCTCATTATGTCTTTTTGCCTGACAGATGAGCAAACAAAAGTGGCATTTCATGTTCCTTGATAAGCTTGTTAGTTCACCGTATTAGGTACTGTTAGCAGCTGTGCCAGGCAGCTTTATGGTATTACTTCCTCTACACAAGCATAGCCTTGAGGCTACAGCAACACCGGTCTTGTTTTGTTGGCACTGGACAATTTGTTGATGTTTCACAAGATCTCTGTGTTGGCACACTATGTGAAAAAAAAAAACTGTCAAAACACGCGCGGGCCTCCAGGATTGAGGTTTGATTTTAATTGGAAAGCCTAAACCACACAACTGTTAGGTATAAAAGCTTATTTTTGCCCATTTGCAAACATTATGATACATCAGGGATAGATAATATTAGAGTTGTTGTGATGCCAGTGCCTGTACAGTAAATGCCCGCCAAAGCTGCCTGAGATGTAGTTTTGGGTATGTGTTTGTACACCAGTTCATTCATGGTCTTTTGGTGTCATTTGTTAGCCCCACAACATTAGCTTTTTTTAATCTGTAAAACACTTACTTACACAGTAATAATATATATATGTCATATGGTTACCATTATACAGGGACAAATACATAATAAAGTAGTTGCTTGTGAAAAATCATGGTTTCCTGGCACCCTTTGGTGGACGTACATCTGGAAAGGTCACAAGGCAACCGCAAATGTTTCTTTCTTTATAATGCTATCCTTTAGTCACTCTGACACCAAAGGGGCTCACAAAGCTCAAGAACATTTGTTGGGATTGGTCCATGAAGAAAAAAAGTTATACTGCAGTGTTCTTGTTTAAGATGGTTGGTCATCTCTATTTGATAAGATATTTTTTTAAAAGTCCCGAGGGGGGAAATTCCAAAGTGACCTACCATCTGCCAATTTCTCATTGCTTAGAGAGAAGAAGCTTTATTGTCATTGTACAGGAAAACAACCAAATTTCCAAATTTTGGCAGCATCTCTCTGCAGCTACATGGCACATTTATTAAAATGTGTTTTAAATAGAAGAGGAAAAAAGGAATAAAATAGTAGTAAAAGTAACCTAAGTAAAGTGAACCCTCATCAAAGTCTATAAAGTGTAGCAGTGTATTGTACCTGGTGCTCTTTTGCCTGCCAGCACACAGTAACTCTCCTGGGGTAACTGGGTTAATGAACTGAGTGTTAAGTTTCACAGTGCTGCCAATGCAGCAGGGGGGATCGGCTTCCTCTGATGGCTCACATTAAGCTCTACAGAGTGAAAGAGTAAATAGTAGCACCAACAACAGGGGGGAGGTATAGACTCATTATTTTTTCAATGGTGGGAGTCATTAAGGAGTGGCTGAGACACAGCTGAGCCCCTTAGACCACCATATGTCTGCATGGTTTCCGGATGTTGAGGTGGTTAATGTATTGAGGCAGGTGCTGAACCCCAGCACGCTGATGACCGTTTTCACATTGAGACAGACGAAAATGTTCATCCTTACTTTAAGATGCCAGTTTTATTTTGGTGTCCTTCTACTGATGTAAAAGGTTTACACCCATGAATCTTTCAGTCACACTCAAAAGAACGCAAACTTACTAAAATATCTGTGTATGATGTGGCACAGTCGGTAAATTAAGGCTTTTGGCGCCACTAAGAAGTAAATCCAGTAGCACACAATGGTTTCTTGACTCAGCTTAAATATTGACTCATGAAGTGTGTGTTACTTTGTAATTCCCTTTCTGTCCTCCCTTCACACAGGGTGTTAGACATTGTGATGAAACGCTTTCTTTGGTTCGACAATATCACAAGGTCTGTTGCCAGTGACTTTGTGCTGCCATTTATGCAACAGTCTCTATTAATGTTCAAAATAGGACCTATGATGGCATGCCAGTATATAATACAGCATTATACCACAATGCCAACTTCCACATCATTATTTGATTTACACATTTGATTTTCAAGCTGAAATTAGAGAATGTTTGATTTTATTGCTGAATTATTATTCCAGCAGTAACTGATCCTCAAAATAGTTGCGCTTTTTAAAAATATTTTCCTGTGGTTTAACAAGCTGTCTTCACAATAATGAACTTCAGGAGCAGGGCGTTTAATCAGAAATGTCTTTAATGTTGTCCTTTTTGTCCTGTGTTTAGGACTTTTCTCACAGTTTATATCTGTATATCATAGCTAAAGCAGCAATATGCGGTCTGTCTCATAGTTTGTTAAAGTGGCCTTGAAAGTCCTTGAGCTGGTGCCCCCAGGTCACTGTTGTTCTTGCTGAAGCTCCAGACTCTCTCTTTCGTCTGGTTGATCCTGAGGGTAAACTGTGCGGACCCGCAGGACTCTGTGGGCTCGCCACCACAATAGGCTAGTATGACTGTTTGAATGTGGCATTCTTTGAGCAGTGTGCTTCACTTGGGCCAAACAATGGCTTCATTTAGCATCCCTTCTCTGCCGTGGTCTGCTCTGTCACCATAGCATCGCTCTCATGCCACACCCTGCCCCCCAGTCTGGCCCGGCTTTGCACTTGTCCCTGCTATTAGGACAGCTGGGCCTTGGCAGCCATTGTTTGGCCACACCCGAGACCCTACCCCACATTTTAAGAATTTTTGTTTGGAGGGGAAGTTGGCATTCCCATCCCATGCTCTTCATTTACAATATTGTTTGATAAACCATGTAAATCTTGAGTCTGGTTGAGATTGTTGAACACAATTTAATGGAGAAAAAACAAAGAGTGCAGCTGAACATCCAACTTTTGTATTTCAAAGTAAAGGCAGGCAATGGTCTGCTGTTTGAGGCACCTTTTTAAAATTTTCTCCGCTTAACCCTGAAACACCAACATCTTCGTCACACATGTACAAGAGTAGATGAGTTAGAGACCCTTCCTAGCTGCAATCTGCTTGTCCCCTCCAAAGACCACTGACTCTTGACCTCTCTGATTGTTTGGTGGTGAAAAGGCAGTGCTCCCTGTTTCCAGCTCAACCACTCAGAGGTGGTAGATTTTTAATTAATGGGTTTAAAGCCGACAGCCCTCAGGCTCTTTGGTGAGTAATGGATCCTTCATGGCACGTCATTATCTCTTTCCTCTGTTTTTATGAGCAATCATAAAAATCATCAGTTTCTGGATGCTGTGAGCCAATGAGAAACCCCACCTCAAAATCACTGCAGATGTTGTGCACTGCCAACTTTTTACTGCTGTTTTTTACATTCTAGTTTATAAGATTGTGTCATCTTGATGTCATTGTTAAATTTAAGGTTAAAACATGTCTGGTTTTAACTTCTAGAGCTCCCCCGGAGAAACAAGCCTTGATCTACAGAGTTTTGGTTCTATAAGTAGAACTAGGTGACCTATGAAGTTGTATTTTGGGTCAGTTTGAACTTTTTGCAGCTCTACTCTCGAGAGCACCGAGCAGGCTGTGCTACTTCTGATGCATACTTTGCTTCATTTGTGAGACTCATCACAGGTAATGACTTTAGAAGAAGAGTGCTGTTAAATGAAGAACTAAGTCAAACTTGTATTGCAGTTGCTTTTGAGCAAATATTGCATGCATGCATCATCTTAATTTTGACCTTGACTCATGAATTGTTCCTTATGAAACTAGGCCTCTGCACTAGTTAGTTCACTAGAAATCACTGCAACTTGGAGAGGGGTCTGGCTGCAGACCTCCACTAAGTGGACTGGAAGTTGTTTGAAGCCTTTCAAAATAAAAGCAAATATACTGGGAGTTAGGGCTGGGCGATGTGGCCTATAATCAATATCGTGATATATTGAGCAGTTCACCTCGATAACGATAAATGGACGATAACTACTTCACCTCTCCTCACCTGTCTTTCCCTCTTTGTTACGGACTGAATTGGATGGAGTCACATCTCTGACGTAGGACAGCGTCTTAAAGGGACATGAGACCAAAGCCTACCTACACACATCCAAAATGACGTCTGTTATTGTCGTAAATTTTGGTATCGGTAAATTTAAGGTTTATCGCCCAGCCCTACCGGGAGTACGTTTCTTGTTTTATGTCGGAAGTTGATTCAAAGTCTCTCAAATTAAAATCAATTACACCGGGAGGATTGTATTTTTTTTTTACTTGTGAATATCATTTTTTATTCAATGGGCTTTATTTTATGTATGTAATGTTGATATGATTTTTTTGTGTATTCATGTGTTCAACAAAGAAAAAATACAAAAGGGATGACGACTTCAAACAAACTGTAGTGCGTGAAAAAAAAACATCACTTCAGGTCCTCTCAGTGGAGGTCTGCAGGTAGACTGTCTTGGCAACTTCTGTATTGCTTTGTATCGTACTATTACTGTTACAGACCAATAGACTAATATAAAATCTACTATAAACAGTAACATCTCTTCCTAATACACTAACACAGGAGAAATCAGCACCCCTGCATAAACCAAGCTAGCACTAGAGGTTATAAAAGAGGCCAATCACTATCTGTGTGTAAAGGGAAACACTGACTCTGTGTGTGTTTACGTCCCACACTCAGCTAAGCCAGTTCTGTCACACAGCAGGTAGCAATGGAAAGGTGTTCTATGACTAAGTGCTGAAAATGACACCTGCGAGCGTAAAGGTGGAGCAGCCAAATGATGCTACCTGTCAGTGCTTGTATTTCCTGGATCAATACCTGAGATTTGGAGTACGTGAGCTGTCTGCGGTCGTAAAAGTTAGTGTCATATCAGATGCCAGCATTCACAGACTTGTTTTTGTTCATAGTCTGGTTGTTTTGATTGCTTTATTTCTTTCAGCTTATGAAGTTTTATTTTGTTTTTTTTTATATGCAGAGCATTTCTGTTTTTCATGGTGTTCAGTTGCTGTTAAAAAGTCATCATCCTCTTGCCAAATCTAGATAATTGAAGCAAACGTCAAAATAACCACAACAAACACACGTACCGCACTGAATCACGTGCATCCAAGGCCACAAAAATGCAAAAACAGCGTGGCTATGTTGCAGTTCAAACAAAGGAAACGTGGGCCCTGTCCTGCATGTAATTGTGTATATGTGGCGTGGGGGGAGTGCCATAACTGATGGTCATGTTGATTTGAGAAGGTTGGTGGGGGTTTTATGGGCCAAGTGAGATTCATGTTTCAATCCCTGCTTGCCTCTGCCTCCTTTGTCTACAATATTAATGCCAATTCCCAAAGCAGAGAAGCTGGAAATGAGGATTCTATATGAGTTTGCATTTTAAGTAGATCTGTGAGCTGCCTGTCTAATTTTTTTTTGTTTGATAGTCTTGTGGGAGAGGCATCAGTTGAGAATCTGCCAACATTTTTCCTTTTTATCACATGGGCGCAGTCGTCAATTCAGGTTGTTACTTGTAGTTGTGGTAATTACAGTTCAATCACTGGAAAATGATGCGTGTTTAACATCTCAGAGGGAACCATATCACGCCAACAGCACAGGTTTCTAGTACAGCTCACGTTACAGCCTGTAAACCATTAAAAACGTGAGTTCAAACTATTTACTTTTTGCCATACCCTAAAAGATGAGGAAGGTGATTGTGGAAGAATCCAGGAGTTTCTGAAGGTGCAGAATTCTTCATGATTTCTGATTTTACACACCTGCATATGTCCTGTTATCCTGATTTAGCAGTTTCAATTTGGTTTGATGCCAGCATGTTTCTTAGTGGTGGGAGAAAAACGATTCACATAAGTATCGCGATTTTTTGTTTTACAATTTTTAAATAAATTTTTATGTTCAAAAATGTTTTTTTTCTCCAAATTTAAGAATAAATCTTGAAAACTGACTTACATATGATGTATTTTTGGGGGATATATGGTTCCTGGAATAGTCAATAGACAATCATAATCATACATTGGAGTTAAAATGCAGACTAAAGGTCCTTACACAATTGGAACAACGCAAATATATGATGCGAAATTACGAAATATTCAGAGGCAAATTTTGACACGCCTGACTATACATCAAGCGCAATGCAATTTTCTGGGGGGGGGGGGGACACAACACGAAATCTGATTTGTCAGAAATGGACACCCAATATGCGAAACTTTAGAAAAATGGACCGTGATCTGAAAAAATAAATGCCACAACATCGCTGATGTGAATGCGTATTGACAGGATACAGGTTTGAAAAAAATATTGACGTCCGAAATAATTGCACGAAAAAAACGCTCTCGGTATGAAAGGACCTTAAAGGTCGAGATAATCGACAATATTATAGAATCCCAATTTAAATCGAATGGGCATCCAAAAAATTGTAAAAGAATCGAATTGGGAGAAAAGCTTATCTTCCCAGCCCTAAAGTTCCTCCACTTAGACACAACCAAAGCATGTGTGGCAGGCCTTCAAAAACATCAGATGCAGCAGCAGACTTTGCCAGAGTGCAGCATACTTTATCATTCTCTTTATATGCCTCCCAACCTTGTCGAAATGCACACTCAAGTTCTGACAAGTCATCAGGTAAAAGAGCCAAGACAGATATGTTTGGGCTACACATCCTTTATCTTCTGCATGATATGAGGAATAAATGCACTTGTTTGTTACTCATTTTTCCAGTCTGTGTGTTTGCGGACCTCCTGAAAGGAGATACCGCTGGTAGTTGTACCCTGGTAATTTAATTTACTATAAACTGAATTGGCCTCTCTGGAGCTGATAATGTCTGTCATGCACATCCTGATTGAATTTGCAGAATTTGTGATTATTGCAGAAAGCACCTTTGTTCCTTTGTTGGTTCTTACTCCACTTGGTTACAGACTGAAAGTCCTCAGTCTGTCTTGAGGCAGCATATCCACATGAAGGGATCATTCTTCTGTTAATCTGAAAGATGGCCACAGTAGCTAGCTTTCTCTCTTCAGGCATAGGTGCTGGTATTGTTCCATCAGGCAGGGTTTTAGGCTGTTACATCAAGCAGGTTCCCACAGTATAACCTAACAGTGTGATAATATTCTGAAGGAAAGCCATCAAAACAGCCGTGTAGTCAGACAAAACCAGCTGCATCAACAGCTAACTGTTCCCCAGGAGCGATTGTGTTACAGCTTTTAGTGGCTACCACTGTTAGCTGCCATATTTCTCTCTTCTTCTTTCACAGTTATGTAACTTGTTTTACTTTACCTATGTTTTGATTTTTCTGAAAGGGCAAACTTAAGAATTATTTTAGCTTGTCTGTTTTAAGGAAAATAACCAATGTAAACCAAAATAATTCCTGAAATAAAAAAACACAGTTTTGTAATCGGTGTGCCCTGAACACCTTGTTGCCTTGTGTGGTTGATTGCTTAGAAGCCACAGGGCAGAGCCTGTCAGGTCGATCCTGTTAAACAGTAGGCGTCCTTGTTAACATCCCTAAACGACTCCTTTCTGCTGTTTGTGTTTTGGTTTTGGTTTTGATCTCACTGCCCAGCTCTCTTGGGCTGTATTCACACATGAACTTTACTCCTGAAAACTTCACCTGCAGAGTGAATACAGTCGGTCAAATTGGGGGCAGGGTTTATAATGTTTACCACATGGATGATACGCCACGAGAGTGATCTTCCTGCACAAAGTAAATCTGCAACTGTTTTTTTTCTTCTCTGTTTATAGACTCCTATGAATATGTATATTGACACATAGCATGATATAAAGGCACCATTCTCATTGGTTATCTTGTAAATAGTAGACAGTGACTACCACAGTGACCACCTTTATCCTTACATGCCTTCTTTAAAAACACTTTTCCCAGCAGATAAAACGTCCCGCTGGGAGGAGCATGTATGAAGCAAACTTTTGATCCTTTCAGGGGCACGTTATCCTGAATTTTTTTTTTGGAGTGAACATGCGACAAAGGCTGTGGTTGAGTCTTGCCAGCACATTTCTCTATCTTGACTGTTTTGCTTTATCCTGTCAGGTCCCAGGTTGTTTTTCACTGCTGAGATTATGACAGACTCAGAGATAAGCAGCTTGTATCTCCGCCATGCAGCCATGCAAGATGTCCGCGCTCTTTATATCTAGCAGCTTTGTTCCACCTCAGACTTTGCCTCTGTGTCAGTCACTCAATCATGCATCCGGCTGGCCATGAGCCGGTCTCACTTCCGTGTTGGCATTCAGAGATGAGGCAGAGAGACCTCAGACCTTTTCACATGGATTTAGTCTGGTGAACTAATTATCAGAGTATCTGGGTCTGACATTTGCTAATAGCCACACAAGGCTTTGACACTATCTTCTCCACATAGCAGACTGCATACTGATTGGATTATGTTGGATTAGTATTACTCTATTTGTTTGTTTTTGTGCTACCTTTAATTTAATACTCAGTGCATCATGACTTTTATCTCTCTGCTAGAGACCGTAGTTAGTGATTTCCCAGAGCAGGGCTGTTGGCCTACATCTGGAGGGATCAACAAGTTAAGCCAGAGCCTTTTAACTCTCAAATTGTGTCAATCCTTTACAAGCACGTTCACTGCAGCTGCAGCCACTCACTTCATAGTATTTCTGCCTCTTCTGGGAGGATCTTTTTACCTTTGAAGCCCTGAATTCCCCAAGGTTTTCTGTGAGTAGTAGAGTCAGTGTGCACTTTGAAGGATATCTTAAAAATTCAGAGATAAGAAAGAATATATTTAGCTTTCTGAATATCACTTTCAGCTCAGAAAGAGTAAATATTAAAACAAGAGGTATGATTTGAAAATTGTTGGCGCTCACTAGTGGTTGACTGATAAGGATTTATGTATTTTTTTTAATTTACCACCTCCAGTATTTAAAGAACAAGATGGCTGAATGCCAGAATATAATGATATCACTTCATTACTTTATTGCATCTGTGAAAAATAAAAATAACAGTTATTGATCCATGTGCAATATAATCTCAAGAACACGTTTCTGATGGATTTTAGATTCATACTTGAAATGGAAGAAAAATATTTATGTTCTATGCTGTGGGTGTCCGAGCATTACAGATAGAGTTTTGACCTGCTGTTATCATTCAAAGGGATGTTAACATTGCTCAGCAGCAGCTACATTGATGAGCTAGCGCTGTCTGCAGACATGATTTATTCATATTTTTAATCGGCCTCATCAGTCCAAATATCGGCCGATTATTTTAAAATGCCACTAATCCATCTATCTCTGGAGCTGGCACACTCAAATGTAAACAGACTTTGACAAATGTATTTGTACTTATTCTCACATATCGTTGTTTTATAAAGGATCAAAAACATGAAATTCTGTTTATCTGAGTACAGCTCATCCTTGAATGATGATTGTAAGTTGGGATGAGTGCTTTTGAAATCCTGCGGGTTGGACTCAGGTTTGCTCTGGAGGGACTAGTTTAAACTTCTGCTCTTGTGTATTCAGTTGAACACTATTTTTTAATCAAGAAATAATCCAAAGGACTTCACGAATATGTAAAAGGAGACCTGCATTTTTTCGTGAATTCAGAAAGATGTGTGTCCCTTCTGGGATTAGACCTTTCCTTTACTGGGGTAATTACAAGCTTTGCTGAGGGTGGGGTAGCAACTTGAAGGACCCTTTTTAATCCTAGCATGGCATTTAATTTGTGATAGTTAGGGTCTCTTGCAAGGGAAGGGCTGCTTGGGTGGAATTTATAGATACAGCCCCACCCTGCATGAAACATGTGCACATTGTGGCCCTGTTTCTCTCCGCCACATGATACGAGCCATAATACGACGTTCTCCCTTTACACATTCCTTCACAGCAGTCTGAAAAATGTTTTTTATTTATCATAGTACCGGGTCTGTGTCCTATGATCCTGCTGAACAAGTATTTATCATTAGCACGCAGAAGGACTTTTAGTTCATTCTCACAACATTATCAAACCTCTAGGCTTCACTGAAATGCTCTTCAGATACCTGCATGCGTGAAGCACTATTAGTTCCTGTTTCACACTGCACACATCGATTAACGTATCACAAAAAACCTTTTATTTTGCTACATAACTAAAGAAACTCGGTCAGCTAGCTTGTAGTCATGGTTGACCTTTTCAGGGTCAGCTACACTCTGCAACCAATCGGATTTTCATACTTCCTGGTGTCACTGTTAATGCACTGCGAACTGATTTCCAAGCATCGGCAGCTTTGAGCTTTTAACCTCATTTCTGTCTGTTAAACATGGTGTCCTAAAACCACAGACTGCACTATCAGAAAGGCTAATAGGTCGTAGCAAATCTTTGACTCTAATGGGGGGTGGGGGGTGGGTGATAGGGACACTTTAAAGTTTTCACAACCCGATAAGCTCACAAAACTTTACTTTTGTTTTTTCACATATAGGCTGGATTGACTTTGTCTTATGTACTTAATTGTTAGGCAAACACATAGCACCCTGTGGTTAAAAACACAGTAACAAAGCAACAAAAATGTGCTGTACATAAGGGTATTGAAAAAAAATGAAAAATAAGGGTCAAGTTGTGTTTCCCAGTCGTGACAGGCTTAATAATTAACTGAAAAGAAAGAAAATGTTCAAACCAACACTGTTGTTTTCAGGCGAGGAACAAAATCTATCCCTTGTATTCAAATAAAGATGCAAATGTCCAACCAACTGCCAAGGTGAAGAGGAGGTTATGTTACAATACTCAAGCTTGATCAATCCTACTGTGAATTTGAATGATCCCTGTGTAAGTAATTGTCAAATGGAAAAAATATTTTTGAATGATTTTTACTTCATAAATGCCATTTTCAACCAAAACACGGTGCCAACACCAAAGTCTTCAGTAATTCATTTTGATTTGGTCAAATTAGTCGCAGACAGAAGTAGGGAGTAAAAAAAAAACAAAAACTCTTTCCTTAAAGTTCCCGGTCTGTAGTTTGTGTAGCAAACTATTTGTAAAAAAAAAAAAAATCTTTGTGGTTTTTGGATTTCTTGAAGGAATTGCACTTCTACATGAGAACCACACAGCAGCCTTTTTCTGTGTGAGGATAGGCTAGTTTAGAAGTGTGGTAGTCTTTAATAATTGTGACTGATTCTGAGGTTACACCACTACAAATCTGAGATTTCCTGAAAACTTTTACAGAAAACTGTAGCTAGTCTAATGTCTAAAATTATGTGTTTATATGAATCAGTGCAAAGTAAACTGTGTCCTTGCAGGGGTGAAAATTACTGAATGAAAAACAATATGATACTTTGTACTGGACTTGCAACACAGATTATATCAAGATACTGCAATGATTGATGTATAACATAACACTCATATAGCGCTACATGGCAGTATCTGATTAACTAAAGAATACAAAGTGTAGGATTTATGCATTTGTTGAACTGAAATCTAGTTTAGTTACATTGAAATGAAACACTGTTCATGTTCTCAGTCTGTATAGTAAAATTTACAGAACTATAGTGACTGTGTACTATAAAAAATGACATATTTCTTAAAAATACGCATGTTTAAAAAACAATCTTAATCTTAAAACAACCTTAACTTCTGAAACATAACCTTGTTCTGATGCTGGCCTGCATGATGTGAATAGCAGCTGGGTGTTTTTCAGTCTGCCTCCATTCCTTCGTAGCCTTTGTCAAAACTTCTGACAAGAGCACTCCTACAAGTCTAGTAGCAAGCTGGTAGCAGGTAGGAATGCCTCTCTTACTCATTGTCACCAGAATAGGCTGCTACTGTCACTATGAGGACCATCAAGTTCCCCCATCAGGTCTGAATAAACCTCTTCCTCTTCAGGCTGGAGTACGTCCTCTACCTTTCCTCAGGACTCACTTTAAACAGCTGATATAATTTTCTAATTTTGATTTGAAAAGTTGTCAGCACATCATTCTTACCACCGTATCCTAATGGTCTACATCCCTTGGTCACCTATTTGAGAAGACATCTGCTCATTTGTAGTTGTCAACCATTTTGCCCGATTAAGTGCCATTGATGTTTCCCCCCTCCATGTCCAGTGCCACTGCAAGTGGAGTGATGCAGTAGTAACTCATTGAGTCAAATTAGCAGGTAAAGCTATTTGGAGCTTAAATTTATTTAATTAATTTAAATTATCCATATTTAGTGATGGTGAAACAAAACTTTAAACACCAAGGTCAGGAGGATGATATATTGCTATATCCATATTTTGTTGAACCCCTATCGTCTGGTGCCCCGTAGGTCACCAAAAACCTGTTCCTGCTGTTATTGACACAGATCATCCATCCCACCAGAACAGAAGCCCACCGTGAGAACAGGACCTGTCTGTTTTTCCAGCTGCATGACATTCTTTATAGAGGCAGCTACCCAGGGCCGTACGGCTTCCACTGTTATCCACTCATGACTGCACCAGCGCGGCTCACTACTGATGTCTGGAACAGCAGTCCTGTCGAGATAAGCAGTTTCTTGGATCAAACTGTTATGCAGTTTCAAATGTAGACATTTAAAATCCACGCAGAGTTTCAAAGCCTTAAGAGATTGGATCAGCCCTTATGGCATGCGGCCTGGAAGTGGTCAAGAAATCTTACAGCTGCAGACATCTTTGTTTATGGACAATACCAAATGGCAGCCATCAACAGCTTTTTTTAAGTTGTAAAAACCTCAAAATCATTTAAAGTGACCTTAAACACCTGGACAAAGCATGTCAAGAAGACTGTAAAATAGTGTTTCTCCATGCTGAAAGATAAAGTGAAGTATCGTACCTCCACATTTCATCTCCTGAACGCTCTCACGTGGTTGTTGAGGAAAGTGGTTGAGTTTAGCTTGAGGTTTGATTTGTGACTTCCTTTCAGCCGGAAAGTGTCTGATTACAGGATTTGCTAGGCGGGTGGTGTAAATGTATAGTTTCAGTTACAGCACATCTGATACTCTACGGTCTTTCTGTCATGTAAGGTGGTGATCGGACTGTGCTGAATAACAAAACCTACAACAAATGCGTTTTGATGTTTAGCTGCAATCAGTGCCTAAGTCCATGCCTGACTCACCTCCAAGGAGCAGAAAGTTTCTGGCAGACAGATGACATATTTTGTCAACACCTGCATGGAAACTAGCAGGGACGTAATCATGTAGACAACTTCTGTTCTCCCATGAGAACATGTCTGATTTTCTTTTAAAGGATGGACAGAGTAATAATTAGTTTGGATGCTGGAGCCTTGAGAAATACCACAGAGTTGAATCAAAACCTGATTGATTCAGACTTTTAGGTTGATCCGTGTAGATTTTCAATATCACAAGGATAAAAATTTAACTTGAACAATGAGAGTGAAGAAGGGATTTGAGCAGCTTAAAAGTTAAAACTAACTTTTTTCACAGGATATTGTTTTTACTGTGCCCACACCCTCTAGTGCCACACATGGTGGTATCAGTGTTGAACAAGAATAATGCTTCAACCTCCACATGCCTGTGCTGGTTATAGATTGCTCTATTCGTGTAGTTATATGCTAGTTGTGTTCATCTGGGTAGTTGAGCGTTACAGCATTATAGTAGATGTCATTAACTAGAGCTACGGCCCTGACAAGTGGCAGGCGGCTAAACTAGTGTAGACACATGGTCTTGGTCTCAATATCAGAGGCATTCATTCGTTTTATGACTTAGTTTGCTCATGACTTGTAATTTTGGTACTGACTTGCAAGAGTAATTATTTAATAATTTAGTCGGCTAAATGAAAACATCCCTATTAGAACATAAAGGGGGGGTATAATGCATTTTTTCCAACTCTATATTTCCTTTCTGATACCTCTTAAATATTTTTACATGATTTTCAGATCAAACAAAACTTCAAATCTCTCACAGTGGTGTTTTAAAATATCGTTATTTCAGCCCCCGTCTGAATCGCTTCGTTTTAGCTGCCGTCTCTTTAAGCCCCCCCCCCCACAAGAAAACTTTCTTCTGATTGGCCACCTCTCCAGAGGCTTTCCGGAAAACAGCAGAGGGCAGAGCTTGCTGTTTTGGCCCCGCTCTGTCCATCGTGGTCAGTGATTTAAGCTGCAGAGCAGCGTTACCCCATGGACATCTTATATACATATATATATTATGCCTATGGTTACCCAGCTTCACTGTCGGTGTCACTTCACAAGCTGTTTGAGGCAGGCCTTCCCACTTTGCTGGAAGCACATCAACTAGTAGAGAAAGTCTATAATTCTTGTGTCAGACTCAAATAAATCTCGTACATAAAATATGTTCTCACATTGTCATGCGTTTGTCCGAGATTTGAGCTAGTTATTTCTATTTTCTCAGATTATGACAAAATATATTAACCTTGTTATTTGAAACTTTGCATACATGTTGTATGGACACCAAACTTTGTAACCTTGCAGTTTTTGTTGTAAATATGGAAAAGCATGACACCCCAACCCCCCCCCAAGTTAAATGTTAAACTTAAAAGAAAAGAAGAATAGAACATTTGTTGGCGTCAGTGTGATACTACAGGTTCAGTCTTGTGAAATCTTTCAGCATATGGTTGAATTACTATATTATGTAGTTATGTTGCACCCTTCATAAAAGAATGCGAATTCCTCACACATTTACTGAACTCTGGTGATAATTCAGCTCAAAACTTATCACTATGTTGCAATGTAGGAATGTTTACAGTTGCTGGATGTTGTTAGTCAGTAATTAGCTGAGATGCAGGAGTAATGCTGGCACTATAAATCAAGTGGGAGTGACTCTGGGATTGTTTAGATTGAAATTCTCTGGATATTTTTTCACTCTCTCTGCTGTGCCAGACTGTTTTGGGTGGAATATATGCAGTGTTCGCAGTTGTATAGGCTGAGAATATAGTTTTGTTACACAAATGCAGCTGAAGGAGATGATAGGAAGTAGCTAAACAAGTCTGATTCCTTTAGCCTTGACTCACTTTCAATGCCACCCACCCTACACCCACCTCTACACCACACACATTTATACCTCAGCTTTGTTTCCTTTTTGCAGCTCTCCAAACAAGCTCTCTCCAAACAAGTTATCGAGAGCCAGTGCAGGGGGGGAGGGGGGTAGAGCTGGGCGGCAGCCACTGCTCGGCTGCATCCTATTAAGAAGGGGAGTGTTGAAAAGGGGTGTGGCCTGGAGCCAGTAACATCTGTGCCTGTCCCCTCTGCCCCCACATCATTCTGCAGAGAAAAGCAAAGAGAGGGAGGTTAGGGAGGGAGTGGATTCACAGAGGAGAAGTTCTTGCCGGCCAGCTGGCTGTTTGCAAGACCTGAGACGGCAGCTCATGCTATATGGCAAGTTTATCCCCCTTTTGCTACAGTGCCATAAGAGAAAAACAGTCTCCATTTAAGTGGGAATTTCCTCGAGGCTGACTTTGACATCCTCTCTCTGGGATTGGAGGTGCTTCATAGAGAAACGTGAACCTGCGTGGATATCATACCTTTCTGCAGGAAATGCTTTGCTGCGTGTGCTTGAGCATTGGTTTTTCTGTCGACAGTGCAGAAAGCAGGACACTGCAGTGAGTTGAGTATATGAAGGGAATGCTTGGAGCACCACAGAGACGATCTCACTCCTGGACAGGGTAAGCTGAGCTGAATGAATCTGCCTGTTTTACCCTGTAATCAAATGAGTGCAGGAAAAAAGGGAGTGAAGGAGCAGAAGCCGGCTATCTGCTGGATGGAATGTGTTTGTGTGGATTGCATGTGACCGGCAGATAGTCAAAGGCTATCAGTGTGTGTCTTTGTGTGTGAGGGGAGCTTCTGGTTTGCTGTATTCCTCCCCAGGATACATGCTAGACTCCTCACATGGAGACGTAGACCTGTGCCTCTGTCATGTCTGTGTAATTGGGAGGTGTCAGTGTGGAAGACGGTGTTGCTGTAGTAACTGGGTGGGGGGAGGGGATGGGGAGGATGACAGGGTGATCCGACCATGCCTTGGGGCTGATTTGGTGGTGAGAGAGTTGTCTTGTGTGTACGGGGAATGCCCCATAATGACAAAGCTGCTCTGTAGATAGGGTGAGGTGGTGGTAGAAATATGTGCAGACAGAGGCAACAGACTGATACCTCCCACCAGCAGCGCCTCTGTGGTTTGGCAAACGAAGCCCCATTATCAGTGTCAAGTGAGCGTGAGAGGCACAGGGTGGCATACTTTTTTTCCATCGGAGGGGCAGGGTGCAAATCATCAAGTCCATTAAAAGGAAAGTCACCTTGTGTAGAGAGGGGGTCCTGTCATTTCCTGTGGCTGCCCATCCCTCTCAGGTTCCACTCTCACTCCTTCAGCTCCTCTCAAGAGGCTCCATCGCCACATTTAGAGCGAATCCTGTACGCACGAGTGTGCTAGCTAGTCTTTCTTAGTCTGTAGGATTACACGGTATATCTGAGCGATGGCGAGTAAAGATTTTACCCCGTAATCCCTCTAATGGTTTTGTTATTTGCTTTTTGTCCATTGAATTAGAGAGACAATCCTATTTTCTCCCCTATAAACATCCACAGCAGATTAAAAAGGAGGGTAATGTGCGGTGGAAGGGGCTTACATTAAATCACCCACCCACTCAGCTTGCACCTGTCACCCACCGCTCTAGTTACCATAGCAACTGAGGAATAGGTTGGGATTTTTAAAGGACAGGCTACAGCTCAGGGTCGACTAGGCGGGATTACAGCACTCTCCTCCCCCCTTTATCGATGAGAGGTTTCACTTTTAGCCAAGACTTCTAGTCAATTTTTCATCTATTAATTTGAGCGAACTGTTTCAGTAACTATCCACAACATTGAGTACACCGCATCAGCAAATTTACCCGTGAATTTAAACTGTGCATTTTAACAAATAACACAAACAAATGGTGTCCTTCTATATCGGTTAACTTTTGGCCTACGATTAATCATCCTGTAAACATTCAATCAATTCTTTTACGATTAGCAAAGTATGTGGTCATGTAAAAATGTGATGTATATGAAAATAGTAGTCTTACTGACAATGAGGTCAAATCCTGGCCTCATAATAAATTGAAATGTCTTGATCCTAAAGTCTTTAAGATAATACACAGTATTATCCCACCATCTGCCAACTGTATGAGGCTCTATGGCTCTAAAGCCCATTTTAAGAATCTGCAGATACATAAATTCAGATCAAAAATAATGTAGCCGTAAAAACCTGCATAATGTTTCACCAAAACCTGAACCTTGCTGTGATATAACCAAATTGATTGCACTGTCAACATCTAAGCTCTGAGTTCATCACTGGCCTTTTTGGTTGCACATTTTTCACTGTGATGAAGTGTCATGATAACAGCTGCTCACGTGTAATGTGCTATTTTTAAACCAAACTGTACTCTTTTGTAAATGGTTTGGAGCACGTCCAACAAATGAAACCCTGTAGGAAAAAAAAAAAAAGAAAGCTGGAAACCAGGCCTGGATATTGTCTCCTGTTTGAGTTGTTTCCCTCCTTGCCCCGACTCTAACCTCCACTTGAAGGGTTGACCCGGGGAAGAATGCTAACATGTTAAGAGTGGGGGGTTGCAGAGTGTCTGCAGAACAAGTTTGACAACCTGGCCTGCAGGAAGAGCAGCAGCTTTTAACCTGCGTTGTAATCTCTGTCCTCCCCACATGTCAATCACACACTTCCCAACGCTGACTAAATAGTCATTTTTAGCAGTTTGTGAAACAGTCCATTCATGCAAGCATTACAGGGGGAAACACTCTTTAACAAGCCAGACTATTTACAGTTAGAGTCAGAGTATTCATACGGCAATATATCATTACCTTGACTTGTTCAATCAGATTAATGCAGAGCTAGCACCAAATGTTGATGTTTTAGTCATACCTTATCATAAACGGCTTTCTCTTCCAGTTTGAATCACTGCTTCACTACTTCATGATCCCATTAATGACTTCAATCCTGGACTTAAACTTTTGTGGGTGGGTTTTATTCTTCAGTTTACAAATATCATGATTTATCTTGAAATGATTGTCAACCATCACAGACTGGCTGTATCGTGATATTACCATTATCGTGGATCATGTCGCCGGTATTGTGAGTTAAACTGCTATTCCCACACCCCCACTCTAAACAGAAAAGATTTATTGTTTTGCTATCTAATCATTATTATTGTATTGTGATGATAATAGTAAGTTTCTAGTTCTGTGCGAACAGCTCCACCTTTATATACTGCAGGATCGAGTATGAATTTAAAAATCATAGCTAAGCTTGAATCACATTGAAGAAACTCCAGTTTACAGCTAATAACGTTTGGCATCGATTAAATCTCTCATCATTCAACAATCATCTCATTCTTCTGAGGCCTTGGCATGATAGGAACATAGTAAGTTTTTCAGCTTGCACCAATCACAGTCTTTAGTTATCTTCTGCTTCTGTTTGGTGACCAACTTTAATCATTGGAAACAAGAGGCTGGTGCAAGACCAGCCTCTGTATCTGTGGTCTCTTATCTGACTCAGTGCAGATTTACTGGTGTCCCAAGGTAGAACCTGTGAAAACCAACAGTCTGTGTAACGAGGCAGGATGTGGGAAATAATTAGATTAACTCCCTTTGTCATGGATGAAAGAGTCTCTGCTTCTTGTTAGAAAAGGTAGTGCCAGTCCCAGTGTGTTGGTCATAGTGTACAGGATATCACAGAGAATAACAGACTACGTCATTTGTCTGTTTAATCTGGTACTTCGAATTTGCTTTAGGAATACAGTCACTGCTTTGTTTGTCATGTAAATGTTGTTCCATTATAATGACAGAACTACAATAAATGACAATCTTCCCATCACTCGAATTTGTCACCATAAGGAACAGTGTCATCTCTTATGACTTTTAGAGTAAATCAAAACCATTGTTAGCATCTTTTTGGCGCTAAAATGATACATCTTTAAAGATTATGGAGGTGTCTCGAGCTTTCATTAGAACTTCTTGTACCGCAGAGGGAACAGGTGGTTGGACTATGTGTATCCAAATCTCTGATTTGATGATTGATATAGGGATGGGCTATAAAATAGCGCTCACGAGATATTGTCAGAAAAATCCTCCATGATAAATATTTGCCATCTCATGATAATTACGATAAATGCAAGTTAATGACGTAAGCACAAGCGACAAACTCGCAGCCGTAGCCCACACAGAGCAGAATAACAAACAAACATGGCCGAAGGTAATGAAGAAGACGTTTCTGAGCAGCTCGTCACTGAACGAAGCTCCACATGAGGGGTTTCCTTCAAGATTGGGGTTTGGACGAGTGAAATCAGGTCTGCCTGACATCGGACAGTGGATCTGCTGCTGCTGTTCACTCTGTGCAGTAAGAGTTTTCAACAAATGTTGAAAATGTTTTCACATTTGAGACTTCTTTGATGTCATTAGTTTTCTCAATAACCTACCACTTAAACTTGAAGTTAAGTATCTTTTTAGACGACTCCAACTTAAGAATGGCAGATCTTATTGTGATTAATTTTTTAGCCCATATCGCCCATTCCTAAATTGATATGATGTGTATGTTTAGGTTGTACCTGGTGCTGCTTTGCTGTTGGGAATTAACCAACTTTATTTTAACCATTAAGGATCAAACATTGAACACAGTCCAGTGATAATTATAGGTCTATGATGTATTTTGGAAATGCCTGATACTGGGCGTTAGCAAAGACGCTTTCTTCTAAATGTTCTCGCTGCTGTGCCAAGCGATCACATGTCATCATAAAAAGTGGGAGAACTACCAAACCAAGTACAACATTTCTCATAGCTAACCCTCATTATGTAGTACAACACAATGTTTTGATCAGCAGTCCAAGCTCACAGTCACTGTGTCACAATCCACTCCCACTGCTTCAAAGTCCAACAAGACGTGAACTTTTTCAACCCAAGGCGACCAAGAAATGCTTCCTTTGTCTGACTCTGTGCAGGGCTCTCTTTCTCTTTGCTCTCTCTGTGTCCCTGTATGTAAATGTTGTAATCAGAGAACCATGTGGCATTAACCCTCCAGAGATAATGCCTTTTTCATATCTTGACAAACAAGCTTGTAACGTGAATTCACATGATCACATAAGCATCAAAGCAGAACAGCTCAGCTACTGTAACAGGGCTGTTTTGACGGCTCTCTTGTTTGACTGGGAGTGATTGATTTAAAGCTCCTCTTAACCAGCCAGTCAGCATTTCTGTCATAGCTCAGTTTTCTTTGGAAGCGTGTCCAAGTCTGAATGAGTTTGACATGGAAATAATTGTCAAATGGTAATGATTATTTTCAACAAAAAAAGTGGATTCGTTGTTCGATCAGTTCACTTGTTGAGGTTATCAGTGACTGAGATTCAGTCAGCTATGAGGAAAAGCGAAACAGAGATGGTTTTGTTACTATAGAGCACTTTGTGATTTGGTCACAACAGTTTTGAATTTCACAGCTTTAGCAACCGCTCAGTGTCCAAACACTGATTGATTTTCAGCCGAGCAGCCCTGAGCCCAGGCTGTGTGTTTTGTAAGGACTACCAGCAGCCTTCACTGTGGGACTCCTGAGCCCTTTGTTTGCAGCTGTCCAAATTGATCCAAAATAAATTAGAAAGTGTGGTGCGCAACAAAGATGGGGGTTTCCCAAAAGTCCAAAAACCCTTGAAAAAAGCCAAATTTAATCCCCAACCCACAAAATGAACCTCCAGCGGGGTTTTTTCAATAAAACGCACTCATAGCCCTGGAGCTTTCAGATTGTTATCAGTGTGAGAAACATTTTAAATCAGTGAAGTAGAATTTTATAAAACACTACCTTCAATGACGAGTTGCCTTTCATTTGAAATGCTGCAGCCTGATCCAGTCCAAATCCTAAATCAGAAAAGAAGATTAAACTTAGTGGGCCAAATGTCTCTCTGGTCAGCCTAAATCACATCTGGGGCTCAACTCTTTACAATCTAAGCAGGGATTCAACTAAAGAACATTTTTTAATTCAACCTCATAGAGTGCAAAGTATTCAATGTATTAATGAATTTATGCTGTTTTTACTTTAAGGATCATGCTAACAGTAACATGGGACTTTATTTACTCCATTTCCTGTAACAAATTTCATTTTCATGCGTTCACTCGAGTCAGATCAGAGTGAGACATGTCCCTGAAGCAGAGCAGCCTGTGTGCTGCTCAAGGACACTTTAAAAGGTAGTTTATGACTAATCACACCACTTGAGCCCAGAAGGGGTATATCAGAGCTCCTTTTAGAACAATACAAGGTGAGGCAACCCTGCTGACTACTATGATGTTGTACCTCCAGTGAGGATGCTTTCATAATCTGAGCTGTTCATGTTGTCTTGTCTCAAATTCTAAGGCTGATGATAAGATAAGGTAAGAAAAGAAGAACTTTATTTATCCCCGAGGGGAAATACAAGCAGTCATAGTGTCAGCACATAGATAGAGAGAATTAGAAGTGAACCTCTGTGACAGATACAGTTGAGAGATGCCATCTGTTGCAGAAGAAGGTATTTCACACATCTGTTTTCAATACACTACTGTCCACTGTGTTTCTCCTCCAAGGTTGCATTCCACTCTAAGTGAGGCACAGTTCAGCCTATTAGCATTAGCTTCATGTTGACCTGCGAGTATTAATAGATAAAGCGCTAAGCTCCCTTTTTTTGTAGAAGCAAGTGTTTTATATCAGAATATTTAGTTTGGGATTGGGATCTGTTTGTTGTAGCAGTTTGACTTTGCACTTTGTCAGAGTTCAGTGGCAGCAAGTGTAACATTGAAAGATAACTTTGATTTTTCAAACTCTTTGAATAGCATGGCACAGATTTTCTTTAAAAGGGCCACCATGACCTTCAATTTTCGGACTTGGATGCATAAATCCATTATTTCCAGCAGATATCTCAATTTTTTCATCTACATGATTTTATGTCAGTGCATCAATGGAATTCCAGCCTGGAAGTGAGCTTCAATAACAGACAAGGTTGAATGTTTGAGTAAAATGGACACAGGGAAATAAATAAAGGAAAAAAGAGGCCTTGGCAAAACTGGAAGAAGACAGCTGGATGAAGTCTGGGCTCATCATTCATTTTTTCTTGGTGTCTGTTCTCCATTCTCCCCTGCACATGTTCAGTAACGTGAGCGCATCTCTTTGTTTAACTTAAGATGCTTCTGCCTTTCCTCCAGCTGACCTGACACTTTCTTCAGGTTTGACGGAGGGCTCCTCTTGAGGAAGGCGCCGTACACGAGCTTACCCTCACTTGCAAACACAAGGATTGTTTTTTACAGTCTGGAATGACGCCAGGTCATCCACCAAACCACATGGTCCCGAAAACAACAAGGCTATCCAAGGATAGAAATCTCCCACAGACAAAGAGATGAGTGTTTGTGCGAATTTATGAGGGCGGTTTTAATTATTGTATGTGTTTAAATGACTGAGTACAAAAGATTCTGCTTCGTAGTACAGTCAGCAGTCTACAAAGGTTATGATGTTTCTCTAGTACAATACAAGAGTTAATTTAAGTTGATACAAACACTGAAGTTCCTGATTATGTGGGAAATGTTGGACTTCATCGTCTCACAAACATACATGGAAATAACCTTTAGATCTGCTTGGACAACCTGGGTCAAATGAGCTAAATATGCTTGACGTAGGATTTCTAGCAATATCTCTTCCCTCTTGGCTTCTGCAGGTGACTGAGAAAGGTAGTGTTAAAGAGTGTTGTTTAGGGTCATGAGGCTCACCTGGTTATGAGAGGAATGTCCTCTTGTTCCAACAGGCCCCTGTTATGTTGGGAACCTTGACCGTCTGACAACAAAACCTTCTGAGGCTGCTGTTGAAGCGCTCAGGTCTCGTAGGTTAACAGTTATACAAAGTTCGAACAGTGACACAGTCGACGAGGTCAGACTCATAGACTGTTTAATTAGACACCATGCTGGGTGAAGCCTCCCTAAGAACATCGCCCCCTGGTGACTGATTGCAGTAGAGGTCATTTACCTCACCTCTTCCTGCAAAATAAAGAAAGTTATGGACAAACTTCAGACATTTAACACAAGTCGTATAAATTTTTCTCCCCCCTGATTGCAATGTTGACTTGTAGTTATTGTTAGACTGGTTTGTGCTCAAGTCCTCTTATTTCTGTGCATCTCCGTTTTTAAAAGTTATCAGGGGTTATAGGGACTTAGCATAGACGGGCATAGAGACTGTTCCTTTTACTAAAGGTGGATGATTTACAAGCCCAACAAGTAATGGATCATATCTTAATTTGTAGTATTTATGATGATATTTTGAGCTACTTGTATAAAAGTACGCTGACAAATTTTATATAAGACGACAAGTGGAACGTACTTTGTCTACTCACAAGCTTGGGTCGGGACAGGGGGAGAAGTTTTTGGCGTACGAATGTTGTGTAAGACATTCGAGGGGTACGCTATTTCAGCAAAGTGTCACCACAGCGATTCTCCCTACTTCTTGCTACTGCCCAAATGCCGGTTTCAGGAAATGGAGAAAATCACAGAATTAACGGGAGCAATTTTGCTTCTTATTTGTACAATCGTGACGGGAGGCGGAGTCACGCCGTCTGTTCCATATAAAGTCCACGGTCAGACCTCAGGCGCCCCCCTCCCTCGTTGCCCCCTAGCTTTGCTCCTGCACCTTCCCACACAGCTGAGAAATGGAACAGGAGCAGGTATCTGTCGCTGGACAAAGACCAGCACCATCCTGCTCTGGTTAAAGAGTTAACATAAAGTTTACAGCATTAGCTCATGGAAAAATTTGGAAGTTTTATGGACTAATATGGTCAAAGAGGGCTTTTAATTGCGTCTTCCCTTCATGCTAGAATAGATGGTGAGAATGAAGGAGAGCAGCTGCTGCAGAGGCCTCTGGTAGTCTGTTTGGAAAAGTCAAGGATGTGTCAAAATAAATATACTATTCTGTGTGTTAGTAAGAGTGAGCTGCTGTGTACTTTGTCCCACATATGACCTCAGAGACCTTGTCTTTGAGTGCACCGCAAGCCTCTGCACTTGCGTCGCTACCTTTGAAATTAAAAACATTCATCACCTTTGTTGTCCCATCATCCATCAATCAAATAAATTAGTTTTTATGTGTTTAGGCAACCTTGAGACGTGGCTATTTTGGGTATATATTATTTTTGTGCATTAAAGTGTTACAATATTTTTTGAGAAATTTAAAGGTTTATTATTTATTAAAACAGCACAAAGAAGTGACCAAAATGGGATTGAGAAAGCTTAAGGTACATCACAAACTGTTCTCTTTAAATCTGATGCTCTCTAGAAAGAGTTCTTTTCAGTAAGGTTCTGCTTTTTCATGGAAGAGGTCAAACAGATTCGCAGTTTTTGACTGTTGCTAACCAAGCATCCTGACCCAGTTAAAATTGATTCCCAATTGGTTAACTATCGGTTGCGTTTCGTCTTGGTTAACCCTCTGACTTAAAGCGAAAGACTGGGAAAGGTCACAAAGCTCTGGTTATGATCAGTGAGCTGCGCTGGTCACCGAAAACAGACGTCCAAAAATTCCTGCAGGTCAGCACAGCAGCCTCTGTGGTCATGATACTTGGCATCACAGCTCAGCACAGCAGGGAGGAAGACTGTCAAGCTGCTTTTGCGACACGCTGATGGCTGTGTCCTCACAGTCATCTGGACACAACATCTTTCTTTGCCTTACCTCAGAGGGATCTCTTGCTCGTAATTTCATTATTCCTTCTTAGACTCCAGCCAGCAGACCTGAAAGAACTCCCTGACAGCTGTCTCTTCTTTCTCTCTGTACGTCTGATCAAATTAGATGTTTGCTACAGATCAAACTTCGATTTCTGCTGCAAGAGTCAAGGTTTATTTTGTAATAGTCTCACCTGTTGTTTTAGTTATTCTTTCTGAAATTTACAATTTAATAAACTATCATCTATAATGTTTTAATGCACTTCATACATGTCCATGCATAATGTGCATAAATCAGCAGTTAGACAAGTAAGCTAGCTTTCAACACTGAATTAAAACAGTTATCAGCATCATGATGTCTGGTTGTTGCATGGTTGGCGGTCAGAACCAACTTTGTGAATAACAGAGTGAATAATATTGACAGCTAAAATTTCATAGTTCATGGAAAAAGTCAATTTAAGCCCCTTTTATGACTAAGCCAACCGTTTCATATAGAGAAGTTGAAATTAGAATCAGCTAGTTAAGAGGTAGCAGGTGAAAACAATGGAAATGATTATCACCCATGTATTTGGCTTGGGAGGATGTCTGATTTCAACACTCAAACTCTTGGTATTTGACGTCTTATGCAGAGAAACAAATGAGAGCCTCAGCTGACTCGTATCCTTTATCTTTCCCTCGTGTAAATTTAAGCTAGTCTGATTAATCGTTAAGCAAATTACTGGCCTTTTAACAATCGCCATCATATTGACATCAGCTGGACAGATATTCCAAAGTCCCTTGTGGCTGCACTGCCCCTATTTTTGGGCTCAATATCAATATATAAAAAACTTACCTAAACTATTGTGTTTCCGATTTGTCAGTATAAATAAATAGATTTATTTTATCAAATGCTAACAACAACAAATGTGACATCAGCGTTACACTGTATGTCAGCCATCAGCTTACCTGTCCTTAACATTAGGGCTGCAACGATTAGTTGATGTCTAAAAAATCGATAATAAAAAAAGTCGACCATGAATTCCATTGACGATTATTGTTGCCAGACGTGTTTTTTCCAGTGGAGTGAGACATCTTACGTCATTACGATCTCTACCTAGAGTCACGCATGTGCAATAGCTTCTCTGCCGAGCGGTAGGGTATTCAAACATGGCAGCACCATACAGCAGCTCCAAAGTTTGGGAGCACTTTAGCCTAGATAAGGTGGGAAAAAAAATAACTTGCGAGGTTTGCAAAGCAGAGAAGAAAAAATTCATAATTATCTGATTAGTTGACTGATCATTTCAATAGTCGGTGACTAGTTGACCATTAAAATAGTCGTTAGTTGCAGCCCTACTGTCCATTATTGGTATGGGCTTCAGCTTCAACTGATATTAGTCAACCACTATTGTACATACAGGGTTAAATTATAATTCTCTTTTCTTATGGTCATTGAGAAATGTCACTGAAAACTATGAAAGTCTAACTATTGATGGTATGAGGTGAGGTCAGAGAACCAGAGATATTGGTTAGCATTATTGGGGTCTGTTAAAATTCAAGGATTTCTGCCAACACATACTAAAACACACTACAGCATTTGTGAATCTACCATATTTGCAGCTGGTGGGATAAGACTCTGTTATGTGCTCAACCCTCCTCTTCAATGCTGTTCATTTTTAACAGCTGATCACTGTGTATTTTTATCAGTGATGAAGAGGCAGGGTGGCTGAAGCAACAAACATATTTTACATTACTGGCAAAAGTGCAGCTGCTACAAACCAAAGCAAATGTGTAATCATGTCTGCTTAGTCAGAGCGCCAGACCAGGAGAGAGCGGAGATGGTTATCAGAGTGACTCAAGTGGCGTATGTTTCAGTTTGACGTGGACTACGTGTTGTAAATCTCTCCTGTCATTTAAAAAGACACACACACACACACACACCTCTTAATGACTTAACAAGAAGTCCTGCTTTTACTATTTCAACAAGACTGCTGAGCAGGTTCTAACTAACACACCTACCTCTCAGGTTGTATACCTCTCAGTGTGGTCATTGTAAACACACCCCTCTAATCATTGCTCACAGCAATTTCAGAGGACATTTGATGCTAAAAAGGAGGTGAGAGGAGATGACTTCACCATTCCTGACAAATTATGGTCTCCATTTCAAGCTTCACACCCTCACAGAGACCTATTGTGTATAGGCATTAATTAATTCTCTTATTGCCTGAACTGAAACAGGTTAGAGTCATTAATGTTGTCCTTGTTGAGCCTTGATGGGAATTGCACTGTGGTTGCTGGTGTGTTACAATACTGAAAATAGAACTTGGTCTATTAGAAGTGCTTCTGTGCTCCAAACTTTGTGAAAAACCTGTCAGGAATAAACATTGTCAGTGTCAGTGGAAGAGACTTAATTCTTCTGAGTGAATTGAAATTGGATTTCATTTTGAAAACTCTGTGTTTTATTTCTGTCTGCCCACAGTAATCTCTGACGTAGGCCAAACTCTGAGGTGGAGGAGGCTATCAAGAGGCCGTGGAGGAGCCTCCCACCCTCCCAACCTGACTAGGCCTGACGCACTGGACGGCCATGGCTCCTCGGAAACGTGGCGGCGCCAGCCGGGGTGGTGGCCTCTCCTTCATTTTCTGCTGTTTCAACAACAGTGATCACCCAGAGATCACCTACAGGTTGCGGGAGGACTTCGCCTTGCAGGCCATGGAGCCGGCACTTCCGATGCCAGGATATGATGAACTGGACGGCATGTTCTCCGAGTTGGTGGTAAGACTTAATTCTGCTTTTACCTCTTGAGGAGATATAGAGCAGATTGGATATAACACTTGGAAAGAAGGCTTTGATTTATCTTTCAGTACTTATATAACATAAATTGATTTAAATCATGAAACAATGACATATGATGGCACATGCCAGGGCAAAACCTTCAGGTACAAAGCAATCAAAATTATTTAACCCTCATTCTATTTTAGGTTAATTGGCAACATTTTTAAATTTTCAGGTGTTAAAAATTAACAGATTACACAAAAACCGTTGGTATTAAATGTTTCAGCAGTTTGAGCCTTGAGCTCTTCTGTTGGATCAGATCTTTTCTGCTAGTTCATTGGCTTTCCTCCCTTGGACTATTTTACTGAGCGCTGCAGTCTGTGAATCCCACAGAAGAGCTGCAGTTTTGGTGATACACCAACCCAGTCATCTAGTCATCACAATTTGGCCCTCATCAAAGTGACCCGCATCACATTCTGCTCCAGCAGCCGCTTGTTTGTGGGGGAGCCCTGACAAGGCAATCACCGAGTGCAGCGGAGTTTCGCAGCTTAAGGAAGAACATTTATGATTATTACTTCATGAAAATGATCCGCTGCACTTGATGTTTGACTCGTCAGGGCTCCACCACAAACAAGCGGCATAGTGGGTGAGTTGTGTTTAGTCTCTTTGCTAAAGAAATCAGGCAAAGCTAAAAAGATGTTTGATGGCTAGTACTATGGCTGGGACCCTATATGTACTGTTGATGAAGTTAGGTACTGTTCTGAGCATTATTTGTGACCATAGAGTGGCTTTTTGGTTGAGGTTTGCTCATGGAGATGTAGACCACTGTGTATTGCTATTGTGTGGTTGTTACTAGAGTTGGTAAAACTAGAGAAGCAAGCAGCCGGCAACAGGGGTAGTCTAACTCGGTGTTCCAGTTTGCTTGACCATAACTTAAATTTACGCTGGAATATCCCTCTAAGTTGTTTTTATGTTTCTGTCAGACTCCTTCTAAAACCTTGTACTGGTCTCAGCCCTTTAGTATCCATACAGAAGTCTGTGGGTATTTCATGTCATACTCTATAATCCAGCATTTCCAACAGCACTGAGCATTATCAATGAAGCTCTATGGAAGACTGAAATACTTGAAACTGAAAACACTTTCCTGGAAATTCTGAGAAAATAACTCAGATGTTAGTTATTTTCTGTGCATGTGTAAAACCTAGCGCCTCAGATATCTTAATATATTATTAAACGTAGACAGTCTAAAATGTATGTCATAACTTCACTGTCTATTACACTGGAAAAGAACCACAAACAAGCCATCACTTCCTCCCAGTTTACACTATCTTGAGTGTAATGGGGCCACGCTGCCACTCTCTCTCTCTCTCTCTCTCTCTCTCTCTTTCTCTCTCTCATTGTCACTTCTAATTTGTCGTGCCCTCCTCCCTGTCCTGCCCCATTTTCCTGTCCCGCGGTTGCCACAGTAATCTAAGCATGACAATTTTGCACATCAATAGACCTCATTCAGGAACTCTTAGAGTCTCGGCCTACTCCATCTGCTAATTGCTTGTTTTTGTCCACCACCCTTTATAGAGACATAATTGAGTGAGTTGAGTGTAACGACAAGGAGTCTTTCAGTTGCTCTGTTTACTGAAAAAAAAAAAAAAGGACAGCCACGTGCTTTTCTTTCACTCAGTCGGAGCCACCATGTGCGTGTATAATTGCTGGAAAAAGTTGTAAAAATGGGTTTAGACCACCTGCTCTGTTATGATCAATTACACCTGACCTTTAACCTCCAGACTCATTTGAAGAGTTTTCCAAAAACCTGTTAGTCTGGTTGAAGATTCTTTTTCCATCGGACATCAGAGAGACAGCTGTTGTTGCTCAGTGTTTAAAAAAAACATGAACAAGAAATCAATGGCAGCAAAAAGCATTAAAGATCAAAGAAATCGATGAAATGTATAACCTCATGAGCTTCCTTTTTTCCACTTTGGTTACTCAGCAGTATGCATGTGGATCTGATTTTACGTACCAATCAATAGTCCACACTGCCTTATTTTGACATATGGGCAGTGCACAAACTGGCCCACTATAGCTATGGTAAAACATCGTAGCAGACCGTTTTCTGAGTAAATGTCTTTTAACATTTAGCACTGAGTGTACTGGGTGAACTCCATCTCTCTTTGTTGCTAAAACAGCACCAAAGAGAGGCTAACCTGCTGTATCATCTCTATTACAAGATTTCTTTAAGACTTTCTCATGAAACTACTGAACTACTATTTTCTTTATAGAGCTCATTTAAGTACGAATTAAAGCTTGAAGCTGATGGTTATCCTCTCAAATTGTGAATTCCTTGTCCCCAAATCAGGTAATAAAGATTAAAAGAGCTGTTGTTGACTTTAGCCCTTCTGATATGCTTTAGCCGAAACAGAGACACTCACAGAGTTCTGAAATGTTCTGTACTATTTACTCCAGCAGTTCCAAGCAGCACCCTTTGTGTGCCCCCGTGAAATATTGGTAATATATTTGGACGCATGTTGTCTCCAGATGTTACCACATGTCAGGCAGACAGGCCACGCCTCAGCTCCTTCCCTCCATTACTCACATGTCTGAAGTCTGTGAGACCTGATCTGATTTAGAGTCCTCTGAAATTTACGACAAAAGCATCCGCTGATATCTGACTGATATGAGGAGATTTAGCGCAAACAGATTTTGAATTGGGCCAAGCTATAATGCAACTTCCCGATGCACATGTTTTTATTTTGGAAAAAACAAAGTTGATTTATGTTTACTTCTACGTTTGCAACATTGATAGCTGATAGCGTGTGCATCTCGTCAATCTGTGCTTTAGGGAAGAGGATCTTCTCTATGCAGTCTCCCATGAAGGATTGTGAAGAAACCATATTTCCTTCTTACAACATCTCTCACCCTTGTCCCCTTCCCCCCCTCTCTCTCTGCAGGATGAGCTCGACCTCACAGAGAAACACAGGGAGGCCATGTTTGCACTGCCTGCAGAGAAGAAATGGCAGATCTACTGCAGCAAAAAGAAGGTAAAAGAAGACTCACTGTGTGTTATGTCAAACTTCACATCAGCCTCCACACATTTGCTGCCAACAGGACTGGCCGCTCATCCTGAACAATATCTGCAGATATCTAACCTGCCAAGTTTGTGTGATCTCTCCTCCATGGTTTGTTGATACTCAGAGCTGTGCGCTTTCAAGAGCTGTACCTCACTGTAACTCTGCTCACAACAGGCTCTAGCATGTGAATGTTTGTCTGAGGAGAGTATCATAAAGGAATGTGGGTGATTATTTTTTTCATTTCAGCCTCTAAAATGGAAAACGCACACATTTAGGGCGCAATTCTAGATGTGTAATGAGTGGGGCAAGCTATGTCTATATTTCTCCCTGGGTCCTTTAATACAAACAGCAGTTGTGCTTAAATTTAAATATAGTACTCCAAAAATTGATTTTTAGCATTGTTTATTGTTATCAAGTTGTTGTATTGCTTGTTGTTTTATGTATTTGAAATATGGGCCAGACCTGGAATGACAAATATATGATTATTTAGATCTTGATGTTTTAAAATCTTTGGTTTCTGTGCTTAAACAGAGATAATAACAGAGATAATGACCCAGTTTGCCGCTTAGTCAGGAGGAGTAGTTTTTATTCTTATTTTTATTGATTGCGCCCTTCTCGGATGTTGTCCTTAATCAAAATATCTGGATAAAAATATACCAAATGGAATCCAAACCATGTTTAAAAATGAAAAAAAAAAACCCTCTCTTGCCAGTTCTTTGTCTTTTAAGACTGGGTCATGTTAATTTTTTATAGCTGACCCCTTCACCATAATTCCATCTCCGCTACCCCCCCTTATTCCTTTTTTATACAACTGGGTTTTTCAAAGCATGTTTTAAATGTTGTAATGTGAAGGCCTCTGCACCGGACCTCCCACACCTGGTGGTATTATTGGTTTCAGCAGAACTTTGGCTAAAGAGATGCAGAGCTTTCAAGTCTTACTCCTCTCGAATCAGAGTGGGACATTTTCAAACTGATGCCAATGTTAAAAAATGACACTCACATTCAAGAAGAGAAACTATATAGAAGGCATTGTACTCTGTTAAACATAGTACACCTAAAACACCCTTAAACTACTTTCTTTTCTTTCACATTCTTCATTAAAAACAACATTCGCTCAGCCTGATCAGAGGTCTGTGAGGATGATTCATTTACATGAGTGCTACACAAGCTCTAAAAATAGCCATGTGTGGAGGGAGTATAACGAAACTAAATCCACCCTTTCTTATTAAATCATCCACTAACACAGAGGAGAGAGTTTGGATTTAAAAAATACTGAAATAGAATAGTAACATGTTTCTTGTGACTCCAATGACTGTAAGCTCCATATGCTGGGCTTTCATACTTGATTGAATCACAAAGAGGTTTTCTTTGACACCATGTGGTTTCTGCTTTTAGATGATACACCTGTCCCGTCAAGGCATTTGTGTAGCCATAACATACTGAGATACCACCCCGCAGCAGTGTCATATTTCATTATGCCTTCTCTTCGTGATAAAAGGGCTGTCAGCTGTTTTTCTTCTCCCCTCTCAGCATGCAGGAAAAATCAAAACGCCAGCTCTAAATCCAACTTTAGCTTTGCTGATACACACTAATATTTTCATACAATATTCTCCCCTGACATCCATGACGACTGGGGAGTGAGCGTAAAAGTTTACTTATCTTTTCCCACAGAAGCTTGTAAAATGCTCGGACTGTATAGACCAATCAGACGAACCACCATAATTATGATTGTTCACTTTTACATTTATGTTCATCTTAAATTTTCTTTTAATAATAATGTAGGCGACCCTGTGGAATAACCTGTCAGGTGATTAAGGCACCTTCATTACCTAGCTGTGTAACATTTTTAATCCAGCAATCCCACACTGTTGTCATTGACTGTAGACAGCAGCAGATGCTGAGTTGCCATCGTGGTAATGGCTGCTACACAAGATAGTGTTTTACTCTATAACATGTATGCAATGTCAGAGATGCCCCCAATGATCTCTGAAAAGGTGTCATAAAGCAATAAATCAGTGGTAGTCATCACAATAGAAATTCTGACTCCAAGTAACTTCAGGTAGGGATGGGCGATCAATTATCATTCACAAATTTATCGTCAGAAAATTCCTCCATGATAAACATTTGTCATCTCATGATAAATACGATAAATGCAAGTTGATGAAGTAAGCGCGAGCAACGGATTCACAGCCATAGCCCACACAGAGCAGAATAACAAACAAACATGGCCAAAGGTAATGAAGAAGACGTTTCTGAGCAGCTCATTGCTGAATGAGGCTCACCTCTTTTAAGTGAATAACTTACTGAAAAAGTTCACCTCCCACATGATTGTCATGAGTAAAGAAATGAGGCCAAAGAGATTTAAAAAGAAAGTTTGCGTTTTTTTTTATTTTATATATATTTTTACCAGGCAATGAACATGTTTCATTCTGCTGTAAAAATGGGCTTCCCAACATGAGACCGAAAGGTGTCGATCAGAGTTTTTGAGCCAGCCTCAAGTGGACTCTGGAGGGACTGCAGTTTGTTTATTTTTTTCTCTTCTCAGAAAATTGGCCTCACTTTTGGTTATGTGTGATGGACAGTTGTCATGTCAGTGTTCAGGTCTTGATGCTTTGGGATGATCTTGGTGATGGAGTGTTCACTTGCTCAGATTTCAAATATCAAGTAAAACAAGTGTTGATTCTTCAGTGTTAGTGTAGAGAGTCCGATGTCTCAAGATTTACACATTTCACACTTATGTTTGTTATATAAACATAAACTTGACATCTCATCACTTTTTTTGTTTGACAATAGACATAAAATACTTATGATACAACAGCATCACTAAAGAAACAGTTAGACGTTTTGGTAAAATCAGTAACTCACCTTACTGCCAAGAATCAGAGGAGAGGCGAAGGCTGTAGAGTGTCACTATGCCAAGAACCAGTCCTGCATTATGACTCCCTGTGAAGCACCATTTCATATCCTTACATTTGTGTATAAACTAAACAAGATAGAACATTATGATTAATGAGCTTTGGCGGTGCTGTTAGGTGGACTTTGTTACTTTTGGGGTGGAGCCAGGCTAGCTGTTTCCTCCTGTTCGCCGCCTTTGAGTGAAGTTAACCGGGTTGGTGATTGAAAAAATAACTTAAAAGCTATATTTTTAACTGTTATTTCACAGATTTGCGTGTTTAATGATGTGTTTCGAGGGTGAATAAAGTCATATATAGATGTTTTTATAATATCTGGTTTATTCTGCTTTCACAAAGTGTCCACTGACCAGCAGCGGTGATGCAAGTGATAATGAGGGGATGATAGAAATGAAAATGAAAAACACTCATTCTAAGTTCTCTCACGTCTGCCACGTCCCAATTAATGACCTTATTCTGAGGAGCCTCATGAGTTCAAAAGTTGTGTAGCCTCTGTTCAGTTTCTTGGGGTTGTGTGTGTGTTTTGGTGTGAAGGTTTTTGATGGATCCAGATCTTTTCCCTTGAGGGCGGAAAGGAGAGACAGAAATATCAATATTGCTGACTCGGCAGCAGGCCCTGGCCCCATCCCAGACAGATACAGCTCAGGATCTGAGCTCAGAGGGGAAGGGTGTGTGTGTGTGTGTGTGTGTGTGTGTGTGTGTGTGTGTGTGTGTGTGTGTGTGTGTGTGTGTGTGTGTGTGTGTGTGTGTGTGTGTGTGTGGCAAGGGAAGCAGACAGTTGTCCAAGGCAAACAGGAAGGCTTCACTTCACAGGTGCAACTTTTGTGTGTGTGAGCAGGAGGAGGGCCTGGGGCTGATAAGGAGGAATGAGGGGTTTTTGTCAGGGTTGCCAGGAGCAAAATAAAACAACATGAAACTATGAAATTAAAACCGTATTTAATCAAAAACGATGGTCTCGACTGGAACAGAACAGATACAGTTGTCGAAACTGTGAGGCCAAGGTGCCACATGAATAAAACAGCAACTTTCCCTTCATACAGTCAAACACTGCTGACGTTTTTAACTTTTGATCTTTTGTCTTCAGGTATTCAAACATAAACTAGCGTGATTCCTGCTAGTCACTGATCCAAGAAAAGGTTGTCAACTTGTTCAAATTAGTTGTTTTTTTTTGGATTGACTAAATGTTCAAATTACTGTCCTCGCTCATTGTTGTTGCACATGTAGCAGCTCAGGTCATTATCAGGCCACTGATGTCAGCCAGGCCAGGAGGAGATAAGTCAGTCAAAGCTCGAGCTGTTTTGTTTGGCCTGGCACCTGCCCTGATGAAATCAGGCTGCAGAGAATCAATCCTCTTCCTCCTTCTGGTCAACTCTCTTCTTGGCAACTCATCTGCCATGAAGCAGATTTACTAACCCTGTTGTTAGCAGAGATTTTTCAGTTGAGTATCAGATTTCATCCAGACAAAAAAATCCTTTCATTTGTAGGGATGGGAGAAAAAATCGATACAGCATAGTATTGTAATATTTTGTCCGGTGATATATTGTATCGTCTCATTTACCAAATATAGGTCTTTTTTTTTTTCAAGTTAATTGCTAATATGAAGTCAAATCTTTGATAATGGAAAAATAGAATCAACAGTATGTTCAGTGAGGTTGGTAGAGGGGACATTATAGAGCAGGAGAAAGTTAGTACAACAAATATATATATGAGGTTTGCAAGATGTGCTACATGAAAATAAAATACAGCGTAAATCAGACAAACATAAAGAAAAGCCAAATGCTTAATTAGCTAAACAGTTGAAAAAAGTTTATAATCGCAATATATTGTATCACAATACTCACTGTATTGCAAAATGTAAAAAATCGCAATAATATCGTATTGTGGTTCAAGTATCGTGATAATATCGTATCATGAGGACACTAGTGATTCCCACCCCTAATTATTTGTGAGGGTTACAGCACTGTAGCTTAACTGAACTCTAATAATTCAGATAAGTTTCTGTGTGGAGTCCAGTCTTTGATCTTCACTTTGTTAAATGTGGGAAAAAATGAACCCCCAGGAATACAACCCTAAATTTCCTCTACCATCACAACCCTAAATAAACCAGAGACATCTCAGTGTTTGAAGAGAACTGGCTCCCACTTTGAAAAATGAACTCCTCGAGATGCTACAGGAAGTAGTCCCACCTCTGCTCCTTTAATGGACTGAGCTCCCAGCTCTCACCCAACAAAACTGGCACTGGTCTTCAGTGGAACAGCAGGATCAGACCTTCCTGTCACTGCACGATCCCTGCAGCCCGGCCAAGGCCAACAGTCTCTTCAGCCAAGTCTCTGCAGGCCGTTTGATTTACTGATGCCCAATTAGTTTCTGATGGTCACAGCGAGTTCTGCTTAATGGAGCAAGGGTTAAATTAAAAGCTGGGGGACCAAGTTCATGGTTCAGTCATTTTCTCCATAGTTTCCTTGAGTTACAATTTAATCACCTAAGATTTCAAATGTCCTGCAGTTTTTTTTCCCCTTCCCTTTCCCCTTTTTCTACTTGTAATACAAGCGTGCCTGTGAGGAGATTAATCGTAGCATAAACCAGAGAATGACCCTAATCCACAGTTTCAACATTCATTTGCTAATTTCCCAAGATTTTCTCAAGCAGCTGTGCTCTCTTTTTTTCTGCACTTCTCACCACTGCCTGAAAGCCAGTGAGAGTAAAACGGGCTGGATATCTGTGTCGTCCTACTTTGGACTTCCTGCTCCATTTCTGGCTCTATTTATGTCCAAACCTCTGTTCCACGTGTGTTTGTGTCTTTTTGTGTGTCAAGCTTGTCATTCAGAAAAAAAAAAAAGACTGCATTCAGTTTTCCATTTGTTGTGTGCTTAAACTTTGATGTTTCACACATGAAGCTCAATCCAAATATCACCTGTTCATCTTCATGCTACTTTCTGCAGTGTTTCTTTCAGGGATATGTTCTTATGTAAAGTTTCGGTAATCCATGTTGACTCTTCATGAGCTGATCATTAGCTAATCTCTTGTTTCATACACTTCTACTTCCTGTACTTTACATGCAAACGCTAACAAGTGTTACACAGCATCAGTAATGCTCTGTTTTTTCTCTATTTTTCAGGAACAAGAAGAAAACAAAAGTGCAACTAGTTGGCCAGAGTACTACATTGATCAGCTTAATTCAATGGCAGCTGTAAGTCATAACTTGAACCGTGTTTTTTAGAGTGAGATCGAATCCCTGTTTCTACTCTGGTTGTTATTTTCTAGAGACTAAGTCCAGGATTGAAAAGTGATCTAAGACTAACTCTGAGTTTAAAAGAAAGTTTTTCAACATTTTGTCAAAAATGATGCTTTCAACTCAAGAAAATCATTGAAGCCCATGTGAGGCTTTATTTGCTGTTCATAAAAGTGACAACAATTTGAGTAGTTGCTTTAGATTAATATATATTGAAGCTACAACCACAAACAGACAGTCATTGATAGGAATGTTATTTTCATTGTGATTTTTTATGCCTGGAACCACTACTGTTAGGTGTTGACAGAGAGAGTTACAGCCCAGTGCAAAAGCAGATTTTTTAAATCACTGCATACATTCAAAGTGAGTGATTCATTAAACTGTTAAAAGAAAGAAGTTCTAATGTACAGGACAAAATCAGTCATACATTAGATGTACTGCTTCACCCACGGCGAGTGCCAAAATCAACATCAACCAAAAGTTTGTTACAGGAGCTTTAAATGATACAAAAATATGATTGTACTCATGCTGCTGTCACCTCAAATTCAACCACAGCTTTTATCTATCACACTGGCTGTCTTAGATAAAATTCAATAGAAAGGTTATTTTGTTTTTTTGTCTTGGCCCTCTGGGATTTATTTTCCTCGAGAGTATTGTGTGTAAACCTTTGGAAATCAAGATTGTTTTCTCAGAATCAGATTTTTAATATCCGTCATCTCTTGTCTGACAGAGGAAGACGCTCCTCGCTCTGGAGAAAGAGGACGAGGAGGAGAGGAACAAAACCATAGAGAGCCTGAAGACAGCTCTGAGGACTCAACCCATGAGGTGGAAAGATGTTTCCCTCATCTTTTCTTTCTCCTTCATGCCCTTTGCATTAAATACTACCCATCCTCCTCTCACCTCCCTTACTCTGTCTGTCAGTCATACAGTTGCTCAAAACATTATGCAAATGAGTCCTTGAAGCATAAAACAGCATTGAAGGGCACTGCTGTGTCGTTCAAAGAAAGGTCATCGTCCTGAATTTACAATCAGGTGGATCTACTGCAGTGTGAAGCATTTTAACTTTCCCACTGAGATGATTCACTTACAGTAAAGAGAAATCAAAACTGAGGAATCTGATGATGACAGTATACAGGCAAACACTGTAGCATATGTTGCATTTGATACTTGTTTTTCATGTTTTATAGTCATTTCTGATCCATTAACAAAAGGACTACCAGAAATACTGAGATGAAGATGACTTTTCTTTTCTTGCCCCCCTTTTAGGTTCGTGACACGTTTTATCGATCTGGATGGCCTCACATGCATTCTGAACTTTCTTAAGAGCATGGACTACGAGACCACAGAGTCTCAGATCCACACGTCTCTGATCGGCTGCATCAAGGCTCTCATGAACAACTCGCAGGGCCGGGCCCACGTCCTCTCACACTCTGAGAGCATCAACATCATCGCTCAAAGCCTGGCCACAGAGAACATCAAGACTAAGGTGGCTGTGCTGGAGATCATGGGTGCAGTGTGTCTGGTCCCTGGTGGACATAAGAAAATCCTGGAGGCCATGCTGCACTACCAACGCTTTGCTTGCGAGAGGACAAGATTTCAGGTCAGGGCAAATCAAGAGCACGGCAGAGGTCTTAAATCTGGTGCGGGTATAACAAGTTCTTTAAAAAGTGACGTTGTGTGAAGATGTTTTAACACCTGTAATGACTTGTCACCCCTTAGACTCTGATAAACGACCTGGACCGGAGTACAGGGCGATACAGGGATGAGGTCAGCCTGAAAACAGCCATCATGTCCTTTATTAATGCGGTGCTGAGTCAGGGGGCTGGAGAGGTGAGGTTTCTGTTTTGGATGACTGATTTTGCTTCTTTTTAGGGACACTTTAGAGACTTAGAAAAACACTGTTTGCTCATAAATGTGCATCTTTTTCCAAATATAGACAAGTTTGGAGTTCCGTATCCACCTCCGATATGAGTTTCTCATGCTGGGGATTCAACCTGTGATCGATAAGCTTCGTTCGCATGAAAACTCAACATTAGACAGGTAAGATGCAGAACAGAGGGAAAAGCACTTTTTTTCTTAAAAGAAGTTGAGGCTTACAGAGGATTTGCCTGCCACAAAGTAGGCCAGCCAATGTGTGCTAATCAGCTCAAAGATCTTAAATCAAAGACAATAGAGATTTATTTGGCCATGGTGTTTGAGCCAGAGAGCTTTTTTGATGGTTATTAACCAGAGAACACACAAACGTCCACAGAACTTGTCATATATCTACAGTGCTCAGCATAAACGAGCCTGAGTTGTCAGAAAACCTGTACTTTCCTTTCAAAATCAACATTTTCTATGTCAGACTTTGAAACAAAACACTCCCCCTATTTTTGGCCATTGATTGCAAACAGGATTTTTTCAGTTGTAAACAAAAAGTATTTTTTTCAATATAAAATCAGGATGCAAAAATGAGTACACCCCTATCAAAGTTCTAGGAGCAAATCATATCACCCCTATTTTCATCTTATGGGAAATAAAATGTTATGTATAACTCAGCTTTGTCAAAACTTTGTATTTTTGCTCATCTAGATATTGAGTAATACATTACTTTTAATAGGGGGTGTACTGAGTTATGCTGGGCACTGTAAGTCTTTCCTACTCCTATTCCTGAGATTAAAATTTAATGATCAGGAACGTTCCTTAAGATAATGTATGCCGCTCACTGTATTTTATTTCCACTGTCTAAAAATACATGTGACTTCCTCTCCAACCCACTACTTCTTCTCCTTCTCAGGCATTTAGACTACTTTGAGATGCTGCGTAACGAGGATGAGCTGGCTCTGTCAAAACGTTTTGAGTCGGTAAGAGAGTAAAGAGGGTTCGTTGACATTGCTCTCCCTGGAAAAAAAAATGCAGAAAATGTTTAAAGAGAGATTGTTTGGCTCTTTCATTTTTCCCTCAGGTACATATAGACACTAAGAGTGCCGGCCAAGTTTTCGATCTTATACGCAAGAAGATGAACCACACTGATGCATACCCGCACTTTATGTCTGTCCTGCATCACTGTCTTCTTATGCCACGTGAGTGTCTCTTAAGTTTACTTACTGTACCTCTGAAAACTAAAAAACACTGCAAAGAAACAGTGCTTGAAAATGAGATTAAAAGATTGTGTTGGAATGTGATTATCCTGAGATATTTTGGGGATAAATAAAGGTTGTAGTCGTATTACTTTCACAAAATACTCAATAAATCTGTACACTCTGGTTTGAGGCCAAAAAGATAAGGCTGTTAACTTTGTTCTGATTAGTCAGCCAGAAATTGGATCAGCACTTTCCCAGGCATTATGGAGTTGGCTGACTGAGAATGCAGCACCTGATCGGAGCTGGCCAGCTTTCCCGTGTTGTTTCACCCGAAAATCAAGAACCACCATACTGCTCCACTGACCTTATTGTTTGAGGCTCACTTACCTTTTAAGTGACTTTGAATTCAACCCCTAGTTACTCTTTAAACGCATGGAGACAGTTTTTAACTCTACAGACACAAAAAGGAGTCTTTCAGCTGTACACTATACCAAATACATGTAGGCTAGGTAGAAAAGGAATCAAAAGAACTCATTATTTGGACAAATATCAAACACAATGGGCTCTATTCTCCGATCCACTACTTACTAAACTTAAGGCTGCTCCTTTATTTCCTGTCTTACATTATTGGACAAACTGATTAATCCAGGTGTGATTGATCATTGTGACTAGTCAGTCACACCTGGATTAATCAGTTTGTCCAATAATATAAGACAGGAAATAAAGAAGCAGCCGTAAGTTCAGGAAGTAGTGGAGTTGTAGAGCCCATTCAAAGACCCTGTTAAGTGGGGCTGCTCAATTGTTGCAAACGTTATAGTCATGATTATTTTGATTGACATTTTGATACTGAGACTGATTATTTATATCTTCATTAGGTGCATTTATTCATTCTGTAAAATTTTTACACTCATACTGCTGCAGCACAACACGTTGCAGATACAGCAGTCCTGCATTTCTGGGCATCCTGAACTTCTTTGCACTTTCAAACCTTGTTGCACATCAGAGCCATTAATGATGGGGTTACCTTTTTCACAAACCACTCTGAGAGGAGAAGAGGGTAGGAGCTGGCCCTTTAAATGAATATTATAGTGTAAATTAAAGCTAGGGTCAAACACACCGTAACATTGACTTAAACACCCCCTCGAGAGATGATTGTTGGTGACTGCTTGCTTCTCTAGTTATATCAACTTTAGTAACAACTGCATCATGGCAATACACAGCGGTCTAAGGAGCCATGCGCCAATGCTCAGAACAGCACCTAACTTCATCAACAGTACATGTAGGGTCTCAGCCATAGTACTAGACACCAAACATCTTTTTAGCTTTGTCTGATTTCTTTAGCAAAAAGACCAAACACAACTCACCCACTCTCTTCCAGCAGCTGCTTGTTTGTGGGGGAGCCCTGACGAGTCGATCACCGAGTGCAGTGGATCATTTCAAATAAAAATCATCATAATAATAATTTTGCACTGCAGACATGGTAGTTCTTCTGCTTTAGCATCTTGGTCTGATTGCATTTTATAAAGTAATAATCATAAATGTTCTTCCTTGAGTTGCAAAACTCGGTGATCGACTCGTCAGGCAGCATTCATCTCTTGAGGGGTTGTCTAACTCAGTGTTACGGTGTGTTTGACCCTAACTTAAATCTACGTCGGCATATCCCTTTAGGAGACATAAAACCGTCAGTCCATTGTCAATACTGAGTTAGGCAACTGCCTGTACTAAAGGACAGTCCTCAGTATACCAGATTACCAGTCCAGCCCTGTACTTCTTCTCCTCACTGTTGATTAAGTTTAATGACCCTCCTTGGGGGCTTCATTGGCCACATACGACAAAAGAATGAATCACAGCCGGTGGCGCGGTAATCATCTTGTTATTTTTTGTAAGAGGCCAAAATCATAAATGAAATAAATTTGTTTAAGCAAGAGATCATGAGATACATGTACTTGCTCATGCTGTTTGTGGTTTTACTTTGCTATGTCACCATATCAGTAATTGTTATAAATAAATCTATATAACTTATAGACAAGTTGACAACAGCACTGATTCAGGGGTGATTTTAATGATTTCAAATGGTTTATGTACACAGCTTCAACAAGTCTATCTGATTCTACAGATTGTAGCACTTCCATGGCAATGACTTATCAGTCACAGTCATGTTTAGTGTTGGCCTGCTTATTCTTCTTAAATGACATTTTAACTTAACATCTCCATAACAGTTGACAAGATGAGGAGTGCAGACTTTTTCACCCAAGTGTTAACAGGCAGAGGAAGAAAATTAAACCCAGGCTAATGGATCTCTCTTGCCCTCTTTCCCCAGACAAGAGGAGTGGTAACACGGTGCAGTACTGGCTGCTGCTGGACCGCATTGTCCAGCAGATGGTCTTGCAGAATGACAAAGGACACGACCCCGACGTCACACCACTGGAGAACTTTAACGTGAAGAATGTGGTCCGGATGTAAGTCCTCCGGGATAACCCCTCAACAGACTGACACATGAATGAGTGCATGAAACAGATGATGCAGCTGCCAGATTGAAGGATGTGTTTGTGTTTCCTGAAAGTGAAAAGGCCAAATGGTCAGCAGAGTTATTTATGCAGAAATTAGTGTTCATTATGTGTTTGGCTCTTTCTGCAGGCTGGTTAATGAAAATGAGGTCAAACAGTGGAAGGAGCAGGCGGAGAAAATGAGGAAAGGTTTGTGAGACTGAATATCTTTGATTCATAGGCCAGTTTATATGAAGTATTGATGAATTACATGGCGGTGTCTTTCAACACAGAGCACCATGAGCTGCAGCAGAAGTTTGAGAAGAAGGAACGTGAATGTGACGCAAAGACTCAAGAGAAGGAAGATATGATGCAGACGCTTAACAAGATGAAAGAGAAGTTGGAGAAGGAGAGCACGGAGCACAAGAATGTCAAACAGCAAGTGGCCGAACTCACTACCCGACTGCACGAGCTCAACACTGTACGTACTTCAAATAAATCCTTACTGCATGTTGAACAGAGCAGTTACTGAGTCCATGAGGCAAAAAGTTTTAATTAGGGCTGGGCGATATGGCCTCAAATCAATATCGTGATATATTGAGCAGTTCACCTCGATAACGATAAATGGAGGATAACTACTCCACAAGCTGCTCACCCCCTCCCACATTGACTTCATCTGTCTTTCCCTCTTTGATACGGACTGGATGGGGTGGAGTCGCGTCTCTGATGTAGAACAGCGTCTTAAAGGGCCATGAGACCATAGTCTATCTACAAACACCCAAAACCAACTTTAACTTGTTTATTTTTTTTGACACCGAATATACTGATATGAGCAAAATGACAATGGTTATTGACGTAAATTTCAGTATCTGTAAATTTTCGGTCTATCGCCCAGCCCTACTTTGGATCAACCATACCCTGTAAAGACCTCTTTAAGTGAATCATCTAAAAGTGTTTCCTTCATCAGTCAATACTCCCTCCGTTTTTCTTCTTCTTTCTCAGCAGCGACAAACAGCCGTCGTTCCCGGAGGCCCTCCCCTTGCCCCTGGACCTCCTGGTGGTCCCGTGCCCCCACCGCCTATGCCAGGCATTGGAGGCATGGCCCCACCTCCCCCGCCACCACCTGGGGGCATGATGCCTCCTCCACCTCCCCCACCTCCTCCCCCTGGCGGTCCTCCGCCTCCTCCTGGACGCCCGCCTATTGGAGGCATTCCACCCCCTCCAGGAGCACCTCTGGGACCCTCCCTGAAGAAGAAGGCCATCCCCCAGCCAGCCAACCCGCTTAAGTCTTTCAACTGGGCTAAGCTAGCAGAGGTGAGGACAGTCAAAAAGCCTTGAATGAATTGATGATTATTTTAACATCAATATGAAAATGACGGTGTCTTCTTCCTCTGCTCAGAATAAACTGGAAGGCACAGTGTGGATGGACGTGGATGATGCCAAGGTTTTCAAAATCCTGGACCTGGAGGACATAGAAAAGACCTTCTCTGCCTATCAGAGACAGCAGGTATTGAGGAGGCACAGTTAACCCCCATGAAGTCATTCCCATCAAGGGATTGAAGGGATCGATGGGATTGACGGGATTGATGGGATTGATGGGGTGGGCAGGTGGCTGAAGGGTGCAGCTTGCTTGCAGTTTCTTCATTCAAAGGGGAAGGGAGACATTTCTTTGAGATATGGGAGTTAATGTCATACAAAATGTCATGCCTGAGTCATCTTGAACATCTTTTTTTCATCCAATGGAGTGCTGTTTTAATCCAATTTTTGTTGTTTTGCAAGATATGATTGAAAATGCATGAGTGAGCTGCTCAGAATGGACTATTATCATCCTAGTGCTTCTTTCAGTCACTGTTTCTTCACGATCAGTAGTGTCTTTCTTAGTTTTTCCGTAGAGAATGAGCATGATTGTTGAAAATTTCTCCTCTCAAACACAAAGCATGCATAATGAGATGTTGAAATTGATTCATTCAATGTGTGACTCCTTACTAAATTTAGAATCTGAGCTAGTTTACATGACAAAACTAAATCTAGTCTCAAATGTTGGATGTGCACAGCATGCGTAGCGCACACACTGATCAACTGAACACCCACTCATGTCCCACTGCTGCTCACTTCATTACTGACGGATCAGTTGGTGAATGAGCTTTGATTCATGTTGCTGTGTTGTTGTTTTTTTTATTTTATGGGCTGCGATCACGTATCTGCTTTACTTATTCTAATGACTGCTTACATCTTCCCTGCTTCTTGCCTGCGTTTTAGGACTTCTTTATGATCAATAACAGCAAACAGGTGAGTGCTCTTACAGAAGACACACGCTCTGAACGTGTTTTACTGTCATTTAAACTACTTTTATTGTGTGTTTGACAGAATGTAAAAGCTTTAGTTCAGTGTTATTTTGTGATGTGTTTCATGTTTGCATGTTTGTGTGATAGTTTCTTAAAGCCTTGTTATGTGTTTTCTTTTGTTTGGGGATTTAGGGTGTATGTCATTTTTATATTTTTGTGTCTCCTACTAAAACTAAATTGAGACTCAAAGTAGCCCCCCAGCTGAACCCTAACTTTTTGATCACTCTGCTACTCTCAGAAAGAGGCAGACGACGACACACTGGGCTCTAAAAAAGTCAAAGAACTCTCCGTTATTGATGGACGGCGAGCCCAAAACTGCAATATCCTTCTTTCACGGTAAGTTCACTCCAGTGTCTAAGACACTACAGATTTATCTAGGAATGATGTTTGTTTTATCTTTGGCTCATGTGATGTGTGTTGCAGGCTGAAGCTTTCAAATGAGGAGATCAAGAGAGCCATCCTCACCATGGACGAGCAGGAAGATCTCCCCAAAGACATGTTGGAGCAGGTAGGTCACATGGTCTCCATTCATTCAGCGTGTTTACGTACATGAGATTACAGTCTGTTCCTGCCAGTAAGCTGATTTCTGCAAAGTCATGTAATGGTGGTCAGGGGTCAGAGAAGACTGATAGCCCTGGAGAAGGTAGAGGTAGGCAGTATGGCCTTAAAGTATACCGTTAAATCCTCCAAAGATTCAGTTGAAGTCAAACATAGCGGGAAGATTTGCAGCCAAATGCATCTGAGTTGAGCGCAGTGAAATGTTCCACCTGGTGATTTTAGAGCAAATGAACACTCCTAATGCTGTAACTCAAAAAATCGAATGTGCTTTTCATACAGACTGGGAATTTGCCCTTGTAATTCAATTAAAGCAACGGTTTTCAATATTTATACTTTTCCAGGCCAGATATGTGCTTGGTGTCACTTATTCTACAAGGACTGGAGTATATACTCCAAGGGAAAATGTTATTATTTTTTTTTGCTGTGAAAAGACACAACAAAAATGGATAAATGAAGATTCAGTCACATTTTAGCAGGAGGAAACGTGACTTTTTACATGATTAAGTAAGGGATAATGTAAAGTTAGTAAGTAGTTAAGCAAAATTGAATCCTTACATGGTGAGACAAGACCCCAACACAAACCCCCTTTCATTGCCACCAGCGTATTTGCAACATCTAGACTCAAAACTGATTGAAGGCGGATTTTGTTTGATATCAAAAGTTCTTTTTACACATTTAGACAAACACTTCTTAGATTTACATATTGCTTGACTCACTCTTAAATGCCTACTTTTTGGTCCAATAAACCTTAAATATAAGATTTTCATTCACTGTTAAGTCTTACAGTTGGAATTATTGCGACTTTCCCAGTACCTTAAAAATGTCGCTTGAGGCAGAGAATAGGTCCTGTATTTTTGTGTGACAGGCCGCTGCTGCTCCAACAGCAAAAACGCTCCTACAGTGGTCAGTGATTTACATGCGCACATCAGATGTTATATGTGTACACTTTGGGTTGGTATCAAAGCAAACAAAGAACATAAAGCACGGTCAACAAAAATGATGGCTACCTAGGCTCACCTAGGTAACCCCAGTGTAGGTGAGACAGCTCCTTATATAACCTACCAGATTTCAAACACAGTGCCCACATGACCTGAAACCCAGTAAAACCAATGACAAGCAGACAAAAGTAATTGAACACAGGATAACCGATCAGCAAAGAAACATTATGAATGCTTTGCTTAGCTGTTTTAAATCATGTTAAACGTCCACAGGTTCAGCTGTAAAAGGCTCCTTTCTTTGATTCGATGTGACAAGTGCAGTTAGGTTATTCCTGGCATTGATTTTGCTGTTCAGAAATAAAAAACATTTTTAAAGAGTTCTGACCAATCAGAATCAAGTGTTTATTGACGCCAGATATGCCGGTTAATAATAACTGAGTTAAGTCAAGTCAGACTTCACAACACATATCAACACCAAATCCAGAAAAATGAAGTTTACAAGACGCAGAGCACACATACAACTGTACATACACACCTACACAGATGCACTCGCACACACACTGAAATCTTTGACACAAACAGAAAAAATGATCATTCTTGGTTGATCAGAGTTTTTTCTTCCTCATCAGCTGCTGAAGTTTGTTCCTGAGAAAAGTGACGTGGACCTTCTGGAGGAGCACAAACATGAGCTGGACCGGATGGCCAAACCTGACCGCTTCCTCTATGAGATGAGCAGGTACTTCACCATTTTCACATAAGAATAAGAGGAACTTTATTTATATCTTTATCACTGAAGGGAAATTCAAATTCAATTCAGTTCAAATTCAATCACTTCTGCTTTAATAAAGATGTAATACCAGCTTCAGCTCACTAACAATGACCTCTCTTTCCTCTTAATGGAAGTAGATAAACTGAATGACACATGTGCCTCTATGTCAGGAACAATCCCTCTCTGTGTGGATCATCACTTTCAAATTACGTTAGAGAGAGTCAGCAGTGTTTTAGCAGTATTTTTTTTTAACAGTTTTAGCTGCGAGCCCTTCAAGATAAAAGAAATGAAAGGACACGTGATTGCTCGGCCACTCGCAGTTTAAATTTATCTGTATGACGGTTATAATACACAACCAGCTAAGATCAGTGACTGACATCACTGCAGAAGAATGAGCACAGACGCCTCTGAGCCACTTAAACTGAGATTTATTGAAAGACCCTCTTGTTTTGGTCTTCATAATTTACTGTACTGCACTGTTTCTTGTCATTAGTTTCCTCAGAGTGCAGAATAGACTGAAGGGCAGATGTCACTGTGGCTTTCACTTGCCACAGAGTCATAAGTTTATAAGCCGAGATAAAAAAAAAGCCAAAAATAAGTTTCAGAACCTCAAGTAAAACTTTAAACGTCTCATTGAGTAAGCACAAAGGCGACTGACTTTATTTTTCTAAAGCGCAATGTCCGTGTTTATAGCTTTTGTGGACATTTGTGGATTTCCCTGTTTATAATTCTTATTTCTGATCTATTTTCATTCCTCTCTGACACTCTTTTTCCATCTCTTCTCCAGAATAAACCACTACCAGCAGAGGCTGCAGTCTCTGTATTTCAAAAAGAAGTTTGCGGAGAGGATAGCTGAAATCAAACCCAAAGTAGAAGGTGGGAAAACTACAACAGGAAACACAAAGAGTTAATTTGTTTACAACTCAAATGTTGTATTATTTTATTTTTTATTCCTGGTGATGTGCCAGCCATTTGTTTCTAAAAATAAACCAGTGAGGCACCTTTTAATGACTTAAAACCGTGACTGTTTTTTATGTTGTCATGTCTCAGCTTTGACGAAGGCGTCGAAGGAGATTTTACACAGCAAGAACCTGAAGCAGCTGCTGGAGGTGGTGCTAGCATTTGGGAACTTTATGAACAAAGGTCAGAGGGGGAACGCTTACGGCTTCAAGGTTTCCTCGCTCAACAAGATCGCTGACACCAAATCCAGTATCGACAAGTAAGACAAAATCGTTTAAAAAAAGAGTAACAGACAATAGCATGAACACAGAACACATTAGTTCAAATACCATAAAGTTATTTATATCCAAACCTACGTCTTTAAAAGGTGCTCAAAGTTTTGCTGCATTGTCTCTTCTTGTCTGCAGAAACATCACCCTCCTGCACTATCTGATCACCATCCTGGAGAAAAAATATCCCAAAGTCCTGAAGTTCCAGGAGGACCTCCAGAGCATCTCAGAGGCAGCCAAAGTCAAGTACGAGAACCTGCAGCTAGACTCCCTCTCCACTTGTTGGCTTTAAACTTTTTTTATTTTGCATTTAATATTCAGACCCTTCTCTCATCCTGTAGCATGACAGAGCTGGAAAAAGATATCAACAACCTTCGAAGCGGTTTGAAAAGCGTGGAGAGTGTGAGTAACGGGGATCTATGATATAATACATGTTCTGAATCATTCCTGCTCTTGGACTATATTTACTGCTCGACTTTTCAAGCTTTCGATTCATTTCTTCTCCCTGAATCGATGTCACTTGTAGGAGCTGGATTACCAGAAAAAGAGACCGCAGGAGCTCGGTGATAAGTTTGTGTCAGTGGTGAGTCAGTTCATCACCGTGGCCAGCTTCAGCTTCTCCGACGTTGAGGACTCTCTTACAGAGGCCAGGGACCTGGTAAGTCCTGGACTTGTTGGACTGGAGAACACCGCTGTCACTTTCTATACACACGCACCATGCTTGCAGCCCATTTCCTTTCCATGCAGCTGTTTCTACACTCCACGTTGACCTCATCAGTCACCTTTAGAGGAAAGCTAACAGCAGGAGTGAAGTGTTTTAGCTTCCTACCACAGCACTGCCGCCACTTTATTGGTCGGCCTGCTCTCAGCCATGTGCACAGGTCAAAAGAGAGAGCAGGAACAGAGGGGCGGGTATCGTTTTACACAGTTATGTCCAATCCTACTTTTGGCTTTGTGAAAGTCCTAATAGAGCCTTTATTCTCTTAGAAATGAAGATGTACTGAGTTGAAAGCAAAAATACATACAAAGAGTGATTTTGGAGCCTTTTAAAGGATGTTTTTAACAAGGAGAGTCCTGAGCATTTGGTCACATCAACAGCCTATCGTTGAATTTTTACATTTATAAAACTATACAATACAAGAAGTGTATTGATCCCCTAAAGGCAATTCGTTCTAGTACAGGGGGAATTTTTTTTTTTCCTTTTTTGCATTTTAATGTGCCTCTGTGTGTGTGTGTGTGTGTGTGTGTGTTTATTTGCTGTTTTGACCTCTAGTTTCTGTGAATCATTAACTTACCGTGTCCTGCAGTTAAATATTTGAAAGTGTGTACAGTAGTCCTCTGAAGAACATTCAAACTCTGTTAACAGCTCTTCAGTTGGGGCCCATGTGAGCCTGATATTTGGAAAAAAGTATCTTTCGAGTCATAAATGTACCATCTGTAACACTTAACATGACGCCTATCTCTACAACACATTATAAACATATGTATAATGCGTTATAATCACGTTATAGCACTGTATAACTATAGTTATAAACACTCATAAATGATCATAATGCTTTATAGCAATAATCACAACACATTATGAAGCATTTAATCATGACTTACAAGGTCGGGTATTCAAGTTTATAAGCAAATTATAACACATCATAAATATATGTATAATGTATTATCTTCGTTGGCATTGTCAGTGAGTTATTAACAGTTATAACACATTATAATACATGACCTTGTAAGTCATGATTAAATGCTTTATAATGTGTTATCATTATTGCTATAAAGCATTATGATCAATTATGAGTAACTGTAGTTATACGGTGCTATAATGTGATTATAACACATCATATATGTATATTTATAATGCGTTATAGAGGGCGTCAAGTAAAGTGTAACCATACTGTTGATGGTTGTGAGGAAGTAAAAACATTTAAATGCACATAGAAGTTTAAAAAAAAAAACCATTTCAAATCTACCTTTCCAGTTTGAAGTGCACCTTTGCTTTACACCTGATGGAGTTTGCATGTGATGCACAGAGTAAGAGAGTCTATGTTCTCAGCATGATCTCACATCTGGATGTTCTCCATTTTAACTCGCTGTGAAAATCCCCCTCTGACACACTGTCTTAATTTGGGCTCTGGCTCCAAACTCTGGCCTCGGTTGTAATCAGTAGCCGGTCAGATCTGGGTTTATGCTGGCTTCAAAGCTGAAATACTGGTACCCTGCTCTTATTTCAAAGAGCTGGGACTTAATGAGTCTCCTGTAAAACAGTCATAACAGAGTGAGTAAAACATGGTGTCCTGCTGTAAATCTAATCCCCTTCTCCTCTCCCTCTGTGCCCCCTCTCCCTGCTCCCACAGTTCCTCCGGGCAGTAAAGCACTTTGGAGAGGATGCCAGTAAGATGCAGCCAGATGAGTTCTTTGGCATCTTTGACCAGTTCCTGCAGTCGTTTGCTGAGGCACAGCAGGAGAACGAGAACATGAGGAAGCGTAAAGAGGAGGAGGAACGCAGGGCTAAAATGGAAGCTCAGGTATGTGACCGGTCCTTTATTTTCATGTATAGAAAAGCACAGACATTATCAAACAACTCGGCATTAAAGCACTCGAAAATCTTCCCGGTAGAAATATTCTTGATTTTTTAATCAGAGTTGAGGCAAGATAGAGTTAACAGTTTCAACATCAATCTGAACTTTAACTTCATTACGTTTGCTCAAGTTCTCCTCCCAGTGTTTTCATTGGACAGATATGAATAGTTCCTATGGCTCCATAGTTTTTATCGTATTACTTAGAAAGAATAGTTTAGAGGGAGGAACATGAATAAATGGAAATATAGGAGACGATTTTCAGTATATGTATTTTCTACCCTTTCAAAACAAAAGGTTGGTCACTGCATCTGCCTTTGAACAAATTCTGTAATAAGAAGTATTAAGAGCCCTTCTTTTTTTTCTGTTTATTTGTTTGTTTTTTCCTCTCGTCTTTGCCTGTCTATTGTCTATGACTATTCTTCCACATGGATTTTGGGTTTGATATGTCTTGGTATATTGTTGGGACTGTTTGTTATAGTTATTTTTAATACAGAGAATATATGTTTTATTTGTTAACTGAAAATTACAAGTAAAATATTTTTTAAAAAAGAAAGAAAGAAAGAAAGAAAGAAAGAAAGAAAAAACAAGGTAGGAAACAGCCAGTTAGCTTAGCAAAAGTCTTAGCTCTCTCTGACAGTAACAAAAGCTGCTTCTACAGAGGTAATGAGTGTTAAAATACAGAGCAGACACAGATTTTCAACTTGTTTTTGTAAATATTTGTGTCTGTTTTTAAAACGATTGTTAAAATCCAGTGTATTTAAATTATAAATAATATAAAGATGGTCAACATTAGCTACTGATTAGCTACACGTTATTTGCAGATGGGCTTACGTCTGTTGAAGGCAAATAACTGCTGACATTGATGTTTAATACATACATTTGTGCATCACTAACATTTATAATGATCAATAAAGCTCATTTAATGATCAAACTGTATCTGGCATATTTAGCACTTATAGATTCCTAAATGTAAAGTTTGTGAGCTCTGCCTACAAATATCAAATCAATCAATCAAATTTTATTTATATAGCGCCAAATCACAAAAGTCGTTATCCAAAGATGCAGATCTAGACCACACTAATTATTTGATGATTTACCAAGACCCAACCTTAAAATGGGACAGATTTGACCCATCTTAGCCAACACGAGTGACAGTGGCAAGGAAAAACTTCCTTTTAACAGGCAGAAACCTTGGGGAGGACCAGATCCATGTTAGACAACCAACTCGCTGCTGCTGAGTTTGGGAGAAATATCTTCTGTTGTATTTTGGCAATGCTACTTGCTTACTTCTCTTTTTTAAACATTTTTATATCAAGCTTAGCTAACCAAACTTTTAATACTTATTACTGATGATACTGATTATCAATTATTGTAAGTGTATCTTGCTAAGCAAAGAAAGAGGGGAGTTACCTGAGGTATTTCTTTTATCCTGAGGCCAATAACCAAAGCCAATATTTCTCTCTGTGTGCCTCCAGTTGAAAGAGCAGAGGGAGAAAGAGCGAAAGGCCCGCAAAGCAAAAGCAAACGGGGAAGATGACGGCGGCGAGTTTGACGACCTGGTGTCGGCCCTGCGGTCAGGCGAGGTCTTTGACAAGGACCTGTCCAAGATGAAACGGAACCGCAAGCGCTTCAACAACCAGACCACAGACTCAAACAGAGAGCGACCTATCACAAAGCTCAACTTCTAAACTGCATTGAGGTCATCAACCTTATTTCAACTCCCCCTAAACAATCAGTCTGACCCTCTGGGTTAGATTGACATGCACATTCCTCGGCACCTCCCTCCATTCCCACCCAGTTAGGCTTCAGAGGTGCAGCACCACACACACAGCGCAACATGTTCAGACTCTTCATCCTTTGTGATTTTTGATGTTTATCCAAGCAGAAGCCAAAAGTTGTTATCAACAACCAAACAGGAGGATTAGTTTGGTTAGATGAAATGTATCGTCGAGAAGCAGGATGATGTTTCCCCTCGCTGAAAAAGTTTTCCTATGTGTGTGTAAGAGATGTTTGATAGGACCTGCTCTGTGCTGTTTTTTTGTACATCGAAATCTATGCACAGAGTGAAAATGTGCAGCTCACAGACTCCTCCAGGGCTTGAAGCTCGATCCAAACAGGAAGATGATTCCAAAACACAAGGGGCCATTTTGTACGGACTGATTTCATAGATTGAGACAGGCTGCTGGATTGTTCGATACGATTTTTGAAGACAGACTGAATCTCCACTTCCTGATGACGCTGCCTCTCTGTTGCGGTCAGACCCATCCCAGAAGTGAACCGGGGCGTTTTAGACAGAAGTGTTTTCTACTGGAAGTGATGCAGCTACGAGGCAGAGTTTCTTTTCTATTCTTCATATTGACGTGCAGCCGTTATATATCTGATCTCTGTATGTTTATCTGATTTTTTTTGTTGTTGTTTTCCGGTTAAGAGCTGGCCTTAACTCTGTGGGTTCTAATTGTTGAGTAGGTACTCTTAAAGGCCTGGGCCTAATCTGCAATTTCTGAGGAAGTATGCACACGCGTGTCATAGATGATATATATCTATATATAAGGATGCGTGCTTGTTTCACATGCACATAGAAATCCATATGACTATGCTAAATGCCATTAAAACCATACCCTATCAATGCAATACACCCGTTTTCCCACTCTAAAGGAAGTGCTAAGTTTGTGTTAAGATAGATGTACTCCATTTTCCCTGCGATGGCTGGATTTACACTGCAAGCAAAACAACACATGAATTTTAACATGTCCAGATGTGATGCTTTCATTCTTGTAGAAAACATCACATGTGGACATGTTTCAGCAATGTGAATCCATCCAGTGTCAAACACTTCCATTCGACTTTTATAATTTAACTATTGCCTTTCATTGTACAATGACCTGATGAGAATAAATGGGAGAAAATAATTGACTGTCTTTTTACTATTTGAAGTGTTTTTTTTAATGTAGTTTTCACTGGAGCTACAGAGGATATGAATTACCACCAGGACTCTGTGGAGGAACATGTAGGCATTGATGGAAAAGACAAACACATTTCTTACTCCTAAAAAAAACACCATCAGCAGCCAGTCTGACTGCTCCACCTAGTGGTTATTATCTGCTATTAGAAATCGTACCTGAATGCCACCAACATCAAAGAGCAATCACACACCTAACAAAGGAAAATCTGATATTACAATCACACAACACATACCAAATAGATTTTTAAGTACTCTTTAGAAATTATCACAATTAAAATAATGAAAAAAGGTTTTATTTGAATTTTCAGACAAGAACAAACCTAACAGATTCGATGAAAGTACTGATGCACAAGTATTTATTGTGATACTACATCATGAGCTATCACAGAGCAACTAATGACATTAATCCTACTGTTTACCACACCTTTCAACTTATTTATTGTTAAATTGCTAAGTGTAAATATCACCATCTTTGACAAACAAGTAGGTATCAGAACTTGAGTCAGTCATTGTTTGACCACCTCAGATTGTTAAAGCCCCTGTGAGGGCCCTCCTGTGAACAAAGCAGTCTTTGCTGTTCTTCTCCTCTACATGCTTAAGTAGTGTCTTTTGACGAAATTAAAAAAGAAATCACTCTGACTTCTGACTAATAGTTGCATCGTTGTTTGTCAATATCTTATGTGAACAACATAACAAATAACTGTTCCTTTAGCTGCTTAGCTGGCCCCTAGCCTCCCACACTGGTTTCAGTCAATAGAAATTACAGTACAGAGTTTGTCAACCTTGTTGCCTATGGTCCTCTTATGCGTCTGTTTATTATAAAAATGCATCAACATGAATTTCAGTCAATTTCAGAAATGTCTGAATATTCCTCACAGGATCTTTGATAATTTATTAATAATCAGTTTTAAGTCTAATGTCATATTATTATAAGCGTAAAACCCTCAAAACATATTTTTTGTCCTTTGTGGAAACAAATGTTTTATCATTTGAATGACTGATGGAAACCACACAATGAAATTAACACAATATTGTTCACATAAAATTTTTACAGGCTTAAGATTGGCTGTAAATAAATGGGCATACCATTCTTACACTGTGTATTATAGTCCCAAAACACTTCCTTTTTCTTGAGTTTTTTGACAGGTCTAATGTGAATGAGACTCATTTCAATAAGAAGCCAGCTGACAGTTTGTCCTCAGACTCCTGCACCAAATGTGACACACCTGTGTAAAACGCTCTGCCGGCGACTTCCACCACTACAGCCTTGAAGCTGCCGCACTTTGTTTCCTAAAGAGAAACACAAAAGTTGTAACTTTTTCAAATGACCAAATGTTCCTCGCCTCTTCAGTTGTCTCCATGTCTGCATGATATTACCATTGAAAACATGAACAAAAGCCTTTTCCGAGAGCATACCCTCTAACAGGTAAAAAAAAAAAAAGCTATAAAGACACACTCACTAGCTAAAACTTTGCTAAAAAGCAAAAGAAATTTACAAAATTACGAGAAAAGCTGGAAATACTGCAAAATAATGAGAAAAAGATGAAAGAAAACAAGAGAATCACAACAAGGTTCCAAAAAGATGCCAACAAAGAAGAGAAATAATCAAGGAGAAGACTCATCAGACTGTTTGTCAGGGAAGAAATGACAAAGACATGGGAAACAGCTTCAGAAACATCAAAAAACTCACAACCAGACAATTATTATGATCATTCATGTGGAGGAGCTGTATTTGAAATAGTTTAGGACCTCACTTATTGACAAACACGTTAGAAAAAAACTGCCATACCTCTACTGCCTTCCCTGTGAACTGGGACCCAGTGGCTCCACTTTGAAAGATCCTGGTCTGATTCAGCTGGATCAGACCTTTGTGATACTGGAGAGCAACTCGAGCTGTAACACCAGATCCAGTAGGGCTTCGGTCCACCTGAGAAACATCATCAGACATTTAAAGATAATGACATGAGGTTCCACTTCATTAGCTTCGAGCCATGAACAACTACCTTAAACGTCACCAGATAGGCTTTTTTCCTCTAAGAATGCGTGTGGAGTAAATACCTGAGCTTCTGCAAAAACACAGACATTTGCAGTGGGATCAGAAGAATAATCATCTTTGCCATCGGTGAGGATTGTCCCATAGAGGAAGGCAAGGTCATCACTGGTCGGGTGGTGCAACTTCACCTGGGAGAGCGTAAAAAGACTGTGAACTTACATTCGGAATTAACTGAAGAAATTTGACCAAATATATTTGCACATGCTGTTGTTTGTCTGTCTCTCATTAATCTGCACCTAACAACCGGTAATGGAAAAAAAAACATTAAATGTCACATTGACTGAAGTAATCACTCTTTATTCTAAGAACTCCAAATATGCAAGTGAATTTATCTCAGACATTCTTAAGCACAAGTTTCTTAGCAGCTGGTTTTCCACCAAAATGTCCACATGGAATCATTCTTTCCATTAAAGCCGCGTAAATGCCTGCATGAGGTTTGAGGTTTTGCTACAGGTTCGTTTGAAACAGGTGTGACTAAGAGGACTGCCTCAGCATCCAAGACAGATTAGGGATTTAAACTTCACCACCCACAGAGTTGTCGAGGAAAATCTACAAATCCAATCAATGCAATCCTTCGACCAGACACGTATTATACCCTGAAATTCTTACTTGAGACTTGACAGCATTTGTCACCGCTGTAGCTGCATCCACCAGATCTCGAGTCCTGGACTTGTTTACATCGAGGCCAAATCTCTGGGCATCTACAAAGGCGTAAAAAGCTCCTCCATAGCTGATGTCCACCTTTACATCACCAAATCCTTCCACCATCACTGTAACATCTGATTAAAAGTGGATGAATCAGTTCTGCAATATGTAAGAACGGATGAAATAGTTTTTAGAGTCTTACCTGTGGCAAAGGCAAATGCAGGCACACTGAAGAACCTCACTCCTCCTGTTTTACCTTCAGAGTATTCAACAAACGCCTTCACCAGCCCGCAGGGACAGTGGATGTTCACCTGCGTCTCTGGTGACTGTGGTTCTTTCACCAGTTTGTAGTCTACAGCAAAGCGTCCAAGTGCAATGACGGCATGTCCACACATGGTGCTGTACCCTTCATTGTGCATGAACAGGACCCCCAGATCAGCCTCAGGCAGCTCGCTGTCAACGATCAGGGCTCCATACATGTCATAGTGTCCCCGAGGCTCAAACATCAGCACTTTTCTCAGGTGGTCCAGGTGTTCCCGGACGTAACGCCGCTTGGAGAGCACACTGTCACCTTTGACTACTGGGTAGCCACTGAGGATGACACGTAAAGGCTCTCCTCCAGTGTGCATGTCGACCACAGTGAGTTTACCCCCTTCATGAGGAGGGAGCTGCATGTCCATCCTTACACTAAAAAACAAATAAACAAGACAAAAAAGCAGCACACTGAAAAAGATCAGCAAAGGGCTTCCATTTTGATTTTGACTTAGATAATACCCCGAAAGCTGGTGTAATAACCTTACCATTAAAAAAGATATAATTCTTGATCATTACTTTACGGGATTTTGTGTTGGCTATCTTTGCCCGTTGGGTAATATGCTAATAAGTGTCAACGTGTGTTGTAGTATTTTTCAATTTTTTTAAAATTATTTTTCAGTCAGAGCCATAGACTGTATATAGAATGGACACCGCCTGCCTCCTCGCTGGGTGAAGCCACTCCGAGAACAGCACCATCTGGTGATGGGCTGCAGTATAAGTCATAAATCCCGCCTCCGCCAGCAAAGCTTATGGAGCTGTGGACAAACTTTAGAAAGAATATACAGAATATAAATTTTTCTCCCCCCTGTTTATGATGTTGACATGTAGTTACTGTCAGACTGGTTTGTGCTCAAGTCCTCTTTTTTCTGTGAAGCTCCGTTTTTAAAAGTTATTAGGGGGTATTAGTTATTGGCGTTCAGGGATTGCGTAGCTCACCCGGGGGATGTGCTGTTTGAGCCGAGCGTCATCACAGCGACTCTCTGCGACTCTTGCGCCGAATGCGCACAACGCTACTGCACAGCGCTGGTTTCAAGAAATGAAGTAAAATCCTGCAAATACTGAGAGCTTATTTGGCTTCAAATCTGTATACAGGCGGGAGGTGGAACCAAGTTGTCCATAGTATATACAGTCCGTGGTCAGAGCAGAAACCGTATTGGACATGGTGAACTCTGCAATTGAATATAGTCTAAACCAGTGGTTCTCAACTGGTCTCACTCTGGGACCCACATTTTCCCATGGTCCTTAAGTCGTGACCAACTTTTATAGAATTTAAATCAAGCAAATTTATTTATTTTTTATTAAAAAACCTTTAAATACTCTAATCTTTAACATAAATCCACTTGTTTTATTGAGTGAAGTGCATTTCAGAGCACATGAAGGGGACAACATGAGGAGAACAACTACTGAAGTTGCAAGTAAAGAAAATATCAAACATCTAATAAATATCACATTAAATATTTGCTTTTTTGACCAGCTGTTCGTGACCCATCCAGAACGTGTCCGCGACCCACTTTTGGGTCAGGACCCACCAGTTGAGAACCACTAAATTACACAAACTGCACGTTAATTAAGAGTTAAGATTGTGTATTTAATGACTTGATCACCTCACCAGTTATTGACGTTTAAAAATCTAACGAGAGAATAATTTCTGTATCTTTTTCACGAAGTTTGTAGGTCTTCAGTAGACGAAACATGTCAACGCAAACTAAGAAAAAAGTGTCAGAGTGGAGTTAGAGAAATTCTGTAAATATTATAACTGATTCAACTTTACAAATAAGTTTTTAATAGTTACCTGGTTTATTCTTATACTTTATTTCCAACCCAAACTTCAACAACCTCCTATGTTTTCCCCGTGTACACTGTACACGTGTTCCTGTTTATAGAGACGCTAAAATTGATGCATTTAGCGCCACCTCGTGTTCTGGAGGACTAGCCTGCACAAGTGATTACAAGTGCAGTTTAAAACATTAGAGAGGCCAGAAGAGGGTCGTTTTTCCCTCGTAGATTAATCTGATGATTTTTGGTGACATGTCATCTGCTGGTGTTGGTCAACTGTGTTTTACTGAGTCCAGAGTCAACACAGCCGAAAATCTACCAGGAGATTTTAGAGCACTTAATGCTTTCCTCTGCTGAGGAGCTTTATGAAGAGAGATTTCCTCCTTCAGGAGGACCTACTACTTGCCCACAGCACAAAACAGAAATGGCTTTGTGCCTGAGCAACCCACCATCTCACCTAACCTGAACCCCAAAGAGAATCTTTAGGGAATTGTTAGGAGAGAGACAGTCTACTATAAAAACTATAATATTTTCTTAGTTCATACAACGTTTAAATTTATAGAAGTAGAACCATTCTTTAGATTTTGTAATTAGAATGAAGAAATATTTTAAATTATCCATTAAATACTATTTCCACACCTGACCATTTACAGCTTACCCAATACGTTTTCTTTTGATTCTTTGATGCTTCTTTTGATATGAATTGAATCAGAGGAGACAACACAACACACAGTCAGCAGGCATCAGTAATTATTATTCATTTCACTTTACAGCTTCCCTGAATGCATGCAAGGTCATTTACTGTACATAAGTAATAAAATAGATGTGTTTTATCAGTCACATGCGCATATCTGTACAGTCACACATAAAACTAGAAGACATGTCGAAGTTAAGCATAAACCATAATGTTTGGTTGTATAATACCCATTTAGATTTGCATAGTGATGTGCAAAAGAAAGTCATTTGAAATCTTATGTGACCAAAAACGGTACTCGCATTCTACATGAATAAATTTGAAAAATAAAATCATATTCACAATTAAATTAAAACTTAATCCAAACGTATCTCAACAAGAGTAAAACAAGTTCAGTTCAGTCACCTGTTCAAATATTCACATGTTGTCTAAGAAGATAATATGAGGACATTGACAGAGATAGACTGCTCTAAAATAAAACATTTTATTAACTGTATGATAACTAATTTTAGCAAATATGACCATTTTTGCCTTCTTATCACTATTTCACATGCATGAGAGAAAGCTTAAACAAAAGATCAGCTTCTATATAACTCATAAAAATGATTGCATAGAGAAATGACTAATGCAATCAAAAGTACACCAAAATTATTCACCTGTCAATTTACTTCCTGCAGCTAACTGTGTTTATACTTTTTTATTGTTCTGTAAAAACAAGAAAAAGGGGGAAAAACTGGCATCATAAAGAAGTGATCACATATTATCAGAACAACTAAGATTGAGGCCGTAACATTGTAAGGCACACATCATTACCTGAAAGTGAATGACTAAAAGTGGTTTTCACAGTCACTCAACTGATCTTAGAAGTTAGAAAGTGATTCTGAAAGTTTTACTAAGAGCATCAAATTAACATCAAGAAACTGCATGACGAAGAAAACAGCAGAAAATTTTGTACGGTTTGGGGAGATATGTGTGTACGTAAATGTCATAGGAGAGGAATGACCTGCGTGGTTCTTAGTTGGGTGGTGGTGGCGATGGGGGTGTATGGGTAGTCTCTCAGCGTGTATGGGATAAGGGAAAGCAAATCTCAGTTTATGGCTGCAAAACGAGGCTCATTCATCTGATACCTCCACAAACTCTGGGCGTAACGGTCTCACATATTCAAACCATTTTGTCCAAAATTTAATAAACACATTTTTCTGAAGACGGAGTCAGAATGTGATCTCTCCCATAATATAAATATCATTCACTATATCCATCCACTCCTGAATTGTGGGGGACTCAGGGAGCAAGCATCACCTCGCGAGCGCTTTTTTAACAGCAATTATCAAAATACCAAATAAATATTTATCCGACCATCCTATCAGAACTTTGGTCTTTCCTAGAAATAGTGTTGAAAACTCAAAAGTCAAATCAGCATTGAAAATGTTTTCACTATTCTGTGAAGCTCCGCCCAAAAGCGCTGTATAACTAGGCATTCCCAGAAAAAAAATGCCAGTAGTTAGCTGCCTGAAGCCCACCCCGTCTCCAACATCAGTATTACACTCTCCAGTATATGCCTTCTGTTTTGGTGTAATGAAAGATCGTACCAGGCATTCCCACCCAAACTTTTTTCTTTCCCTTCCTCCCCCTTTTTATTTTATTATTTCCATATACTTAATTTGTTTGCAATTTATTAATTTATTTAAACTGTAAACACTGGATGGCTGAGAAAAATGGCACTGCCTTATTATTTTTTGACATGTACTGTCATTCCTAAAGAAAGAATTAAAAAATAAACTACATGACTAAAAAAAAGACATGAAATATGTTTTGAAAGCTTTTAACTTCACTTAAGTTCCCCTGCATTTTTACTGATTGTCCTGTCAGGCTTAAAAGCCTTCATCAGAGTATCATTAGTGAGATAGGTAGAGCTTCAGTTGCTTATAAATCTTGTTATAAAATCTGTTTGTCCTGTTGCTTGTGGCATCAAAAGGAGCGTAGAAGTACTTCAAGTAAACTGTGTGCCTACAAGACGAATCCCTGGGCTCTTGCAGTGAATGAAAAGGATTTTTACATGCGGTGAATCATTAATGCAACAAACTTCTTTGGCAGTCTGGCGTGCAAACTGGTGAGTTTGTGAGATTAGGAATTTCAAAAAGGTCCATCGTCTTTTTTAAAGGAAGCAGCGACTGAGTCTTGATTTTTTACTCTGGGTTTTGGAGACGACGTTGGCGGTAGTGACAGTCTTCTTTTCACTGACAGCAGCCTGAGGACCTCGCTCACCTGAGACTCAAGCACCACCAAGCGCCCGCTCAGGATCTGAATGTCTGCTTTCAGCTCCAGTTTGGCTTCATGCAGTGTGGCGTGAAGGAGTGCTTGTTCAGGCGCAGGCTGAGTGAAAGATTGTTTAAGGGGGTCAACTCCAAGGCTGAGTCCAAATGGGTTTTTCTCCATGGGGCTCCTTTCCATCGGGCTTCTTTCAAATGAGCTTCTTGAATCTCCGGCTCGGTCGATGCGCAGGTCGCTCTTGGTGATGCCGCTGTCACATGAGTCTGTTTTGTGTAGGGCACTTGTTTCTTCACCTACTTCTGCAGCACCGTTTCCACTCTCTGTCCCCCCTGTCTCTCCACCCTCTTCCAAATCCTGGTTCTTGTTGGCAGAAACTACCAGTTCAGGTGATCCTTTGGACCACTCCTCTTTCTTCGGCTGCTTCTCAGGCTCCATCACAGGAGGAGGGGGTGGTGCAGCTGTCGTGGCATTTCTAAATTTTGCCCATCCTCGAGCACCTTTCCTGCTGCTAACACTGCTTGCTGCTCCCTCTCCACCTGCACCGCTGCTATTCACAGGGTGGGACACCTTATTCTCCACACAGGGCCTCGGTTTAGACTCCTCAGCCCCCTCTGTGCAGCCCTGCTCGGACTTCTCCGTGTGCACAAATGCTTGTGGAGGTGCAGCCAGGTCCTCTCCTGTGCCCAGTGTATTATTCTGTGCTGCATGCTGCTGAGAGGACACTGTTTTTGAGTTGGAGTCGACCTGCACACAGTTATAGTCACAGTAATCATTGAACTCCCCAGGTGTTTGAGCATCTCTCTGCTGTCTGAACCTCTGGAACAGCTTGCGGACCGGGTGATCGTCAGGAATGGAGAGGCTCACCTCGGTCCTCTGGCGCTCCTGCTCTCTCTTCACATCTGCGATCTTTCTGAAGATGATCTGCAAGAGAGAGAAACTGTGCATGAGCAGAGTAATGGGATATGCACACCCACATTTGAATTACAACATAGGAGCCGTGCAGAGTATGCATATATAATGCAGCTTGATATAAAAGAATACCATCTAGATCTGCTATGCATGTATGAAATATTGAAGACTTAAAAGCAGCAATGCACAAGGGAAACTGTTAATGGAGCAATAATGGAGGCCATAAGTGTCTCTAAATCTGCTAAGAATGCAAACTAAGAAGAACCTAAGTCAACTTCTCGACATCTCCTTTATCGTTACTGTTCAGTTCGATAATATTCATTCATTAGAAGCCTGCATGCAAAGTGCATTTGCAGTCCTTAAGGCAGTTATATCTATATCCAAATCCCTCCGCTTAAATGTTCAGGGACTACTTTAACTGCTAATAATCAAAACATATAAACATACTATATTTATTCTTCTTATTATGTCTAGGTTAAACTCAAACAACCGACTGAGGTGCTGAAGTGGGATAGAAAGCTCAATAACTGTCTGCTCTACATCTAATCTGGCTGTGGTGCCCACGCCCAGAAGAGTCCGTCTCCACAACTTCTCGCTCACTTTTACAGTGGAAAAAAAAAATATTTGGACCAAAGCAGCTCCATAATGAAGAAAAAGCATGAAAAAGCAGCAAAAAACATCACCTATCTCAATTTTAGTTTGTGTTTTCACATTTAGATGTAGACTTTTGTGCATGCGGGTAAACAGGGTGCTTAAGTATAAAGAGGGCAGAAAGAAATTTCAAACCTATGCAGTTTCTAAAGCCGCTTAAATAAATAATAGATGGCTTTATTTTCATTGGATACATTCAAGTACAAGCCATAAATCTTTCAACATGTCACCATAGTTTACCCTCAAATAATTTAGATTTAGGGCAGATGTACATATACTGTTTTATTTCAGTGAGATTACATAAGCCCTCTCAAAGTGGTGCCACCACAGCAAAACTACTTACAGCAGTAGATTTTCTTCATAAAAATGCATAATTTAGACTGTAACATGCAGAAGTTTTCAAATAAGCCGCTCTGAGCAAAGAGCAAAACAACCACATGTGACCCTCAAAGAGAATTCTTATTATCAGTATGTATTTCATTATATATGTCAAGTTAATCCCATGGGATAAATGAGCAGCCTACTGTTCAGACTGGAAACATTTCATCTTAAAGCCACAAGGAGATTTACTTGTGAAAGTTCCATTTAATATTAATTAGGTGCTTAGATTGATATCAACTAATTTTTGAAAAAAAAAGGCGCAAAATAATCAACTTTGACTTATATATTAGTTCTTTATTAGAGCAAATGGTGGGTTGGTATTTACAGCAAGAGTTGGATACTTACAAATAAGTTTGAAGTTGGTTTATGGTGTTAATGGCATATTCTGTTAGTTTTATGTCCCGTCCGAGTCACATCTTATGGTAGTGTTTGTAATATTTACACCAAATGGAATATTCTATTCCAGGAGTTCGTGATATTTATGGATAATCCCAGAGATGTGGCACACATTTTGATGCTCTAGATGGGCCACTCCAGTCAGGAAAGTCTAAAAACACAACCCTAAAGAAACTTCAAAACAAATACCCAAATTTCAACCAGACCCATCAGTGTTGAGGAGAACTGGAGAGTGCCTTTGCAGTCAAAAGAGCTGATCATGTCCTTTTGGATACTATTGGATAATAATGGACTTTAACTGTCTCCTCGATTAAGAAATACTAAATGGTAAAGTGCTTTCTCTAGTCATCAGACCACTCAAAGCACTTTTACATCACATATCACATTCATTAATTCACACCACATTCACACTGAGGTGAGGCTGCTATGGAAAGAGCCCACTAATCCATTCACACACCACTGGACGCAGTCGAGCCAGTGAGGGAAGGTGAGGTTAAGTGTCTTGCCCAAGGACACTACTACTGAGCCACAGCCACCCCTGACACATCGCACCCGTTAAAATGGTATCCATTGAGAATTCAAGAGGGTTTTTTTTACCCGTTTTCGTAGATTGCAGGTGAGGATGAGGTTGCGGGAGAACGTGTTGGCAAAAGCCGTGTAAAACTCCAGTACCCTCATCAGGGCGTCCCTCTTGATGACATGCAGGTCACAGTAAGTCAAGGCTCTAACATTTGCACAAGCCCGAGCCATTGTGGTCTCTTTCCAGAACACGTCTCCAAACACATCTCCTTTTCCTGTAATGGGAGATAGAGATGACATGCTGATCACTTCACTAATAATACAAACGTCTCCTGTATGGCATACAACCGCTATCACAGACTTGGTCCAATCTACCTCACTGGGGGGCACAAACTCTATCATACTGTCACTCTGCTGTGTTGCAAATCTAACAAAAAGGAGTTAAAAAACGGAGTAATGTTCATTGGTATCACTGTACTGCTCTGTATCAGGCCACATTTCAAGCTAAAACAATATATTTCTCTGGTAGACAAGTGTTTGTGTTGTCATCTGCCACTTTGGCTAACATTAATACAAGCTAGAGAGTGGTGCTAATGTTTGAGAAGTGTGTTTGACAAATTAGAAAAAGCCGCCATTCAGAGAGACCAAGGAAATACTTATGTTACACGTATATGTTATATAATATCTCATGTTAGCTGTTGCAGGGCTCTCAAGTCTCACGCACTCAGCGTGAGACACACGCATTCCCACCTGTTCACACGCTCACACGCCACACATCGTATTTCTCACGCATTTAAATGAACATGGTGATGTCCACCAAGTTGCACCTCTTTATGGAACAGGTACGAATCAACTGAGTTCCTCCGAGAGTTCAGAAGCTGCGTGCCACGCGCAAGCCAATCAAATAAAGTATATCTACTGAACAGCCAATCAAAAAGCAGCATTGCTGTATCCGGGTAGATTTTGATATCTTGCGGTTTGACTACAGGAGAGGACAGACACTCGCCGTAATAGAGCAGGTTTTTATAAGGACGAGATAGACCCGATGATTACAGTAAGTCAGTAACCTACACATGCAGAGACCTCAACACCTCATGGCATATAAACTCATATGATAAACTAAAGCCCTATGCTATTGCTATTAACAGCTGTATTGACGGATTTAGCCTCCGTACAGCCATTTCCAGCCATTTTCCCCTCCACAAAAGCTGCATTTCTCATATATCTCAAATATAAGTTCTGATACTCATGACAGTGTAATGCTCATGTACCAAAAGGTTAAGTATCTCCATGTTTGTGAAACCTATACTAAAGTAAAATTCATCTAAATGCTCCACAGTGCAGATTTTAACAACTTTACGACTTAATACTTATAATTAATGATTTTATTCTCCCAAATCCCAAATCAGGAAATCTCACTCTAAGCTTAGTTCAAAACTTGAGAGCCCTGCTGTTGCCTGATAAAAACCAAAGAATTTTCAGGTATGTGTATATTTCAAAGGCACAGTTAGCATTTATCCTTTTTTAAGCTAACAGTTTTTTAAGCTAACAGCAGGACAGTAGATGATGGTTAGAGCTTTTTACCTGCTTGTATATCAAAGAAGGCAACAATTATAGTGACAGATAGTGGCACCACAGCATACAATGATGTGACAGCATTTGACCTTCCCACCCTGAACATGATGTCTGAGGAAAATGGCCGCTACATGAACATGCTTCCTCCTAATTACCTAGTATTGCGATGACCTCATCATCCTGTATGACCTCCAGTGATCCAGACACCACAAAGCAGAGTGTGTCTACACTCTCTCCAATGTGGAAGATTAGGTCTCCAGGTGCGCAGTGTGTGGTCTGAAACTCGACAGCCAGAGAGCGCAGACAGCCGTCACTGGCTAAACGAAATGCTGGGTGGTCATTGAAGACCTGCCTGTTGAGGTGGACGCAGATGTCTGCACGCATGTCTTTGGGACAGATTGCAAGAACCTAAGATGGTGAGATATTGAAGAGAGTTTAGACCTAAGATTTCCTTTTGTTTAACGGCGAGCGAGTAATCAATATATCATGAAAATCTCATGAGAATAAACTTTTATTATGTCTTATTAAACATTATTATGTTAACAGACGTTTGTTTTGGACCCTCTATAATAATACCTTATCTGTATCGATGCCCTTTGACATAGCCCAGGTGGATACGATGAAGTCCATGACCCTCTCACTCAGACCTTTGGGAACCTGGTAAAGCTTTAGGAAGTCACGCACGTTGTTTAGCATCTCATGGTAGCGGTTTGTGTTAGTGTACATCTGCTGGAAGATGGTGGTGACGTTTCCAAAGATGGTGGCGTACAGCAGAGCTAAAACAAAGATGACAAAAAAGTGAGAGCGACACCATGAGATTTGTGGAATTAGGGTTAGGCAATTGTGATCATTAGGATTTGTTTAAGTATACGGTCTGACAAACTTTCAGGTAAAACATTGTGTGGTTTTAATAAAATGTTTCCTCAGAAAACTATTTGGCAACTAATCTCCAATTTGGGACCTTTTTTAAAGTAATTCATTAAGATTATATGCAAATGTTGGGAAGCTTTGAAAAGGTGAGTAACCTAAAAAGACATGTTGATTATGTTAAGTAATAAAATGAGAGAAAATTTGAAAAATTGCAACATATTGAGCTATTGTCAGGAATTTTGGGCACTTTTAGTGCTTGAAGGGTTAAACAGTATATAATACTGAAAATTGTTATATGTCTAGAGCAGGGGTGGGCAATCATGTGCCATGGAGGGCCGAGAGGCTGCAGGTTTTCTTTCTAACCCAAAACTCCACCAGGTGATTTCACTGATTACCTTACCTCCAAACAGAGAGCAGGGACTAATCAGTGAAATCACCTGGTGGAGTTTTGGGTTGGAAAGAAAACTTGCAGCCTCTCGGCCCTCCATGGCACATGATTGCCCACCCCTGGTCTAGAGTGTCCTTTTACATGTAACTGGAAAGGGCAATGATGCATGGGTGTTAGAATCCTTCATGTCTGCTCTGACTCCACTGAGGAGCAGAAGGCACGCCTGCTCAGGCTGCAGCAGTCAACCACAGGTGTAGCCACTGTGGCCTGATCAGGAGTCTATAAGGACTCCTGAACCCATTGTTCAGTTTGCTCTGCTGCTGACATGTTTCACCCTGGCTGTCAAGTGCGTCAAAGTGAGTGTTGTACAATGTATTTAATTTATAGACTGTTTTGAAGATAATTTAGATTGTTTCATCTAATCAAGTTTGTGTTAAAGGCATTGTTTAATAAGATTCTGATTACTAAGTCAAAATTATTGAGAATTACTTTGTTGTTTACAGATAACCAAGTAATAAATTATGATAATATTTTTCCTTCTTTGTTAAATACAGAAAACACCACTGGACAGCTTGTAAATAAATCCTTTAACCTTGTCCTCAGTTGATTGATTCCTCAACTTCCATTGCTGTTGATTGACTCCAACCCTATCAAGTACCTATCATTAAAACAATGGGAGCTAGTCATTTGAATTGATAACAGGCAAAGTTCAAGGTGTTACAAAAGGTTAAAATGACTGTGGAATACCATCAGAGCTGTTATAATTATCGCCAGTATGTCATAGGTTATCTCATTTTAAAGGACATTCCAATTAAAAAAAAGAGGTGTGCACAAATTGACCCAACTATTGCAAATTATAGAGCAAATAATGTGACTTAGTGAAGTTGTGTCATTTTTAGTGGTGGATCAAGCCTCTGTAATTTTATTCATAATGCAAATATTCTTTAGGAAGAGAAGTGAGCTGCAGCACTGCTGTGACCTCAAAGAGTCAGTCAGCATCTCTTATCAGCGGTTTTAATCATTCAAGAGGAAAGAGTCGTCTCCAGTTGATACTATAGGATCTCGGAGGTTAGGATACATGACTAAAACCGAGGCTCATTGTCCTTTTACTACACTCCAGCCTGCAGGGAAACTCTCCCTTTGTCCTATTCTTCTCGCATAATTAAACCCCTGTATCTGTAGCAGGAGATTTATGGGCTGTAATGGAAGGCGACACTTCATTGTGACTGAGTGATCTTCGTGATGGCAACACCACAAGAGTACTGAGTGTTTACTTTTGGAAGTACAGACCTTGAAGCGAGGCTGTCAGTTTGGGTTTCCCTCACTGTTTTCATTGCATCACTTTACATGCTGTTTCAGAGTGCGATAAAGGTCACTGCATGAGGGCGGATCGTGACAGAGGAACTGTAAAGCAAAGGCTGACAGCGAAGGCAGTGACACTAAAGGTGAAGCTATTACTGTAACTGCAGTGTGATATAAAAACACAGACACCTGTGTAAAAATAGAGCTCTCTATTTTTATACAGAGGTTTATAGTCATCCAAATGAGGTTTGACCGACTCTTTCATTTCCTGTGATTAGAGCTTTCTTAAAAGTTGACTGTTCCTAATTTCATTAATCAAAATTCAAGGAAGGCAAGATAAAGTGACTTTAATATTAACCAGTTCAATAATTACAGGTACTTTTAATGGGCATTTAAGAAAAAATTTAGAGAAAATTAAGCAACTAATGGGTGCTATCAATTAGCCTGTATCAATTCAATTAGTTATTTCACAACAAGCCATACGGAGAATAAGATGTTGTTTCAACACATTTCTAAAACCTAAAATTCACTTCAGAAGACGCCACTTTTCTAACAGAGAACTGTGATGACCAACCGCCAGACAGACCCTCAAAGTGGGGGCCGGTATAGCCACCAAACATGTCACTTTTTGTTATGGCCAAAGCTGAGTCCTAGCACTGCACAGTGGCTCGAATGGTCAGGCTGCAGCTAAATATAAGTCATCTGCAGTCATGACGCTCTGTGAATGACTGTGTAATATCGAGAATCATCAATAAATTAATCACTGAAATAAATGTTGATCATTTAAATGTTTCGGAATCCGCAACCCTCTCTTGATCACTTACAGATATAGTTTTAATTGCCCTGTGGAGGAAGAGGCTTGAAGGAAACTATTTGACAGAATAATACTTAATCTCTCGATGTACATTGTCCCTGATCAATTCCTAGAGTACGTTTACATTATAGTTAAAACACAGGGTAAGGGAATTTCCAATATCTCTGCAGCTGAAGCATTCTTCCTAATCTTAATCCATTTCAAAAGAAAGAATGTATCTCAAAATGATGCCCGTTGATGATAAGGTTGAATAAATAATACACAGTTAAAGGCAGCTCTTACTGGGATGGCTAAATAAATGTATTTGCTGGAAGGTCCTGCAGCCATGGATTCATAACATGTTGCTACACACACACACACACACACACACACACACACACACTCACACAAAAGGCAAAACATGGGGGCATGCAGTGTATAACAGGCTTGTCACATGCACAAAGACAGAAAAGTGCAGAACACATAATGTGTGACAAGCCTGAGAAAAGTCACCTTGTACACAGTCCATTTGTTTCTGAAACAAAGGAGCTTTTAGGAAGACCTCCCAGTTTTATCATTTTTGTCTATCTGTACTTGATAACCTCAAATGTTTTCTGTGCTTTAGGAATTCATGTTGCTGGCTTGCTCGAATAAACAAGTTCATTTACACTGATGCATGTCATTATCATAGAGATAGTCCCTTACTCACTAGCTGACCTAAAACCTTTGACTATCTGTTGGTAGAATCAGCCATGTGTTGATTGCTTTGAGCGTCTCTGCAGATTTTTCTAAACCTGTACAACATCCCCATATGTTGCTTTACAGGCCTCTGGCAGATAGCCAGGCAGACTGTGTAGCACATTAGCGTGTCTTGAATCACATGCAAGTAAATGCATCCAGACTGTTACAGCTCCTGCAAGGTTGCACTGGCACGTCATGAATGCATGAATGAAATGAAGCAGCAGCATCAAATAGTGTTTGCGTTGTTTGTTGCACAGTGCTAAGGAGAACAAATGAGGAATTTCAACACAGCTGTTTTTCTACCAGCATACATCAATCATAAAAGTCAATGCTCTTACAGGATATATAAACTAGCGGATAATGACACTAAGAACCGCTCTGCTCTCGCATTAAGTTGTTCAGATAAACACTCTCTTTTTGCTAACAAGCTAGGCTGGTCATAGCTACATTTAATGAGCAAGTTGATATGCGGTTTTATCTGACAGCCCAATTTTTTTTAATTACATTTAATATTCACTGAAGATTATTGTTTTAAGTTTATTTTACACATTAAATTAGCTCGAGTATTTTGTGCACAATATCTCTCTTAGCGTTAGCTTGATGCAAACAGATAGAGTGCCACAGTCTTAACCATGGGCTGTGTGAAAGAAGTGGATAAAGTCCAAGAGGAGTCACTCATTTGTGGACCAAGGATCAGATGTTCAACATTATGAAATTTGTCTTCCTTTTCTATTAGCCAGAAGTGACCAATTATAAATCAATTAATCATTTTGTCTTTAAGACAGACAATATTTTACAGTACCATGCTGTATTACAGACAGTTGAGTTATTTAGACAATGGTTCCTCAAGTAAAATGTTACCTGAGTTTATTAGTCATGTGAAAAGTAGGATTATGTTGTTTCCATTTGACCAGGCCTTGGATTACCACCTCATTTACTATCAAGAATGCAGGTTTAACGCATGTTGGCTTTACTTGTAAAACCAAAAGACTGCCTCGACTTCTGATGGTTCAAACTAAATCACACTTATCAATAGCATAAAGGAGAGGAAGGAAAACAGTGGCCACTTTGATGTTGGAAGCTTCACTTTGAGCTCAGTTGATGGGTCTCCACTAGGTGTTTAGACTTTTTACTGAAACTAGAAATTGTAAGCCCTGTGTTAATAGGAGCCTGTTTTAATGTGTAGAAAGAGTGAGGGTATTGTTGTGTTCGGATGCTACATAACTTTTTTTACTTCGTCATAACCTTCTGACACATACATAACCACTCAATCCCAGAGGAAGGAAAAGGAAATACTGAATGTAACACATTTTATGCAAAGTAAAATATTTATGAATACTATTTTTTGTATGATATGTAATTTTAAGCATAGTATACTGACTGATTTCCAAGACATGCTCTTATTCAACTTTCAGTCTGTAATTGGTGATGTACTTACAGCCGACCATCATCATTGCTACTGAGAAGATTTTCTCGCCGTCTGTGGCCGGGGCGATGTTTCCAAAGCCGATGGTGGTGAGACTGGTCATGGTGAAGTACAGAGAAGAGATGTACAGTGTGTCCTTGTTAGGCCCACCCTCCCACTGTCCTGTCCCGCTGGCATTGTAGCGGTATGGAGTCCCGATGCTCAGGGCCAGCTGGTAGAGCCAGCTGTCTGTCTTTATTGTGTTGGTGGTCTCATCGATGACCTCGTAGTCCCCGATGCTGTACCAGATGCAGGCCAGCCAGTGAGCCACCAGACCAAAGACGCACACCAGCAGGACCAGAACAGCCGCTCCGTACTCCAGGTAGTGGTCCAACTTGCGGGCCACTCGGCCCAGGCGGAGTAGGCGGATCACCTTGAGAGAGCTGAACAGGCTGCTGAGACCCTGGAGGAAGAGGACGCCAGTCAGACCCAACACACCGTGAAAATGTATGAGAATTTTTGATGATCCAAAATCATTTAACTAGTTTGATCTTTGGAAAAATGAATACAAACGTGTTTTCGGGGGAGGTTTCTACAATACTGAATAGAATATGTTGGGGTTTTGGACTATTTTAGTCACTCTGGGGCAGAAAAGAATGAACTCTAACCAATTTCAGAGGCAGATGTTGGAACAAAAATCAACTTGAGGGGGAAACATTGGGAGAACAAAATAAAGAAATGAGTTATTAGTCTCAAGATAAGTCTGTAAATGCTCCAGCTTTGGTTTCCACCACCTTCGAATCAGAGTATTCAACTTCTTAATGCTTTGCTACATCCACTGGCTCGGCTGTAACTTGTCAGTTTACTTGTTTAGTGTTGGACAGGTGGAATATGTGTTTTTTTTTATTTGTCTGTTTGTTTGTTTTTTTGGACCGTTTTTACTGAAAGTCAATGCTGGAAACCACACCAGTTCAATCTGTGAGCCACACATTAAAAACACTGGAATTAAAGATGTTACATTTCTGCAATTTGAATGATAACCCTTCAGTCAGAGATGTGATTGGAAGTCTAACATCCAGTGAGGTAAATGATGTATTGTTTGAATCAAAAATGATTGAAGAAGCAGTAAAAGATTGATTTCCTTACTGGGAGCACAGAGTCTTCAGTCCGCGTGGTATTTCTGTGGAAGTTTGAGGACTCGCGAATGTGATTTGCTGGACTCCGAGTTGTGATGATAGCCTTTGCAGAAGCAGTCAGACATATTTCAGTGGTTTTTAGCATGCACAGAGTAAATGCATAAGCTATTAGTTCAGGAAATCATTCAAGAGTTAAAACAGTCTAAAATTTGACACCCACCTCGTCCACATGTTCAAATGCGTTGATGATGTCATAGGGTAAACAGGACAGCAGGTCAATGACAAACCACGTCTTCAGATAGTTCATTCGTATCAGCCGTGCATCTGAAATCACCTCGCCGTTGGGACCTACAAAGGTGGTGTGGAAATTGAGCACAATGTCGATGAGGAAGATGACATCCACCACACTGTCCAGCACCAGCCACGCCAGGTTGTTCTGCTTGATCTTGAAGGAGACATTGTAGGGCACCATGATGGCCGTGTAGAAGGTGAGGATGAGGATGACCCAGTCCCAGGTGGTCTTGAAGGTGCAGTAGTGGAGGATAATATGTGGAGGGGTCTTAGGGGCCTCCTGTTTGTACTGGGGGAGAATATCTGATCCCAGCTGGAGAGCCTTTGGATGAAATAAAATGGTTATTATCATGAGTACAGAATCTCTCTAGAGGTTCTAAGACTCTCTGACTCTCAGTAGTAATATTACATCTACAGTGAACACTGAACAAACAAGACACTGGTGAAATACTGGTGAATCTGCACTGATCATTTTAACAGCCTTGAACTGGGTCTGTTACACCAGCGCACTTAATAAGCCATCTTCTTTAGTAGATTGTGTCAGATTCTTTGTAGATCGTGTCAATCTGCTTTTATGTCTTACTGTAGCCACCCTTTATGGTCACTTATACTTATATACACATCTTTTTAGAAATGCACATCCTCTTTAAAGAGCTATTTGAACAGAGGTGTTTCAGGAAAGTCATACTGAATAAAAAGAAGTGAACTACAGAGCTTCATCCTGCTAAGTTCTCCTTTGGGGTTAAAAAAAGTGCAGTTTAAACACATTTGTATTTTAAAAAAAAACCTAATTCTCAAACTGCTCTTTTATTGATTTAATTTGTACATAGATACACAATGTTTAAAAGGGGACCTTAAAACCTTGTCTCTGCTCACCTCGGCCAGTCTGGAGGGCTTGTGGCTGACCTCGGTCTGGCTCAGTGGCGCTAACTGCTGCACCAGATTACGGTTGTTAGTCAGTGCACGGGTCAATCTGGCAAACTTCGTCCACCCTGCTGTAGGGCAAAAAGTGTGATGTTACACAGTCATCAAGCAGAGTTTTTATGAACACAAAGTCAAATTAAAATAACCAAATGAGGACATTTATAATTCTAACAGTTTTTATTTAATATAGACAGTAGTTGATACAAAATTCACTCTCATGATGATGAGAATACCTGTTATATTTATTGTTAATCAAATTTAAATGGAAGTGTGTATGTGGAGATGAAAGTGCTTTTTTGCTATTACTTTGTGAATAATACTTTTTTTCATACCCCCCATTTGGCCTGAGTGTCCTTTGTTTCTGCCTGATGTATATAAAAGCCTTTGTGGCTCACAAAAATCCCTCTGGGAGATGGCACAGCCAGACCCACAGAGACCAGTGTTCAGTGACCCGGGCACACAACACCTGGACTGTTTTATGGTACAAACCAGGAAGCAAATGCCCGTTACGTCACAGTAATTCATGTGTGCTTCAGACTTTTGGCTGCTCTCCCTGCTCTGTTTGGTGAAAATTTTGCTAAAAATAGCCCGGACTGAATCAAGACTTTCACTTGACAATCATGTCGTCTGAGCATAATGTCTATGAGGAATCAGAAAAGAGGATGAACTCCAAACAGTCTGAGAAACTGAATGCAGGTAGGTTAAAACCATACGCTCTGGATACAAGCTCTGTCTCACCTCTTGTTGCCTCATCTTCAATGGGCTGTTTGAAGACTGTGATGTCTCTGAAGGTGCAGAGGAAAAGCACCACCTTGTCATTTTCATTTCTGATGGGAGCAACCTGCATGTAAAGCCATATTGGGGTTCCTGTAGGTCAAAAAGGATCAAATGTTTATGTTCAAAACAACAAATTCACAGTTATTCATACATTTCATGTTTACTCTTGTACATAAATCAGATATAACAGTGATACTTACGGTTTTTTGTATAGAGTAGCACCTCATAGAAGTTGGACTCATAGTTATCAAAGGTCCGTCTAATACTATCTATAGTTTTCTTATCAGTCAGGTCACCATACATGAAACTGCAAAATAATAATGAAGAGATTATAAAAACAAACAAAGAAAACTTGTAAAAAGAGGGGCAGTCAGACAGTCAAACAAAGTGGACTGACACTTTTTCTTCTTCAATGATAAATCCTGTTAGCTAGATATAAAACAGAATTATCTAACTTTTTTTCCAGGTTTGACCAATACTACCCTTTGTTTATTTAAAGCATTGTGAATAATAAGGTTTTGTGCGATATATGTTACTTTTTCCTTTAGTTTGTGTTTCTCCATTTTGACTGGGCTTATTGTTTCTTTGTTTTTATCATCTTTAGTGGGAGAGACTGTGTAAGTGGTAAGATGTGTGCAGCACTTAAGCTCAAGACAGATTTCACAACAAGGGATGATTGTTTATCATTATGTTTTGTACATTTTCATATCAAATCGTCCCATTTTATTTCGTTTTTCCCATTGCCTTATTGTATCATATCATTTCTTGTTGAATCGTAACATTAAGTGACGCATCATATCTTGCACAAATATATCATACTAGATCGTAATTTAAGAAAACATAACGCAACACAACACAATGAAACGCAACTTAATGTAAGATAACAATGATACCATATTAAACATGCACTAATAAATCCGCCGGCCAATCAATCAGCATCGATTTCCTCAATTTCGGGGGATCAGTGATCGGCTAATCTTTACATACAAAATCGATTTTATCCACCAATCATATCTACCTCAGCAAAGGTCTGAAAGTCAGCCATTGTAGCTTTTTGCTTTGCCAAAATGACAGGCCCGCCCACCAGGTCATGTGTGCACACACGCGTGTGTCAGCGCCAGCGGCATACGAAACAGTCATTCGGAGCATGATCAGCCAAGAATGTTGAACTCACTACAAGGAAACCTAAAACTCAGGACAGTTTATTGGTGATCGGCCAGAAAACTGTGATCAGTGCACCCCTATCCGCTATATGATCTCATACGATATACTGAATGTGCATGATATGATGTGTTGTGTTATGTTACGTCTTGACAAGAAATTATAAGTAACCTTAACATTAACGTAACATAACATGTTCAATCATGTTGTCTTACATTGCGCTATATCATATTGAACTGTATTGCATTGTATTATATACTATATAAGAATAATGATACTAATAATAATGGATACTAGTAGTATCCATTTATATGCTATAAACTCATCTTACATTGTATTACATGGCATCATAGAACAACACATAGCATCGAACTGTATTGTATAACCTCATAACACAGTCCACTGCATTGCATTAGAATCTCACAACTCCTCTCCGGGGAGGAGGAGGGGTAACAGGAGGACAGAGGATGGGAAGGAGCAGTAGTAGTTATAATAGTTGTTGTAGTAATTGTAATGTACAAATGTCTATAGTTTTATATCTTAATTTTTGTATGTAAAAACTTGATTCATCCTAAGTTTTATTATATCTTAACTCTTTAAATTTGTTGCATTTTTGTTTCTTACTTATTTGATCACTTTGCTTTTTTCCGTATATGCTGATGCCGCTGGAATATCTAATCTAATCTAATCCAATTTTGCATCTATAGCATCATATCAGAGAATTTTCTGAGGTGTGTTGATATCTTTGTGACAAACTCAGTAAAAGATTTTTTTAAATGGGTTAGTTACATTTTTAAACAACATTGTGAACCCTGCCTTTCAAATATAAGATTTAAAAACTATTTTGTATTTATCCACATTGTGTCAGTATTTTAAGATAATATTCATTTAGTTTTACTTATATTATCTAGTTTATATAAATATAATTTAAAACATCACTGCTCACAGCCAACAGTGTTATGGAGGTAGAGTGTAGAGGACAAAGAACTGCACTGATAATCAATAAAAGAAGCGAGCTTTTACAGTGGCTCTTTTTCTGTCTTGTAAATATCTAGCATTGACCTACCTTAAACCTGTTTGATTCCACCTGGCTGCAATGTTTTGTCTCATTACCCTCTCACTGTGCTGTTCTTATCCTATTCTGCACTTTGCTGCTTAGGGAGGTAGGCTATCTTATTGTTTCACTGTATTGCATAATGAAAACAAAGACTCAAATCTTGAATCTCGAAGCTTCGGTTGAAATCTCTGAGGAAAAGCTGAAAGAAGTGAGCTGCTGTTTTTAATGAATTACTAAATCCTGGGGCAGTCCATCAAAATCATAACATCATATTACTTAAATTATCACCCTGTTATCAAATCCCCACATTTAGCACATAACACTGTAATAACTGTATTACTTGCAGGCGCTGCTTTTGTGCATGACTTCAGCTCTGTGGTACCCAGAGAGTTTACAGAATCCATCGTTGCTGTAAACCACCGGCCAATGCACAATCTGAGCGTTCCCCAACAGGAAACTGGTTTCTGCGACAAAACACAAAATTGTAAAATATTCAGACAAAAACCAGCCCTTAGAACAACAAACCTGCAGACAGCTGTACCTATGGATTAGCTTTTGGAGGGTCATTATACAGCTGTGTCACAGCTGTGGCTGTGTAAGGATTTTTGCTGTGTGCTGTGGAATCATTGGTTTCCTTTAAATCCTGCTGACTAGCGACATCAATTTCCAGTATGTAAATCCATACCTGTAACATTCATTGCAATTGTTTAATTCCTTCTGAAGCCAAATATGCCACTCAAAGTATCCTTCTAATAACAATATGAATTATGGTGGAAACATAATCATTAATATTTAATGCTGCTCTAAACAGAGGTCAACAGATGAGTCGCTGGGCAGAAACAGTTGTTGATGAAATGTTTATGTTCTGGTCTTGATGTGAATTAAATATTGATCAAGAGGAGTTAAGTTCTCCAAGCATACAAGAGTTCGGGGGGAGCTTTACAGAATCTTTAACTTAATACTCAGATGTGAGTTTATGTTCCAATAGATTATCGACAGATTACATACATCAGAAAATAAGGACTGAATTTTTGATGATGATCACCTGACTTCTTTACCTGAAGTTAGAAAATACGCAGTAAATGCATGTTGCAGCATCGCATTTATGCTGATTAGGTTGTCTGATACTATGAAGTACAATTCATCTGTACTCGTAATAACAGCCTTAAATTTTACATTCACCTGCAAGCTTTTCGTTTCTATACATACAGTCACTCCTGCTGAAAATTAATTAAAAGAACAACAATGTTTCTGGAAAAAAAAAATTAAGAATTGAGAAATACTACTGTAAAACAGCGCACGACTTATTTGAGAGATGGAGCTACCAGAGATTTAAAAAAATCTAAAATGAATTGACATTCATAAAAAATGTTGCTTCTCCTTAAGGCATTGTTTTTTGTTTTGTTTTTTTCTGTTCTGGCCCTCTGTTAATGTTCTCATGTGAATTACAACAAGTCAAATTTACTCCACATCTCAACAGGTAAATATTGAGTAGTATCAGGCATACAAATGATCAAATCTTTTGTTCATGGTTAATTCAGAACGCCTCAAAGCATATAATATGAGAACCTCATTTGGAAAGATTTTTTCAAATTACATCTTGAACTTATTTGGCTCTTGATTATTAATTTCCTTTGAAATTATTAGAAAATTGTAGCCTAGTTAAAAAATATGACAGAAAATTATTTAAATATTCTATTGAAGGGTCACTTCAAATCAAATTAAGCATGAAACATTACATTTTCGCTCCTGCATCTCGTGCAGTCTGTGCTGCATGGTATTGTGATTGACAGCTCAATTCTCATCGTTAACTCTAATTTCTCTTCAGAGGAAAAAACTCACCGCTGGAGCGCCGGACGATATTTTCCAGGAAAGTATTTTGCGGAGCCACCAGTCCCCTCTTGCCCCCATGCATGATGAGGGTTTTGGACAGACACTCACAGCTGCTGAGTGCTCGTGCTGATGTTACTAACAACCTCCTTCAATTGAGCTTTCTGTCCGATCAGGGCTCTGACTACAACCATCGAGTTAGATACAATTTAGAGGTACTTCCGGACTAACATTACAAAAATAAAGGCTTGTTTTTAAGGTTTTTTTTTTTTGTTGTTCGTGTTATTTTGTTTTCTTTATCAGTAAAAATTTTCAGACTATCTAAAAAATAAAAGACTACAAAGAAGTTAAACATATAAAACATATGACAGCATCTGTAAAAGCAGTGAAAGATAAATGAGATAAAACGGGATAAAGGCTATTACAAGAGAGCAGGAATTAAGGCCATATACATTTTTAAGACAACTTAGAGAGATAAAAGCTGCAAGAAGTATGAAAGCAAAAGTGAAAAAAAGTACGGAATAAAAATAAGGAAAAAAAAATGAACATGAATTGAAAATTTGATTTTAAAAAGATGTTGTCCGGCAATAAACAGTGGTAGAACTGCTGTTGCTAGAGCATTTCACTTAAACCTGTTTTAATATTATTTATTTATTTTTTATTATTATTATTTTTTTTTTTTTTTTAAACTGACGATGTGCTACGTAAAATTCATACTTGCGTGTCTGAGAAGTACTTTTATTTTGAAAGATAATCTACCGGCGTTTGTCTGGTCAAAGTATCTTTAGTTTTGCACACCTGTGTGCGTGCAGTCTCGTGGATTTTCTTTTTTTTTTTTGTCTTATTATTTTGTCTTTTCTAACTTGTTCCTAAGCTTAACTTGTAACAAGCAAAAAAAAAAAAAAAAAAAAAAAAAAAAATCAGAAGATACTTGAAAAAAAAAATGTATTAAATTACTTGACAAGAGCTTCTCTGAGAGGGAGCTCTCTGAATAATGAGGACTCATTTTATTAAAAAAAAAACAAAAAACATTTTGCTTATTCTTCTTAAGTTTGAGTTTATGGTGTGAGTTCTGACCAAGCAGTCTGATTGGACAAGAGGCGTTCCTTGAGTGCTGATATAGAGTATAACACAAAAGTGTAATGTCACTTAAACTTTTCATTAAATGTGTAAATATATTTAAGAAAATCAGGCAAAGGGCTCATTTGAATCTCATTGCCATTGTAAACTTTATTTTGCTCCAAAGAAATTTCAAACATGCTTCGACTCTAGAAGAAGGATGCCTTGAACTACCACGATACTCTGGAAAGTACAAAGACCTGAACAAGTAAGCTCTGACCATGCTTTTGAATCAACTCAATGTTATAAAATAAATAAATAAATAAATAAAAGCTGAGGAAAAGAGCAACAAAAGGCACCACTAGTGATAACTGCAGCTTTGTAGGGTCCTGGTTCATTTGTTGCTGGGCCTTCTTTCTGGTGCAAAACAGTGTTTTGATTTTCTTCCACTGCAGTTCTGAGTAAATCATATTCATGTTCATCTTGACAGTGTCTGAAAAAGGCAGTTCAGTGAACTTAACTGTACTTAAGTATATCATTAGTGGCATTCCTTTCATTAGTGTACTGGGCACATTGTTAATACATCAAAGTTAGCACCCTTTAGTGAACCATTTATGTATGCAAGTATGCTTAAGTATCCTTGCAGTATGTTTATCTAAGCTTTTATGTTTCTTGTACACTTATTTTCACATATTATACTTATTCTTGTGTGCACTAAAGATGGCCGTTGTGTCCTTGGGCAAGACACTTAACCCACCTTGCTCCCAGTGTGTGTCCTCCACTGGTGTATGATAAGTGTTGTTTAGTGGTGGTTGGAGAGGCTGTAGGCACAAACTGGCAGCCACGTTTCTGTCAGTCTGCTGTGACTACTAAGGTAGTTCACCACCACCAAAGTGTGACTGTGTGAGTGAATAAATGATGTATCCGATGTAAAGCACTTTGAGGGGCTCTGATAAAGCACTATATGAAATCTGATGCATCATTATTATGATTATTATTACATTATTGTTGTACAACTGTATAATGCCAAGAAAGAGTGTTCTATGCTATCTGTTCTTATAAGGTAGGTCAATTTGCTGATTGGTTTCTTTTTGTGTTGAATTCTCAAGATGATGGGTTAAGTTATTGTTTGGGTTTTTTTTGTTGTTGTTTTTCCTGTATTCTTGAAGTTGGACTTAAGAAGTAATTCAGGCTCATTTGCTACTGGATCTCTTTTTTGTGCTGCTTGAAGCTTATTGAAAGCAGTGTTAGGGAGAGAGATATGGAAAGCCGTCTGCTGGGTCCAATGTTCTTCTTACCTACGACAAGACAACAACATCAAACCCTCAAATTTGTTTTACGCATCTATTTTCTCACCTTGTTTGATTTATGTCCAGCAGGGGCAGCACTTTGCCGCTTCGAGTACAGAACGACCAATGTTACATTAGACGAGTAAGAGAGCAAACCGGAGAAGAAGAGGAGGAATGAAAACAGGAATAACGGCCTGACGCAGTTAGACGGTGGTTATATGTTGGAGGATATGTCTTATCGGAATGGTTAACTCTAACGGACTTTGGATGCTGCGGTCAGAAATCTCCTCGTCGGTGTTCAAGGTCCGTGTTTTAACCACAGACAGCGGGTAGTAGTGACTGCAGAAGGCTTTTCTCTTCAATCACTGTTTCATCCCGTTAGAAGAAGAAATGCGGAGGAGCTCCTCTTACCTCTGAGCTCTCTCCAAGAGCATGAACTACATTTCTAAAAGAGAAAAGAGCTGTGTATTTTAAAGGTTCATCTGTTATCTTCAGTGATGGCGAACGAGTTTGTTAAGAGTTTTGTGCAGGTTTGTAAAAACCTCCAAGATCCCTGCCATGTAGCGAGGTTTCAACAGTTATGCGGCGTTCAAGGGACATTTCCGGATAAAACAACAAAGCCGGACAGTGGACAGCCTGAGCCGGACTGTTCCGGGCTGAGGAAGAGAGTCCAATGCCCGGACGCCAGTGTGGGTAATGGAGCAGCTGGGGACGCGACCTTAGCGCAGGTTAATGGGATGCAGGGTGACAACACAGCCAGGCCTGATGGTCCATCATCGGCGGCAGCAGCTAATGTCGACTCAGACACCACCAGAGCGAAACCCCTCCGGAGAAACTCCCTGACTGGAGATGTAGGTCAAGAGTTCCTGATCCACAACAAGTTTCTATTCTACCTTTTCACGTTTGGGACTGAGCTGGGTAACGAGATGTTCTTCATCATCTTCTTCCCCTATCTTTTCTGGAACATCGACGCCCTGGTCAGCCGGAGACTCATCGTGGTCTGGGCCTGGAATCTGTTCGTAGGACAGTCCACCAAGGACATGGTGCGCTGGTCCCGGCCGGCTTCACCTCCTGTGGTCAAGGTGGAGGTTTTCTACAACTCTGAGTACAGCATGCCGTCCACACATGCCATGACAGGGACAGCCATACCCTTCTGTCTCTTCATGTTGACATATGGGCGCTGGGAGGTGAGAAACCCCAGGTTGTGAGATATTATCATATTAACCCATGGGGCAAAGGGGTCAACTGTCTCAGGGACTAAGACTGCAGACCCTGGAGAGGTTTAATAAGTACTAACAATAGACGACTGATAATTTCCCCATGTTCCACAATCCCTGTGATGAATTTCTGGTTATAAAACGTACTGAATTTTGTACACATGCCTCTACATAGCCCACAAAAGCAAACAAGAATGACAGCAGGAACATCAATTTTATGTATTTATTTTACTGGAGGATTAATTAGATGCTACAGAGACAGCCCATGTCAAATATTTATTGTGGCTTAAACACTTGTACTTTTCAATACACAGTAGGGCTGGGCGATATGGGAAAAAGATTATCATGACATTTTTTTCATACCAGTCCATATCGATACATATCACGATATAAAAAATGAAATTTAACAGTGCTCATTGGTGGCACGTCTTTTGCAATGCAATAAGCTACTGCATCTGTGAGGTCTTTGTGTCGACATTTTATCGAAAGGCGTTGCGCTAGATAAAGCGGACTGAATGGTTAGGTATTTCAGGACTTTGCGAGAACATGTACTCAACATAATTTGCAGTGCACATGACTCTGTTTCATGTCCGACCTAAAAAAAACAATATACCTCCACACCACAGAAATTTTCGTGCCAGTGTTGTCGATGAAGTCATAATCTGTTGAGCCTCCATCTGCATATCTGCTGGGGGTAGCACTAATTTTCTTCTTTTCTCACCAACAGTGCTGTCGGCTTCATGTGTTAAAGTGCTATGGTTGCGTGTAGCTGCAGCCTGCTAATACGCAGTTGTTTGCTAGTTGGTTCTAGTTCAGCACATGAATGGTTTAGCACAGCGCGGACCTGGAGCAACTTCCCCTTTTATTGGCTATTTGTAGAGTCTACCAAAACATGGCAGAGTGCCGACTATTGAAAGGCATATTGACCATGTTTTATATTATATATTGAGGGAAATTAATTTTCGATATCAGTATTGTTTTATCACCCAGCCCTAATACACAGGGTGAATTTTTTCAACACTGCGTATGCATGTTTAATACAAATTAAGTTAGTACAAACCAGAAGCTCATCACAGGAGCTCTATGAACGTAAGGTTCTCATGATCTGCCAGTAATAAAATAAAAGTGTTCGGACACTGAACTCCTGCTTGGGTTAAAAAAAAAAAAGTCTATTCATCCTCTTCAAGTTGCTATTGTTGACATTTTATTGATCAAATTTATCTTTATTTACCTTAATTTATCTTGAGGACTTTAGCATCGGTATGGGTGCACACTCAAACTGTTAGACTAGCCAATAATTAAGCTTAATATAGATGACATAACTTTTTTTCATGTCATTCAGCTGATAGAATAAGACAATCAGTTTGGCATTTTTTTCCTCTTTTATATTTGGTTAACAGACAACCTAAATATACCGCACACAGAATAAATATACATTAATCAATCATCGTAGTGTGCAGAATGATAAGACATTTTTCCAGGAATGTGTTAATTTTTACAAGTTTCTGGACTTAAACAATCAGTCTACAATCAAGTTGTCTAGTTTTTTGTGTTCAAATATGGCCAAGTTTTGATTTGAAAAAATTCTGAAGTTCCTGTTTGGCATAATTTTATCTTTTAAATCCCACAGATTTACAAATCTGCCACATGATATTCCAGCTTAGCTAAGGCTTACCTAAAGCAAACAGGATGCACACACTGCACACAAAGGGTGGGAGGAACAAGGGGTTCAATAGGGCCTCCCTGCTGTGTTAGTCCAGTGCAGAGCTGATGCACAGTCTGGGACTAGAAATGTGTTGTTACAGATAACTTAGTGCAGTCTAATACATCTATATTGTGGGAGTGGTAGTGGTAGTGTTGTCCCTCTAGCCATGATCCACAGAGCCTTAACCTATTTTCATGGCAAAAAGGGAAGTTGATGTCCAAAAGATCTCTGACATCACATTGCCAGAGTTTCAGTGGTAGAAAACACAACATGTTTTAAATAATGTTTGTGTAGGTTGAAATTTAAAGGAACTAAACTGACCTCAAAAGAAATAGGAAGTGCACAGCATTTTCTCTGTGTCATGAGTTTAGTGCTTTTACATCGTTTTAGTCCTTGCGACCTGGTCATGTATGAAGCTCTGCAGTCCAGACTGAATCACAAGCAGAATTTGAATGTGGCTTGTAGCTTTTGAGCGCCATGTCAAAGCAGACTTGAGACAATAACACTGGGTGTGTCAGAGAGGTGCAGGTGAGGAGCACAGAGGGAGGTTTGTTTTTAGATAAACAAAAACTTGCTGTTCTACATTGTCAGAGACAGGAAAAGGGAAGTGAATGTTTATTTTAGTCTCGGTAATACTTTGTTGCACTTGAAGAAAGTAAGAGAGTTCACAAAGAAAGACCACGTCTTTTTGCCACTCCATTTCTATTATGGTTAGGATTTTGGAGGCTGGTTGTTGCTTAAAAGAAGGGTTCAAAAGTTTAAGAGTATCATAGTATCATTCGGGTTCATAGACAGGTCAGGTCACAGAGCTCAAAGCAATGAAGCCTGTTCACCTGCTGATAGTGCTCTCACAGTTATTAACTTACCATGGTTGTACAAAGAGATAAACAACAGAGTGATTGTAGTAAGACTAGATTACAAAGATATTAGGGATGCACAACATTGGACTTTTTCCCACATCTGATGTGCTGATATTTTCAGACTCAAATTTGAAGACAAAAAGGATGATTGTCCATGTTATTTTTGAACAAAGTTTGTAGTCCAAACTAAAAATCAGAGGCACTCTGGTACAATAACAATACCCAGGGATATGTCTACCCATTTGACCCGGCCGAGTCTTCATCAGGACAGCAAACTTCCTGATAAGGACTCAGCTGGAAAGGGGCCTAAACAAGCATTAATGTTTATTTTTAATTTTTCTTATTAGAGTTGTTGCTGTGCAGCTGCACAAAGGCTATGAGTGAACACAGGACGTGGTCTGCATGAACTTCCTGACCTCCTCTGGTGTTACCAAGTTCACAGTTTTCAAGAAGAGTGGGGTTTCAGTGGAAGTGGTCACATAAAAAGATTAGATGAACCTTGAAAGTGTTGGGTCAGTGGTGTTGAAAAGATAAGCTGTGCATGTGTTTGACTTCAGGGACAGTGATGAAGATCAGTTGTTTATAAGCCATTCGATTAATTATTGTAAAACATGTGACAGATATTGTTACATCTTTAGTTTTGTTTAATACCTAAACTGTTGAAAGTGTTATTGTAATGACATTCGTATTTAAAGTTATGGCAACCAAATTCTTGGTCGACTAAAACTCTGAAACTTTCCGTTCCGACTCCGACGGCAAAGCCTTCTACGGCGGGGGACGATACGGCTCGGCAAACCGTGGTTCGGTGGGGTGAAAATCTACTGATATCAGCACAAGAAGGCAATTAAACACATATATTATACTCGACAAACCACCGGACATTGATTAATGTGGACGCTCTTCAGCCTTCACATCTCCAGTCGGTCTACAGCGGGTAGGGCGAATCCAAAATGTTTAAAATAAGGGGGGTGTTCTGAGACAGACTGTTACCTGTGAAACGTGGGTGCTCGGAAAATACCCCCGTTAGCACTTGGTATGTTCCTCTTGATGAAATTAATCATAGACTGTGAATTGACGCGTAAAAAAATCCGGTCGACCAATCAGAATTTTGGTCGACTCAGCACGTATCGACCAGTCGATTAGGTCTTAACAGCCCTAGGAAACACCGTGCTACAATTTCTGTTTTTAGAGACCTTTGCTTAAATTCTTGAGAAGAGCAAAGCTTAGAAACATCCTCTGTTGACATTTCCTGCACTAAGATTAACAATAAGTGATGTGTATGATTGTTAAGAACAAGTATGTGAGGAGATCATGCACAGAGACTATAGGTTTAACTTTATCCACAAGGGAGGCAGTCTCAAATGACCATCACATGAGCTTTAACTATTTATTTCTGTCTTTTTGCTCTTTTTCCTTGTGTAGTACTCCTTCCTCTTCGGCTTATCTGTGGCTCTCAGCTGGAGCATCCTGGTCTGTGTAAGCAGGGTCTATATGGGGATGCATTCTATTCTGGTGAGTATATGAGACAAAATATAAAAAAGTGATTAATCTTTTATAAGAATAAGATATAGCGTGAGAGTGATTCCTGAGAAAAGCTCCTTGGAAGATGCACAATTCTGTGCTCAGACACTTTTGTTGAAGTATTAAACTATCTGGATATAAAGAATAGAATCAGTCATTTCTGTATGTGATTTTTGCAGGTGAACTGATTCATGATACATTCATGCACAATACATTCTCATGACCTATTTTCAATGCTAATTGCACACTCGGGAGCTTTTCATTTATGATTCATGGAAATATTCTTGGTATGTAGATCCTATAAACAAATCAAAGTCAGAAGATAAGGTTTGATTAGATTCGGTAGCCAGGCAACTGATGATAGCAGATACTGTTTGTGTTCTAATGGTTCTTAGAAAGTGATGCCAATGTTTCCATCGGGACCTTATCAGGTTTTATAGGAGATGTTAGGACTTTATAGACCTTAAACCTTTGAAAAAATGTTTTAGTTCTCTAATTATTCTGCAGCACATCATTACAGTAAATGATCCCTTGAACTATTAAAGCAAAGCAGGATGACATTTTTGTCTGAAAACATGGACTACACGGTGTGAGATCAGCAAAGAGAGATTTTACTTTGTCAACAGGGGGTGTAGAAATCAGGAGCTCAAGAACATTACCTTTTTATAAGACTGCTGCCTTTGAAAATGTATGAATGAGTCATAAATGTGTTTTTAGTAATAAAATTGTCTTCCACTGTGCATCCTCCTGGTTTCAAGAAAATTTGTTTTTTTTTTTATTTTGCAGGAGGTAATCACTGGCTTCCTCTACACCCTCCTTATTCTTGCCTTCTTCCACCCAACTTTGGACAAGATCGACAACTTCTACATGATGGACCGCTACGCTCCTCTTGTGATCATCATGTCACACGTCAGTCTGGGACTTGTGGCTTTCTCTCTGGATTCCTGGAGCACGTCTCGGGGCGACACAGCTCAGGCACTAGGCACCGGAGCAGGAGCTGCTTTGGCCACTCATGTGAACTACCAACTGGGGCTTCAGCTGGATCCGCCTCTATCCTCACTTCCTCTAACTCTACCGACGCTGAGTATCAAGTTGGTGGCTCTCTGCCTGCTGCGCTTCTTCATCGGAGTGGCTGTCATCCTCATTACCAGGATGGTTATGAAAGCGGTGACTATTCCTTTCTTGTGCCGACTGTTTGGGCTGCCGACCGATGACGTAAGACGGGCAAGGCAGCACATGAGAGTAGAGTTGCCGTACCGTTACATTGTCTACAGTGTTGTTGGTTTCAGTTGTGTCAGTGTGGTGCCTCTCCTCTTTAAGATCTTAAACCTTGCCTGAGTGTTTTGTGCTAACTGTCATTGACTGCTGACATGGTCACCTACCTGATGAAGGCAAACAGCACTTACAGAAACATGGTGCTTGAAACTGAAATGAAGGATAAATGTGGTGATATTCTATAGTTTTTAATGTTGTCAGTATTCCTCTGTGCCATAGAGCTCTACTGTGGTTAAATATTTATTTTAAAGTGATCCACACTGTCTGATTGGGTGACATGTTCCTTTAATATGATGAGTACGGGCATTGTAGTTTTTGTTATAAATTATTCAACAAACACCATGCAGCTGAAAATAGTCCCCTCTGAAAGAGCAGTATTTATTTCTGTTTCAGTGTCAAGCCTAAAAATGACAGCAAGAGTAATATAGGCTGTTTAAACTCACAAGTATTTATGACCCTTTCGAAAATTTTGTTCTGTGGTATAGAAACCAGTGGGTTCAGGGCCAGAGCCAAACACTGAAGTGAAAAGTATTGAGAGACTGATTCAAGTATTGAAGTTTTTTCTTCTTCTTTTGTACATGTGTGTTTGTTTGTTAACGAAAACAACATAGAACATCACCAGCCTTATCCTTTAAGATCCATGTACTGGCAACATCTCAAAGCATCAACTGAAACTTCAGAAATACAGACTCTATCAGATGCACTGTATTAATGCTTGCATTCATTATTGAGGAATATGTTGCACATTTTTATAATTTGATGAAAAAACGTGATATTAGAGAGCGAAGAATGAACCAAGCTATTGGTTAGAAGTGTGCGAAACTACTTCACATCATTTGTTGCTGTGCTTCAATCAAGTCAGCCTGAAAGCATTGAAGAAGTATTTCAGCTCTCGAGTGGCAGGGTAGTTCTATGCTCTTTATTTAAATCTTGTCAGATTTTCCTCGCCCTTTGAGAGGGCCTGTGGTTTTAGTTCAGTTATTGACATTGTCACGGTCAGAACTCCCCCTTTAACTCTTTTTTTTTTGTACATTTTATGCTTCTTTTGAAAAAAACACATTTGTATTCTCTATCCTGATGTAAGTTACGTACTCTTGAATAATCATTTGAATGCGTTAAATCAAAGTATATATTTTTGATGAGGATTTTGCCATATTTACTAACCTGAGCTGAAGTGTTGTTTAAAAAAAACTAAATCTATTCAGAATTGATTTAGAAGATTTCTGTCAGGAGAGATTTCTGCTTCCCTACAGAGTATAAAAACACTTTTTAAAGTGTCCTAATTGTTTGTTAATTGCTGTTGTATTTTTCCAATACTGCTTTATGTTCATATCCATTTCAGGAAACTAATAACCAAGCATTTATACTTACATCATCTGCCAGCACATGGGCAATGTACAGTTGTATTTTTACCATCCATTCTCCCATCTTCTTCTGTTTGCAAGAACTATATGTTATGAAAAGAATCATAAGAGGAATAAAATATTACAATATAAGAAAAACTGACATCTCATTTTTTTACTCTAAGTGGGTGGCCTTTTACAAACAAAAGTCAAAAGTGGGCTGATCAATCACTAATCTGGGACACTCGTCCAGTGTGTGTTCTACTTTTGAGTACTTTGATCATACATTACATGTAATCTGCTGTTGGTTTGCTGGCGTGGGATTTTCTGTAGGCTTGAAAATAACCTTTGATGTGTGGCCAAGAAATCAATAATTAGATCTAAATGAAATAGACAATGTTTAAAATAAGACCGATAAAGATGTCAATAGGGAAAATCAATTATACTTGCAAAACTTCCAGTATGTGAAATACTAGAAAAAATTCATGATCTTTGTCAAATTTTTTTGAGTTAAAAATAGAAGTCAGAAGAGAGAGAAGACACAGTGGAGTCAGCAGAGGGGTCACACTGGGTTTATGCCTAACCTTTGAGCGATGACCCAGCTTAGATAAGGTTTTAGGTCTCTATCTGGTTTGTAACTCAGATGTACATCCAGCCCAGTTACAGGTCTTGTCCATTCTGTCTTAACAAACTAAACTTTGTGTGATGGCTAAAATTAATATCCTTGTCTAAAGAATTAACAGAGGTCAGCACATGAGTCAACCCTGCCCGACAAAATTTGCCTTCTTACATTTATCAAAGGGATGACACATAGTCTGCTGATGCTGTATAACTTATTGCCTAATGGTTACTTCACTGTAACCCACTGAACAGTACCCAGATTTACTACACAGGTACTTTTGTGATAAATTATTTAACACCAAATATTGATTTGGAAATGATTTAAATGATTAGTTCTATTCTTGAGGGTTGTTGGATAGGTTCAGTTGCACCCACAGCTGACACTGCAGCTTTCTTAAAATGATTGAATTTCGCTGTTATCACTTATCCTAAAGAACAAAGTCCTTCAGGATGTGTTTTAACTATAAAAGATGTCCTTAAGACTGTTACTCCATTGGCAGGGTCTTTAAAAAATTATTTCTTTTATTGTTCATTTGATGTGGACATCACAATTACATTGGACAAACCAGATGCATTGTTTGAGTGTGCTAATTCGCAACACTTGCCTACAGGAGGTTTTTGAAGTAATAAAAGTAATAAGAAAATGAAAAGGAGAGAAAAAAAAGGAATACGGTGTACAATAACAGTACAACAGTAAAAGAGAGACAGTTTTTCTGACTAAATACATGCATGAGCTACAAAGCAAAGGCAAAAGCAAAGACAACATGGTCAAGCAATCAACCAGTTTAAGACAAATTGTGTGAGCACTGTTGTTTTGATTTTAGCCACTGTTTGAGTCCTTTGTTTAAAGCATTACTGTTGGTCTCTAATTTCAGAGTAGTGGGTAGAGAGTTCCAATGTACTGGCATTAATGAGGGCCTAACAATACATCATGCCAACTGATCCAGTCACACTAAAACAGAAAATGATTTATTTTATTTCTTTGAGTACATTTCTCATTTTATCGCTAAAACTGTTGTGTATTCTTTAACGCAGTGGTTCTCGAGTCCAATCCTCGAGGCCCACTGTCCTGCATGTTTTGGATGTTTCCCTGCTCCAACACACCTGGTCCAAATGATTAGCTCGTTATTAAGCCATTACAGAGCTTGGTAACGAGCTGATCATTTGAATCAGGTGTGTTGGAGCAGGGAAACATCCAAATCTTGCAGGACAGTGGGCCTCGAGGACTGGACTTGAGAACCACTGCTTTAACGTGACATTAAAAAAGTCAAGACGTCTTTTTTTCATTTAAGTTTATCTTAACCCTATAATGCCCATGAAACCACAAATTATGGCCAGAAAATTCAATTTTTTTGGAGCTGAAATGTTTATTTCACTTACCACTGAAAACCAAAACAATCAAAATGTCCTTAAAATTTTACAAATATATTTATTTATCTCGTTTGATACTCCAGATGTTTTTGGAAACAGATAAACAAGAGGACATTTTTATCATTATCTGACTGTGTTAAGGTGTTTTTTTAGTAGTTAGTTGATCATATTGATTGATAAAAGTATTATAAAAGTATGTATCAAATATGATACAAAATATGCAATAAAGGGTTAAGAATTTCGCATTTTATTTTGAAAAACTTGTAAACATTTAACCGGATATCCGGGCTCTTATTTCCACCAAAACATTCCCGGTAGCTGCAGTTGTTGCTGGTTTCTGAATGATGAAGTGTTAGCAAGGTAAAGGCCGCCTCGACGATTATAAACTTTGTTAAGAAGTCAGCTCATAAAACTGAGGGGGAAGTTGCAATGAGAGAAGTTGTTTTGCGGTCTCTTTTGAGAATTCGAGTTCCATTTCTCATCTACAGTCGATAAGTGTGAGCGGGTTTCCTCTCTTGCTAGTGTGGTGGACGTTTGTTTTGGTTCAGATTGAGCTGCTGGTAGAAGACGTTTGTAAAGTTTCATCTCCAAAATAAGAGTCCTCCTCTGCCGCCGCTGCAGATGCCTCGTTTGGAAAAGTCAGATGGCAAAAGGACAAAAAGGTGAGTACATTCTGCACTGTCAAGAAAACTAATGCAGATAAGTGGGAGCAAGGTTCTCTCTTTCTTCTGTACATCATGAACACAGTAGTTTCTCTTAATTCATTTATTGTACTCATTTCTTAGTTGCATCCCAGTTGTCGTCTTAACTAAATAAGTCAAATGAAATTATGAGGTCACTTATGTTGGAAATTTGTTTGAAAATCCTTTTGGAAAAGGGAAAAGATTGTTTTATTGGATCTGCTTGAAAGGTTCCACAGAGGTCCATTTACATATCACAATTAAGTCAAGCAAGGTCTAAAACTTTTACATGTTACATGTATGCGAACACAGTTTCAATCTTATTTCAAACCTGTTAAAGTTTTTCCTTTCGTTTCTCTGCAAATAAAGTTTTAAACTGTATGTAAACACGGATGTTTTGGGGTGAGTGGCTGGATACTAAAAACATTTGTTTATTATTCAAAATTATGAAGCTTAATACTAGAGATAGACTGATTAATTTGGCTGATGAGGGGCATTTTTAACTAGTCAGCATCATATTGGCATTAGCCCTCACAAAACTGATGTTACAAAGATCTTTTCCTAATGAAAACACAATTTCATAATTCCCTGCATCTCAGATCTTAAACATTCAGTGTAAAGTTCAGTATCCTGTCTGATACAAACATCCACCGTGGTCTGAATTCTTGAGCCTCACACAATGTATTTGTCTTTTTCATTAATTCATTTGAATTCATCTAAAACATGGTACTGCCTAAGATATCCATGAGAATTAGATTTCACTGTGCATAGAATAATGGATTTGTACATTTTTCTTTTTAAATTGTTTCAACCCCAGTATTTTTCGAGATTTTTTTCCTGTTTTGATAAATCCAGACAGCTGGCCTGAAACCCACGAGTCACTTAAAGCAATATTTTACATTGTCTTTTTTTTTTGTCAACATTTATTTTGAGAAATGTTCACTTCAAGAGAGGGTATTACACATATTTTTTGGCTTTATGTTATCCCTCTGATATCTTTTTAGCAGCTTTACATGATTTGCAGTTCAACAAGTTCTGAACATGTCGATTCATAACTGTCCTTGAAAAAACTCTCATTTCAGCTTTTGTCTGAGACACTAAGTCACTGTCCCTTTTAGCGTGAATATCTTTCCCTATTTAGAGTGTTATCTTAAAAGGCATTCCTTTATATTTTGTCTAACACATTAACAATCATGAGAGGGGTAAAATATTAGGAACACATTTTTATGTTATGCACTCCAGTACTTTGTACATTGTTCCCGCTCTTTTTAGGATACATGCATTAATTCAGCTAAGTGTGTGACACTGTTTTTTACATAATGTATTCCATTGTTTTTTAAATATTACCTTTCCTATCTGATTTGTCCATTTGTTATTTTCACATGTCCCCGTACACATATACATATACAGTACATGTATTTTTTGCTGTGCTAATTATTAATCTTCTTTTCCATAGACCAAAGTTAGACTGGAAGTTTATTCAGAGGTTTTGCAGCATCCAGAAGGTCCTGTTCCCATCATGGACCAGCCAAAGTGTTTTGATGTTTGGGACACTGTTTGTTGTCACTCTGGCAGGTAAGTACTATTATTGCTGTTAAAGCTGTATATATAAGAAGGGAAGTATTGCAGACTAGAAAGGGGAAATAACTTTTAGTGGTCTGATGCCTTTGTATGATAAGTAAACATAATCCTGTCTCTCATGAAGCCTCATCATAAGAAACATTCACTGACAGTACATTTTGTGGTGTTATGAAACAACCCTTTAGATTGCTCAAGGCTGCCTACTATGTTGTTTTTTTTTACCTGCTAACCTTTAGTATTACTTGTTGCCTAATTTTCCAGTGTTGCTTTTATGAGTCCTTGTTTGAGCTCTTTCCCAACAATGTGCTAACACGTCTTTTTTCCCTGCCAACAGAGCAGCTGATCATTTACCAAGTGGGTGTCCTCCCCAGCTTCTTCTACAAAGTGCTGGGAGACAAAGATTACTCAGGCTTCAGGAATCTAGTGGGCACAGCTATGGTTCTCATTTTGGTCAACTCTACAGTAAGTTGAAGGAGCTGTACAGGACAACAGGCAATTGTTGCATTCGAAAATTACAAAAAATGAAAGCACCCATTAAATAACCACCCTAGTTCAGCCCTAGTTCCTATTTGGGGTCATTATATCAGCTTGCTGGACATGAAATTTGTCCTATTGACTTGTTCAGCTCTGCTGCTGATCATCTCACCAGTACTTTCACTTTAAGATTAATACTTCTAGATTCTCCACTCATAGCAGCTTTTATTTGATCCAAGTGACTTTTAACCATTGAGTAAAGTAAGTTTGAAACACATAATAATCTTTAAGAAATTTTTGGAGTTCTAGGCATTGAAGTTTGTTGTTTATCATGCCACCTTCTTGAAAAACATAATTCTACTTCAATTTTTTTTTTTTTTACTTTTTCTGTCTTTTAGTTTTGTTCGTTACTCCTAATATAATGAGTAAAGCAAATTAATGCAATTATCAGAAAATAGACCTTTTATTGGGCAGAGCCTTCCCATAATAGCAGACTCCAAACCAGTTTAGGCAAATGGTGTAATGATTGAACGGTAGATCATTTTAATTTCATTATATATGTATATATATATATATATATATATATATATATATATATTTTTTTTTTTTCTGGTACCAAATGTTGGTGTGACCTCGAGTTTGATACAACATCAGGTATATTGTTCCTTATAGTTTATAGCACAACACTGATTGATAAACTCTAGTAACTTTACAAGGTCAGGACAGCCTGACCTACTCATTTACAGCCTGCACACACTTAACCTGAAACTTGGATATTGAACCTGAAAACCTCTTGACTCTGAGTCTTGATTCTGTACATGTAGTAAAGATCACCAGATTTCCTTCTTCAGCAGAGAAATCCTCTATCATTTGTTATAGTTAGTCTCATAGAAATTGTGTTCTGAGTCTGTTGTCCCCCCCTCGTTTATATTTCATTGCTGACAGACATTTGTTTCTTTCCTTTTTTCCTCTCTCAGTTGAAAAGTCTGGACCAGTACATTTGTAATCAGATGTATCTCAGCTGGAGGAAGACGTTAACTGAGAGCCTACACAAAGCCTACTTTCAGGGCCGAGTCTATTATACACTTAATGTACTCCAAGAGGATGTAGATAACCCGTAAGCTTTTACTATTTCATAAGAAGTCTTTCCTGATTATTTTGGTGTAAATGCAATTCAATAATCTGAACGGGTTTGCAATTGTTGTTTTTTCCTGTGTTTCTATTTAACTTACAGAGACCAGAGGATCAGTCAGGATACAGAAAGGTTGTGTAAGCAGATGAGCACCATGGCCAGTCGTTTGATTGTGTCGCCTTTCACACTGACTTACTACACCTACCACTGCTTTTATAGGTGAGCTCGAACACTACATTGGAAACAGGTGATTCACTGTGATAGGACACTTTTTTACCATATGAAGTTTAAGAGTCACCCGACCCAAACTTGCTTCAGAGAGGCTTAATGTGCATCATTAAAACTATGAAAAAGGCTGTTGAACATTCCTAGATTTTTATGCATCAGTTTTAAGTGATCTATTCATGTCATTGTCAAAAATCCCCTCCATCAAGTAACTTATCGTATTTTTTGCACTATAAGGCGCACCATCAATGAACGCGTCTATTTGCGTCTATTTTCATACATAAGGCACACCGGATTATAAAGCGCAAAAAAGTATAAACCAAAAGTATAAACCAAACAAAACAGTCAGTTAAGTCAATCAATCAATCAATCAATCAACTTTATTTCTATAGCACATTTAAAAGAACCACGGGGGTAGCCAAAGTGCTGTACATTGTGACAAAAAAAATAAATAAATAAAACAAGCAAAGAACAAGATAGAGTGAGCAAAAATACATAAACGCAATAAATAAATAAATATATAAGCAGGCTCACGGTAAGTCAAACTTTATTTAACTCATTCAATAACTCCACGAGGCTATGGTAGCTGCAGTGCTCCGACAAGCCAAAAGGATTTTAAGTGCGCCTTATAGTGCGATAAATACGGTAACTATATTTCTACCTTGGCGCACAGGCTTTGCTCATGCAAACCAACCCCTGGCCGCAACCGCTTGTTGCATGCCATTCCCCACCCTCAACCTCCCACTCCTCACGTTTCATACCAAAATTACCTTTAGCTTTGTTCATGCCTTCGATACTAGAAGACAGCTTGAAGTGATTGGCATAGAAAAACTGGGAGAAATGAAGAAGAAATACTGAAAACACGAGATAACATTAAATCACTCTAAGAATATGATGTAAGAAACTAAAAATGCAGACAAGTCTTGTGTCTTAAATTGTAAGATTTGAAAGAAAGCCTTTTATTTCCTTCAGAAATGGTTGAAAAAAACTTGGCATGTCAACTCAAGACAAGTTGTCCCATATTTTATGGGTATCAAAGGATTTCTGTTACTTAGTCTTACTTTTATTTTGCTCATTGATTTTGTTTGCACTTGGAGTTGCCTTTGTTGTTTCAATTGCAGTCTCTAAATCAATTTGTCTTGCTTTGCAGCACCGGCTGGATTGGTCCTGTCTGCATCTTTGGCTATTTTGTGGTCGGGACTGTCGCCAATAAAATCCTCATGGGGCCGATTGTGTCAACTCTCTTTGAACAAGAAAAACTGGAGGGAGATTTCAGGTAATTAAGGCTACTAAAAATATCTGGTCATAGATAAACAAAGGATTGAATGTCCTGTCTTTTCCTCTGAACTTCATTAGAGGGGTTGGGTGTTTCTGCAGCTTTGTTTGATGCAAATTCTTTCAGTGTTTGTTGTCAAGGAAATCACTCTTTCTGTTAAGAGGAAGTTTCTGCAGATTTAAGCCCAGAGCCCTTTTCTTGTCAGGAAATACCAAAGGATATGTGTCAGCTATAAAAGAGGAATTGTAATGCAATCCAACGGTCACAAGTTTGACTAATGCAGCTTTGTAAAGATTGAATAATGGTTGAAAAAATGTTGTATTCAGTAACAACTTTGATGCTTTAAAGCATAAAAGAAAATCAGGATTTTTTTTTTGTGTATCCAGGTTCAAGCACATGCAGATCCGTGTCAATGCAGAGTCTGCAGCTTTTTACAGGTGAGGCATACACATGCAGTAACAGTCAAGTATTTTTGTCTGTTTTTCTGTTTCTTTTGCCCGTTTAATGCTTGATGCCATACAGGTGGAATAAAAACAAACATATCCAGGAATTTCAAACATTAATGACTGAACACCTCAAACAAAAAGTGTACCAGGTGTAGCTTTTCTGTGGTTTAAAGTACCTCACATCATCTGACACTTCCTTGTTCATCCTAATACACCAAACCACACCTCCCACTGTGTCTTTAGAGCAGGTAAAGTGGAGCACATGAGGACTAACCACAGACTGCAAGCCTTGCTGCAAACACAAAAAAGTCTGATCAACAAAGAACTCTGGCTTTACAGTAAGATTATCCTCCACAGAAACACCTATTCAAACATATAATTGAGATTTTTATCAGACTTACAGTGTGAACCTTTACTCTCTTTTAGTTGGGGTGAACACCTTTGACTACCTCGGAGGTTTTCTCAGTTACATAATCATCGCCATTCCCATCTTTACTGGAATCTATGATGGCCTCACTCCTGGAGAGCTCAGTGCTCTAGTCAGTAAGGTATGTCACTTTTCTTAACTCCATGTTAGTACGTTCTTTCTATCCTGTAAGGTGATGCATGAGTATTGCTTAGTCCTAATTTTCTTAGTCAGTGAATCTGTTTAAGAAAGACAGATGTGCACAGTATTAAAAAGCATAAAATAGTTAACAAACAGCACCTTTTGTATCCTTAGGAGTAAAACAAATTCAGGTTTACATGTTGAATCTTGAAGACTTGTCATGTGAATTTGTCTGCAATTTGACCACTAGGTGGCAGCAGATACCTTCCGTCAGTAAAACCCACTGCGTTAAGTGACTTCAAACATCCAAGTGTGAATGAAAAGGACCAACTCTTTTCTGTGATGAATTCTTTATAATGATATTTAGATTGTTGTTGTTTTTAAGATAAGACAAGATATTTCTTTATTGGTCTCACAAGGGGAAATTCCCCTTTCTTGTTTCTTTAAGTGTCTTTATTGTGATACTTCTGTCTCTTACAACCTTTTTTTTGCACAGTTTCAAAAAAGTATACAAAGAAACAAAAATAACAAATTATAAGTAGTGCAGAGAGAGGAAGAAAACCCAAAAGGCTTATTTGATGCCTCCACATAAAGAAACATTTAAACAATTTAAAATTTACTTAACATATGGACATATGAGAAAATAACACTTCCCCTATGTTTCCCCCTCTCCTTATTCTTATAAAGAATGCTTTTGTCTGCATCTACTTGATAAATGGCTTCACACAGCTAATCGACCTGTCAACCACTCTGTCAGATGTGGCTGGATACACTCACAGGTATCGCTCCGCACAGTTACACCCACTTTCTGGAGGACAGATGTTGACAGCGGCTGAATTTGGCTGAATCTTTGTATGTTTGTTTGGCTGTGTCGTGGACAGAATTGGGGAGCTCAGGGAGGTGATGGATGACATCCTACGCAAGCAGTGTGACTATGACCCAGCATCAGGAGAAAGTTATGACTTTGACAGGTTTGTGTGAACACTTTTCATTCATGTCTGCAGCAGAAAAAGTATCAAGCATGGCTAAAATTTGATTCTTTTGAGTAAAGAGATGAAAAGGGTCAAAATAAAGTGGGCAAAAAATTTTCATTTTCTTTAATTTCGCTACACAGTGACTTCAACATCCACGCAGGCCCCGTGGACACGGCCTTCATCCTGGACCACCTGTCATATAAATCTCCTTACTCAGATCAGCTGCTGGTGGAGGATCTGAGTCTGAAAATCAGCCAGGGAACACATTTGCTAGTGGTGGGGAACACAGGCACTGGAAAGACATCCCTGCTAAGGGTCCTCAATCGACTCTGGGAGGCACACAGCGGTGAGAAAGTAGCAAGACTCACATATAAACCTTGATGATTCAGTTGTAGTTTCAAGATAAAGAAGAATAAGTAGCTTTAATGAAAATAAATTAGAGGCTCTTTATGTTGTGGGATCTCCCTTTTTCTCTTTGTTTTGAAATTTTATAGGTCTTCTTCAAACAAAAACACCACAAAAACATGTTCTGAAACAGCCTATGAATTTGACATATGGGAATTTTGGCTAAAGACTTTGAAAAACAATACAGCACCTGAGTTGGGTTAGCTAGTAGTGAAGTCTTTACATAGTCTAAATTGTTTATATGCTGATCTTCTTTACATAAAATCTGATTGGACATGGTTTAATTGTATTTTCTTTTTTAAATAAAAAAAAAGATAAGTACATATAACTCATCGAAAGGTTGTAAGAAGATCAACTTTATAATATCTGCTTCTTCATTCTGCATTATCAGGTTTTGTTCAGATGACCACGTGTTTTGGGCCCAGAGGAACCCTCTTCCTGCCTCAGAAACCTTATCTGACTGACGGCACACTGCGGGAACAGGTTGCTGTCTCTTCTTCTTTGTAGTTTGCTCTTCTCACAGAGTATATAAATGTGTAAAGATACAAGTCCTTTTTAAGTCTTAAACATGAATAAACATCTGTTATTTCTCTCCAACAGGTCATCTACCCTTTGAAAGACATTTACCCTGCATCAGGTATCATGTTGTACTAAATTACACAGCATGAGACAAAGGCCATTGGCTTAAACTCTTACAATGAAATGTTTTTGTTCTGTAAATAAAATCGACAATCAATTTAATATAAAACTACTAACAAGTAAAAATACTGCATGTTGTTTTGACATTCAGTTTTAAAATGTTAAATTAGAGATAAAACTTTTTTCACGTATTTTTATATCATTGATTTAGCAGCCTTGTGTAGTAAGCAGATGGTTCTGGATGTTTATCGTTTATTTTCTGTTTTGTTAGGAGCTGAATTCTACGAAAGAGGATTAGGGCCACATGAAGAGAAAAAAAAATAAGTCGAAAATTTTAGATTAAAGTTAAAATTTCGAGATTAAAACAGACAAAATTATGTAAATAAAGTCGAAATTTCGAGATCACAAAATGTTGTGAATAATGTTGAGATTTAGACATTTAAAAACTTAAAATTTGAAATTAAAGATGAAATTTCAAGATCACAAAATATCGTGAATAATGTCGAATGTTGGACATTAAAAAAGAAAATTTTTAAATGAAGTTCGAAATTTTGACTTTAATCTTGAAATGGAAATTAAAAATCTCCCTCCTGTAATAACTTTTTCGTCTTCTTGTGGCCCTAATCCTCTTTCGTACAGACACAACTGAAGTGAGTGACTGTAGAATTTCTTTTTCCAGGTTCGGTGGACGATGACAGAATCATACAGTTCCTTGAACTAGCTGGTGTGGTGAGTGACTGTACAATGCATCTCTTCACATTATTCCCTTTTTGTCTCTTTAATCATTTACCCACTTTATTTGAATGCTGAATTTAAATCTGATCTGTTTGATGTTGGAAAAACCTTCTGTGCTCCAGTCTAGCCTCTTGAAGCGCACTGGCGGTCTGGATGAAAAGGTGGAGTGGAACTGGTAAGATTGGTGTGAAATATTAAAATCTATTTGAACAGGAAAATATGCGTTTTTTTTTTTTTTAACAAGGATTTAGACACTGAGCTTGTCTCCACAGGTATGACGTTCTGTCCCCAGGTGAAATGCAGCGTCTCTGTTTTGCACGACTTTTCTATCTGCAGCCCAAGTATGCAGGTGTGTTGCTCTTAAACAGTTGGAGAGTTGAACCTTTCCATCTTATTCTCAGAGCTTATCCAGACTGAGCTTTTTTTTAGTTTGTGGTTATAACATCCTGATTATTTTTCACGCAGTTTTGGATGAGGCCACCAGTGCTCTGACAGAAGAGGCCGAGGCACAGCTCTACCGAATCTGTAAACAGCTGGGCATGACTTTGATCAGTCTGGGACACCGTAGTAGCCTGGAGAAGGTACACTGAACACACAAGTATCAATCAGCTTGAAATCAAAAAGATGATTTACTCTAATGCTGGGCATTTTGTTATAAGAAAAAAATAATTTGAAGTAAATATATGAAGAAATATTTAAAGGGATATTCTAGTGTAAAACTAAGTTAGGGTCAAACACACCGTAACACCGAGTTAGACACCCCCTTGAGGGATGAATGTTGCCGACTGCTTGCTTCTTTAGTTATAGCGACTTTAGTAACGACCGCATGACAGCAATACATAGCAGTCTAGGGAGCCGAGCACAAACATCAAACATCTTTTTAGCTTTGCCTGATTTCTTTAGCAAAGTGTCCAAACACAATTCACCCACTCTCTTTCAGCAGCCGTATGTGGGGGGAGCCCTGAAGAGTCAATCACCGAGTGCAGTGGATGATTTCCTTGAAGTAATAATCATCATAATAATCATTTTGCACTGCAGATGCGGTAGTTCTTCCACCTTAGCGTCACGGTCTGATTGCATTTCCATGAAGTAATAAACATGAATGTTCTTCCTTGAGCTGCGAAATTCTGTTGTACTTGGTGACTGACTTGTCAGGGCTCCCCCCACAAACAAGCGGCTGCTGGAGAAGAGTGGGTGAGTTGTGTTTGGTCTCTTTGCTAAAGAAACCAGGCAAAGCTAAAAAGATGTTTGATGGATAGTATCATGAGTGGGACCCTGTATGTACTGTTGATGAAGTTAGGTGCTGTTCTGAACATTATTTGTGGCTATAGAGTGGCTTTTTGGTTGAGGTTTGCACATGGAGACATAGACAGCTGTGTATTGCTTTCGTGCAGTCGTTAATAAAGTTGGTATAACTAAAGAAGGAAGCGGTCGGCAACATTCATCTCTCGAGGGGGTGTCTAACTCGGGGTTACAGTGTGTTTGACCATAACTTAATTTTATGCTGGAATATCTCTTTAAGCAGTAAAGTTTTTATCCAAATAACTATTAAAGAGGGTTATGAGAAACACTTGTTGACTGAAGTATTTCTGTAAATATTTCTGTTTCTTACAGTATCATGATGTCCAGTTGAAGCTATGCGGAGGAGGCCAGTGGGAATTAACCAAGTTAAAGGAAAGTGGTGGGAACCTACAAGAAGCAGATACGTGACAGCAGAGACATTTTCAAATCCTGACACGCAGGTCGTTCAAACACTCCTGTGTCCCTCCATTACTAATAAACTTGTTGCAAAGGTATTTCATATTACAGTTACTGCAGTGGAGCTGGTCAGTTGTACACATGTTTGGTTTGTCTTTGCAACGGTACAAATTTTAGCACCAGTTGTGTTAAAAAGTGTGCTGCAGTGACACATGATCACAAAGAAGGTAACAGTGTCAAGGACAAGGAGTAAAATATTCACGCCACAAAGACTTCCAAATCAGTGGTTTAGTTTACTTCATTATTATCACAGTATGTTTACTTTTTTTTACAATGACTCATACAAAGCAAAGCACCCTCAGAGTTATCCGTCTGTAACTGCAAAAATAACATGATTTTGCTACTAATGTTGATACTCACTACAGTGGACATACGAGTTCTAATTTAGAAATACAGTCAAACAACAAAACTTCATTGTGCAAAGTAAATCTGTGAATTATGCACACTATTAAAAAGTTAATTTCATATAAAATATATGTAAAATATGATTTAAAAAAACAATTTGTCAATGAAGTGTTTTTTTATCTTTTCATTAAACGGCTGGAGTCTATTAACATTAATTCAGTGAAATGTGTAAGTACCACAGGTGTCTTAGATAAGACAAGAGCATTTTCAGGAAACACATCTTCATGGTTGCTCGTCACCACAGAGCTCAAGGTGACCCTGGATGATCTCTTGAACTGCTGCAGGATCATCCAGCGTGCTGAGGTCACCCAGCCCGTTCAAGTCCCGTTCTACCACTTTCCGCAGCACTCTGCGCATTATCTTACCTGAGCGCGTCTTTGGCAGACGCTTCACAAACTGTCAACATCACCAACAACAAAAACAGTCAGATTGCTGAGTACAAGTCTGTGAATTTGATTTTTAAGTTAATGTTAGTGAGACAGTCTTACCTGGATGTAGTCTGGACAAGCATACTTGGCGATCTTCATAGACACCGTGTCATTCAGCTGCTTGGACAGGTCAGCGCTTTGAGTATTCACTTCCTTTTTTAATACCACAAAGGCGTAAACACCTGGTAACACAAGGACAACACATTCTTACCTGCTGTGATTTACATTAAATGCAGTCAACTACAGAATGTGAGAAACACCTTTCAGACTAAAAGCTCACAGAAAAAACTCCTCAGTCTCACCTTCTCCTTTGATGTCATGTGCATATCCTATAACAGCCGATTCAGCCACAGCAGAGCACAGATTCTGTAAGAAAATAACAAACAAGATCATCTGTTTCACCAGGTAAACTATTTAACTGCTTAAACTTTGGAACGAACAGGAATAAATCATTTGTCTGGTTATGGAGTAGAAAGCCTAAAAAATATTTTAGTCAAGTTGAAAGACATCAAAATTTTCAAGCATGTTAACATTGTACCTTATTTTCTCCCTAAACACAAGCAAGCTGCCATATTATCAGTGGTTTCAAATGTAGAAAGAAATCTTATATATCCAAACTTTACAGTATTACAAAGAACATCACTGTAATTTACACACCAGTTTATGTTTTTAAAGAAAAATGAGTCACTTTTGAGAGTATACAGAAAACCATTCTTTATTTTGGATATTTTCTTTTTTCTTTTTTTTCACTTTTAAGATAGCTAAAGATATGAAATGTGGAGAGAGGGGAGTAAATGCAAATGTGCAGTAAATGGTCATGTGGTTGGGAGTCAAACCTACAACCACTGCAATGCAGACCTTAACCCCTCTGTATACAAGCTATTCTAGTGTAAAACTAAGTTAAGGTCAAACACACCGTAACACCGAGTTAGACACCCCCTCGAGAGATGAATGTTGCCTTCAGCTTGCTTCTCTAGTTACTTCATTCCCTTTAAGTAATAATCATCATAATAATAATCATTTTGCACTGCAGAGGTGGTAGTTCTTCCGCCTTAGTGTCTTTGTCTGATTGCATTTCCATATAGTAATAAACATAAATGTTCTTCCTTGAGCTGCGAAATTCTGTTGTACTTGGTGACTGACTAGCCAGGGCTCCCCCACAAACAAGCGGCTGCTGGAGAAGAGTAGGTGAGTTGTGTTTGGTCTCTTTGCTAAAGAAATCAGTCAAAGTTAAAAAGATGTTTGGTGTCTAGTACTATGGCTGGGACCCTATATGTACTGTTGATGAAGTTAGGTGCTGTTCTGCGCATTGTTTGTGGCTACAGAGTGGCTTTTTGGTTGAGGTTTGCATGTGGAGACGTAGACAGCTGTGTATTGCTATTGTGTGGTCGTTACTAAAGTTGGTATAACTAGAGAAGCAAGCAGTCAGCAACCTTCATCTCTCGAGGGGCTGTCTAACTCAGTGTTACGGCGTGTTTGACCATAACTTAATTTTATGCTGGAATATCCCTTTAAGCAGTAAAGTTCAGAGAATTTGGTGTAAAAATATTGTGTGAATACAGTTTGTGAGAGTAGATTCAGCAGAAAAGACACAGACAATATTAAAGAAACAAGGTCCACTTACATCAAGTATAATTAAAAGGTCCTGTTAAAACTTTTCTTAGCAAATATATTCTTTGTTCTTCAATAGTCATCAGTTTAAAGAGCTACATAGATAGATACACTACTGATCTATTGGGAGAACCAGTTCCTTGGGTTACTATTTGCATAACTTGTGCTAACTTTCTAAAGCAGCTGCAACCATTTCTACATAACTGAATAATCATACCACCACATCCTCGATCTCTGCTGTCCCGATCCTGTGACCGCTCACGTTGATGACATCATCCAGGCGGCCGGTGATCTGGTAATATCCCTCTTTAGAGCGATAGGCGCCATCACCCGTGAAGAAATAACCTGTGTCCACAGAAGTAAATCAGAGAGAGTGTGAAAGAAAGTCAGATTGAATTTTCTTAAATCACCAGTAAAGAAAGGATTTGAGAGACACCATGAAGACATCGCCACAGTTTGATTGTGCTGTACCAGGATGAGGCTGGCAGTAGGTCTCGATGAATCTCTGATGGTTGTTATGGATGGTGCGAGCCATACCAGGCCAAGGCTGAGCGATACACAGAGCACCAGATGTGTTGTTGGATGTCAGCACTTTACCCTGAAGATAATTAAGAACAGCAGGCAAAAATGTTAATAAACAAATAATTTTGTTTATTTCTGCCATGTACTTTTGTTGGATATAATACTTCCAGCAGCGATATTGAGATATGATCAAACAAGTAAAAAAGACTGACACAAAATCCATAAACTTCTTCTCAAAACTCAGACTTACAGCCCCACATTAAAGCCTTTGTTTCCTTTAGATCACATCATCATATGTGTGGTCTTTTTGTCTGTCTTTGTTGAGAGAGTGGGAAAGAGATCAGCACAAAGACCCCCACTCCAACTGTCTGCACAATCTGTGCTTTTCAAAAGCAACAGCAGTAGCGCACAGTCCTCTGACAGATTTTTATCGGGAGTCTGGCACACACAGAGTGGAACTGATGGATGGGAGCAGGGCGGGTATCAAAAGTGACACAGCTGGTGGGTAATTCATAATCCTAATCTGACCCTCTCTTTGGGCCTTTCCCAGCCATCTAACATTTGTGAGCAAACACACACACACACAGAGGAATGAGCACTGTACCTCGGAGTCCATGAGTACGGGCTTAATGCCAAAGAAAGGTCTCATGGCCATGCCTGGGACAATCTCTGCGTCTGGCTCCGATGGCCTTGGAGTGATACAAATGCCACCTGTCTCTGAGAACAAAGCGCGAAACAAGGCAGATTTTCAAAACTGATCTATGTCTTTATTTCTAGTATTGTCAGAAAGACCAAAAAACATTGCCGCAAATGTAAACTGAAAAAAAATAGACATCAAATGAATTTAAATAACAGAGCCAACTAACTCAGGGTTCCTCATTGCTGCAGATGTAGATTATGGAATTACAGCTATGCTAAGTACATGAAATAAAATTAGGTTTGCACACCCCTCAGAGACCCTGCTAATCTGTCAGCTGGTGTTGATGGCAACTGTACTGAAGTAGGACATGACAGATGATCCCACAATAGAATTAGTGACTGGCATCCTGTTCAAATCAACTAAACCGTGAGACAAAGTCCCCTCCAGAAAATTATAGCTAATATAAGCTCCTCAGCGACGTTTTAATTCGGTAAAGAAATGGTTCCATATTTTAGAGGCTGCTTATTCGTTCTTGGGGAGAAATTGGATGAGAACAGTACTCTCACTTTCATACAAACAAATACAGATAGCTTAGCTGTTAAAACTTTCTTTTTGACACAGATGGGGAAAAAAATCTCATTTTCCAGCTGAGTGGCTACCTTCAAAGCTTCAAGTTCAGCTTATAGTCCAGAAAATGTTGCTGATATTTACGTGTTTGTCCTGGCAAGAAACACACTTACTATGTTTATCAAAGCTCTTGTGAGAAACTCTACATCTGTGGACAGAGTGGGACCTCCTATCTCTGCTGTTTTCTCTCTGTATACTTGTGAATTGAAGTGCTAACACTTTATATGAATCTACCTCTTCAGGTTCGGGATGCTTTATTGGCATGAACTGTAACAACCGCTGTTGCCAAGGCAATTAATCGCAATCAGTAATTAAAAATATAACTCACTCACAAAAACTAATTAATAAATAAAATTGCATTATATCTACATGAACAAATGCACTAACACATGAATATGTTTACGTATGTGTATATAAAATTGTACACATTCAGTTAAAGGTATGTATATACAAATCTCATTAAATATGTACATTTGTTTACTTTGTTTTTATTGTTTAAAAAAGTCAATTAAGATTTGAAGAACTTTAATGATCCTTGAAGGGAAATTAAAATTTTAATTAAACAAAGTCAATTAAAGAAAAGAAATATCAAAAATATTTACACAATATCAAACTATCTGACTTGATTGTCTGATAAGGTGGAAGTCAAGTTCTTTCAGGCAGATGAGCAAAAAGAGAGCTTCTCTATCTATTTGCTCCAGTCTACATTTTTTTTCCAATTCCTTCTTTTCTTGGAATCCAGTTTTATGAAGACCTGTCTCCATTTCTAGTTTTTAGTCTCTCCCAAAGAATAATCACATGTCAGGAGGGAATAACATTCTCATTAAGCAGTGGATTTTATTTCTTTTTTCCAAAACTCAACGGGCCTGCGTTTGTTTTCCTTGTGATTTGGAGAATTAATAGGGGTCTTGTTTTGTTGTGGACGGCTCCTCTCTCTTCGCTGCAGGACAGAAAGATTCAGAAGATCTTTTGTACCAACAGCCATCAGACTTTACAACTCTTCTGTAAATAGTAGATGACTTGTAGAGACATAGACGTAGCTTTCTCTGATTCTTTTCAGGGGACCAGTCTCTGGATAGAGACTGTTGCTTTGAAAAGCCACGTGGTGGTAAGATTCAGGATCAGCTCATGCCAAGTGAACCCTGGAATTTGATCGCTCTTTTGATCATGTATAGTGACAGTGGGAATTCTCCTAATTCTGCTCTGCATGCCAAATTTGGACAGTTTCTGAGAACCTTGGGGATTACATCAGAACTGAATAATGTTGCTGAATAATTTTAGCCAAATCTTAATTGGGGGATTGAGCTTATTCAGAGATGTTCTCAGTGTCTAGTAGGCTCTCATCTGGGAGCAAAGTTATTGCTTTGTGAAACCTCCCAGATGCACCCATTATTATGCCCAAATAACTATAGTCCTCTGTATGTTCAAGTGTGGATCCTCCTATAGTATAACTGTTTTGATTCCTGTGATCTGCCCTTCATAAATAATAAAACATTTCTAGCATTGAAAGGTTCTGCTGTAAGCCTTTGTTCAGACAGACAGCAGAACCAAATCATCTGCATACATGAGAAATTAAATCTCTACACCAATTTCTTGATGACTGCTCTAAAGTTGTGGCCGGTTTATTAAAATAGATATAGAAGAGAGTGGGGGATAAGTTGCATTCTTGATGTACCCCTTTTTCCTTGTTTGAAGAACTCAATTCTCTTGTTTCCCATTTTATACAGCATTTATTTTTTGAGTATCTGGATTTAAAATCTTCTTGAAACCTTCTTAGGATGCATCATTAGCTAATGTGCTATAAATGCATCTATAAGGCTTCATGATAACCCTTATAAGTGATAATTAATATTTATAACAGCTAATAGTAAAGTTCTTGTAAATATGTAATAAGGACATATAACTGTTAATGACCTTATACAGTGCTATAACATTACTGAAAGGGCCCAAAGTCATGCTGTAGCACATTATGAGTATTATATGACATTTTCAGAATTAGGAATTATAGAAATATTAATTAATGAATATATTTTGATAACAGATAGAATGAGTTCTTCATAAACCTTTATAACCGGGTAAAGTTGTGAGAGTAAAATGATGTGAATAAATCCAGAATTCAAAAGAATGAACACTGTGTATTTAAACTGTTTCAGGTGCAGGAGCACCCTGACGCTGTTTTTTCTTTTGCATTAAGGTGCTCCTGCAGCCTTGACTCAGCTACAGTAGACTGTGTCTTGGGAAACTAGTGTCTTTCAATCTTTTTTATCTTTCAAGTTTACAATCTTTCAAGTTTACATTGAAGGCAGTGGAAGATGCCGTCTCTGGTTGCAGATGTTTCAATCAATGACTTTGTGTCGTGTGACTCAGGAAACCAATCATATCTGTTTTGTTTTATGTCTGTAACTCTGTTAAGTTTGTTGCTGCCTGTCTTGGTCAGGACAGCCTTGTAAGTGGGATTATTGATCTCAATTAAGTTTTCTGCTGCTTAAATATATTTCAATAAATCAATGAAAATAATGTATCATTAACCACACCCTTATAAGGTATTATGCTCAACACTGAAAACACGTCATTAGCATTTCTATAAACTGTAATAAATGCTCATCATCACGTATAAGTATTATTATTGTGCACTATAGACACGTTTATGAGGCTTTATAAATGTGCTTATGACGCTTTATAAGAAGTGTCTGTAAACAAAAGCATGAGAATAAACATTTAAAACCCACAATGTTAAATCATATTGAAGTTTTTCCCTCCTGTCCATCCTCTACCTCTATAGTCCTTTATGATCCAACATGAAGGCCGTATGCCAACAGCAGATCAAAATCTCATTTTCTCCCTGAACAGGCTACTCTACTCCAGATCCACCAAATGGCATGTATGAATAATGCCACTTATTCCTAATTAAAAACCCTGGTCCAGGGAAATAACATAATGATATAATCCTTTTGGGTGAAGTAGGGTATTTGGGTCATATCTGTGTCTGTAATTCTTAGGCTCATGATGCTCTGATGTCTAATTGTTATTATTTCTATGTTAATTAACACAGCTTTGCTCCAGTTGGTCATTACTCAATCTAATTATGAAGCAAAGAGGATGAAAACACATTATGGGTCCCCTGTTCACATTAAGATTCATCATCAGCTGTGTTAGTACTGTAATAATCGTTATTTTGCAGTGATGTTGGCTGTTATAGACCACTGACGGGCTGTTTTATTTGAAGTTTCTGATGTCACGCAGAGTTAGATTACTGTAATTGTTTTCTAACTGATTTGTATTGACATTAAGTTTTCATTTTACTCTGTTTTCCCCCACAGCTATTATCAGAGAGGGCAGAGGATGTCGCACAGACCTCATGTTTAGTTGTAGAAATCATATTATTCACTTTTTAAAGTACTCAATATGGAGACAGAGAGAAGACAGGATCCTCATTGTCTTCTGTTGTTTGTTTGAGAGGAGGTCACATCAGGACAGGGACTTATCTCAGTGATAGACTAATCGTACTGTGTTTTGTCACAAAAACAGGAAGTAGGGATAAAACTTGCCACACTGACTTTTCTGATGTTGCATACCGTATACTGACTGCTGATAGGCTTTAACTTCAACGGTAAAAGGCTGCCGGCGGTTTTAGTTCATGCTTACAGTTTCCTGTGCCGCTTGCTCAACCACATCTGGTTTTACTGAGGAGTCCAGAGGGGATAGAAACACCTCCATGTTTAATGCATGTGTGTGATACTGTGCACGTGAACGCTACAATTACACACCCTAGCAGGCTACTGTAGTACTGTCTGTGTGTATGCACGAACAAGTTGTTATATAACACTGTTATCATTGGAAGAAAGGATATAGAGCAGTCTGCTCTGTAGGACCTGCTGACGTGGCCTTGCTGGAAGATGAGCTTTGCGGAAAGGTTGTTATTGTGCTTACTGCTGTGAAATGTTACAGTAGGACTTTTCTCATGGAAGACACCGGAGTAACATAACAAGAAAGTAACACAAAGCTGCTCAGACATGTTAGACTCCTATGCAATCCAGACTAAACAATATGGTAGTCAAGAGATGGCTTTGTGACAGCCAAACAACCACAAGGTGAAATACAGTCTGAAAAAGATGCTCATGATGTCTGCTCCAACAGTTCAGCCTGAAACAGTCAACATGACCTTTCACCTACTTTACGTCACCATTTGTTGACAGTCTACAGTGACAGAGGTTTTCCTGTAGAAATGTTGTGCTGCCTTTGTTTTCTTAGATTTTTTGTGCCAGTATTTAGTTTTCTAAAATGACCAAAAATAGATCAATGAAAATATCAGTGGTTTAATTTATGTGCATTAATTAACAATTAATTAACTGGTAAAAAACCTGCTGAACTGTGAACTGTTTGGATTTCCAGCCGGACCACAACTATCTTTAAAGATTTAAAGCTACTGTCAAGAACTTTCACTTTAAGTCAATATGGTGCCTCCAGGGGATAAAGCAGTCTTAGCCTATTTTGTCCTTTACATGAATAACTAGTATCTTCTGATAAATAAAAAACTAATCTCAACCTGCTGGCTTTAATTGGTTAAATGAATCATTTACTGTTAGTATTTAAAGTCCCACTCTGATTGTTTTTTTAACTACTTAAAGTGTTCTCAGTGGTCTTTAAATCGTGATTATGAAGTTTTAAGCCAAAATCGCGATTCCTGTATCCTTTTCAAAGCTTTTCTTCTGCAGAGCTCCAGTAGCTCATTAGCAATTCACCTCTGAGTCGTAGGCAGAGACAGCGCTGCTCTGCACACTCTCTTCACACTAGCTTGTAGTCTAACATTGTCAGTGTAGCGGAAGTAACGGGTAACATAGGAGCTATTCAGCTCTCAGACACTCATGTCTTTAGGGACATGATGAAAGTTAATATCATAATCAGCTTTCTTACAAGCTAATTCTTACAAGACTGCATTACAATCCACTAACGCACATGTTTGTTCCACGATCGTCCTCTCTACTTTTCTGAGTCTGGCCTGCATAGTGGGGTCACGCTTGCAGTTGTGACGTATGTAATCTCACTGAATCTGAACCTGCCATTTGGGTCTGTCAGAGCTTCACAGCAATTTGAATGCAGAAATACTCAGAAATGCAACTTCGCACTTGTTTCTCTCATGATATGTCCTGTAGCGTCAGAAAAATGCGAAAAGGGGCTCCAGATTCCTTGTTACGCCCCTACTTGCAGCAACATCACCTGCTTTTTTATGTCTCATCATTTGTGTATGAAAACATTACAACAAAACCAACATATTTGGTGCTTATTAGCAAATGCTATCACTATGATATGCTGAAGCAGGACACAAGTGTTAACATGCTGTGATGGCATTTTATCTGAAGTAGAGCCTGACAGATTAGCGAGCATGGCTACTAGCTTTAGCTGTGTCGTGTGTTCATAGTTACCAGTTTGCCACCAGGTGTCAACCACAGGGATACGTCTATCCCCAACCACTCTGTGATACCACTCCCACGCTTCAGTGTTAATGGGCTCACCCACTGCACACACACAAAAAAAAATCTCAAAACATAGAATAAACTTCCATATTATTATTATTGTGTTTATATTTCTTTATACAGGATAAAAGTAAACCTGATAAAAAGAGGAGAATAATGCTTCTTTTATGTCAAGCTTTGTGTTTTAGCTCATACACATTGCCTCATGGGAACAGGTGTGTGCATGTGTGAGTGTGTGTGTATGCGATTCCTGGAGTGCTTGACTTTGTTGTTGACCATGCTGATCCCCCAGGGACGTTTAAACTCCAGCTGGGCTTGACTTTTGGTACACTAACAGCGTGCATAACGTGCCAGCACTTTCACATTCACACAGTGTGTGAATGTGTACCCCTTGTAGTTAATGTAGCAGCTACTTGCATACAGGTTAACTAGGATATACTTTGTGGATGCCATCGAGATAAATATTCCTTTTATGTTTTAAAATCACCCCCCAAAAAATAAAATTCCACCGTCATCACCATCTTTTTCCTGTTTCCAACAATCATGATATTTTGCATATCTGTCCTCACCCTCTCAAAACAGCTATGAAAGAGCAGGAAAAGATACCTCCTGTCAGCTACCAATTGTGTTTTAAAAGCTGTGTGGATGAACCTATCATTAGATAGTTGTGTTCGGTTGTGACTAAAGTGAGAGGTATTTGTTCTGCTATATTTGACATACCAGAGCCAAGAGTTTTTAGGGTGGAGCGGTCGTATTTTTGCACCCACTCGTCTCCGTACTTGAGCAACAGGCGGATTGCTGTGGGGGCCCCATAAAACTGGTTTATCTTCAGTCTCTGAACCACTTCCCAGTATCGTCCTGTGAGCAACAAAGACATAACCAGATCAGTTAATTATCACTTACAGTCATTCTAAAAATTCCACTTAGAGAATGGGAAATCAGAGCTGGAACTGAAGCCGCTGGCTGAAAGCTGAAGACTAAACTCACCGACATTTTGACCCGAGTCATTGTTTGTCCTTCACAGATTGACCCAGGTCAAGTTCAACTATGATTGCTTATTCATAGAAAGAGGCCAGAGTTCTTGGCAGAAGGACAGAAATACTCCCAATGTACTCATGCCAACACATTTAATTACACAAAAGACCACAACACAAAGTCTAATTGGAAAAATAATAAACTACACACTTAGATTTGAGGGTTTTCGGTTTCACTGTAGAACTAAAGGGACATTGCATGTTTTTTATGTAATAACAATGAACTAAGAAATAGAGTTGTGAGTCCATCATAAGTTTGCTAATATTGATACCTGGGTTGGGGTAAATTGGAGTGCTCTCAAACAGGACGGTTGTTGCCCCATTGGCCAGTGGCCCGTAGACGCTGTAACTGTGACCTGTTATCCACCCGATATCTGCCACACAGCCGAACACATCGCCATCATGGTAGTTGAAGACATACTGGTTACAAGAGAAAGGGATTACTTTGACAGTTGGTACTTAAGACGTCTTGTCCAACAATTTCTCAGATAAAAAGATGTACGTATTTTTTTCACTTAACCCTCACATACTGTTCGGGTCAAATTTGACCCGTTTTGACTTTTAACAGCAGTAAAAATACCCTAAACGTCATTCTTTAAGTCTGAAACTTGATGACTTATCCTGAAGTTGCCCAAAATACATGAAATTAATTAAAAAATATTCATGTGTATTTTTGTTTATGTGCTACAAATTTTTCCCCTCTAAGGCTGTTACGGGTCAAATTTGACCCGTATCTATATTTAGATGGATTTTAGATCTAGCAGTGTGGGACAAGTGACAAACAGTAACAACAGTGTTCAATATAAGGTTTGTTGTTCAAAAAGATTCAAATCATTATGAAACTATCATTACCTTGACAGAAACACACACACACACACGCACGCACACACACACGCACGCACACAGACACACCTAGACAGAGGTCAAAATGACCTAACTAGTCTAGTCTGTGACAGAAAGCTGCTCTTTGAACTCTTTGAAGGGGCAATTTTGACCCGGAAATATACTGGGAGGGTACAGGATTTGAATGGTATGTGAGGGTTCAAGTCAACAGCCTTTAGGATTGGTGCTAATGTTTACCCGGTGTGTGAGTGCAGCATACAGCAAGTATCCAGCCTGAGTGTGGACGAGGCCTTTAGGCTTCCCTGTGCTGCCTGATGTATAGAGTAAGAACAAGACATCCTCACTGTCCATGACAGCTGGCTCACAAACCACGTCTTCCTTCATCATCTCCTGCACAACACAGAGAGTTTCCAGAACTCTTTGTTAAAAATCACAAGCAATAACACCAGAATAGCAACAGAATCACGAGAGAGTAATCAAATAGTTTCTTCTTTGTCTATTTTTTACTGAGTAGCATGGATGGGTACTGTGCACTATAACTGTGCAGATACTGTCTTCCATTGTTAGTATCAAAATTCGTCAAGCTGTAATTGGCTGGTTTGACTCACCTCCTCCAAGGCAAAATCTTTGGGTGTCATGGTAACGGGATTGTCCGTTCTCGCAGCAACAAACACCTGTTGCACTGATGGGCAGTTCTCTACAGCCTTATCCACTGTCTTCTTCAGCTTGATGATCTTCCCCCCTCTGACACCCTGGTTCACAGTGATGACGGTGCTTGACTTTGCTGAAAATGTGACATTTACAATAATTAAGACTGTGTGAGTCAGTTTTTGTTACTGAAAGTTTTGCCACTCACGTTTGAGGCCAAAAACCTACAAATTACAAATAGCACGATAAAATGTAATCCTCATCGAGACAGTTAATAAAATATATATAAGAGATTGAACCTCATGAATTAGAAACTAATTAAGAAGTAATGAAGTAAAACAATATTTAAATATTGGATATCATACTTTTACAGTCAATATTTCAAAGAAAACTCAACTCAATTGGGCCACTTAATGTCAAGAGTTTGGACACAACTCTGCTCCCACTGAACATTTTTTGGTCTAAAAGAGGTCTAATAGACGTCTAAATGTAGCCTAGATGACTGGTCTAAAATCAGGCTACCACAGGTCTAAAAATGAAAGTTTTTTAGATGTCTAAATTTAGAGCAAGTTTAGACTAAATCTAAATCTGGGCTATATCTATACTACACTGTATATTGCTCAACGGCTATCATAACTATTTTGGATAAGTGCTTGGAGATCAGTTATGCCACTTGCAGTTGCTTTTTTAAATAAATAGTTATTGAATAATGGGTTAAAGTGCAACATCTAAATTCCATTTACAAAACCTAGACAGTTGAAATTAGGTCTAAAAGAAACTAGACGTCTGATAGCCGCCTATTGCTCAGTGGGCTTCCAGCTGCTCTAGTCAAAATTTCTGTGCTATTAACACTAATAACACAAACATTTAAAAAGGGGTCAACTACAGAGTTCAACAAATAAAAAAGAACCAACCATGCACTTCTTTATGTTGACAGCTATATCACAGTTTTCAATTCAAACTTCCTCCTCTCTTTCATTGTGCTGTTTCCAATCAAACCTTTCACTATTATTAAGCAATAGATACTAATAGATAATATAACCACTTGAGGGAAACACTGAAATGTGATTACTTATAATACTACCAGCCGACTCTACACATATCACAGATAGTGATTTGATTCCTTTCTGGTAAAGATATTAATGTGAAGTATGGAGTAGTTTTTAAGACTCATGTTCTGTCTCACCATCTCTGATCCGCTCTGCGAGGGCCTCTGCACTGAACCCTGCAAACACAACATTGTGAGCTGCACCTATACGGGCACAGGCCAACATGGACGCCACAGCCAGCGGGCAAGGAGGCATGTAGATGGTGACACAGTCTCCCTTCTGCACACCATACCGCCTTAACATGTTCCCCAGGCGACATGTCATCTCCAGTAAGTGACTGTGAAAAGATATCAGAGACATACTTAGTATGACAAAGGAGGATAGACAGACATATACATAATCCAATCCCACTGACCTGTAGGTGATCTTGACCTCTGACCCTGGTTCATCTCTCTCCCAGATCAAAGCCACCCTCTCTGGACAGGTGTGCACATGACGGTCCAGGCAGTTCACTTAATGTCCCCATACAGAAAACATACAGAAAGTTAGACTCTGTGCCTGTACCAAGGCAAGGCAAGGCATCTTTATTCATATAGCCCATTACATACCAAGGCAACTTAATGTGCTTTACATAAAAACAAAACATTTTTAAAAAAAGAACAACATAAAAACAAAAAACACAGTTGAAAGCAAGAGCAATAGATAAAGTTTAAAATTATTAAAAAGAGCTCAGCTAAAAGCACATGAAAAGAGAAATGCTTTTAACCTGGATTCAAAAGTGTTTACAGTTAGGGCAGATTTTAGTTCTGCTGGAAGTTTGTTCCAGTCGTGTGCAGCATAACAGCTAAATGCTGCTTCACCGTGTCTGGTTTGAACTCTGCACTCCATTATCTGACCTGAGTCAGTAGATCTCTGAGCTCTTCTGGGTTTATATCATTCATGTACTCTGGACTAAAACCATTTAGAGACCAGTTTTACCATCTAACACAGTATAAAAAAAGTGAGGTTGGGCACCAGTAATTAAATCTAGTCAACACATTCTGATCATTTATTTGCAAGCATGGGCTCAAAACCAAAAAAAGAACAGCGACAGGTGAATCTCCATGAACAATGTGACATTTCAAAGATCACACTGTTATCTATGGGACACCTTGGTATTGGCCAATACTACTAAGATCCAAACCAAGAACAGCATCAAAAAGGACAAAATTTATTCAAAGTCTAACACTACATTCCTCTACACACTATATCTGCATAGGCCTCTCTCTTTGTCTCTGCCACACAAATATAGTAGATTTGTCACATTTTCTTACATAATTTTAATACAGTTTTAAAAAATAAAACTCTTGACTTCTTTATTTTTGTGCTCTGTTTTCATTTACTAAGTATTTATTTGATGTCACATTTTTGTAATTTGATAACCAGTTACTGAAACACCAACATTTCCCAGCTTTGTTCAGTGAACTGTTTCTCATGCATGGTGTGTTCAGGGTCATCTTCAAAACGAGGCTGACATTGATCAGCTGAAAAGATGTCTCACCCTCAGCTGTCTATGTACGTGTTTACATATACAACAAGTTCCTCAAATGACAGCTTGACAAAAGTTAGGGGGAGGGAGAATGAAAGTCTACCTCCTCTGGATTAAAACTTTATATAATCTCTCTTTTTAACGACCAAATATATCTCTTCTCAGACCCGCTCCCTCCTATGTTATCTTACCAGACACATTCAGCTTCCCTCCCTCAAACCACTTGATCCTCCCTTGGCTCAGGTCACAGTCCTGCACCGTGGTGAAAGGTTTGATCCAGCTCAGTCTCTGTCGTGCCACGGCGGCCCAGAAGCTCTCACTGTTAGAGACCGAATAGTCTTGCAGGGCTGTGCGGGTTGAAACGCCGTCAAAGCCCGCAGCCTCCGGCATGAACGCCGCGACATTGCACCTCCACCGACCCTGAACGGGGACATAAGATCTCAAGACCCGACGACTGAATATAGTAATGACGCACTTTGGGGAGCACCCGCCAGGCAGCCGCATCTTTAAAGTGAAAGCATACCGTCTTAACGGAGTTTATATAGGTGAAGCAGAAATTACGGTGATTAAGCAATTTCCAAAGTTACACTGTGTGACTTTTGTGTCGAGAAGTTGGAAACTCCAGAGAGGCAGGGCTGGAGAAGTGATGCGTTCAAGGGCGGTCCGAACTATTTGGCCAACGCATTTCTTGGCAGGGCTGGAGCTGAATTTCAACATCAACTGGCAAGAAAAAGAAAAGCTCCTCTTTGCTCCAGATTACCCTATTGTTTAAAAATATCAATCAAACCATTGAATTAGGCATAAAATTTAGGTGCTGGGTTCACGTTTCCCCCTTAAATGATCATATTGGATGTAAAACAGGCCACCAGTATGCTCTTTGTTCCCAGTTTCGGAATCTAACTTTCACTTTGCAGTTTAAAGTTCCAGTTTGTGTCTCTTTGGCGACATCTGTGGTGATACACTGTCAACACAGGACTTATTTTGGACTGCAGTAACAAAATCATATTTCTTTCTGCCTTCTCTCGTCAGTCTTTTTCTGGTAAACAGCTGAAAAAATAACATATTTTACCCCCTATTTTTGGTGTAACCCTTGTGGTATTTTAAGGTCTTCAAGCAGTAGACTACTGGCTAAACTTTTATGATGGACACCAGTTCTGTAAAATACTGAAGAGACTTTCAATTGACTGAAAAATCTAGATGTTAAAGCATAGTTGTAGAACAAAAGATTGTGTAAGACAGTTTCAATAAGTAGGTGTGGTATCATAAAATCCTGGCAGTAATTAACCTCAAAAGCACATGACAAAGCTTTTAACAGAATCAAAAGAAGCTTTTTACAGCTCCTTCCAGGAACAGCACTTCATTTGTCCCATGTGTAAAATATGGTACCTTTGATCCTCTTTCTGATCTCGTCCTTTAATTGTGCTCTTTGTAAAAATGTCTTCCTCTTAAGAGTTAAATGTGTAACTCATTGAGATTTTTTTGCTTGATGAAATGTAATCAAAGTCTGATTTGAATCATTTCAGATGACACCTGTCCCACTGCAGTGGTTACAGAGGTTAAAAGATAACACCTAAGAAATAGTCAATCTTAATGATGATCAATTTAGGTCATTAGGAGGCATCGGTGTTGATTTCAGTTAGTTTCATTGCCAACAAAAATCTCTCTACAGGGGCATTACTCTAGCAGAAGACAGGCTTCAATATCAGTCACTTTTAATTATGCTACATTTACAATAATACAGACAAACAAAGAGTGTAAACTTATCATACAGTGCCAAATATGGGACATTGTTTTCAGTATGTACATCATAAAAGCTGTGACAGCTAAAACAACAACAAAAAAAGAGCGAGATCGGGGCTTTTAGTATTTCACAAGGCTTTTCAATTACTTAAGTGAAATTACAAGGGCTCAGTGGTCCCAGCTGGCTCCTCTTTAGGGCCTCTGGAGCAGGTAAGAAGAAGACACTGATGCTTGTGTGGTCTTCAAAAACAGAGCTGTAGGGGTTAAAAATCTAAAACAAGTAATTTTAAGACATTAAGCCTTTATCAAGCTTATACATTAGACACGTTTCATGTGTCTTATGTAAAAACTGTATTTTTCTGTAGTGTGCAGTTAGTTAAACAAGTGTTTTCATAGCAGAGAGGAACAATAGAATCATTGGTGGAATTGAGAAATGTTGATAGTTGAAACCGAGGGACCTTTTGAAATTACCCAACAGATTAAATTTACATAAAGATCAATATTTTTTCCCATATTTATTTCTCTGTAATTATAACATTTGATCTGCAGCTTTGACAAAGTGCATCAGGCTGACTCCGTATTTGCCAAAGTTCAGCTTTAATCACTGAGACCAGACCTCTACCTCTGTGAAATGTTCACACACTCCTGCAGGTATTTTCACAGTTCATCTTTGAGCACACGTCTTCAGTCTTTGTTCTTTGCCTCTGCTGTGTCCTGTTCTGTCCCTTTGTCCTCAGCCTCCTCTTTGTGTCCTCCCTGACTGTTTGTTCTGTCAGAAACTGTCCCAAGCATCTTGGCACTGTGCTCCTGTGCCTTTGCTCGCAGCACAGCGATACTGTTCTCCCTAAGCTCCTCTTTTGAGATGTGTGGGTTTGAGTCTTTCATCTGTTCCTCCTTCTCTTCTTCCATCACTTTGTCCTCTGGTTTGTCTTTTAATGTTATCGCTGCCAGTGCAGGTGCAGGTGAAGGTGAAGGTGAAGGTGGTGTGAGGTTGCTGGGTTTTCCAGGAGAGGTTTCCACTGACTTTTTGTGCATACCTGAAGGGAGAGAAGAGAAAACGCAATGAGGACTTAAAGCTGTGTTAAGTGTCCTTGTTTTCTGGTGGAATTCAGTAAATCTGGGAATGGCATTAATTTGACAGTGAAATTGTGTGCAGGAGATTGAAGATTAGATGGATGGCAGGGACCTCTCATTCAATTAGTCACCTAATTGATTTGAACTAATCAATTGACATTAACCCCTCGAGAGGAGATTTGTTCTAATCTGTCCTGATTATGTAGGATTATCACTGTATCGACTGCTTGCAGTTTATTGACATGCTGACACTTTTATTGGCTCCTAACATCAGCCAGGTTTATCCCACCTCCTTAATGCATCTTAATCCCAATTTTCAAGACAGTTTTAACAGCATGTAACATTCAGATCCAACGCTTTTGCCAAAATATGACCAGAAAGTAACAAAGTGCACAAGGATTCAAAGGCCCACTTGCCAGACAACTATGATATGTCAGTTGCTGGCCGCAGTATGATATATGTCTTAGAGTGAAAAGGAGGAAGCTGATTTGTCAGTGGCTTAACTTATAAATGTAAAAAAATTGTCAATGTTTGGAAGTGAACTTTGTCTTTATTATTCAGAAAGTACCTAGAAAATGACATCAGTGTGTCAGAGCTGCAGCAAGCTGAAAACTAAGACCTCACAATGTAAGCAGCTAAATAAAATGCAGCCTTCAAAACTCGTTTGTGCTTGTCTCCTACTGTAACATGTAAGAAACACTAAATACGGATTGAAACTGTCCAAGTGGACATGCTTAATGTATTCTTTTGTAATGCAACAGTTTACCTAATAACCACGGCGCGTAGGAGTCAGTGACACCCTCCTTGGCTGACTTGAGGATGGACTCTGGCAGCGGGATGGAGTGGCGGACCATCGCTCCGTACAGGCCGTACTCTGCCATGACGCTACTGCGACCCCAACACTTCTCCCTCTTCCTCCATTTCGCTCTGCGGTTTTGAAACCACACCTGGAGACATGAAGGCCAGATAAGGTTTAGACTGAACTGAAAATTTGCATGATTTAAATGTACAGAACATCATTTCTAATCTGAAAGTGTGAGACTGTTAATATATTGTGTATGATTGTGTTGGCTTTATTCTAATTAATGCAGCATTGAGTTAGAGACAGTCTGATTAATCTGCAGACAGATTAATTGGGCTGATTTGACATAATCAGCATAACATCTGCATCAGCCCTCACAAGGTTGATATCATCATTATGACACATGGCAGCATATCAAATCCAAACCAGTTACTGGTCAGTGTTTAATATAATCTCTGTGCAGAATAATGCTGTTTAATGTTCTGAAAGAAATATCTCAAAGCATTTCTCTTTTTTATGATTTCATTGAAATTCCACCTAAAATACTATATGTTGCTAGCAAAGATATCTACCAATACTAAATCGTATCCTGCTTGGAAAAATGGATTTCTATGTGATTTTTCAAATATTACAATATTTACAATATTTTTTTCCCTTTCTTATTTATTTCATATAGCTGGACAGGAATCCCAAACTACCTAAAATGACAATTTTACTTCACCAAATATTGTCTCCTCTTCAGATGTTTTTTTTGTTGTTGTTAGAAATATTAAATTGTATTTTTTGTTTGTTTGTTTTTGAACACAGTAAAAAAAGTGTTGGCATCAGCTATAGAAAAAGTGATATTGGTGAACCATTAGTTTGAGCTGCCCAGACAAGTACATACTATAAATCTTTGATCTCAGAAAAAAAAACAGTATCTATTTTTTTTATATATTTTGGATTCCCTTGCTGTATGAGCACAGTTTTTTTTTGTTAAGTTTCCACGATGCAATCTACATTTTTACACATAGTCATTAGACATTGGTTCTTTTTAGTGTATCAGTGTGTTGCAGAGTCATCAAACATACATCCCAAAATCAGTATTGAGGATTTTCATTTGAAAACTGATTAAATCCTTTTTCACTTCTTTGGTTTATTTATATAAGAAAATATTTCCGAGTGATGTGTAAAAATGAAACAATGACATCTGCTGGAGGTTTAAAAAACAAAAAGGGAGGACAGAGAGTGATTTTAAATGTTTTATCCCAACAGTTTCTCTAAAATTTCTATATTTCTGCAAGCAAATACAGAAAAGGTGTGTTTTAAGAGTGATGCACAAAATGGGTTAGGAAAACAAGCAATAATATTGAGCTTTTTATATTTTGTTACAGTTATAGAAAATTTTGTTGTGTGTGTGTGTGCGCACGCGCGTGCGTGCGTGTCTGCATTATTCTCCTACTGACTCAAGTGCCTAGATTGATTTCCAGAAGGCCAGAAACTGTAATAGTCTCATGAATATGGATGAGAAGGAAAACAGGATGAGGTGAGATTGTTTGCGCGCGTGTGTGTGTGTAAGTGTGTGTGTAAGTGTGTGCGTGTATATTCCCCAGATCTGGAATTAAAAACGATCAAAAGCCGAGCCTGGAAAGCCATTCAGGTAGATCTGATGATAACCTCCATCTCATAAAAAGATGAGCCTCAGAAAAGCAATTATGCTGTCTGACAGCGACAGTGTGAGTGTGCATGCTGTGTATGTCTTCACTTGTGTGTGTGTGTGTGTGTATGAAGTACTTCCTGAGAGAGGTGACCCTGGGGGTGAGAGGGCTGATTGAAAAATAGTTAATTTCAGGGCCCGATCAATGGGAGCCAGGCGCTCAAATATCACGGGAAATTAAAAGGCTCGGAGCAGCATGCAGGCAGAGCTCTGTGCTCGGCCGCTGACCTGCACTCATTAATTTCTGCGTAGTTATCGTTTCATTTCAGGCCACAGACCAACTCTATAGCGGGAAAGAGATGAGAAGTTCTCCTCAATTAACTAATTACTCTGAGAGGGTGAATTGGCGGCCAATGTGGGAGCACAGAGAAATGAGAGGATGATGTTGGTGGAATGTCTGACTGTCTGTGTACCTTTGTTTTAAGGGCAAAAAACTGTCTTTCTCATCCGACAGGCTATATTGGTTATAAATACAAATTCTGATTGCAAATATCTTTAAACGTGAGGTAATGTTAAAAATTGTACTGCCAGAAACATCTGAATTTTTTTTGACAGGAAAGAAATCCTTGCTCCTCTGTTGATTTTCCCTCACGTGAAATCATCATGACTGGAGTGTCTGAGGTTAAAAAAAATTAAGTCACTATCAGAGCAACACAAAAAAAAACTCGCTTACACACCTGTATCCTGTCCTCTGGTAACTCAGTTTTCATGGAGAGCATCTCTCGGGCGTACACGTCTGGGTAGTGAGCTTCATTAAATGCTTTCTCCAGCTCCTCCAGCTGGTAAGAGGTGAAAATGGTTCTGCAGACAAAAAAGATGATAATAATTAACTACATTATTTACTAAATGTATTCATACAGGCTCAAATGTTTAAATGTTTATTCAATCAAATTGTCCACAACTCAATAAATGTAAACAAATGAAAACAGAAAGGTTAACATTGTATGAAAAGTTGGTATTATTTTTAGCCCTTTTGTGTGGATAGTAACAAAAGAAAAGTGAATGATATTGATCATAGATTCATAAAGATTCACAAATAAAATACAAGTAAAAACAAGTTGATGTTTTTCCTTGTACAAATTCTTTATTTTATTTATTTATTATTTATGTATTTTCTTTATTTCTTTATAATTCTGTTATATAAATGCTGTTACAGCTTTATAGTTGGGATTGTGTTTAGAAAATTCTCTCTCTCTCTCTCTTCATACACACACACACATATATATATATATATATATATATATATATATATATATATATATATATATAAATTCTGTTATAGCTTTTGGGATTTTGTTTACAAAATATTATATATATATATATAATATTTTGTAAACAAAATCCCAAAAGCTATAACAGAATTTAATTTAATGTAATAACACAATAATAAAATGTCTGCCCATTAACTGATTTTATTTTTTTAAATGGCTTCATGAAACGTTTTGGAGGGAAAAGAAAACACACTGATAAACAATCCTGCTTTCCATTTGTAGAGTGTTTATTCTTCTATTTTTTTCCCCTTTTTTTCCTTTTTTTTCTTTGTTGTTATTTTACCTGTGTCTCCTCTTCTTCCTCTTCTTATTCTGACTCAGGGAGGACTTGGAGATTTTCTGATCACAGGACGATGGACTCATGTCATCTGAATCTGACAGAGACACAGAAAAAGTCGGGACACATGAGTAGGTACAAACACTGGTGGGTAAATAGAAACTATTCAATAATTAAACTAACAAACTAAATAATAAAAAGGTAAGATATAATACCCTTATATAAAAATATGTTGTGCTGTATAATTGGCATTTCTGCAGGTTGACTGTTTAACGCGAATTTTATTCAAAAAGGCTTTAGGCTTTTATCTAAATGTTCAAACCATATCGACGATAACAAAAATAATGTTACTGACACTGCTTATTCAGAGGTAGTTGTTAAATGCTTCCTGATAAATTACAGCCTCTTGAAATTTTTAGTTTAATCCCATTTTTTAAAAAAAGGATCTTTAGATTCTAAATTAGTACAACCTTTTTTCTTTAATTAAATTTCACTGACAAATTTGTTCAAAGGCCCTTGTCATACCAGCACTTTTTGTCATGTTGTACAAGACAGCCTGCATTTCCCTTCACTTGAATCAAGAGCTTTAGCCTGAATACATGAGTTAGCTCTGGTGAAATGACTAACAGTAAACCCTCAGGAGTGAAGTGTGAAGCTCTCCTGACTCACCGGAGCTGTTGGAGTGTTGTGTCTCCATCTGAACGTCCATGTGCGCCGTCCTGTGCAGCGGCTGCAGGTGAACATTTTGCGCCTCTGACAGCACCTCCAAAAACGCAGGCTGGCTGTAAAACGAGTGTATTCCCTCTGGTCCCAGCAAACCCATCCCAACTCCAATAGCCCCGTGTCCAAGGGCCGACCTGGCAGCCAGCACGTGCGCCCTGTGGGGCAGAGCCTCCAGAGGTCGTCTCGGGGCCGCCGGCGGCTCCTTATTGAGGCCGAGCAGCTCCTGGATGCCGAAGCCGGTCCGCCGGTGCACCACGGGGGCCATCTTCCACCCCGGGCCCGGCAGCTGAGAGCCCGAGTGGTTGACGCCTGTTTGTGAGGCTGGTTTCTGTTTGTTTTCAGAGTCTGAAAACACAACTCCCTCTTTCCCTGTCATGGCGGTGAGTTCCCAATTTGTTTTTTCCACACTAACCCAAAAGTCGTGGAAGAAGCATGCCCTGAGGTGCTCCTTCTCTCTCTCCGTACCCGCCTCTCTGCGCCGCTTTTATCAGAGGGGCACTGGGCGACAGCCAATCAGAGCAGAGCACAGACCCCACTCTCAGGTTGACATCAGCCGTGACCGCTTCATTTCCACACAGAAACACTCGGATATTTGACTTTGGACAAGAAAGCGGTTTAGACGACAATAAAGTCTCTAAAAATGTATGAAATTAAATCACTTTTTTGTCAGTGGGCCTTTCTCTCTCTACGGCCATTTTGTTTCATTTCAATCAAGTTAGTTAATCTATAAATTGCATCTTTATTGAAAGGAGGTGGTTGTAGTTTTTGGCGTCAGAGAAATTTGTACAGAAAAAAAAACGAGTTAAAGCTTATATTTACTGCTACTCTCCATTTTTCTAACAGGACTTACATGCATTAGTGAATATTATAAAGCTCTAACATACCTTATTAGACATACCATTTTTAAATTCATCTTTAAAGAAACGAGCTGTGAGTCAAAAACAATGAAAATCAACAAAATTTAACAGTCTAGCGAACTTTTCCAACCATGAAGCCTGTTATAATTGAATTTTTCAAACAAAAACATGTGAAGAAAAATAATAAAATGGGGGTAAAACGAGAGCCTTTTTCGTTTACGATGGCCTTCACCACCAACTCTGTTTTGTGGCTTTCAATAAATGACTCTGATTCTACAAATAGTATTTTAGAGAATTCAGGGCCCAAATTAATGAATGAATGAATAATAAAATGATATTATAATGCAAAATAAAGAAACCCAGACCCCCTTGTTTTAATCAAAGTCATTGAAAGGAGACATTTGTTGCAGTGTATGGAAAATAATCAGACGATTTAACTGCTGAGCATTTGTGGGTTTTATCAGGAAAAGGAAAAGAGTGAAAAATAAATGATCTCACATGAGGAGTTGGTTTGTCTGATTGATCCGTTACTCTGCTCCCATTAAATACTGATTTGCATATTCAAATGAGCTTCAACCGTTAGCTCTTTGGTTTTGTCTGCACATCAGTTGATTAGTTATTAAGGGGTTTTGTTCTCGGGTCACATGTTGGGAGGTACAATAACCATGCTCAGGGAAATTTGGGCGGTGGAAGTTGTATCTAACCACGGAGCAAATACCAGATTTATCCTCTGCCCGGGTATATATATTTTACTCTCGATTTTTTTCTAAATTTACTTCTATATTTTATTTTTTTGTTTTATTTTTTCTTTTCTTTTGTTTACGGTCTGAGCCGGGAGATGTTCGTTCCAGCAGTTTAACCTGATTAAAAAAGTAAAAGCTGAGACATTAAGGACGTCAAAAGAGATTATTCCTGTCAGCGTCTTAAACCTCAAATTCACTCAGTTGTGAAACACACACGGTGAAAATACTTATATTCCCCCTTTGGTTTGCGCAAATCTAATCCACCCTAATCAGCTATTATTCAATTATTGCGCAGCTTCACTCGTTTGGGGATAATTTGCGGCACACTTTGGACATCTGGACTGATCATTACGCAGAGGAAAGCGCGTGGAGACCATTGGACGCGCGCGGTGGTTGTATACAAAGATACGATCTTCCTCACGAAAAGGACATGTGGCGATGGATAAATAAAAAGGTTTCCCCGTGGGACTATTTGACAAGTAAGCGTCATGCTGTCAGTGACGGTCAGTCCCACAACAGATTTAGCTGCAGAGTGTTGCTCTGTGTATCACTGCTGGGAGAGACTCTGCAGGCCAGACATCAACCTTATCTTAGATACAAAACAGGAGGATTGAGTCAGTTCCTACTAAAACCAACTCATGCTGTCTGAAATTTGTAAAGCACTGAAAGAAATCATGGGCAATAGCCTTCATAAAGTATAATAAAATAAATCACTTCCAGTTGAGAATATGTGAACAGGCCCAATGCCTGTTAACACCTGGAGCATTTCATCGGCAGTTATTAGAGAAACATTTCATTAGAGGTGGACGACCATAAATCAATGCTTTACCAACAGAGCAGCCATGCTGATGGGGTTGTTATAAGAGACACTTGACACTAAAGACGCCCATATATGTCTCTCCTTGCATCCAAACACAGAGAACCTTCACTTTTCTGCTGATACAAAATCTAAAATCTGCTTTGACAAAATTCAAAATAAGAAACATAAAAGTTATGTGATTTAACACTTTAAAAGCTTGTTCTGTAAGTAGTTCTTTAACAATAGGTCATATGTTGGGTAGGGGAGACCAGGGCTTGTTGTCACATGGGTAAGTTGTCACATTGCAATTATCTTCTCCACCGTGAGCTGAGATGAGCACCAATAAACCATTCTGCACAACCCAAAGTAAAAATTTTTAACTTTATATATTTTCAAATAAGCTTATTCCAGATAAAAATCCTAGCAGTGATACATGTGGACTTGTGAGATGAGAGATTAAGGCATCCTGTCATACTTCAGTCATTGTTCTGTTTTAAGCTAACTTTAAGCTAGAGCTAGAATTAGCAAACATGGTAGTTTGGGGAAACATGTCTCAGCATACTGGGGTAAATTGTAACATGTGATAACTTACCCCAGAATAACACATTTAAACGGATTAAAATTAACATAGAGAGTTTGCTTATCAGCAGTTGTCATGATATGCTCTAGTATTTAGTTTTTCCCTGGTTTTGTTATTTGAGTATATTTTCTGTGTTTTTTCCAAGAGTTTCTGCTCCCCTGTAGTCCTGTCTCTGTTTATAGTTTTATAGTACCTTTTTGTTGCTTCCTATTTAATTCTTTTAAATTAATCCTTTTTTTTGTCTGCATTTGGGTCCTTTCCCTTTTTGTTTAACTCCGATTCATGACATCATGTTGAAATTTTACTTTATTTTTACAGAGAAAAGAGTGGTTTAAAGAAGAGGAGAAAATGAGAAGACATGGTCAGGAATTAGAAAAGAAAAACAGAACATGGCAGTACAGTTCCTGACGTGATGCTGATGGCAGTCAGGCAGGTGACCCTAGCTAATAAATCAACCAGGAGTACAATAAAGGACTTTAATGTCAATTAATAAATCCTCGCTCTGTACTGCAAAACATTTGCCCAGCCGAAATATGGAGTCAGAGAGCTGTCCCGACAACAGTGGTTGGGTACAAATCACCATGGCAGGTTTTTAGCCCACAGTTGGAATTGCAACTTGAGGAGTATATTATGAGTTTTTATGACTGGATCTTCCAGTTGTTGTTGGAACTATGTCCACATTTTCAGGACTGCTTTAAGGTTTCATAATGCTTTTTTTGTTTGTTTTTGGTAATTCAATTTGATCTGGATTTTTCAGTTTAAAAAAGGTAAAACAGGCATTTTACGTTGAAAGCCATAACTTTACACACACACACACACACACACACACACACACACACACACACAGACAGAGAGAGAGAGAGAGAGAGAGAGAGAGAGAGAGAGAGAGAGAGAGAGAGAGAGAGAGAAACATAAATAGAGCATTTGAATAATTTTTTAATTTAAAATAATATTATTTTTCTTCTAGGCTGCCCTTATCTTAATCAGGAACTTCTCCAGGTAGCACTGATCCTTGTCATGGACAATGTTTCTGCACAGCTCCACATTGTTGTCAAGCATGAGCTCCTCCAGTATGACAAGTCTGAGGGAACTGCAAGAGATAACATTCAGAATTAGCACTTCATATCAACACAAACCAGAAGCTACCTGATCACACAGGTTTGAACTCTGCAAGCTAAATACATAGTTTCATTACTTACCTGACTTTGGCTGAGGGGTCCACAGCCATCTTGTTGACAGCAGCCACAAAGTGATTAGTGAAGGTCTTTCCTGTTGCTATGATCCCCTCTGCTCCCAATCTGTCAGCCATAAGGTGAAGTTGTTGAGCTACGTGGTCTCTCACAGCTGGACGCGGTGGCTGAAAAAGGACACAGACAAACAATTGAAGTTGCTTTGTTTCATTTGATTTCATGTCATTTTAAATACTGCCATGAAACTTATTTAGTTGTTCTGATTATCACTGCATACATACTTCAGTCCTGTGTTCACCAGTGTGTTTAGCACTGTACCTGGGCTACAACACTGCACCAGGACCTCGAGGACCATGCTGGCCTGTTGCTGGAGAAAGGTGTTTACACTAGCCCACCTCCTGTGTTAGGGTCTGCACTGATCTGCTTTTGTTTTTAAATGCTTAAAAGAACCACAAAAATGATCTTTTTTTGCATCAAACTTTTTGACTTTGTCATGAGCCTCTATTTTAACACAATTAAAATAGAAAAATTCGATTTACTCAACTATGAAATGCTCAGGAAGATATGGCAGTTGTCGTGTTAGGGTTGCTCACAAAACTGAATATTATAATATCCGTATGTAGGCTTAAAGTAAAAAACTCATCTGATCACTGAAACAAATAATCTGTTCAGCCACTGCAGCTGCAGCAGGACGGAGAGAGGACACGGAGACATGTCCAGGTCGAGCTGTGCGAGAAATAAGAGGAAGAGGAGGGAAGAAAAGGAGGGAGACAAATTAAATATCTTGTTAACTTCAATATGTGTGTTTATTCACTAGATATTTAATTTAATTTAATGCGGTTTCAGCTGTGTTGATTTGGTCAGGTTGTGTGTCCAAACGTGTGCCAAACACGCTCATCAGATCAGATATAGATCAGAATATATCTATATAGATCTTAATGTATGTGCTGACTCAGATTATTAGTTGTTGATGTTTATTTAATGCACTGAAATGTGCCTGACACTGTGGAAACCTGCCGGTGAGGCATCGGTGACGTATGTCGATACGCCGCTGGTCTACCAAAATACCACTAGACCAGCTGCGCTCCGCCTGCGCTGAAAGCTGACCAAGTTTGAATCGGCGAGCTTTCAGCGCACTTTACACGCCACTGGCGAGCACGAAAATGTCACTGTGCCCGCTGATTCTGTCGACACCTCCCCCTGCCACGCCACCACGCCCAGCTTGGCGGATCTCGGTTCGCCTCCGTGCGCCTCAGTCCACGAAAATACCAAACTGGCTGTACGCCAGGCTCCGCCAGACGAAAATACAAGTGCGCAGGCTCCGCCAACCTCCGTCGCCTCACCGGCATACACAAAAATAGAGCCCTTGGACTTGTTAGAGGAGAGATTAAGGCATCCTGTCATAGCTCAGTGATTGTTCTGGTTTAAGATAACTTTAATCTAGAGCTAGAATTAGCAAACATGGTAGTGTTTGCGCAGTAGCGATGCACACATTCTGCCGCGCAGTCGCCGAGAGTCACTGTGATGACGCTTGGCTCAAACAGCGTTTCCCCCCGGGTGAGCTATGCAATCCCTGAATGCCAATAGACTGTATCAAGTGTCAATCATAGAAAACATGAACCCCCTAATAACTTTTAAGAACGGAGCTTCACAGAAAAAAGAGGACTTGAGAACAAACCAGTCTTACTGTAACTACATGTCAACATCACAAGCAGGGGGGAGAAAAATTTATGTTCTGTGTAATAAATTTCTAAAATTTGTCCACAGCCCCATAAACTTTGCTGGCGGAGACGGGATTTATGACCTATACTGCAGCCCATCAACAGAGGGTGCTATTCTCAGAGTGGCTTCACCCAGCTAGGAGGCAGACGCTGTCCATTCTATATACAGACTATGGTGAAGACACATGCTGCACGGATATGAAGGGATGAGAGATGAGCGGGGGCTGATAATTAACCTGTGCTTTTTAGGCAGATTTTCCACTATTAAAAATTTGATTTGAGGGGGCAGGCCATTTGTTTGAGGGGGCGTTGCCCCCTCTTGCCCGAGCGTAGAACCGGCCCCGCCAACAGATCATGGATCGACAATTTGAACCGAGCTATTGATGCAAAGGAGAAAAAGATTGAATGTCTCAGATTGACCCTTGGAATTCGTTTGAAGAATAAAATGATGTATAAATCATTAAATGATTTAAAACAGGGAAATTAAAATGATTAAAAATCTTAAAGTATTAGAAGTATCAGAAAGGTTTAAATCAGTTTGAATAATTTTTAATTTGTTTGAAGAATCAAATAATGCATGAATAGTAAAATTGAATCTAGTGTGGAAAAAAAATAAATAAAAAAAAAAAATCCTGAATGCATCCCATAATGTCCTCAATGAACTGCATTTTTGGAGCCCTGAATGGTTTCTGTAGCAAAGTTTGTGGGAGGAGATGGATGCCAAAGTTTGTCAAAAAACTCTAGTGTAGGGTTTTAAATGTAATCCCCATGTACTCTGTGTACTGAGCCTGGCTTCATGTGTCTCATAAGGTCGTTAGAAGCAGCGTTCCAGTTAGCTGTGTGTTTCCAGGTGCTCTAATTGGTTGCCATGGTGACGGTAGATGCAGCACTACAGCAGGAGAAAGGAGACTTGAGGCTAAGAACATATAATGCCCAAACAACGCCCTAATTCTCATCCTCTGTAACTGCTATCCTTATGACAATAAGCTTGTGAGAACCACAAGTCCTGGCTGAACATGTTGATACAACTCCCGTGTTTGTGGAGCCAAAAATGTCTTCACAAGGACAAGTTAAAAACATGTCCAGTTTGTGTTTCCTCATTAAACTGCAGCCCTCACATAGCAAAGCACAACCCAGTTTAATCCTGTTTAAAGTCTAAATTAATCTGAAAAAATGGTAGATGTGGAAGGAGCCAGGGTTCAACAATCCATCCTCGCCAACAGATCACGCATCGACAAGTTGAACCAAGCTATTGATGCAAAGGAGAAAAAGATTGAATGCCTCAGATTGACCCTTGATATAAGCAAAGAAAGGGAAGAGATTTATTTATTTACTTTTTGTCTCTCCCACAATGTTGTTCCTCTCCCTTACAGCGTCCATTACAATTTTGCCAATTATACAAATTAGGCAATGTTGTCATTTAGCGACTTCTAGCGACTTTTAGGACAGCCAATAGCTACTTTCCTTACTGAGGAGCTGGCAACACTGATTTAGACTTATACTTTCCCACTGAACTATTGCAACTTACTCAATGTTTTCCTTTATTCACAGGTTGTAGCCGATTCTTACACAATAAAGATCAAATTTAACAAACTAAAATAAACTTCTAATAAATACTTTTAACTTTTCTGGCCTCAGTCAGATCTCATACAATGGTACCATGTGTAGAAAAAGGAATATTTGGTGATAAATCTGGCCGCCAGGCTCAAACCAAACTGTGTGGAGGTTTGTCATTTCTTGTAATAAACACCTAAAAACACTTATACTCGTAACACACTTTTAATAGATGCGCAATTGTAATACACGTTGTAACACAAATCTACTATATTCATGAACACACACAGCAGCATAAAAGTGAGGGAAAGGAGAGCTTGAGGCTCTTTCGAAGACTCTGGTCGAGTGTGTAAACTGTGCTGATTTCTACATCTGTACAATAAAGACACTCAGGCTGCTCTTCAGATCTCACCCTGTCTCTTGTGCATTAATTCTGTTTCCTCCTGTGTGTGTGTCTCTCTCTCTTTAGGGGGATTTCATTAACCCTTCAAAGTAGTAGTTCCCAAAGTGTGGCCAGGAGACATTTCAGGAGGCATGAGTGGCCGAGGTTATTACCAATGTGCAAAATATGGGGGGTCTAAGATCCCTTAATTGACACAAGAAACCCCTTGAAACCCTGAACTTCAAAATTTGTGAGGGTCCCTTAAAGTCTCACTCCAATGGCTTTTTTACTACTTTAGTTGTCCTCAGTGGTCTTTAAATTGTGATTATGAAGTCTTTAGCCAAAATCACGATATCTGTGTCATTCTCAAGCGCTCTTCTGCAGAGCTCCAGTAGCTCATTAGCAGTTAACCTCTGAGTCGTGGGCGGAGACAGTTGCTCTCTGCACACTTCTTTTACTTCTCTTACTACACTTCTTTAAACTTATGGGCTCTATTTTTGTGCCTGACCGGCGGTGTGGCACCGCGTAAGTCAGGTCCGCCGCGCCGACAAGGCGTACCCAAGCACATTTTGGTATTTTGGTGAGCAGCGCAGCCCAGTGTAAGTATACCCCCTCCCTATAACTCAGCTCCTCCCAGTAGTAAGTAGTAAGTAGTAGCGATGGAGGGGGTAAGGCGTAGAGTGGGTTTAACACAGCCAAGACCTGTTTTCATCAATCACATCAGCTCCTCTCCTCACCTTTGAATCCGCCACCGGTGAGGCATATTACAATTTTCGTGAAGTTGTCAAAGAGATCAAGAGATGACAGCCCCTCAACAAGTGTCACTGTAAGGGGGGCGTCCTCCACACTCTCCCATATAAGCACAGAGGGATTTGGTGTGTGTCATGTTGTACCCACTGGTAGGACAAGACAAACACCCTTTTCCACAAATGAAGACATCACATCAAGTTGCATATATTTAAACCCTGAACCCTGAATTGAACTTACTGTACTACAGTTGAGGCCAAAATTATAAGCCCCCCTCTGAAATTTTGAGTTTGTCTCCAAAGGCCTGCACAAAGCCTTGACTTAAATCCCATTGAAAATCTGTGGGCTGCACTGAAGACCAGGGTCCATGCTAGTAGACCATCAAATCTGGAGGATCTTGAAAGATTTGCCAAAGAGGAATGGGCCGGGATTCCTCAGGAGATGTGTCATGTGCCTTGCTACAAACTACAGCAAACGACTGCATGCTGTTATCCAGCAAAAAGGACCCACAATTGACTATTAGCCTGACGGGGTCTCATATTTTGGACCCTGGTAGTTTTTGGTTTTTGTGAAATAATTTTGTTTCAGTGTGCAAAGTAAAATAATGTAAGGATCCAAAATAAAACTAGGATGTTTGGAAAAGCTGTGTAAAAAAATCATTAATCTGTTGAACAGCACTTTGGAAATTTTGGAAAAAAACTTCAAATTTCATAGG